GGTAGGTTGGGTTTGGCGAGACGTGGCTCTGGGGGTTAGGGTTTGGGGCGATGAATACATTTTTTTCGGCGTTGGTGATGGGGAGGAGCTCCGTTGTTCCGGTTTTGGTCCAGGTTTGGGGGCGCCAGTCGTTGATGAAGGGGGTGTTGGATAGGAGGAGCGTGGTGTCTAATGCGAGGGGGGTTGGGACCGGTTGTTGGGTGGCATTTGGGAGCAGGACGTTGCGGAAGTCCCAGAAGTGGTAGTTTGTAAAGTAGCCTGGGTCCGGGCCGGAGATTATGTAGCAGTCGCAGAGGGTGTCGTTCGTTGATGGTGGGTTTGAAGTTGGGGAGGTGGTGGTCGTAGATATCAAAGAGAGACTGGGGAGGAGGGCGAGATTCTTGAACTTCATTGTTGGTGGGGAATGATAAGAGAAAGGAATGTCTGGTGTAAGGTATAGTAGTATTGATTGTTTGAAGGATATCGCATGTTTCTATTCACTTGGATGTGTTGGTATATCGTTAGGGTTGTCGATACTGTGGCAGGTGCGCCTTTGTGTGTTACTTCCCCCACGGAGTCAATTGTCGCTCTGGACATCTGTCTGGGGATAGATAACACTGTCTAGATACAATACTATCCCTCCTCAATTCAGCTTATTGAACGATCTTCTATTGGATATGATATTGTGTCCTTTCCACCCTGACAAGGGCCTCTATTGTTTGGTCTCCATGAGAACATAATGAGAACACAACGCGACGACGCTGACAATAAAACTACAATCAACTGTGACAAGGAGCATTCATTGACAAAGGATCACCACAAGCCTCAATGATAGTATTTCTATGACCTCCGACATTGTACCTCTTTGTCATATCAACATAGTCTATGAATAAACGGCCCAGCACCTTTCAATAGTCTCTCGAACACATCTTTGATATGGCCTAAAATATCTACGCCAAAGGAAGATGTGAACTGATAAAGAATCCAATGTCTTATATATACATACTCGCTGTCCGAGTCCCTACTCTTATGGTCTGTATAATATCCAATTGAAACACGATCTCATATTCAGAAACGTACAACATCCAACACGATGCCGAGGCGCAGGGAGAACGTCGAATGCGTCCATTGTGGCCGCTTTCATCCACAGTATTACGGCGCAGCATTGAAAAACCATGCGAGAGTACATCAAAACCGTCGGGAGGCTGCGCAAAGACAACGTGAACCCTCAACAGAAACAGAAGATGACCTGATATCACTTCCACACGTTGCAGGCTTAGTTCGGCGTATCCGGCGTCTAAAGCAAGAGCAACTGACCACTGAGAATGTGGCACAAAGGTTGCTGAACATATGGGGCGATGATGACGGGAGACTGGCGTTGCTGCGCCGTCTAATGGACCCAGATCTTCCACCTGGGGCTCGGCTTCCATCTGAGCAAGGAGCAAATTCGCTATTGGCAACTGCCAGAAACGTAGTCCTTACCTTAATTGGCCCTCTGGTCCAAGCTGGGGTAATGATTCCTACTTATTTCGAGCCTGGACCGTTGGAAGACCCTACATGGCCTGAGGAAGAGCCGTGTCACTACCCTATACACTCGTCCTTGACGAGAACATCAATTGGATTGGCGCTCCTTCGAGATGATGCCCGCGCAGTTGAGATGCTAGTCGCGCTCGGGATGGAGCCAAACGGTATGCTCTTCTGTGGGTACAGTATTTTGGCCGTGGCCATCTTAACATCGGCGAGGGAGGCTCTGGACTACATTTTATCCCTCGGAAACAAGGTGAAAGTTGATCAAAAGGCAAATGCCTACGGCGAGCAGGAGGAGACGGCGATAACGCTGGCATGGAAGGTCGGGAACATAGACCTTTTCAGGGAACTCTTAACCCATCATGGTGGAGTCCCAGGCCGAACCCTTTTTTGCATCTGTGCCTATGAACAACATGATGTGCTCGACGAGGTGCTTCAACTTGGTTTGGATGGCGGAGAACTTCTTCGGGCGCAACATCCGATCAGCCAAGAGACCCCTCTTCACGCCGCCGTATTGAACCCGGATCACGCTGTCTTGGACACCGTAATGCAATTGGCCGTGCGGGTTGGTGACAGTGAGGGTGACACGTATCCACAATATCTTCGCCTTCGAAATAGCCAAGGCCAAACGGCACTGATGTATGCCATCGAGAACCGGAGATCCAGGAGCATCATAACCCTTCTCCATGACCGAGATACCGATCTTAACGAGCGAGCGTGGGGCGGCCAGACCGCGCTATGGTATGCTGCTCGCACCAGAAATCTCGGGCTAGTCGATATACTCCTTGCAGCTGAGTGCGATACGGGCAACCCTCTTCCTCTTCAGTTTCCGACTAAAGGTACTCCGCTCAATGCCTTGCTCTATGCATATGAGGATATTCTGCACGAATACACGCAGGAAACACTAAAAGGTGTATATGGAGCACACCGAAGATTCAGTCAGGGGAAGGTGGAAATTATTGAGCTTGCTCGGACTTTACTTGCGTACGGTTGTCAATCAAATGTAGGGGATGATCGTTGGCGAATTCCTATGACCGAAAGACTACAACTATTTCCAGAGTGGGGGGCATTGTTCATGTAGAAGTTTCTTTGGCTTCTTCTTCTTCTTCTTCTTCTTCTTCTTCTTCTTCTTCTTCTTCTTCTTTCTTTTCCTTATGTCACTTCTATGGTTTTTTTCAAGATTGGCCACCACTGAAGTTCTGCTGGGTTTGGTATGCGTGATGGTTGGGTGGTAGTAGTCAATTGTAAATATATAAATCCCATCAACCAATTGAGTTGTTTACACTGCGTATACACCACTATACGCAGCTAATATTTTGCTCCGTTAATCTGATTCAATATAATTCAAGTCCAGCTTGAGTATTATTACCCTAACTATTACTGTTTTGTCTTATATAAAGTAGTCGCCCAAAGTGGCCCACTTTGTATGGGAAGTTGAGTCCCCCCAGAATGATGTTCGGACGCGGGAACGTTTGAATGCACGATCGCAGCCCAAGCGGTGTCGGTAGTACTATGAGGAACCGGCTCAGATTGATTTTCTATTATGACTAGAATATGTTTTAATATTGCTCTCTTGTCACTTTATTTATTTCCCCCCACCTTCTCTTCACATATTCCTACAATGGTAGGCCATGGTGGCGATGTAAAATCGTAAGCAGGGTCAACTGGTCAGGTCTTTGGGAGGTAGGATGAGAAATACCAATACAGCATGGGGGATCCCTTTTAGGCAGATTGCACAATGACGCCTAGGGCTATTTCTGTCTTCCAGTAAAGGAGGTTCCTGGGGTGGCGATAAGGCGAAGTGAGAGACAAACTGGTCAATCATTGGCTTGGAGCTGGTCAGCTGAATGCAATGCGGCTGCCAAGCCTCTAGCTCGGCGGTAAATTTGGTCTCATGGTATTGTCACGGCTTGTATTGCTGACGAAAGAAGGATGTGCGTTGTGTACCTTGTCTTAGTAGGCTTCATTTGGGATTTAAGTGTTGGGCACCGGTAGAGCTGTTATTTAGGGATCAATGAACATTAATGACTCAATTGGCCTATTTGAGAGTGAGGATGTTTTCCTCCTGCAAACGAGGACCAGTGGCTGAGGGACGGGTGTTCGCAATGTTTTGATTAGGGCTAATTGACCGGCAGTCCCGACCGCATTGGGCCATCCCGTGTCTGCCACGCAAGTGTTGAAGGAGGGGATGGGGCGGTCACGGGTCAAGGAGGAGAGAGTTGAGTCTTTCTCACTCATCTCCCAACCGTCATCACTCATACCACGACATCATCACGACCATCGATCAGCCCACACATCCCATCGCTATCATTATTCGAACTATCGCCAAAATGGACCTCATATCTTGTTAAATGAATTTAGGGGATGCTGGCTTTGTTGAAACTCGATTTAACCACGATTAATCACCCTTCTCTAATCCCTATCTACCCATACTCAGTCCCTTCCCATCACTATGACAGCCACCCTCGAACGGAGTCTGTCTCGCACTTCGAGCATGTCTATGCCCATCTCGAGCCCTAGACTATCTCTCTTACATGAAACGACGCCGCCTAGCTTATCCGACCCTGCCCTATCTCACATTCACGACCGCTTAACCCTGCTTGACTCTCGTGTTCTGGAATTACGTTCGACTGTCCTGACCAAAGATGGCTATATCGATCGACGGAATCGGGAAGATGAACACATTCGCCGGGAATTCGAAGCCCATCGCTCCATTTCAAACCGAATCGATCTAAATGTAGTCGCATTGAGGACGGATGTGGATCAGTTGAAGTCTGGAGTGTTCCAACTGAAGTCGAGCATCGGCCAGACTGGCAACGAGACCGTCTTCTTACGCAGTGATGTCGATCGTTTGTCGAAGAATATCGAACAAATCCAGTCCGATATCGAACAGGTTCAGACAGACGTGTGTGGATGCCGGGTGGAGATCAGCAAACTACACGCGACCATTAGTCAACTTCGTACCGATTTGATCACTCTTCAACATGAGACATCACGGCATTTGAACTCTGTCTTCGACCGCTTTTCCCTGATCGAGTCCCGCATGAAGCATTCGGAACGCGTCCGCTTCAACTCCTTGGCCCACACCACCCACGCCCCAATCACCCCAGTCCCCGTTGTCGAGGATGATGGCACGCTACAGTGGCCGGAATATTTCCCTCGAACTGTTTGGCGCTTCTGGTGCCTGAAGAAGCGCAGTCGGAGTAAGTCGTACTAGGTGAATGTCCCAGCGGCATATCTAACAGGATTTAGTCAACCGGTTGGTTCAGTTAGCCGAATTTTATCAACTTGGAGGCTACCAATACTGGGGTCGAATGCATCAGACAGAGGCCATGTTTGCCAGCGATAGTGACTCCAGCGACTCCAGCGACTACCCGTCCAATTTGACTCGTGCTGAAGCAGTTCGCTTGTATCCCGAGGCCGCACACCAGGCACTGGCTGCCACACTGGGTTTGGTTTATTACAAGATTCGGAACGAGGTTGGAGAAGGGCCGAATACCCATATTCCACGGCCCCCGAAGCGGCAGCAAGAGGACTTGCCGTCGGTGTCATCGGGTTCGAAGCCGAAACCGGTGAAGATGGCACGCCGTCCTAATAATGTGTCGCCTACTGCTTTGCACCGACTGATCACTGGGCCGTCACTGGAGTCGAAATCGATGGCTTCGGACGAGTCTGACAAGCTTGGATGGAATGCCCACTCCGAAGTGTCCGACGAGGCTATGAGTAAGCTGCGAAGCATCGTTTCCGAGGAAGTCGGGACTCTACTTCGAGCTTTGGAACGTGGGCGCATCCGATTGAAGCCTGGTCGCGCTGAGCGTGAGAAATTGTCTCCCATAGAATCCAAAGCTAGCATGCGCAATGGCCGGTACGGTGGCGACGGCGCGCAGGACGATGATGCGCGGACCTTGCCGAACACAGTCCCAACGGAGATCGTGTCTCTTTCAGATAAAACGGACAAGACAGAGGAACATGAACCTGAACTTCCGGCTACTGAGTCCGATGCAACTAGCCCGTAGTCGCCTTATCATGATATCGTCAACACGATATAGTGGTAGAATACGGAGGCTTGCACCAAAGGCTCTTGCCTGCTACGTGACTTTACCATACAAGTTACTATGCAAAAGTCACTTTGCGGGTACAAGAGCCTTTGGTGCTCTATCCTTACTGGACTGGTCGTATCGCGATCGACCGTTGTCCTTGACGCATCTGCAACGAGATGCGTCGCTAGCTAGCACGACAACAGAGAATGCCTCCATTGTGAGCCTTTTAACTTGGTGGTAGCATTCTCTGGGTGTAATGCGTGATAGCAGCACTGCTCCTTGGTTGCACAATGATCGACACAGGGCACATCATGCCACTGTCGACGTGTAGCAACATTCCATCTCCCAACCCTGGATATCTCAGGATGCGGACGGCCTTTGGTATAAATGCTGTTGAGGTTCGCTCCAGCTTGACATTGAACAGATAGACCATTTTGACATCTTGGTGGCCTGCAAGGTCCTGCTCAAGGCAGCACAAGACTTTACGTAACACTGACAGTTGAGTCTTGAGTCAGGACTCTTAACCTACTATTGGAATTGATAGGCATGATACGGCGCCCTGGATGGATATGTATACAAGATACCCCTTTGGATGGATTGTTTTTGCAGATTATTTTATTTTGGTCTGGACCTAGCGATATATACCTTGCATTTGGCGTTTCCCGTATTACAACTAGTTTTGGTTATCTGATTATGACAATAGGAGCAGTGATATTGACAAGAAGACAGTCTCGATCCTACGAGTTGAGACGTTCTACGTATCTGGACCAAATCTCTTCCGCTGGCCGCAGTCTCTACATCGCGTGTCAACCGCTTAACCGTGGGCCCACTCGTATAAGTTTTGTTAAACCGTTGCCCACCGCTGAAGCCAAGTACTAAATATTAACAATTGATAACCAAGATCAAGGTTAACCCAGGCCTGTTTGAATTAAGTGATATCTTAATAACCAACTTCCGCAAGCATCCACACCCCGCGGTCTAAACGGGCTCCAATAGATCTTTCTGCAGCACCTCCAAGACCTTTTTCTCATCTAGATTTGAGATATCCACAGACCCGGGTGCCGGTTGATCGCCGTCCGTCTCGGAGGTTTCTCCTGACTCGGCTTCACCTTGTGGCTGCATGCGTAGATAGTCTTTCTCAAGAAGGAACTTTGAATTCTCTTCCTCCGACAAGGCATCCGGTGAGTTTGACAGTATATAGATAGTCGGGAATTCTAGAACGGTGCGGCCGCGCAGAGCGGAGGTAAGAGTGGCAGTGGGCGAGAGAGGGACAAGTACCGGCTGTTTCGTGCTCGTCCGCGGGCGATGGAGATAGACGTAGAGTTCACGATGGGAAGTGATCTCATCCGTGGATTGCATAGGCTGGTCTTGCGGTGTGATGTCCGGTTTTGTCTCGCTTTCGGGGTTGGGGAGTACAGCTTCCTGAGGCGCTTCCTGAGGCGTAGCTTCTGCGGTAGATGGAGTAGGGTCGCGTGTATCAGGTAGTCGTTCAGACGAATTGACACCCACTTGTTCCGCCTTGCTTTCCTGATCTTTCTTCTTCTGCTCGCGCTCCTCCTTAGACAAAGGAAAAGACCGATCGTAAGCCTCAGCAAGAGTCAACGACTCCAAGCAGAGTCTAATCCTCCTCTCCCCATCGGGAGCAACCCACTCAACCGACCAATTTAAACATTTATTTCTGTACCACAGTCAGCAATCACCACGCTCACTCCAAACCAAAACCCCAAACAGGAAAACATACTTAGGCATCCACTTCGAGGAATTGGCCTTATTCCGACTCATCCCCCTCGGCGCCCTAAGAACAGTAACACCAGCGTCCTCAGCGCCCCTAAGAAACCCAAATTCCCCCCTCACAAACCCCCCAGAACCACCCTCAACCCTCCTCCTCTTCCTCCCGGTCTCCGCCGTACCACTCTCCTCATCCCCATCCAACCCGACGGCCGCAAGATCCACCCCCCGCCCAGAAGTCCCAGGCTGTACAGAGATCCCCCTATTCTCGGCATCGCGCTCCGCACGCTCCATGGTGCGTTCGATACCGGTGATGAAATTGAAATCCCGGTCGAAGGCGGATTCAGTCGCAAGCTCGTTCTTCTTTATGTAGGCGGCTGGATCGCGGACGCCGCTGCATTGGGACCAGAGTTTGTGGCGGCGAGAACAAGGGAGGGAGCAGGTGCGGGTCGAGCAGCGGGGGCAGCGGTATTTGGGGGGTTGGATGTGACTGTTTTTGGATGTTCTATTAGTAGGTGGTTTGGTGGTATGGCCATGGGTTAGGATAGGGTGGAACGCACCAGATTGTGCAGAGGTCGGAGAGGAGGGGGGTTTCGGAGGACATGTTGGTAGATGGCCTTATTCTAGGGAGTCGGATATTATATAGATATGAGTAGAGTTGTACAGAGGGTAGAATATTAAGTATGGGTATAGCGATAGGTCATGTTATGATATAATATGAGAAGTGGAGCGAAGGGAAAAAAAGTCTGGATACATTTAGCTTATCGATAAGGAGGGTCAGGGATGCCTTACGCTCTCGAAACTGTGCCTGAGGCTATGGCCTTCCTGCCTAAATCAGGACGAACCGAAGTCATGTGTTATGAACAGAGCTAGTACTTGCTTCCCTCCTCCCTTCTCTTACAACAACAACAACCACCATCATTCACTACTACTACTAGTAGTATCAGGAACTCTTCATTGTGCACGTGACCCGATACATTAGGGTACCGCTATTTGGTCAACCAACCTGGTGGAATCACTTATGTAGTTCCTGGCTATTGCTATGCAGAAGTCAGTCTTACAGGCTTAATAGTTCTTGAATACTACATCTAATGCTCTAAATAACTGGACCAGTATCTGGAGAAAGCTGTGCAGTTTATCAATTTTAAAGTTCATAGTTTAATACATGGCCTCAGACCCACAGCTACGTGCAGGTTCAGATAGGGCGTCTGATAGCCTAATTCCGAGGAAATGTTATCATCCCACCCACGCCCCGGTGTAAGCAAAGGGAATCAAAAGAAGGAAAGAGAAAAGAGAGACCGGGACTAACTAGAAACCAACTAGGTATATAAACCCCCCCACCTCCCGTGACTCACGTATTAGTAAAGGCTCGTGGCTGATTGTATCTCCGCTATCGGATCGGTATCCACCTGACAAATCAGGCATCGAAAACCGCCACCAATCTTAATAATTGATAAGGGAAAAGCGATCCAGTGTGCAACTTTCTTTTCTCCAAACCAAAAGCCCACCTTGTACCTTCGATCCCCCCATTTATCTACCCGTCACAGACACACAGAACCAAGGGAACAGACCAGAGAAGAACCAACAAGGAGGTGAACCCAAAATCATCACTCCAAAATGTCCATCACAATCGACACCTCCGTCGACATCGACCTGCCTACCCCACCTCAATCAAACGGCAGTCAAAAGCGCAACCTCCTCCTTGCCCCTCCCTCTGTCGCCGCCCACGAAGAGAAACTCCGTCATGTCTTCTCGACCTTCGATCGCTCCTCGACTGATCTCCAGATGCTCGATCGCCTCTCCGCAGGCTTTGTCTCCCTGCCTCCCAATACATATGACCTCGTGTTGGTGTTGACGGATGCGGCGTCGGATGAGGCTGTGCGGCTGTTGACTCGGGATGTTTATACCGCTTTGGTCCCGGCGATGAAGGCGGGCGCTAGATTGCAGCTGCAGCAAGGGAGTTTGGGGGCTAGTGAGGGGTTGGAGGCTATCTTGGCGGGGCTGGTGGAGAAGGATGGTGGGTTTGAGAAGCCGGCGCAGGAGGCTGCTGTGCCGTTGAAGTTGGGCGGCAGAAAGAAGAAGGACAAGACCAATGGGGTGAACAAAGTTCCGAATGGAGTGCCTACGAACGGAGCCAGCACAAACGGCGTGGGAATGTTTGATCCGGCTCAGAACAACGATGACGAGTTGATTGATGAGGATGCGTTGCTCTCGGATGATGATTTGAAGAGACCTCTTCCACGACGTGAGTTTCCCCTCACATATTCTATTATCTTGTTAAACATCTTATTGACTATGACTTCTACAGCCCAAAACTGCGTACCAGAGACCGCCAAGAAGCGCCGGCGCCCCTGCAAGGATTGCACCTGCGGTCTAGCCAGTCAACTGGAGGAGGAAGACCGCGCACGTGAAGCAAAGGCTGCCGCGGATCTCAATATCCTGAAGCTGAACACAGATGACCTGAACGACGAGCTAGATTTCACCGTGCAGGGCAAGACGAGCTCGTGCAACAGCTGCTCGCTCGGCGATGCATTCCGCTGCTCCAGCTGTCCGTACATTGGACTGCCGCCGTTCAAGCCCGGTGACGAGGTCAAGATTATGAATGATATGATTCAGCTGTGAGGGCATTTTTCTTTCTGGGTCTGGTTTTCGGGTCTTACTTAATATCCCCTAAAAGGTGTTGCGGTGATAGAATTTCGGTAGGGTTATTGTTATGAATGGCATGATCTGGTTTTTTTTTAGGATGTATGAAAGCTATCTGAAACTAAAAATCTTCTTTTGTCTATACCTCAGGAGTAATCCATGCACTCAAAGATCCACCGTAGTCAGGATGTAAAAGTAGTCGACCCAATTCATTCCAAACTCGGATTCTAGTATGAGACAAGCTTCACCCCGTATTAATACTGCAATATTAACTCCATATATTCAGGAACAACTCCACCTCAACCGCCTACTTCATACATCACGTAAACACCTACTGTAGACGTCGTGCCTCGGTGATTGAAGCCCTAACCAAAAACAAACCATGTCAACAGCAAACACCGAAGCCAAAGTTGTACACTAATCACAAAAAACAACTCACTATATTAATATCTTTCTATAGACCCCATAAATAACCTTCCCCACAATATGGACCAGTTACATCAGCAAAGGCGATGATATCACCGCGCCGAGGGATGAGAAAATCACGAATTTATAACCTCCGCATCGATTTCTAAGCATCGGCATGAACCAAACGCCGAGCAAAATCACGACACATGGGGAGTATAAGTAGATAACCAATCCCCACACTTCCTCAGATCAATTCCATAACTCGATTCTGAAAGCGATCACAAAAGTAACGTACCAAAGAAAATCAAGAAGGAAAGAAAATGGCCAGCAAGCCCTTCGCAATCATCGCCGGCGTTGGTCCAGGAACTGTATGTCCTTATCTGATACCCTCAGTTAACCCCACACCTTCATCCCCACTACCAACCCCCGCAGCCAAACTACTCAATGAGTATAATAAACACATCTAACAAAAGGGAAACAAGGGCGCCTCTATCGCCCGCAGATTCGCACAAGCATACTCCGTCGTGCTACTTGCCCGTAACCCAGCAAACTTCACGCCGGTCGTCGACGAAATCAACGCAAACGGCGGCCAAGCAACGGGCATTAGTGCCGATCTGTCAGACACAAACAGCGTCAACTCTGCGTTTGAGAAAATCACTCAGCAATATGGTGGATCGACACTAGCCGCAGCTGTATTCAACTCCGGGGGCGGGTTCGTCCGCAAGCCGTTCCTGGAGTTGACGGAAGAGGAATTCGTTTCGGGGTTTGAGAGCCAAGGGTGAGTTTTGTTTGCCATCTTATGTTATCCTTGCCTTCCCTTTGTTCCCCTAGTGTAGCACTACTATATAGTCCTAGATAAAACAGGCTAACAAAATAACAGAAAAGGCGGCTTCAACTTCGCGCAACGCACCCTCCCCCTCCTACAAAAGGCAAGCGGACTCCAACACCCGCCTACACTAATCTTCACCGGCGCCACAGCTAGTCTCAAAGGCTCGGCGACGTTCTCGGCCTTCGCATCGGGGAAGTTTGCCCTCCGTGCGTTGGCGCAGAGTCTGGCCCGCGAGTTCGGACCCAAGGGAGTCCATGTCTCGCATGTTATTATCGACGGGGTGATTGATATCCCCAGGACGAAGGCATGGACCTTTGAGCATGAGGATGCGAAGTTGGATCCTGTGGCGGTGAGTTTCCTTTCTCTTTTCTCTCTTCAGTTCCATTCTTCAGTCTCTTTATGGGACGCGTTTGGTATTGGGTGAGGGAGGGGCTGATTGTGTTTTTGTAGATTGCGGATTCGTACTGGCATTTGCATACCCAGCCCAGGACGACGTGGGGCTTTGAGTTGGATTTGAGGCCTTATGTTGAGAAGTGGTAGTTTAGTTTATTGGGGCTGCAATGAGTGTGTTGTCCTAGTCAGGGTGGGTTGTTTGGCCTGAGAAAGCTAGAACACAAAGACGGGAGAAACTGGCATGATACTACGCGGCTCTTTTTGCTCCAGGTGATGGACTTGAAGATAATATTGATACTTTTTAAATTGCGAATTGTGAATAGGAAGTCCTGTCAAGGAATAACAATCATAATGAGATTAGTCGTTCCTCTGTGTACCTTCTGCCCTGTAATTGTCGTAAAAGGTGTCTGAGTTAAGGGACAATGGTAGCTGTAGACTGCTTGGGTCGAAGTGCATGCTGGGAAGTTGGTTCAGCTCTAGGTCTATGTCGAGGGCGGCATCGATGGCTCTTTTCTCTATCATATTTAAATCCATGCCGAGATCGTCACCAACCGAGACATTGGGCGCAGAAGGAGATGCTTGGCTAGGAAGTAGCGAGTAGTCGATGGGTTGATCACTGGATGTAGGGGTAAACACATTTCCACTGAAGTCCAGTGAAGGATTTAATGACAAGGGCACGGTCTCCCTATTTGTAGGGTCCATAGATACTGTCCAGGGTGGATCTTGAGAGCTAGGAGATAGTAATAACCCATCATTAGACCCAACCAAATCGGTGCTCGATTGGTCATCCTCAGGACTCTGAGACGCAGGACCAAGTTGCCACACATTCAGGCACGAGCCATCTCGCTTCATCGTATCGCTGTCTTCAAACCAGGACCGAATCCTACGGAACACTGTCGTCAACTTGGTAGCAGGCCATAGTGGTCCCCACCCTGCAAACATTTGTATAATGTAATGTAAACGGCTGGAGACTTGGAGTCGGTCTATTTGCAGTTGAGCATCTTCGTTAGACGATGTGACGGCCGCAAAGTGAAGCTTGACTAGGATGAGTGCTGTGTAAATCATCCGGATCAGATACATTGCTGGTAAAACTCGAATCGCAGACATATCTAAGGAGGTAAATCCTCGAAATATGTGATCTATCGTCTCGACGCATTCGCTGAATGTGTCTGCTGGGATAGTGATGGTGCGTGATGTCCGAGTCTCTGATGGTACTTCAGCATCAGACGCTGCACAGAAGGCGACTTCGCTTAGATACAAGGATGAGAAATGATAGGAGAGCTGTAGTGCGCCTATAGGAAGATTTAGATTAATACCCGGATTCAAGTATCCATGGAAGGAGTAAAGATAGTACTTACCATCGAATATCCCTTCTCGTATGCTTTTTTTCCAGTTGAAAATTTGCCGTTTGGACAAGCGATACGATGTTTGGATCTGCATAGCCCGTAACGTGAGAGAAGCTGAAGCGCCTTTAAATGACAGTTGCATTGCGGCTTCTTCTGTTATACGCTGTAGGCGAACGTGTTGGCACAGAACTTTGTCGGATGGGAGAGCATCTGGAGAGGTTTCCAGAACTTCTAAACATTCATCCATACAGTGGGTCCATCTCATGACGTTCGGTGCCCGCAGAGACATAGAAGTGCTAGGAAGTATCAGCAAGCGCATTGATGGATGCCCAATTCGTTCACCCACTTCGAGCAAATGTAATGACAACCCAACCAGACTCTCCGAGCTGCAAGAAGTTCTGACTGGGAACTCTGGTGTCGATCGGCCTGGCCTTCCTCGGCCAATAATGAGGGATCTCTATTCCTATTATTCAATCTGTCTCCCAGTCCCATGATTAAAGCCATGTTGGCGGCAGTGTGACCGATTTGATAAATATCCATTTGCTCTCCCGGCTCCAAAGGCACAATTGACCGATACCATGTGGCGGAAACGATCAACGCTTGCAGTAAGCCGAGGGTGTACTGGTCGCTGCGGAGCATACAATGAACATATGTCTGCACGATCAGCTTGCGGAGTTTTCTCTGTATCTCCAACTCACAGAACCCAGACGACGCCACGTCAAGAATTGCTAAGAGGAGAATCGGGTTATTCTTCCGTACATCGGCCGCTCTTGTACTTGGTGGGAAGACCACGGCTGGAAAGGTGGGAGCCATGTTTGTGATATAACGGCTGAAGATAATGTCCGTAGTGGCATGGTCAAGATAAGGGGTGATATTCTTGTCTAGTACTGACTGTATGCTGGTTTTCAGATCCACAGCTCCGGAGCTCACTGCCATGTGGAATGGAGGTGTGAGTAATGAACTGAGCTGGGAGCAATTATTGCTAGATCGACTAACCACTGGAGGGCCCTGGCAGGGAAGTCCCCACAGATGAACCCCAGCCATGTTGTCCAGGGACATGCGAGATAGGAGCTGAATCAGCAGACCAAATTGGGAAGGGCTCCATGCTGGGGCGAGGTCGGTTGTTAGTGGCCTCTTGTTTTACAGCAGTTGAGATCATCTGATCGATCTTAGACTGTATGTCCAGAATGCGATTATTCAATTGTTGATGCTTGTTTTGTGGTTTCTCCACGGGGAAGCATGGTTTGCATGCCTTTTGGCATCTCAAGCACGGCATACCAGGGGTCGGCTGGTTACATCGCACTTTGGAAACATGGCAGGAGTGACATGCTCGCAGAGTATTGGTGCTGATTGGTGGTTAGTATTATAGATAGGTATGTATGCTATCACATATAAACGCACGTATTTTGAGCTGAAGCGGGTGCATGTTGCGATTGCTCATCGCCCATTTCTGCAGGTACTTTCGAATCCCACTTTTCCATGACGCTTGACGAGTGGAACCTCATATGAGGGGCAGAAGAAACAAGCTGCTTCGCCGGATCAAGTGATGGTAACCCCAATATTCGTGAGATATCCACCTGAGCAAATGATCAAAAACTAGTAATGCAAGCCGGTGGCTGCTTATAACCATTACAGTAAGGCTTCCTTCCTTGGCTGAAGTGACCGATGAACTTTTGGACCCCAATCTTAGGCGCATGTTGGCCAAGACTTGCACGGCAAGGATCGTATCTGGACCTGATATTCGGCCTTTCAGCTCTTTTTGACTTCATCCAAGACTTTAGATATCGCAAAAATCGTCTTCAGAAACAACCAGAAAGGCTTTTGGTTCCGATCGTGTGTCCCTAGAAGCTTAGCCCGGGTAAAGCACTCACTCTACCGCACGTTCTGAGATTGCCCCACGTATGAACACTTGGCTAAGTTTAACCATAACTAGTGGAGACTTAGCGATCATGCATGTATGGTGTGTGGTCAAAGAGCATTGATCTCACCTGTGCTGTCATATTCACTCCTTCTCGCATGTTGTGGAGCTTTGCTGCATTTTTCTTATTGCATAACAGCGGAATTACACCATGTCCCTCACATATCAGTATGTATCGCAGCAATAATGACTCTCGTGGTAAGAGAGACTAACCCAGCGCAGAGAAGCATGGAACCTTTTCCAATATGAAGATGCTCCCCCATCACTCATCGACGACTACCCGAAAGCGCAGGACTCCCGACTGGCAGACAATCATACTCCTTCTCCAGCAAACCGCACTGTAACCCCAAATCACCAGGCAGAGAGTTCCAATAGCGAGCTAGTCGCAGAGCTCCGACGTCTGCGTGAAGACCTGCAGCGTCTCCAATTTACAGGGTATAGATATTCCCACCTGAGTCATCTGTGACTAACTCAGTCAAGGTAGGAGTTACTGACATCGCTGGACCCATAATAGATCCCAGGAAGATGTTCCAGATACGGTTCCTTCATCGAGTAATCCATCTGATTCAGGTTCACCGGCATCGCAGACGACCGCCACCGGTCGAACGAATCAAGCATCCCAGAGGCTAGACATTCTTCGTTGTTGGGAGTCATGCTGTAACGGTCGCGCCTTTTCCAACAGAAGTAATTTAATCCGCCACCAGCGAGAGCGACGTGGTGAATTAGCGAAGCTTCGGTGTTCTTTTTGTGATGCGGTTTTCTCGCGTCGAGCTGCGAGAGATACTCATGAGGCTGCCCGGCGATGTCGCCGCTTGTGATTTGAAGCAGAGTGTTTTCAAAGTTTGAGCGTTAGATGAAGCCAGGCATGCATGTATAATGGCCTTTTAGTCGACATCTTTTCACAATTTATGAGTAACGGATTAGGTATTTTATAAGTCAATTCGTTTGAATGCTGGAACAATCCAGAAATGTAAGATCAAGTCCATCCGCCCGCAAGGAATCCAAGCCGATCGGAATTTAGAAAGGGCGGGGTAGATAAAAACATAGGTCTTTGAAATAAGTAAGATGATTGAAGTAGATATCCTTGAATCAGAAATATGGTTGACGGATCGTGTGGGATGGATGATGGATCGTGTGCTTGGAGGATCGACGGATTGCTGTGATCCTTCATCGGCGAAGGATCACCGACGAACAGAGGATCAAAAAGGTGAGCCCGACCAGCACATCTGGCATGAGATAATATCATACTTGGCTTTAATCACCATAATTCTAGTTCTTTGACTCAGACTTGCTATATCAGGTACTTTCCTCAGGATATTTTATATCGATTTAGTTAATCCCCCCTTGTTCTGCCTCCAACAACCATGGTCTCCCTCAAGACAGTTCAAGCATCAAACGCCAGTCTACGGACAATCCCCAACCTCACAGCCCTATTCGTCGGAGGTACAAGTGGGATGGGCCAGAGTACACTCCGTCAATTTGCCAAACACACAGACAACCCAACAGCATACATAATCGGCCGGAGTCAATCACGAGCCAAGCCCTTCCTCTCCGAACTCCAACAGATAAACCCCAAAGGGCGCTTCAACTTCATCGAAACGGACGTATCGCTGATCCGCAGCGTAGACGCAGCGTGCAAGCAAATCCTGCAACAAGAAAAACACCTCAACTTCCTCTTCATGACACCTGGCGGCATCTCACTCGGCGGCCGAAACGAGACCGCCGAGGGAATCGACTATCTTTTTGCTCTCCGCTACTATGCACGCATGCGGTTTGTCCAGAACCTGCTTCCACTGCTTGAATCAGCAGGTCCAAGTCGAGTAGTGAGTGTCTATGGTGGCGGATTCGAGTTCAGCATCAACGCCGACGATCTAGATCTCAAGCATAACTTCTCCCTGCTCAATGCCTATAAGCACTCGATCACCATGACCTCCCTGAGTATGGAATATTTGGCCAAGACTCATCCAGCCGTGAGCTTTCTTCACGTCTATCCCGGCCTAGTGGGTACGAATATCTACAGCAATAGTTTCCCGCCGCCTATCTCGACGTTCTACAACTACGGGATGTGGCCTCTGATGTGGCCTTTCTCCGTCGGTCTCCAGGAAAGTGGAGAACGACATCTGTTTCATCTAAGCTCTGCGCGGTATCCGGCCAAGCAGACTATCATGGCCCAGGATATTCCCGTCGAGCCAGGAGATGTTGCGAAGGGTACGACTGGGGAGGGAGGCAGTGGAGCATATCTCTTGAATTGGAACGGGGAGGTTCGACCGAGCCGAAAGATTATGAAGGAATATCGGGAGCAACGGGTGCCTGAGTTGGTCTGGAGGCACACCGAGGATCTGTTGGATCGAGCCGTGTGCCGGTGATTTGACCGTTTTCTTTCCGTTTACATCTCGGGACGTTTTCTTTAGCCTGGATAGAGGAGTGTATGATTAGCGATGGACAGAAGGAAGAAGGAGTGCCGAGTTCGTGTTAAAATGAGTAATGATGAGCGGCTGTCTAAAGTTATGTATAATACCGATATAAGGCCAAGACTCATAAACCTGCAGCCATGCAAGCGCCCGGATCCTTGATACGTACCCCTCAATATCCCACAAACAAAATTAATATCAAGACCATACATAAGCTTTCGATAGCGATATCGATAGATGAAGGGCCAGTGAAATGACATCATTTAGCAGATTATCCATCGCCAAATGCGCAACTAAACCTAGAGCAGTAAACCATCCCTCCGTCCCGAAAAAGGAAACCAAGCCCTAAGGTCCTCGGGAACACTGCGTCGGTCCAGGTACACCGGAACGACATGCAACTTGGCCCCCGAATAGAATAGAAAATCATTAACAAAAGTGGTGTAGCTCTGATGTGTTGATCATGCAATTTACAGCCATATCCCGGTGGGGTTAATATAGAGCTACATTAGCGTGGTGTCGCAGATGCAAAACAACCGTGCAGATCTGTGTCCGGGCTTATCCGTCTATTCTGGGAACATGGTCGAGGGGATGGAGATAAATACCTGCTTGTAGTCGGTGGGTTTGTTTTCTTTAGCTACAGCTTTTTTTCTCATCATTGAAAAGTAGATTGGGCCGAACATTGGATGAATATTTCCAAAATGAGACCTGTTACGCTTCTCTCCCTTGCTTCTCTGGCTTCCGCGAAGAACCTCATCCCCACGACTTGTTTCGACTCCTACACTTCCCTCGAAGAGTACTTCTCCTACCTCTACCCATGGGGTAGCGACCACAATGGCTCAGCCCGCATGGTCGGCAACTCCACCGACCACGATTACATCTCCGTCGAGTCCGGCACGCTGACGCTCGTCGCAAAGCCGACCACGGGCCAGCCGGCGACCAGTGGAGGCCAGGAAATCAACTACCTTTCCGGAGCCGTGCATTCCAAGAGCACGTTCACGGTTGAAGCAGGCTCTGGCTTCGACATCGAGGCCGAGTTCCAGGCGACCACTGATAAGGGAACTTGGCCAGCTTTCTGGCTGAATAGTGCGGCGAGCTGGCCCCCGGAGATTGACATGGCTGAGTGGAAGGGTTCGTTTTGCGAGTTAGCTACTTGAAGTCTTAGTTTTGGCTGATAATTGGAACAGGAACGGGACAGATCACCTTCAATGTCTTCAACGTGAGTTTCCGTTTTCAGACATCGTATCTATATGCCAGCGTAACTGACAACAACAATATTGCAGACCTCTTCCGAAGTCATGAACCACAACACGGATTACCCGTCTCCGAGCGAGTTCCACAAGGTCAAAACTCAGATCCGCGCCGAGAACGACGCCGATATCTTGGTCAAGTACTTCCTTGATGATGTGGAGGTCACGACTCAGTACGGGGCTGACTATGTCGGGAAGCCCTTGTATCTGTGAGTACTTGATTAGGTCTAGAGGGGCGGGGGATGTTCCGTATGATGTACAAAGGCTAACACGCTGCAGGATTATCAATCTGCAGATGGAGGGATCGTCTGGATCTCCTGGTCCTAGTACGGGTCAGTATTCTCCCTGGTCTAGCCGCTGGGGTCTTTCGCTGACCGAATAACTAGACACCTATTATCGTGTGAAGAACCTGTCCTTCGATCAGATTTAGACAGGCTTAAATCAAGGACACCAGGAGGTGGTTGGTAGGCACGAGGCCTTGAGATGGATCGCAGTGGCAGGGACTTGAGAATTTACTGTCAAATCTGTAGAATTGTGGAGACTTTAGCCCTTACAATTGGACCCGTTTATAGATAACGGACTGGGAGTCTGGCAATAATGCGTACAGAAGGCACCAACAGGCGATGTACAGGTCACAGGTAGCATGGCTATAGTGGAAGGCGCTTGAGTTAGAAAGGTAGTTGGAATATGCAAGAAATACCCAAGATATAAACAGTCACTTTTTTCACCTTGAATCGCTAGAAAAGCAACACAAAAACACAGTCAACGACCCAACGCCTTGGAGTATAAACCTAATGCACAAAACCTGCACAACCGCATAATTGAAACACTGACTAATCTGCATAACCACGATAACGTCACAAGCATCACACAACCCACTCCAACTCCATCCCTCAATCAGACTGCACTCCCAATTCCAACTTCACCTACAAAACAAACCCAAAAACCCGCAAAAAAAAAAAGATGGTCCTAGAAAACACTCAAACAGACCCCATCCCCCCTTCGGGCGCTGAAGCAACCAACGACAGTGACAGCACCCCAAACACAAAATACCAGTACCACTCGCTCTACATAAAACGCGACCTCATCGCCAACCCGGACCCGTTCACTCTCTACTTCGGATTCTTCGGACGGTGGAACTATGACCGAAAAGTAACCGCCAATGTACTCCGTCGAGTCGAAAACGCCCGGGTGCTAATCCAGCGCCTCCCCACACAAGACGAACTAGATGCGATGGTAACACACAGCAGTCGCAGTTTATACCAGGAGCGGATCGGCGCGCCATTGGGATTCCTTGGCGGATCAACGCTTCTGTGGATGCAGGCCAAGAAATCGGAGTTGTATCCAACTTATTTCCCCAAGCCTTCGGGTCCGGAGGGGAAGATGCCGTCCCCCACGGAGATTCTGCAGGCCGCGAAGAGGTTTATCGTTGCTGAGCCGACTGTGGCGAGACGGGCGGTTTTTGTGACGGGTTTCAAATTGTTGTTCTATAGTGTGGCGGGCGCGACGTTGTCGAGTGTTTATGCGGTTTATAAGGAGACGAGGAATACGATGGCGGATTCGCGATTGAAGGAGTTCTTGGCGGATTTGAAAAAGCAGAATCCCGAGGAGATAAGAAGAAGGCAGATGGAGTCCAGGGGGCGGAGATCGATGGGTGAGCAACAGGGAGTTGTCGAGATGGATCACGGTGGTGATTATGCTTCGGAGTATTCTGGTGGCGACGTCCAATCTACGGCGGTATCTGTCGCTGATCGTCGCCCGGTATTAGAACCTGTTGGTGGTGGTGGTGGTGGATTGGGTGCCGATCACGGCCGTGGAGGAGATTTCTTCGATGAGGATGATGCTAGCCCCACGGCACCTGAGTATAGAACCAATAGGGGCACACAGGCTGGTTACTCTCAGGGAGGTGCTTGGGAGCGGATTCGACAACAGAATGCTTCCGCACCTGCTCAGTCTAGCCGTCAGGATACATCCGGCCAGCAGCCACAGTGGGACTCGTGGAGCCCCTCATCATCAGAGAGTGACAAGCAGCGGGAGCGGGAGCAAGCTCGTGCTGAATTTGAGCGATTATTGGACGCAGAAAGGAATATTGGACAAGAGTCGGCGGGCGAAGGGCGCAATAGAGGTTGGGGAAAGTGGAATTGATTGCCCGCTCATAGATTGACACAGTGTACTATACTAACTACCCTTGATTCCGCGATGCAGTAGCTTTCGAGTCTGGGTCACAGGCTCGTCAATGTATATTAACCCTATGTGGCATGTCTGCATTGTTCATGAACATCATATTATCATATAGCCCGATTATCACTAATAGCGGTAGACAACCAAGGAAATGAAAGCATTGTGAGAGTGATGGAAGCCTGTGCATGATGGAGTAACAGGAACCGCCTCAATCCCATATACAAAGGGACTTTTCCTTGTCCTTGCGGACCCGATCTGAAGAAGAAGAGGAATACGCGGGAATAAGCAAAAATCTAAGACAGACACACAGAAGTACACTGTGTATTACTCAGAGGACAACAGTTTGTCATAATGTCAGGAAGGGTATACATCCAACAACCGCATAATGCCCTGAACGAATCATAGCAGGGTAGAACAGTAGATAAAAGGAAATGTCGTTAGTCATGAAGGCCCGAGAAGCAGACCACGTCTAGAAAATGGAATGCAAGCAGCAGAACAGGAAGGACATTGAAAACATAAACAAGCGAGGTAAAAAGGAAGAAAAGAATCGAAGCAAAGTGAAGACCAGTGGACAGTATCAATATGACCTAAATGCGATTGTCGGCGACCGGTATACTTTCATACGGAAAATGCGTTTCAACCCAACTGTCAGGTGCCCGACTAACGCTGCCCATACGAGCCAGGTTGCGTATCTTACTGGAGAAGCTTTCGTTCACGCTTTTGCCACGCCTGTGCTCAAAGGACAATCGGCGGCGATCTAAAGTCGGCTGCGTTTCCATGCACACCGCAGGTCCGGCTGTCATAGCGCGGGGCAGCAGCTTTCCCATGTTCTCATTGTCGATAGCAATGTCTATGGTTCCTGAAGACTCGCGTGGGGACGCACAATCCATCACAGGGGCAGGAGGTGGAGGAGGTGGGAGAGCGTTCAAGTGCTGCAGCTCGGGTAACATAGGAGGAGTTTCGTAATGTTTCAGCTCCATCGCGTTCTCGATTCCCTCCTCGATGCTGATATCCACTGGAGAGCCTCCATAGCTGTACCCGCCTTGCTCTCTCGAGCTCTCCCGGCGATGACCCATGTTCCGGGTTCTGCTGGTCGAACGGCTTCTCGGGAGACGTGGATTAAATCGCGGATGCATTGGTAGGTCGGATGGTACTGTCCCGGGTTGTTTTATTTCGGGCACTGGAACAGACATCGAGCGACCGATTCTCTCCGCGTCTGCCTGATACCTGGCATCACTCAGCAGAACAGTGCTATCTGGAATGTTTGGAACAGACGGAGCAGTCTCCTGGTTATACTTGGGGTGTCGCATAGCCTTGGGTGTTGTGGCAAGCCCAAATGGCCCGGACTGCGATGAGTTAGAGTCCGAGCTACTTCGGTATTCTGGAGATGCTTTGCTCGATGAAACTCTCCGCCGACCAGGTGTGCGCGGGCCAAAAGAATTCACAGAAAATGGTGGGCTTTCTGGGATGTTGCGACAATGTTGCAATTCTCCCGGAAAGGGTATGTTGGGCGCGGATGGGTTCCGTGCGAGTGAGAGTCGTCTTGCCTCCAGTTCTGCCGCTGCTAGCTCCTTCCTTCTGTGTTCGGATAGCCCAATGTGGGGTACAGCGGGAGGTACAGTGGCGGAGTGAATGGCCCGGCTCTCCTCAGTCGACATATCCTGGTCGCTTTGAGGTCCTATCTCGACGACAAGACCTCGGGTATTTGTACCCATGTCATACTGTTCGTGTTCCGTCCCCATCTTGAACTCAGGTTCATGGCGACTCCGGGATCTCGCCCTTAGCTCTACTTTCCCTTTCTCCGGAAGTCGGCTGCTACTTCGCTGCTGAGACCTTCGTTCTCTATCACTAGCCACTAGCCTAAAAGCATCGTCGGTAGTAGACGTGGGTAATGGAGGCGAAGGCGATCTATCGTAGGAGCCCTTTCTGTCAGCACTGCGACCACGGTCATGTTTCTCGGTGCCGACTCGATTAGCTGTATGACGACTAGATGAACGATTGTTCCGACGTTCGGAAGAGTTCCGAGAACGTGGTTTCCTAGCCCTGCTTGCACTACGTGTCTTTGAACGCTGTTTCGTCCGACGAGTATCGTCGTTCTCCTGAGCGGCATGGTGGCGGGCTATCTCTTCGTGGGACATCGGGACGGGTGAGGAAGGAGACCGCTTGGCGGGCGGGATATACCTCTTCTCGTGTCTCCCTCGTGCGTGCTGGGACGTGTTCCTAGGGTGGTGTCGTTTTTCTGATGTCTGGCTGGCCGTTTCATCTGTAGTTCGCCGTCCCACGCCATTGGAGAGATATTTGTGATGTTTCTTTGAGTGATAGTTCGCCTCTTCAAGGCTGCTAATGTATTGCTCAATACTCCGCCCACTAACACTTGGGCTCTTCGCAGAGCTGAAACTATTAAATGTTGATGCTGGGCTTCTAAAATCTCCATTATCCCATTGCTCAGCTGCATCAGTACCAGAGTATACAGCAGGGTGCAAATGAAGCTGCAGTCCATCGGGCTTCCTATCTCTAGACCCATTGCGACTGTCAGATCGCACTTTCAGAGCATCAAAAAGCCCGACTGCTGGAGACGGCATTCCCTTGATTCCTGCAAACTTGTCTGAACTTGCTTGTACTGCAGTTTGCGGACTTGGTTTGAACGCGTCATCTGGATCGTACGTAGCAGAAGGCAGTAAGCCAATCTGATCTTCTTTCTCATCACCAGGCTGATCCTCTTGGTCATCGTTTTCCGAGGTTGAGCCATAATCAACGAGCTTCTTGGAAACGCTGGATGGAAAGGTCGGTGGTTGCACGTCGACGGGTGTTTCCCCGATGGAAGGCAAGCGCCCTCTGCTAAAGGCGGGAGAATTTGTTCGGGAGCTCATAGCATTGTTGAGACTCTGGATGTTATTCAATTTGTATGACCCAAAGCCTCCAGGTGACAACGCTGAGTCGGCTACAGCAGATTCAGCAATGGGCGTAACTCCAGGCGCATTCGTAGGTGTCCTATCATCTGACTTTAAACCGGGGAATCGAAACCTCTGGTTTGGTTGCGAGTCAAACGATGTGATGAGCTTGAGGGCTGGAATCTTAGCCTGTCGGATATTGGAAGGCTTTGTCTGAGAGCTTGGTGGTAGAAGACTTGCCGGATTGGCATATGGAGGTTCCGGAGAGGTGACGGGCGATTTCCCCGACATCATCTCGGCAAAGGAGGCAGCCTGCTGTGCGGCCGGAGAGGTCCAAGGCCCCGAAGGCTCCACCCCTGTACACATAAAGCAGCGTATTGCTAGCTGCTGTTGGGAGTGTGAGACGACATGCTCCCCCCAGCGGCGAACGAGATATGATTGACGTTGCCAATCTGTGGGGGTTACCAGGCACGCCATCAGGATAGCTTCCATATAGTAGCTCTGGGAGACGTAAACTTCAATAGCATCGTTCTTATCGCCAAGCCCCAGCAGAATTGTAGCCGCAGTGTGCACGTCACTAACTTCGAGAAGCTTCTGAGCGAATGCCTGTCCGACCTTGTTGGCTTGTGATTCACCACTCATCTGGCTGAAAGCAAGAAGCATCCAATCTGCTGTCGAGGCTGGGCCTGCGCTAAGCATAGACACCATTTCGTCCGTGTCGGATTCCCCTAGCCACTGGGCGAGTAGAATAGCGCTTGGAGTACCCGGTGTGTGGCGGCTAACTAGGACAGGAGTTAGTAGAGATAGCCAGACAGGGATAACAAAACATTTCGTACGCTCGTCGTTAATTAATCCATCAATATCATCTTCCCAACCAAAGACCACGCTCAGCATTTGACGACGGAGATCGTCTGGCGTCAGATGCGACTCATCCAGGGGTTGTTGACAGCTGTATGGCACATCGTTGAGTCGTTCACGTGTGAAAGGAAACAGATCCATGGGCTTATCGGCTGGGCTGGGATGGACCTCGTTTCGCAAACGAGAGCCGGCACGGGAGCTTTTCATAGATGACATGGATACGGAAGAAGCATAGGCATAAGATGCGCCAGATGCCTGAGGGGTGTCTCTACCACTAGCGGAGGTGAGCGAAAAAGATGTAGCGGTGTGACCCGATCTACTTGGGGATGAAAATGGGGCCATCCGGTACTTCCCCGAGGATGCCTTTGAACTCACGGTGTCTGCGTGACTTCGAGAGGAGACTGGGCTAGTTAGCTCGGCACGCTGTTGACGTACAGCCTCGATTCCACTCGGATCAAACGGAACTCGTCTTGTGCCGTACATGGCGCCAGATTCCTTCATCTCCGGTGGGTCCTGTAACATGCGTGCTGACGCACCCCGGGCTCTAGTTTCCTCTGATGTTGGTAAGGCTCCGCCCGGAAGATGTTGTACATTAGCGACTAATCCCGGATTCTCAAGATCATACTGCTGCACAGTGTGGTGAGGCCCTAGTGTAAACAATGTGGCTGTTGGCCCGTAATTGGCGAACCCACGAGGATTATCAATCGTCGGAACTGGCTCCGAAGTGACGTGTTTAGTGCGGACATCCCAGGCCCATGTCTCCCTAGCAGCAGTTAGTGATTGGCACCACAAAGTGGGCAGTACCAAGATTATAGGGTTATCTTACCCATCGAGATACTGAACGATTCTTCCATTCTTCGACCAGGCCATCCACTTAGGCTCAGAGGATGAAGACGTATCTGACCTCTTCAGAACCCTGATTACCCGTGGCGCATCTTTACCAGCTGGCTTAGCCACACTCCACACCCTCAGATCACCATTTGCGGAGAGGGTAGCAAGCATGTCCGACTTTTGCTTTGACGATGATGCATGCCATGCCAGTGAGACAATCCGGGATGGCCCGCGGGAGGTGCTCATTGTATGCAATATGGTAAACGTCGGGTGAAGAGTGGTTATTAGAATTGATCCATTCTGGTAGCTAATTGCTTGTCAGTATCGTGTTGGCGTAACTCTTCAATACCTTAACTGGTCAGAATGAGGAAATAGATGCATACCCAATGGCGTAAGTTCGACAATCTGATGACGGCGCCAAAGCCGTGATAGGGTCGAAGATGGTCCGACAAGAGATATGCTCCGATGTCGATGGTTCAAACAAGATCACGTCTCCCTTTACACTTCCTACAGTCACATCAGCCCCGGCACTAAGCGTCACATGGAGCTAAGATAGAAGTACCAAACGCCACGTTGCCATTGCGCATCCAAGCGGCCACTTTGAGCTCCTCGAAGGATGCGAACCTTGCGATCACTGACCCCGTAAATAAATCCCAGACAATTGCCGCCTGACTAACATCATAGCTCACGACCAGTCTCCCTGCGCCGCGCTCACTGACATTGTCTACCGATATAAATCCAATATCGTCGGTATGGCTTTCGAAGCGTCGCTCGACGGCCAAAGTATCGTGATGGAGGCATACAATGGCTGAGCCTTCAGCATACAGGAATAGGGAGGCCGTCGAGGCGCACGGCACGAAAGTAAAATCAGGCGTTACAGCTTCCGACGTAATCGGCGGCGCCAATGCCTTCATCCTCGTGGGTCGTGAATCCGGAACCGTGGCTGCGCTCCATGACAATTCGACCATGCTTCTGGTTGCACGGGCACCGAGTGTATTTGATCCTGAAGATATTCAATGGGTTCAGTAATCCCGTTTCACGATTGAAATCCCACCCGATCCCGAATAGCACTGGGTGTTCCAGCATGCAGAACAATTACCTCGTCACCTGTTCGCTATGGCTTTGCGATAACTGTCTTCACAGCTGCAAGTGCCTAGAGTGAGGACAGCACACAGTCCACCGGGGCGTTGACGAGCGTCCGACTGAATACATAAGCGGAGTAGGGATAGAACTGTGTAAAAGAAGCCAGAAGGCCGGAGAGGACCCGAGCAGCGGTCAGTGATGACGGAGGGGGTGCAGGATTAAGAATCTGGTACCGGTACGGTACTCTGAAAATTTTCTAAATTGGGGCAACAAGCGAATGCACCAATATGCAGGTGGAAAAAACAACGGAGATGCAGCAGATGTACCAGGGAACCCTCGCGCTAACCAGAAATCCACGTTGGGGGCATATGAGAGGGAGGGGAAAGATTAAGAAAAGAACTAGAGCGGAGGCGGGGAGGGGGTATGAATAGGGAGACGATCGGAGGGACAGGGGGGATATTAATTCTTGGTAACAGATACTGCTTCCAAGACGCACATTTCTCGAGCTCCTATGATTTCCCCTGATAGCGCCAGCCTCTCTCTCAAGTTCATGGCGATCGTACCCCGTGCAGACCACCCACAGACTCTGACAACATGAGACGTCTTGCGAGACGACGGCCACGGACGATCAAAATCTCCAGCCATCAAGCAATTGGAGCTCGCGCCAAGGTGGATTGACGGGCGCTTCCAGTAACCAGGATGCCAGCCAACGAGCAGGGGTGAACAGTCCAGAGATCTGATTAGTAGGAGAAGACCGATAGGACCCATCGATGGCTCGGCCGCACGCGCACCAACGAGCGTGCAGGGACGCAACCTGATAATGGCATTGGCCGACGTTTGGCAGCCCATCTCCCCATACATAGCCGGGAGCTCTAGATAAAAGTTCCCCCCGATCGAGACTAGGTTAATTAGTACCTCATTCGAGCACCGGTCAGTGATCACGATCAAGTCCAATCCCACCGCATGATCCGAGGACATCGACACTGCGCAAGGTTTGGGGCTAATTGAGACGGCAGCGAGGGTGCGGCCAATTGACGGTACTGGGATGCACTGGGCGGGAAATGAAGTCAGACGAGAAGCGTTAGTGGTACCACTTTGGTCAATCATTAGTATGGGTCATATTCATAAATAGATAAGAGGCAACTGCATGAGAGTTAGTGCTAACAGTTTAGTTGCGTAGTACGAAGAGTAGGTTGAGTAGTAGTAGCAGTACTAGTTGATGAAGGTATGGGACAAAAGCGGGGGTTGAAGGGTAGAGAAGAAACAGTGGTAGTGATGGACACTGGTAGTATTTTGCTGCAGCGGCGGCAAGGTAAGGTGATCCCAGGTGATGCAGCGGCCCTGATTGGCCTCCAACCTGCAGGCGGGCGTTTCTTCACACTGCAGCCCTCGTCACCTCCGCCCACCAATCACCGTCCGCAACTCCACCTCAAGTGACCTCCTCGGCGCGTAAATCCGTCGTGTCCAGGACGATAAATCATCCTCACTGGATTGTTGCCTGTCGCTCCATTTCTCTCGAAGGATTGGTGGGATTGGTGCTAATTTACTTCTTCCAACGGGCAATCGCGGGAACACCAAATCATATCTTCTAAAAAGCCTACACAATCTCCACTGCCAATACTATCACCGGTACATGGCTGTGATATTCGACACAGAGCCTCGTGGAGGCACCGGAGAAGTGCACCTTTTCGGTTTTATAAAGCCCTGGGCGGGAAAAGAAAAGATGGAGATCAGTGCCACAGATCTGCCTCTTACATTTCTTCTAGTGCGGTTGATTGGTTGACCTGCTGCATCTTGGCACAATGACACTCAGATCAGTTTCAAAACAACCGATAGCTTCTGAACTTCAACATAGCAACCCTCCCAGACATTAATTTGGTGCCAAGGCCAGGGAGACCTTATCTGCCGATACACCATCACCGTGACTGTGATACAACTAGGCATTAAAGCCGACCATGTAGGACATGCCCTAATTCAGGCGGCTGCTGTCGCACTGTTCCGCGTCGATCGAACATATAACTCAAACAATAGCGACAATGATTTGGAAAATAGAAAGTCAAAAGACCGAGGATATACGGACAGTGGGCTAATACCGGTATGGCGCATGCTAGATAGTCGTTACCCCTCGAGGTGATCTGATCTCGGATGCAATGTGATGTGATCAACAAACGGCATTGTGATGGCGGAATACTTCGCTTCGCTCCTGCGGGTAACAATCACGATTCCAAAAACCAAGGACCGCTTCGATGGTGAGAAAGGATCATTGTACAATGTGATATGGCACAGAGATTGATGATCTGTATCCACTGCCATTGAGGTAACCGAACCATAGGAGCTTCTGGTTCTCTCCTCTTGAACCTTCCGACGAAAGTCAAATTAATCACTTTCACGAACACGGAATAGTGTGACCCTGGAAACAACCCTAATAAATTGAGTCTTGCGAAGCTCCGTTCGAGTAACAGGGGTCTGGACCTTGACCGCCATCTCAAGTGCACCTCAAGAGCACGTTCGCGATAACATTGCAAAAGTACGGGAAGATTTTAGAGTGAGCCGGCTGGTGCTGTAGTTTTCTTGGCCGGTGGACCTTCCCCGGATTGCCTTATTCTAGATATATGCGTGGTCCATTACTCACAGCCTCACATGGCTACCATAATGGCTGCTACGTGATAGGTGGAGAGCCAGACCATAGACCAACCTTCTTTCTGGATAGTAATGTTCAGCATTGTATTTCCAATGTCTGAATTATACTAAAGGGTTCGACTTACATAATTATACTCAGGTAAGGGCTGTTGTGGAAACGCAGTTGCACTTGGAAGCCGGACAGCTGTGCGACGGCCCTGATGAGTTACTGTTCACCATGCAACAGCTCACAGCTTCAAGGGTTACCCGGTTTGGCTGACACTTTGCTCTCTGTTGAAACTGCGCTAATCATAGACAAATCGTATAAGCCCACGGCAGTTCAAGTCACCCTCAAGCCGTTGCACCATTTTACTAGCTGTAGTTCGAATACACGATATTTTCACACCAGGGCCGATTTGTAAGCCTTGTTCTATCTATCATCCCATAGTATGATCCTCAGCCACTGCATTTGTTACAATGGCCATGGATACATGCTCAATCGGAACTAGCGTAAGACATGCCGTATACTGCCTTGGTGGGAATAAAGGAAAGGAAAGTGTGCACAATCACAATGCTTCTTTTTTAAAACTTCGGAGTCTAGCCTGGTGAGACTTCACAAATGTCAATTTTTGTTGGCCTTCACAGCTGTAATGGCGCCTCGACCTAGTTGGCAATTGAGCAATCGCCGCTTTTATGGTATGGAATTGGGCTCAATAACACAACCGGTGAACGTAAATATAAAGGGATGGGCTGTGTCAGTCCAATGTTCTCAATAGCATCTATTTTTATTGTTAAAGTATACCTATTTCTCTATAAGAATCATATAAAAGGCGCCATTCGCCATTGACTCTAAGGCAACTTGACAGTTTAAACTTGGCCCTCATTCGTTGACTGCCAATCACGAGAGCAGCCACAATACTAGCCAAATGGGAGTGCCCTGTTATACTTCTACAAGTATATGCCTAAGAAGTTCGTATCTTCCATAAAGACCTTGGAGTTGCGATCTTCGATGGGTTCACGCCTCTTCAGCCTTTTCCCTTCCACCTTGAACAACAGTGAAAACTCCCGTATTTCTTTCACAGTTGGTACAACCCTTCCGAAAAGATTGGACTTGAATATATCGCCACATACCACATAACACTCCAAGACTTCCTGTCTTGGCTGCTGTACTTTTGGGGACATGTGTGTCAACTATTGAGAGTCAATAGAGCTCAATACATATAGAAATGAAAATTGGAATGGATTCAGATTCATTGTCATTGCTGTTGTAGTATCTAAAGGGAAAGAAATTAAGGGACATGATGGATACGGTCAAGAATAGTTCCAAAGAAGTCAGCCGCTCTGCAGTATCCTTTCATAGAGCCTCTCCATGGCCCCTCGATCATTCGCCAGGGACTACTAGGACCAATGGGTAACCAAACTAAAAGCAATGACTTTTCAAGTGCTCTCATACGTCCTGCGCTGTTGACAAATAAAACCCGGGTGAGCCCCAGGGTGAGCGGGCCATCCTGCGAGAATGTACTGTTCTACGATAAGGCAACCTTGAGCTGAAGATTGCGCCGGCTGTGGCGAGGATATTATTGCCCGGATAGCATTGCATGATAAGGTATATTTCTAGTGTGGTCAGGATGAAGGGAAGGGTGTGCCAGTCAGAAGCTGTATATCCTAGTGGATCACCACCTATGCAAAAGCCAAGATCACTGGAAATTCATCAAATATTGTCGTATCTCGAATCAAAATATATGCATTACGGACGCTTGATGCACATCAATATGTGGCAGAATAGAAATAGGCATGGGAAAAGAAGCATCGCAGAATGACAGCAATATCCAGGATATATGCGTGGCGCAGGCCTTGCCGCTTCCACCACCGGGCCAGGATTAAAGTTTCATCACTAGGAGAAAACAAGACCCTTATTTATATTACCAAATGTTGCAAAGTATAAATCGGAAAAGTAACTGGTGCGTGACACCCACGGCCGTTGATCGGACGCCTTTGGCAGCTCCTTTGCTCCTCGCTTGACGTAAGTGGATGTGAGATCCAGCATAGGCTTCTTGGCTAGCTGACCTTGATTCCCAAGAGTAGGAATAGCAGTTGAATAGCCCTTGCTTTCCATGTGCTTTAGGATCCTACCAACGAGCTGCATGGCGATGTCTGCCCCAAGCGTCCATGAAGCGTTCACGAAACCTACCACCAGTGCTGCGTTCGGGAGATCCTGGAGCATAAGGCCATTCCACGTGTACTTTGTGGAAGTGTCCAGTTTCTCTCCTTGGATGTATATAGGGATGCCACCGAAGAATTGCATTCGTAAACCAGTCGCCGTGACGATGACATCGGCGTCGAGTCGTTTTCCGGATGTCAACTGAATCCCACCTCCATCGACCATCTCAATCACCCCCGTCTCAACCTTCGCTTTCGTGGATCTTAAGGCATTGAAAAAGTCCCCGTCGGGACAGGCACACAGTCTTTGATCCCAGGGGTTGTAGCGAGGTACGAAATGGGGATCGAAAGGGACACCAAGGGGCAGTTGCGCCTTCATGCCCTTTTGAAGCATGGATCTCGCAGCATTTGGGAAAGCATGACAAAAGCGATAGAATATCTGGGGGACTACCAGATACCACAGCCGACGGACATAGTACAGCACTGACTTTGGTAATATCCTGGCCCAAATGGTGTTGAAACGATCATTAGGGACGGAGGCAAGATAGGTAGGACTGCGCTGCAACATCGTTACGGATTCGGAGTCCTCTGCGAGTGACGGTATAAGTGTCACTGCGGTCGCACCACTGCCGATGACTATAATCCTTTTGCCTAGGGCATCGAATTTGTCGGGCCAGAACTGGGGGTGGATCACTTCGCCTTGGAAGTTCTGCAGCCCCGGAATTGTGGCTTCCAAGGGGTTGTGGTAATCGTAGTAGCCGGTCGCAATTATTATAAAACGAGCGCTTAGTGTTTCTGAAGTCCCCCCGCTTTCTACATCGAGGTTCCACTCATGACCGTCCCATCTGGCTGCATGTACTCGATGGTTGAGGCGGATATGCTGCTTGATGCCATACGCAATAGCCGCATCCTCTAGGTACCTCAAGATGTCCGCCCCTTCTGCGATGGGGTTGGATTGATTCCATGGGAACCACTTGAAGCCAAAGGTGTACAGGTCCGAGTCTGATCGAATGCCAGGATAGCGGACAAGATCCCACGTGCCCCCGATGTTGTTCCGGGCCTCCAGGATGGCGAAGCGGTAGTTAGGGAAGTCCGTCTGGAGACGATAGGCGGCATTAATGCCAGAGATCCCGGCTCCGACAATGAGGACATCAAACGAAGTTGATAACATCTTGAAGAAACGTTGGTGTTTAAGCCGAATGATTGTAGAATGTGGGTAAATTTCATACGATAGAGTAGGAATATATAGACATGCGGGGACCAGCAAGGAACTACAGTCAGGGAGGTAAAAATATACCCCCCTTGCCTGGCCCATTTTCCATTCCGAGGCCAATTACAAAATCTTCGGTTAACCCCATGATGGTCACGCATAATGAATTCTGTCCTCCTCACACACACTCTCCCTCTCTCGTTATTGGCGTGGTGCCGTTGAGATGGCTCCGTGATTCCCCAGAGTGGTAAAAACCCTCCGCCTGGGCTCCACAGCCACAAGCGAAACGTCGAGATTTAACTTCCTAGGTGTTGATAAATAAGCAAAACCTTGCGAAGGTTTACCCTAAGTTTGGCTCAGTAGTTCCAGGTTTCTTTGGGAGAAAGGTTGGAGTAGTGAGCCCTGCAAGAGCTATAAAAAGGCCAACAGCGACCGTCACCATCGCTCTGCATCACAGGAACCAACGCTATCGCCGATCAAATCATGAATATGTCTGCCAATCATCTACTACAGCTTTGCTTGGACAAGGCTCAAGCCCTTTTTTCCCAACTGCCGCCCAATGCTCAGGACTATCTGTCCCGTCCATTTGTACACAAGGCGATCGCATTTCTGACTGCTATTCAGTCGCTGAGGGTTGTCAACAGATATCTATCCCAAAGGGAGCAGAACAACTGGGTCCACGCGCGCCCTTGGAATGCGTCTAAGGAGTTGGTACTGCTTACAGGAGGAAGCAGTGGAATCGGAAAGCAGATCATGCAGGACTTGTCCAAGCTTAAAGTTAAGATTATCATTTTTGATATTCAGGAGCCCAAGTTCCCCTTGCGTGAGTGATCGTCAGCCACGGGTATCCCCGAGCACTCGCTAACATACAGGGTAGCATCGAATGTGTTTTTCTACAAGGTCGATCTTACATCCTCTGCCGCAATCAAAGAGACGGCTACAGCGGTCCGAAGGGATCATGGTCATCCGACAATTCTGATCAACAACGCCGGTGTTGGCTTCGGGGGAACCGTCCTGGACGAACCGGAAGAAAAGATACGCCTGACCGTTGAGGTCAACGCTCTATCACATTTCTGGACTGTGAAGGAATTCTTGCCTAGTATGATCAAGAATGACCATGGTCATATCGTGAACATCGCCAGCTTGGCCAGCTTTATAGCCCTGGGAGAAATGGCCGACTACGCTTGTTCGAAAGCTGGGGCGCTTGCATTCCACGAAAGTTTGACCCAGGAGATCAAGCACTGGTATGGTTCAAGAAGGGTGCGCACAAGGTATTTTCCTACCCCCAGTATATCTGATGCAAAGCAGCCAGTCTCTAATAAGGGCCACGTAGTATCATCCACCCGTTATGGGTTCAGACACCCATGATCAGTGACCTCACCCAACACCGCTCACAGTTTGGACAGCCCATTATGACACCTGAGAAGGTCTCCCAAGCCGTGGTGAAGCAGCTTGTAAACGGAAATGGGGGCCAGGTCGTTCTTCCCTCGTCTCACAGCTTTGCTTCCATGCTCCGCGGGCTTCCGAACTGGATTCAGGAACGCTTGCGAGATAATGCCTCTCAAAGTTTCGTCAATTTGCGGCGGCTGGAGCAGAAGCTGGCGGACTCGTAAAGTTGGCAAGGTGCCATGAGTTGATTGGACTTGGAGATGTGTTTCACCGGTTGTTCATGATGTCGATGTTACTAGTACTAGTAGATACTACTAGTAGCAGGAACCCATACATGGGGGCAAGTAAATCAATGCTCTGATTTTATTGGCGGTCTCCGCATTACGCTATCCCATAAATCGAAAAAACCCTCCGCCAGTGGGGATGATCGTCTGTCGCCACTTCATAGACCCATATGTGTCGCCATTGTCAGGAGTCAGGACTCAGACTAAGAAAGAGTGGAGACTGCCAAGCCTTTCCGTGTCTTCCTCGTATCCTTTTGGATCACGGACCAGCCCTCGGCAAGTCGGTCCCTTAAATGAGAACTAGACTCCCCTCCCTCGCTCCACTCCGCCCTTACAGAGCCCAATAGTGATCGGGAAGGATTCTCACGATGCAGAAAAAAGCTTGCGATCAATGTTACAATAGAAAGAAAAGATGTTTGATACACCCGGCTTCCTCCATATGCGTCCGATGTGAGAAATCATCTCTTGCCTGCACCGTCTCCCGGCAGCAACTACGTGGAGGGCGCCCGCCGAAACGAGGGCTTCCTGGGGTAGCGAAAGAGTCGCTCGCCGTATGGGACTATGCCCTATCGGAGGGTAGCCCACAGGAGGAAGCTCGGGAGGAACTCCAGCTCGTAATCAAGTCGAGCTCAGCCAAGGAGCCAGGCGAGCGGTCTCCGGGCTCCACTGAGTCGGGCTTCCCTCAGCACCTAGAGGTTGTGGACTTCTATCTTCTACATGATGTCTATATGTTTGGATTCACGTTTGCAGAGGACTTCCAACGAGCTCTGGAATACTGCCACCGTCATTCCCCGGACCTGTTGGATGAAATCTTCACTGCTATCACTAGTGTTCTCTCGTGGGCCCGTTTTGGCTTGCTCACCGCCGATCAAGTTGATGTGAGAAGCGGTGCGGCTTCCATAGGGAAGCTCAGAAACGCCGTCATTGCGTAGACTCATGACGCACTCGCTGTTCTCATGTTGGGGCAGGCATTAGCTGCGTTTGATTCCCTGGTCACATCCACAGGCGCAATCTCAATTCTCCGATGCTCTTTGTCCCTTGTGCACCCATGGTATCCCGATATTGCTGGCAACCGATTTCTAGAAACCATCGCGATCGCACCCATCTTGTGGGACACCGTATGGTGCTTGCTGCATCGTCAGGTCCCGGTGATCCGACCGCTGTTCAACCGTGCCGGAATCATTGACCGAGTGGCAGGTCTCTGTACATCGCTTCTGCCGATACTGTATGATCTGTGTGTCGTTAGCAAGCGCCTGACAAACGAATCTGCCCAAGAAACGACGCTTGAAGAGGTTGAACACCAGATCCAGAGCTGGTCCCCCGATAACACTGGTCTCTGTTTGGACGCGTACAGTGACCTGGAGATCTTATCAATGCGCACACAGGCAATGATGTATCGAACCGCTGGTCTCCTTCTCATCCATCGACTCCGGCATTCACTGACCGTTGAGGATGCGGCTGCAACTGCCCTTGCCAGTGATATTCTTGAAGCTAGAAGTCGATTCTTTGCGGATGCTGGAACCAGTGCTAAGTTGCAAAATACCTCTTTTCCACTGTTCCTTGCCCTTTTAGAAATTCCTATCTCGCTAGAAGGCTTCTGGGAGAGCTCGACGTGGCTGCGTACTCGACCAGCCTGTGTGGATCGTTTGTTTGTCTTGAACCGTTACTACTGGGCTCAACGGCACTCAGGATTCAATGGTTCACTCTTTGAGCTGATAGAAAGCGGACCTGAATTTGTTCCAATTCCATGAAGCCCCGCCGTCGTGATCTGTGCCAAACCATGATTCCGTCTTGTGCCCTACCAATTGGCTCGAGGCATCCAGACCCAAACATCTCCGCTCACATCTCCCTTCGTGCCTTGTACAAAACAAACATATCTAGTTTTCTCAGAACCAGATCGTTTCGACAGTAGCTCACCTACCACCTCGATGGTCAACAGGCACAGGGACACTATATGCCTTTCTAAGGCCATTATCACCACGGGAGCATTACGTACGCACGCCATATACCACGTATCGTGTGGCGTGGCAGTCCTTCGAGTTTGGCCTTCATTGTCCTTTACGGCGGGTCATAATCTTCTGAAATTCGTGCCTTGAACGTCCTCGAGGGCTCGCCAGTCCCTGTGCCACAGTCGGTCCTGTCTATGAAGGATGTAGCTTAGTATGCTTAAAGCACCACAAGATAACGTTTAAGCTTGTGAAAAAGGCTTGAAGAGCTTCTACATACCACCAGAGGGCCTAAAGGAAATGATCAAGCAGCACTGCGTATTTAGCAGGCCAACCAACGATGCAGGGGCTAAGCTCATCTAGGAGCCATTATGGCCGTTGAACGGGCACCCTCTTCTAGATACCTGCAAGTATGCGAATACGAAAGACTTGGCGCCACAGCTCTCTGGACCAACCGGCCGTTTCAAAAAGATGTTGGCACGTGGCAGATAAGGTACAAAGATACTAGTATTACATACATCATTTGAAGTTCACATCAAACGACCTTACTGCCAGTGGTGAGTCGTGACTTGATGCAGGTCTGTAATCCACTAGTAAATTTACACACTGTAAATTACCGTCAGTATCTGTAAGGGCTTATTCAGTGTACAATTAACTTATCAGTGTCCCCGCGGAGCTTAGGATTATATTGATAATTGTAGCTTTAGAGAAGATTGTAATCCCCCGTTAGTTACAAGCCGAATTCGTCCTTACAACTAGTACGTAGTAGGGAAAGTCACATGACCGGTTGTGCGGCAACATGAGCCGCCGTCACTGGCGTGTTTCTCACATTCTCAACTCTTTTATATTGCTCATCCCTCATTCGTCCGACTAGGACCTAATCTCCAATAACGGTAGCGACGATGGAGAATCAAAAGTCCCTTCCCATTGATAGAGCCGACGCTGAAACATGGAATCGTGATCTGATGGAAGCCTTTCGCCAGGCGCTGGAGAAGAACCCCGCGGCAGACCTTCTATCTGTTGTCGGGGAGAGATATGTTGCTGCGCATCGTGTTGGTCAATACGCGGGACTCTCTGAGGCCAGTCGGCTTAACTTCAAAACCGTTTATCGTCTTCAAGATAAGGTACTTTCCCGGCCCGAAATCAACTTGCGCGATACTTTTCCCGCGGACTACGATCGCCGGTACAGATGGGCCAAGCCGAAGGAAGAAGACAAGTCCAAATCCCTAGAAAGTTCCCCACCAACACAGCAGCCAGAACAGCCGCGCGACTGGCTTCGCGAAAGGCTTGAAGTTGTAAACACCGCTAGCATTATCTACCCACTATCTGCCCAAGCGTCGGCGCTCTTCAATCAACATGTTGCAACGGATGGTTGTACTGAAAAAGCATCCCTTCCAGTAGCTCTGAAAGACCTGATCTTGAAGTCCGACAGACTTTTCGAACTAAGTATTAGAACCGGTGCTGTTGTTAGGTGCAGTGACGACCTTGTTATCAAGATCTTTCCCAGTAGTCGAGATCTTACTGAATACCACAATCTTCAGTATCTCGCTGAAAATGCCCCCGAATTACCAATTCCTAAGCCTCATGGTCTCATTATGCTTGGTAGTATCGGTGCCATGTTTATGTCATATGTTCCGGGGATCGCCTTGCACCAGGTATGGTCGCGCTTATCCCATGAAGGGAAGCTATCCATACAGAAACAGCTGCACGATATATTCTCTCGCCTCAGAAGCCTACACCAGGAAGACGGAACTGAACTTGGGGGCGTACGCGGGGAAGGAGTCAAAGACTACCGTATTATGGAAACCGCCGCGTACAAAGGCATAACCACAGCCAGGGGTTTTGACGAGCTGCAGTTCTCGGCAAAGCATCGTGCCAGTCCTTCCTATGTCAAGTTACTTAGGTCTTTCTTGGATGAAGACAACAAATCCCTACAAGGGTCCGTGTTTACCCACGGCGATTTGAAAAAGTCCAACATCATGGTGCAAGAAGGTTCAGGAAATGCCGATTTGTATGAGGTCACCGGGGTTATTGACTGGGAGGACAGCGGTTTCTATCCTGAGTACTACGAGTCCACCACGTTGTCTAATGCACAAAGCATCATGTCTGATGACGATTGGTACCTCTACGCACCACACTGCATCTCCCCCTTACGGTTTCCTGTACGCTGGCTAGTTGACCGACTCTGGGGCAATCTTTTATGGAGCTGGAGGACTGACATAGTGCGATGAAATTGCGGAACGCCTGCCTCAATTGACCAAAATACAGAGCCTTTAACAAGATATACGATAGCCATTTAAACAACCTCGCGAAAGTTCTTCCCACTTAATCTCCGACTTTCAGTAACAATAGTTGTTCTATCCCAAACTTTACGGCCACGACTCGCGTTTCGCAGCGACCGCCTCCTTGTTGCTAACATAGCCAGCATCCTTTGCATCGATAATCAATACATCCTCAAGCTTGTCCAAGATATCGAGGACATAATCCTGGCAGCTCCAATCTGCCAAGTCGTTGCGGATGGGGGTAGCGTATGCAATGTTTTTGAGGATCTCGATTTTGGTCGCATCAATTTGACAAAGAGGCAGAAGCTCGATAAGAGAATTCGAAATACGTGCGTCGGACGGCGTCCTGATATCGGGGAAATACTGCTGACGCGCACCGAGAACATGAATGATTGTCTTATCGGCGTCATTGTTGGCTTCAATGTAGAGGCTCCAGTGCATAATGCCAGGGTTGTCGTAGATAGCCACTGAAAGAGGAATTGTGGGCGCCATATTATCTCGATTTCGAAGACTGGTTCAGGAATGTAGAAAGCCAAGGCACGAAAACTAGCAAGGGTAGTTAGGGTTGGAACGATTTTTTCTTATGTGACAAATGATAGAAAAGGGCTCTAACGGGAGGGCTTGCTTTGATGTAGGTTGGAATATCTCGCTGTTCATACTGAAAGAAAAGAAGGTTGGGACAGCGCGAAGGCCGAATTTATACTTAGACCGCATGGCTATCTCCTTCCTATCGCCAGCTCAGAATAACTCGAGGCTGCGGGCTTGTGGCTGTGGAGCGCCGTCGGAAGCTCACGAGTAGCTCTCACTAGCAGCTAGTCAGGGTATTACGTTGAGCGAAACGCTTCCTAGGTTGGCGCCTGCGCCATGTTTGCGAAACCCCAATAGGGAGATGCCCCAGGATATTGGTAACCAGTGGATGTGCTCTAAATAAGCGACGGTCCGAACCTGCTGTTTAACGACAAATATAACTGTTTCTCCAGGCGCCCCTTGGTGGTGTAGGCTAGTTTCGAGATAGCCCACCGGCATGCAAGGCTGAAACCATGAGGGGCGCTTAGAGGGCCAGACCAATAGCTCAGGGAACCGAACTGGACTGGGTCCTCTATTGCCCCCCAGATGTACTTTTAGTCGGAGTCCACTGATTGGACATGAAGCAAGGTGTCTATTTTCGTCGAAACCCAGCTAGTCCTACGCAACGGATCCAAAATTTAAGGAATTACTAACATAGGCCACCATCGAGAACCCGATTATGATAGGGCAGGATCAACAAGAGGATACCATGATGCTAGAGTTATCAAGAGTGAGTATCAGACTACAATCAGGGCGTCGTAATATTAAAATAGAATATGTACACAGTTGGTATTCCCCAAATACTAGTCGAAGTGAGTCAAGACCCGACTACTTGCAATTTAATCAATACCCGCAGATATTGCTTTCTGTTCCTTGAAGCACGTTCTGTCGTCCTCTCGCATTGCCTGTGTATCGCAATCTTCTGTTAAGATTGATATTACATAGTAAGATAATGACCAAGTTGGATTATTATTTTAACATCACGATTAAAGAATTCGGAGTATCTCCTGTTAGTAGAATATCTTGAGTCCAAGATAAGAGCCTTGTATCAACTGATATTTTTGGGCGGAGTGGCATTGAGCAGGACATCTTCACTCTTCACTGAAGAAGAAATCCCCTCCCACTTCTCAGCCAACAACCCTCCGGCAAAAGGTTCGGCTCAGGAGATGGGTCACGACGACGTTGCAGTGAGTGACAACAGTGAACAGGGAGAGTCAACTATCCATGGCTCTACAGGTCCAACCCTGCCAGTATCATCCTCCAATCTTGCCCTCATCGACCTTTACCCTCCTATGATACTCAGTAATTTCACATACCTGCAAGTACGCATTGCCTCGACGTCCGACAACTTGATACAACACAAAGTGAACCAATACATCTTCCTAAAACAGGTCGTCCAGCGGGCCTTCGACTTTATCGAGAGAGACTGGAATAGACTCAGGAGTACCGTTGGATTGTCCTACTTTCCGGATATTGAGACTCTGATCATCAAAGCTCCTTCGAATGAGACTGAGAAGGCCAACGGCTAGTAACAAGGAAGGTGACTCGACTTGCATAAATGATCTCCTTAAACCTGGGGGATGGCCGTTGCTAGTCCTTTAAGCCGGGCTATCCGAGTCAATGCCCCGCCTACGAGCGGACGCTGCGTGATAGATCTCGAACTCCAGTAGTCAAATACATATCGTACCGCTGATCAAGATCTTAAAGACTACCCGGATTGTTGAACTCAAAAAATATGTTCCAATGTATATCACAGGGCCCCCAACTCGCTCGCGGCCTGGACCAGAATACACGCCACGTAAGGTTGCCACGATCAGAGGGTTGATCCTCCAACGGTTCAGGGCGCCCCGTTACTCCTGGAGTTTGAGAAGGTTATTGGACGAGCCCCGAATTCTCCCCTCGAACATGATATGGTGTTTACGCTCACTGAACTTCTAAAATGGGGCCAATACATATTTGTCTAGTCTAGTGGAGAACTGTTGATGGTGTATCGTGGTGACACTTTTCTTGTCTTTCCGTTGTTTGAGGGAGGAGCAGGAGCTTGCTCGGGAACTCTGGCTCATTATGTGAAAGCTTAGAAGCTGAGACTGGTTTACCATAGCTAAAGCACTTCTTGACAGTTCATCGCAGCAGCCTCAGAGGTACCATCATGCAGGTCAGTCCTATTCTCAAGAGATAAGTGATACTCTTTACCATCTTCCTTCGTAAAAATGCCTTCATAGTCCCAACGCACTCCACATCTGAGCAGATCAGCCGTAGAGGTCGGCGGGGTAGTCGTATAGAGGATCATGCATATAATATTTATATTTCTTAGTTACGGAAAGGAAAGAAAGCAGGTAGGCAATGTATCGAAACCGCTTACTCCAGAATATAAAGAGTTTCGAAGGCTAGCAAGGAATTACAATCATTCTTGAGATTGATCTGATCTTTATCTACAAGGCAATGGCATATATGGTGTAAGTCCTCTCATCCTTGGTTTCTAGGTTAAAACTATTTCTCAAAAGTATTCTATTAAGAATGTTGCTCTAACCTCCACTACCCGATTTATCCCTGCTAGCGAGAGAAGATAACACAACCTGATAACCAATCAAGCGTGTATCAGATACGGTATACTCTTTTAAGTAACTAAGCATGGTGCTACTCTACAAGTCTCTAAACCGACCGAAGGTGCTCTAGATTTGATACCATATTAGGGTTTCTCAGGTGATATTGCTGTATTCACTGAGTGGCAACGACTTGATTCCTTAAGTCCCAGGGGCCAAGAACAAGTAACACCGGTTGTATCATATAATCACCCTCATTCCCATTAACTACCCCAGTCATACCAGACCCACACCTGATCGACGTTTTTGAGATAGAGTTCGATCCGGCCCTTGGTAGCGCTGATGTCCACATTAAGAACACAGCCATCCTTCAGGGAGGCATCCAAAACTCCAACTTTAATACCTGATGTAGTAGGTAAGAATATCAAAACAAATTCGCATGGGTTGACCCAACCCTCAAGCTATAAGATTGTTAGCTGGGCTGTCATACTTGGTTGTTTTTAACTTACCTGAAGAGTGCCATGCGCCCAGAGGACGTCCACGGCACGCCCCGCCTTAGATTGTTTAAGATTGGGTACCTTGAACTCGTCCGCATCAGTTTGTTCACCCGTTTGGGTGGCAGTGTAAGGCGATTTCTATTCATTGGCGTCTTCTTGGGTGATGTTGATTCCTGGAGCTATAGAGAATAGTTCTTTAGCAATGACACGCCTGTCTAAAACATATTGAATGTTTTTCATACCGGCAACGGGCGTGTGAGATTCGACTTCGTCCTCAGGGTCCATGGTTTCTGAAATGTCGGTGGCAGAGACGCTTTTTTGATTTCTTAATGAGGTTTCAATTTGGAGTTTTTTGCAAGTGTTGTGTTGAGAGAGGAAGGGGTTCTGATGGAAGATTGCCTGCTTTTATAATGCTTTGCCTCCCCCCCAACAGAATCCTGCATCTTCGAATCGGTACGTAAGAACAATGGAGTTACAATCATGGACCAGAAATGGACCTGCTGCCTGATATGCAAGAACGCTCATTTTGATCACATATTCACTCAAATAGAGGGGTATTATGCAGTGATACCCACATGAGGACTAGGTAGTTTGCTGTGTGGTACAGATAGGAAGAAAACAAGAAACTATATTGTCATGCAATACAATACGATGCCCAATGTGCCTGAACTCGAGGCTACCTCCAGCAGTGTCGAATATATATCTTATAGTAGATCTAACTTCCCTCAATCTTGATCAGCAATTCTCAAGAGTAGGTGTTCAAAGAGAAGATTCGATTAGCTACTATAATGCTATTAGAATACGATGTCTATCAACACGGCCTCCGAGTTGAGCTGCAATCATAGTGGTTGCTGTTTTCGTGACTCATCTTCTAGTAATGTGGGCTTCTCCCGCATGACCAGATCGAGCGCAACGAGACGGAGGTTTAAAAAGTATTTATAGCCAGCCATGAATCTGATCTACAACGATATATAGCTGGTTGGGGAAATAGCGGGAACTCTATGCCAGCGGTGACGTGGTATAAGATGAGATTCTGTTCAATCCCAAGATTCCCAACGCGACTCTAGCTTTTGTCAAGGATCTCGATTCTGATGTGATGACTTGTTGGTGCATGGTCTGGACTCTAGCGAAGCGAGGTCGCTTGATGGGAACGGGGTTAGGGACCCTATGGGCTAGTCGAGAAGTTTTCCACTTGATGTGATGAAGAGGTATTGTTTCCATCTTGTTGATGCTGCACCGACTACCTGACCGGTTTTCTCATTTCTAGAGGGGTTTGGTCGTATTAAATTCTCCTGACATACTGCCAAGATGGCATTTTGCTATTACGAGTATAGACGGATTGACAGATGTAAACATGTTTGAGGATTTGGTTGAATAGCTCCTTCGTCATGGTGGTAGATGGCTAGACCCGCGACAATGTCTAAGGCAATTGCCATGAAACGTCACATCCTGCGTGCTCCTTTCCGCTCTGTTCCATTGAATACAATTTTTGAATCAGACTGCACGCTTAGAAGCTAACCAAAGAAAATGTAAAGGTAATATGCACGAGAGCATCTGCAATGAGGAAACCCATGGGTTCCGCAACTCAGGACACAGAAGGGGTGCTATGGTTGAAGGTTAGCAATAGGCCCGAAAGGTACTAGCCAAACAATGCAAGGTGCGAGGGAACGTACAAAGGGAATGACGGCTTCGACACGATTCCAAGATCAATGATATTGATTTGTCTGCAGTCTTCCAGGATGGTCCGGCAACGGCTCCCATGTGCTAGTTCTGCTCAGTGGGGCTGTCGGAACAACGTCCATGAGCAAACCGATGGATGATGGTTGTGGAAAGAGCTGGCGAGGAATATAGATCACATTCGCCGCCCTCTTCAACATACGACCATGCCTGACATCCCTTGACTCTTTCACAGTACTCTCCGCAGGCTGTGGCGTTGAGCAATCCATACTTGAAGGTGATGGGTGCCCCATTAAATGAAGCAAACTCGTTATACGTCAGTTCCGAGAGACAGTCAGCCGATGCTGTCGCCAGAGTCAAAGAGTAGAAGATGGCTGCTAGGTGTAGAAGCGAAGTTGTGAACAACATTCTCGACACAGATAGTTTTTTGGGGGCTGTATTGGGGGAGTGTAAGAAGAACAAGGAACCGGATTGGGCAGAGGGGCACGAAGACCGTCGACAACTACGTAGGCCCTTGTCAAGTATGTTTTCAGATCCAACCTGCTACCCACTGCTAGCTAGCTAGAGCGTTGGAGAGGTAATCAACCCTTACTACGGCGGAACGAACAGAAATTAGATACTCAAACCAGTTCGCTACCCGCGTGGCTCCGGTGCAGCACCCGCTGGGGTTAAAATGTTTAGATCCATGGGTCTATCTTGTACTATTGGCAGGCACTAAATGCTACCCTGCTACCCTGCTACCCTGCTAGAGTTGAGGTTTCACTTCCATTTACCTCAGCAACTTGACTACGAGAATGGTTCCGGCGCCGGCTGGCTTGGCACCCCCCACATACTCCATATTCCGGTCAACCGTGGGAGATTAAAGTAAGCCTCCTTCCTGTACGAGCCAGCATCTTTTAACTGCTCTTGGTCTCATCACCTAGCTTGGGACTGAACAGGGATTATTAATGGATACTCTCAGCTCGCATTGCCGATAATATTCCGGTCTATTTCCAGATCCATACGAAAAGCAAAAGAAATGGCGACCGATCCATTCGGCCGACTTCCTTGGTTTGTCCTGCAAAAGATCCTATCAAACCTTCCTAATCTACCGGCGCTGCATAGCCTCTGCAAGGCGTCACCGGATATTGCGGGATTTTTACAGCAGAATAATGATCTTTTCGCCCGGATCGTGGATGCTATTATCGACAATCCGGTCCGCGAAAAGGGACTGGCACCACATGTTCAGGATATCATACGGCTCATTATCCTCGTCTGGACTCCAACGCAGGAACCAGATACGGATATTCTTGGCATTCTACATTACGCTCAAGAGCGTCGCCGTGAATGCCCTTCTAAGCTCAAGACAATATCTCCGTTAACACCCTCGGCAATTCTATACCGGCTCCTTCGCCTAACAGCTCGACTGCGATGCCTTATCCACGCATATTTCCATTCTATAATCAAAAAGTGCCTCCAGCTGCAGTTAGAGCATTTACCTCGCAAAACCTTATTTAAATCTACACGCCCGGTAGTTGATCTCAGCCGACGTCCCCAGGGTATTCCATACACCCCTGTTGATCTTGGCCCACCGACATGGGTTGAGGAGCAAAGGCTACTCAGTAGTTTCTTATGTATTGTTCTTTTTTACGAGCTGCGGAAAAAGCATGTTGGATGTTCTCTGGCCATCAAAGACAGTGAGACTATCCGCGCTTTGGTGGACAACAATGTGGAAATGTTTTGGAGGAAAGTCCTTTGGACGCGCTCTGCCGAAGGCCAGGAGGAGCAGATAGCAACTCTTATTCACTGGCTAGATCAACAGGCAGACGGACGTGAAGATATATATTCCTGGTTGCTATCTGCCAAGGCTTCAGAGGATTATGGCCTTTGTTGTGAATGCTATACAACTGTGATAACTGCGCAAATGCACGACGAAGATATCGACGATAATGACCTGAGCTCAAGGCGATCATCTAGGGGTATGCGGTGCTTATGGTCGTGTAAATATGATCCTAGATCACCCCTCAAAGGCCTTAATCTCTCATTTTTTCGTCCATATGGCCTTGTATTCTGGGATGGCGCCAGAATGGACGCCCTGGGCTTTCCAGATAGGGGTGTTACACACCGAATATGGTTCGCTTGGTCCTCTATATTCAACGCAGAGGATTGGGAGGAACTGCTGAGACGGCAGTCCGCTATTGTCGCAGGTGCTCAATTCCAAGACTAGGAAAGCAGATCTTTTGTACATTTACCTTGCTTCCCATGAAAACGTCCAAAGACCATGTCCAAAATACAAATACTTAGACTGCATTCACCGTAATCTACCGCATCGAGTACAAAATGCTGCGCTGAAATTGTTGTCCTTTTTAGCCGCAGGTGGAAGGTTAGTAACAGCTCTATTCTCAACGCAAATTCAATCGAAAATGTAATCCTAGTATTTAGACACAAAAGCAAGCCTCTAGCCTTCTAAGAAACCGGAGATACAGCTACCTCCTGTTTTAATCGTTTTGTTCAACGGGGTCAATCTTGAAGTACAGCATCGCTTCGCCATCCTCTCCAAATACTGTAATTGAGGAAACCGTCAGAAGACCTAGTTGGGCTTTGTGTTGGGTCAGCAGCCAGCCTATGCCGCGACCGTTCGGACAGTAGAGCAGCGCATAGTACTCCTCAGAGCCTGGCCGGAACGTTCTCCCGTTCTCCCGCATTGGCGAATACTTATCTCATTCGTTGAAGTTAGCGGCCTCACCAAGGGCTTGCCGCATGGTACTCAACGATTGTTTGTTGATGATTATACTTTGAAAAATATGTCGTAGACTCCAAGAGCACCTTTGGTATATCTCTCCCAGAGGAGAAATGTCACATCGGACCACTGCCTTAGGGGGACGATATCTTCCATGGGTGTTTCTTTTCTCTTCGCATGCTCCGGGCTGATAACGTTGTCCACCACGATCAGTCCAGCATCTTCATTGAACAGACTCTTATATTCCGCTCCAGATACCTAAAGCCAGTCAGTAGGTGATAACGATAATCAAGAATCACAAGACCGCCTACCTCGTATTCTTTACCCTCAACGGTGACAGGTACTGATTGGTCAATTATTATCATCTCGTTTTGGTCTCCAGTACCCAAGCCCACCCCTAAGCCGGGGAATAAACCCATGCCCCCACTGCCCTCGTTTCCCCCGATCCCAACCGCATCATGCTTTAAACTACTCGATCTGTTCTCAATCGACTGTCCCCCCAGCCGGTTCCTTCCAACAACCACTTTCAGTAGCCATGCCCCGTCCCCAACCTGTACCGATACCAATAGTCCCGGGTGCGGACATTGCTGTACCTCGAACTGTGGTAGCAGTTCCAGCGATGAGTGCACTACACAAACAGCCACCAACTACTGGGTCACTTGCTCTGGCACCAGCTGTTCCACCACAAGAACGGATACTTTTGCTGGATGTTCAGTAACTAATTCAGCCACTACAACGGGCAAGTATTGCCCGACAGGTGTCAAGATTGATCCCAATGACGACCAGGGGGCGAATGAATATCCCCCCCCCGAACGACCTCTACCATCACCACCAGTATCCCAGAGATCGCCATCGTCGGGGGCGGACCATATACGGTAACAGGGGGGGGCATCAACGTCAATGGCACGAGTATCCGCGTGCCGAATGTGGGCGGCAGCGAACAGGTCAGTACGATAATAGACAATGTGCCCATGGTCATCATCCCAAGCTATTCAGGAACGGTGGTCGTGCCGGTGTTCCCAGCGGCCAAGCCGACTTCCGACTCAAACCCAGACTCCACTACCTCCTCGACGACCACGTCTACCACGTCTACTACCAGCTCAGCAGAGCCAGCACCTACCTCTGCGGATGGTTGTGACTTGATGAGGAAACAAGGTGTATGCTGGAACAAATGTGATCCCATCACTGGCAAGGCCGTGGGTGGTGGGTGGACAAAAGGTGATCCATGGTGCTGGCTTGAACATAAGGGTGTAGGTGCCTTTTGCAACCATCAGACAGACTGTCCAACCACATTCGAATGTCAACCAAGTAGTTGGGCTCGAGGTGGATGTGGAAAGTCAGAACCAGATTCTGGCGGTTGCGCCATAATGGATGGTATACAAGGAGTATGTTGGAGCAAATGTAATCCAAAAACCGCGAAACCCGTCAAGGAAGAGTGGACCTCGGGCGATCCATGGTGCTGGCTTAAGACTGACAAGGCAGGTGCCTTTTGTAATGGCGATAAAGATTGCCCAGCAGATCTTGAGTGTCAGCCAAGTAGCTGGGCCAAGGGAGGATGTTCAGCAAATACACCAGTTGGTTGATAATGACGAGACGTCTGTTGGGAGGGGGCCCCTTGGCCTGCGCTCTCACTCATACCAAGTGCTATAATCGAAACGAATTAGAACTTATTCAAAATATGACAACGTGCTCAGATTCACTAATGCGTAGGGTGGCCCAGGCAGGGATGGGACCTAGGCGGGAACAATGAATTCCGAGGACTGCTTTGATTGTATGTATACGGTGATATCGACTGCTCTCCAAAAGTTCCCATACTCCACCCCCATACAGAGCATCGATGGATAATCCACTCAGCAGTCAGTTGTCCCTCTCCCTTATCATTCCTCGCTTCTGTAATGCAAACCGAGATTATCCGACTTTTCAGAATCATGACGGTTGCCGGTGACGGCATACAAGACCATAGCGATGTCCCTATTAAGGGTTATTTAAGCAACTTATGTATGAATGGACAATACGCCATACTCTCAATAGACCTAGAAATTTGAATCTGTGGTCCCCTATATACATACTAAGAATAGTTTCAGTAATTTGAGTAACCTGAACAGGTATTAAGATTCAGATTAGCAAATAAAGATAGTCTAGGTAATTCAAGTGATTGGAGCAGGTAGATGATAAGGTAAAATACTAAAGAGATGAGAGGAAGAAAAAGAAAGGAAGAAATAGTTCAGACTAACAGTAGCGCAAGTGATAAGGTAATAGCGTTCATGGAAATAAATGTGAATCTCTACAATTAATGTCGTCACAAGATAAACAAGTATTAGGGTGTGTGGAGTCATGTGAATTCAATTTTGTACAGTGTGCCTGGGGACGCGAATTGTTGCTGCCTGATTTAACCTTCTCAGATCGGATCCAGTGACGCGTTCCTGATAATTTCCACCGGATCCACCACCAAGCGAACGGAACGGGAATCTCGAATTTATGCGGGATAAATATCACTCTTCTCAATTGCGCAAGCTTTCCATGCAAGATTCCCCTATTTAGATTGCAATGGCTTCCCACACTCCACACGAAACCGACCGGTTACTAGGAAATGATGCCGATTCTGATACTCCACCCCAGAAATATCGTCGCCACAGACTTATCAACCATCTTACCTCGGACATAAATCCTAATCATGGCGACCTTATTCTTCTGTTTTGCTACGTGATCACTGGGCTACTCGACAGCTCCGCCGTCTTTGTCTGGGGCTCTTTCGTGAGCATGCAGACCGGTAACACTGTCTACCTAGGGCTCGGTCTCATGGGAGCCGATGAGAGCACTCGCTGGCTTAGAGCATTAACCTCAATCGCCAGTTTCTGTGTGGGATCCTTCTGCTTTGCCTCTTTTCACCGACGGTTCTCTCCTCGGAGGCGCTGGGTGCTCTGTCTTTCATTTACCATCCAAATGCTCTGCGTAGCCACGGCTGCTACGATTGTAACCACCCACCAAACTTCTAGAGACTCCCCTCTAACCTGGAAGGTGGTTGTTCCATTGATGTTGGTCGCGTTTCAGAGCAGTGGTCAAGCAGTGACGAGTCGCGCCCTGCAGCTCAATGGTCTCACTAGTGTGGTGTTGACAAGTGTGTATTGCGACTTATTCTCCAGCCCGGAGCTTCCCCCTTTGTCGATGGTACATGGAGTGGAAAACAGGCGACGTGGCGGGGCAGTGGTATGTCTTCTGCTTGGGACGATGCTGGGAGGTCTGTGGGCCAAGAGCCCGGTTGGACTAATGGGGGCGTTTTGGACCGCAGTTTTGTGCAAGGCTTGTATTGCTGTTGCCTGGCTGGTTTGGCGGGGGCAACCAATGGAGAACATGGAGGATGACGGGCTGGACCAATGATATTCATGTTATTAGTTAGCGATATCTAATACTAAGGGGCTGTCCTATCATATCTCATGCCCCTAAGGATATTCCCACTCAGCCCTACTGTAGGGCTGACACGAGCCCCCCCCCTTTTGGGTCCACTTCTTCTGCGCAAATTATTATGAAAGCTCTAGCGTTGCCTTGGCTTATAATCTTGGCGTAGGGAGAAAATAGAAACAGAATGAACCTGTTCGATCACTGTCAAAATGAAGCAGATCGGTTTTCTTCGAACGTTAACAGTAAAGCTCTTATGTGCAGTTTTCTCCTTCGGACTCCTTGGGATGGCTCGAGGTAGGCTACATAGTTCGTTTTCGACAAGAGTACCGTTTGACAAGTTCCAGGGCTGGATGAGGGCCTCATATCGACCACAGTGGCTCAGCCGTCCTTCATTCGTGAGTTCCACCTTGAGGATGCCGGACTTAGTGCATCGGAGAAAGCCAACCGGCTCTCCAATATAACCTCCATGGTCCATATCGGCAGTATCCCCGGGGCACTATTGGCTTTCATTATGTGTGAATACGTTGGAATGCTCTGGACAATGCGACAGCTGTGTATTATGTGGGCAGCCGGGGTAATTATTGTTATTACAGCTGCAGGGAGTATCGGTCAGGTCTATGCTGGTCGCTTCATCATGGGGTTAGGGATTGGACAAGCCGGGGTCGTCGTACCCATCTATCTCTCTGAGGTAGCCACCCCGTCGCTCCGAGGACTCATGGTCTGTACATTTGCTACATCCGAATATATGGGGATTATGATCGGGGTTAGCATTCTCTCATCACTCACGATAGACCCGACTACGATGGCTTACTGGGATCAATCTAGTATTTCTCAAGCTGGGGAACGACCATGCACATCTCCAACAACAGCTCGAAGCAATGGATAATCCCACAGTCTATCCAGATTATAGTTTCTGGCATTCTTCTACTTTCATCATTCTACTGTGAGGAGAGTCCCCGATATCTATGTAAAACCGGCCGCTTTGCCGACGGTACCCAGGCCCTAAGTCGGTTATGGAATATACCAATACACGACCCACGCATTCAGCACGAATTTGAAGGCATTCTAAATCAAATGGGAGACACACCAGCTGGAACGAACATCCAGCGCTTGGGCAGGGCTCTAAAGCAACTTATCACAGACAAATCCAATCTATCACGATTGATATTTTTGGCGATCACTCAGCTCCTGAGTCAGTGGTCTGGTGCCACGTCCGTTACTAGTGAGTGTTGACGCCGGGTAAAGAGATATGAACAATAACCAACTATTATGCAGCTTATGCCCCGAAGCTCTTCTCACTTCTGGGGGAGACGGGCCAGTCTCAGAAGCTCCTGTGCACCGCCATTTTAGGCGCCGTCAAATTTGTTGCGTCGCTTATATGCACAATATTTTTGATTGACAACACCGGACGAAAGCGCCCTCTGATTACAGGAATTATCATTCAATTCATCGCTATGCTCTACATTGCCGTCTATCTAACCGTGGCATTGCCATCCACCCATCCCATTCGTTCAAGCTCGGAGCACAATGCAGCCATCGTTGCCATCATCTGTCTCTATCTCACAGGTGTGGGCTGGGCCCTGGGATGGAACTCGATTCAGTACCTTATAAATGCGGAGATTCTCCCACTATCTGTGAGGACAGTTGGGTCTAGTGCACTCATGTGCTTCCATTTCGCCAATCGATATGGCCTATCTAAGGTACAGTTCTTTAGCGCTGGAACCGCGTGTACATGGCTAACATAACCTTAGGCCGTTCCGTCCATGTTGCTAGAACATGCACTGCAGCCTGCAGGGACATTCTGGCTCTTTGCAGCGGTTACAATATTGGGCTTATTATGGGTTTGGATGCGACTCCCTGAGACCGCTAAACGGAATCTTGAGGAGGCTAACATACTGATCTCATGAAGTGCAGGCCATGGCTCCTGCGTTTGTCCTTATATACTCCGAATGATATGCTAGGCAGCAAGGTGTAACATCATCTTTTGGGAGAGATAAACTAGATTCGATAGTGCTCAAGAAACCTATTAGGAGTGTGAGAATTGTAGTTCACAAGATTCCAGACAAAAAAAAAGCACAAAGCCAAATGAGTGACCAAATGAACAAAGTCAAGAAAAACCGAAAGTCACAATCTTCCACAGCTTGACCAATTACTTGTGTCCACAAAGTAGAACCACACTTCAAGCGGCATAAAGTCTCAAACTATGCTCAGGGACTGTAAACATCACTCAGTAGCGACAGAACCCTCTCTTCATGCCCCCGGACTTCGAGCAGAAATGGCAGCCCTGCTCCCACACTCACTATGCTTCTAGCAGTCCTTGTCGTGCTCATCCTTCTTGGGCCACTTGGGCCATTCGGGCCATCCTGGCTTCTTTTCATGCTCCTTCTCATGCTCTTTCTCATGCTCTTTCTCATGATCTTTCTCCTTCTTCCACTCTTCCTTCTCCTTTTCCTTGCGTTCCTTCTCCTTCTCCAACTCTTCCTTCTTCTGTCTTTCCTTCTCTTCCCGCTCCTTTTGTTTCTGCTTCTCCTGTCTCTCCCTCTCTTCCTTTTCCCATTGCTCGTGTTGCTTTTCCTCCTTCTCATGCTTCGCCCAATCTTTCTCTCTCTGTTCCTTTTGTCTCTCCCTCTCCTCCTGCTCTGCCTTGTCGTGCTTTTGTCTTTCGATTTCTGCCTTCTCCTTTTCCCATTTCTCCCTCTCTGCCTTCTCTTTCTCTATCCTTTCTTTCTCATGTCTCTCCCTTTCCCTCTGTTCCCTTTCGTACTTTTCTTTCTCCCACCTCTCCCTTGCCTCCTTCTCATACTTTTCTTTCTCCCATCTCTCCCTCTCTTCCTTCTCGTGCTTCTCTCTTTCTTTCACCTCCTTTTCCCACTTCTCATTTCCATCATGTCCGTCATGTCCGTCATGTCCGTCATGTCCGTCATGTCCGTCATGTCCGTCATGGTCGTCTTTTCCGTCGTGTCCGTATCCATCCTTTCCGTCCTGTCCATATCCATCATGGCCGTCATGGTCGTCCTTTCCATCATGCCCATCATGTCCATCATGTCCATCCTTTCCGTCATGGCCGTCCTTATCCCACCATTCCCCATCGCCTCGCCTCCACTTGTCTTTCTTCTCCTTCTCATGGTCCCCATACTTAGGCCAGTATTTCTCGTCTGGATACAGAAGTTTCTCGACATCCTTCACGTTCCAGCCATCGACGCCCTCAAACGCTTGTGCAGTTTCTCCCGCTCCTCTTTGGGGAATCGGTCATGGAACTCCTTGATCTGCTTGGGGCTGAGAGGCCAGAAGGCTGTGACCTTCTTGTCACCGTCGAATTCCCGCAAGACGCCATCGTGTCCGAGATGAACCTGCCCTTGTGGTCGGGGGGTAAATTGCAGACCTCATAATCGGGTTCCTTGCCTGAGAGGTCCTATGCTGGGGTTAGATAAGTGTAGATCGTAGAGTTTGTGGGGGGGGGGGGGGAATAGCATACGGTGGGAGCCGCGATGGCACCGCCGAGGAGAAGAAGGACCAGTGAGGCAGGGAGCTTCATCTTGGGATGATTCGGAGGGCTGCTCAGGCGCTACTTTGAAGGGTTGAGAGGATTCGGTTGTTTGTGATGGATTTAGTCTCGGTGGAGGGGGAGAAGGGCGCTATTTATCTTCAAGGTCAAGTGTATGTGTTCGGACCCTGTCAGGGACTTGCTGGACAGCTCCGTTGTCTCAATTACGCGTTCAACGCAGCTGTTTTTGCAACGGAGTATCTTGTGATTTGTAGAGCATAGGTTTCCCCTGTGTACATGTTTGGCTAGTTTTCAGTTCGAACGCGTTGAACACGATGGATGCATGTTGGCCCAGATCGAGATCTGACGCGATGCAGTGTTGGCCACCCCTTCGGAGAGTATACTCAAGATATGAAACCATGCTGTCTCTTTGCCATCTGCTGACAGGAACAACTTACACTACTATACTCTATTGTAGATACAGGCCGATATCACCTCTAGTATCTACTAATATCATATCCACCCAAACCCCCAAACCTAAAACATCGCCACACCCGCCACAAGACAACAGTTCGCAAGCTTGCAAATCCCTCATTAGAGACTCTTACCACTCTCACTCTCAGCCCCAATAACTCTTTACGTAACTCATCCCAGACAATCCCTTCATACGCAGAGGCCTGAGCTCCTGTCCAGAAGCACGATGGCTCGTATAACTAGGAAGTAGGGCTTAGGTTTCGGCCACGGGAGAGCAACACCCCGATCGCTAAGGATGGTGTTCCTTGCCCATGTACGCGGACTCTCGGGCTTGGCCACGGACTGGTTCATGAACGCCGTGAGATTGCCACGAACACGCTGACGCATGCTTATCGGACTGGGCAAATCTTAAAGTGGTTTCGTAAGTTCTTAATCTGGTCCTACTGGACCAATTGGGGGGATCAGCCTGGACTGTTTCAGAGTACGTATTACCGGGGAGTTCCAGTAGGTATTAGTAGATCTCACAGGGGGTTCTTCCCTGATCCGGTTCTTTTTATTTGGAGATACATTACGGGGATGAGGAAGAGGAAGATGAGGAAGATTCAGTCAACCACGCCTCACCTGAGATTTCCCGACCACGTATTTGTAACCTATCTTCGCATAGAGCTCCTCCAAGCTCGTCTCATCCTCTATTACCCATTCCGCCCCATACTTCAGGCTGTTCCCGGTGTCCATACAATACGAAGGTAATTCCTGATAACCGAGTGAACCATAAAGCATGTAGCTTGCTATGTGCATACTGAGATTCAAGTCGGGCCCCTCTTCAAATGGACCATATTTCTCAATCCACCCGTATCGGAAACGCTGGAGGTGCCGCAGTTCTTGGAAGGATTTGAAATAATCGTGCCATCGTTTGTCGTACGTTGCGTAGCGTTTTCCCCCGGATCCAGGACGGGTGATGTAACTATTCGGATCCAGGTAGGCCATTTCTTTATCGGCCGTTGCTTCTATATCCCAGCCGATGGCGCAGTCTTCGAGGTAGAGTTCTGCGAGAGTGTCGCGGTGACTGAAGATCCCGTCTAGCTGGGAGTCGTGGACGAGGGTATATTTGGTCAATTGGAGAATCCTCAATCGGGAGAAATGTACACCACGGAGATCGAGCTTTAGGTAGTAACCCCAGAAATGACAATGGGCGAGGTTGAGCTCTTTGAGAGTTTGGTGAGCGGGCTTCAGCCAGAAGGACGGTACTGCGGAAAAGAAACGGTGGGTTTCGGCTATCTATTGGCAGCAGGTTAGCCTATGGGAGGTAGTGTTGAAACATGTGTGCAAACGTATGTAGCAGGCTTTAGGTCTTTCTCGCCATAATAGATGAAGTCCAGGCGGAGCGAACGCAGATTCTGTAGGACTTTCTGGATTTTCTCAGCCACGTCGGGATTGGGCTCGTTCACATCCTATAGGTCTAGAAAGATGAGTTCTCGTGGCAGCTCAGGTAGCGCTACAATCGCCGACATGAACTTGTTCATCACGACTGAACGGCATTCCAGCATCTTAGACATGGTCCAACGTCCTTCTCCCTGGAAGCAAAGAGCCACGCTCTGGAGTCGTGGGAGCTTCTTAAGACGATGGAACAGTCCTACGAATTTGGGAAAGAGTTTCTCTTGACGCCCATACGGGAACTTGAGCCTATGATGACCTCAAAACTGGGTGCAGATGTTCGTTTCCTTGCCCAAAGGATGTAAAGGCAAGGGAAATTAACGCCGCGGAGCAACCCCAGGTTGATAAGACTTTCTTCACATGCTGTACACTATCATGTTCAAGGACCTTAATAAAATGGTTGCAGCTCCTCTCTGATGGCCCAACATGAAACCATTCAAAAAAGTGTGGTTTGCTGATCTCGTTCAGGGAACGACATACGAGCCGTAGCGGTTCGAGCTCGTATGGCTCTATGTAACGGATGATCCGGTAGATAATCTCAATGAGAAATGATATGAGGCTCGGCATTCGCCGTGCACTCAGTAATGGGTGGAAGTAATGGCAAACTAGATCTACTGTACTTGTACTGTGTAGTTTCGTATAACCAGTAGCCTGGCTGAGACCTGATTTGGCACTACTAAGTGACGTGGCAATCGCAGAACATGAATACTGCCTTAGCTCTATTTGACCAGTCGCTCCTTGCAATTTTTAGTATCATACGGAGCTATGTAGGTTTAGTAAAGTGCGTGCTAAAGTGTTCCAAGAGGGTTAGGAGTTTAGAAGGATGGTCCTCGTGGGAAATTGTTCCTCCGATGCGGGTGCATGGTTGATATTAATGCCTTACTCTCAAGGTGTGCACATCACGATAAGATAACGTCGGCAAAACATCGGTCCGATCGAACATTTTCAACAGCGATGAAAGTGAAAAGCCGACAGCATCAAACCAACAGCTGCCTGCTAATGATTTAATGATTGCCATATACCTTGTTTAATCGCATCTTCCTCCTCCATATACCCCGAGTCCGTATCTCCATTAATTAGCCTCCGTCAAAAATGGGTGTCCAAAAGAAAACCCGCAAGTTCGCCCAGGTATGCAATTCCAACCGCCTTATCGAAGCCACCAGAGAATCACCAAAACTAATGCCAGACATGAAACCAGGTTAAACGGGCGATCAAAAAGCACGATGACCGCGCCAAGAAGGATAACAACGCCCCGAAACAAGACAAGGCCAAAAGTGACGAGGTCGTCCGGGCGATTCCCCAAGCTCCGTCGAACATGTTCTTCGCCGCCAACACGGCCCTCGGACCCCCCTACCATGTGCTGGTGGATACCAACTTTGTGTCGCACTCTATCCGCGCGAAGACGGATATGCTGAAATCTATGATGGACTTGTGCGTTGTGATGCTACCATAAGGTGGTGCGGCGGCGATGGCTGATCCTCGATAGACTCTATGCGAAGTGTATCCCGACGTTTACGGATTGTACTATTGCGGAATTGGAGAAGTTGGGCGATAAGTTCCGGCTGGCGTTGAGGGTGGCTAAGGATCCGAGATGGGCGCGCGTGCGGTGTGATCACCCCGGTACATATGCGGATGACTGTCTGGTTGATCGGGTGAGTTTTGGAGAGTTCGGAAGCTGTAGGGTGCCATGATCTAACTGGGTCGAAGATCACAAAACACAGAATCTACATCGTGGCGACGAACGATAAGGACCTGGTTCGCCGGATTCGCAAAATTCCCGGTGTGCCAATTATGAAGGTCGCCAGAGCGAAATACGTGATTGAGAGGCTGCCTGACCACTTTGAGTGAGCGTGTGCAAGGGCCTAGAAGATCTCGTGTTGACAACTACGGATTCCACATCTGGTTGGGACGGTCGGACCAGAGGATTGCAAATCCGACCCCAATCCTGCGATACCGGCAGATCCTTATCGGCAGAATCCATCATCAATCCAATACCGGCGCGGACTCGCGTGGATTATCTGCGGAGGAGCGGTTTCAGGACTCAGTTACGGAGGACACTGAATGTAACTAGCAAGGCTGTATACGACTTCAATGATGATAATTTGATACCATTGGTATACCCAGAGTGGAGATGGTCAAGATCAGCCAGAAAGATGACTCAACTGCGGCATTTTCTTTGGAATCTAGACTCGATTAAACCGATATAAATACCCCATCAATGTATATGCGGGGTCAGCCTTACCCTTCATCCATGACCCATTTATATACACCGACGTACCTCAATTGACAATCCAATTTAATCCAACTCACCAAGTAACTAAATCCGAAATCAAAATGCCCGAAAAGGAAACAATCGTAGTCATCGGGTACGTCATCCTACCATTAATCTATCCCCGAACTCATCCAATCCAACCTCCACAACTCAAAAACAGCTCTCCAAAACTAACTCCAAGGCAAAAGCGCCGGGGTAATCGGCCTCACAACGGCCCTCCGCATCCAAGAAACGCTCAATCGCAACCAATCCATCCACCTCATCGCCCGCGACTTCCCCAACACCACATCCCTAAACTACGCCTCCCCCTGGGCAGGCGCACACTACCGCCCCGTGCCCGGCTCAACGCCGCAGGCCCTCCGCGAAGAAACCCAAGCCAAAGAAACCTACGGTTACCTCAAACAGCTGGCATCAAGCGACCCCTCCTCGGGCATAGCAGTGGTAGAAGGGGTCGAGCACCTCGAGGACCCACCGGTAGAATATCTAGACGAACAGAGCGTCCAAGAAAGCTACGGCCATCTGGACGGGTTCCGGCGGCTGGGGAGAGAGGAATGTCCCGCCGGTGTGAGCTGGGGCGTTCGATATGATACGGTCACGATTAACTCGCCGGTATATTGTGCGTATCTATTGCGGAAGTTTGTTCTGGGTGGTGGAGTCACTAGGGAATATACGGTGATTGATCCGACGGAGGCGTTTTATCTAGCTCCGAATGTGAAGACGGTGGTGAATTGCTCAGGGTTGGGGTTTGGGGATGAGAGGTCGTTTATCATTCGGGGTTTGTTTTCCACTTTTCAATCCTTTCCTGCCTGGATTTACTTGTTGGGATGCGGTGTGGTGGCTAATGGTGGTTTCTAGGGCAAACTTGTCTCGTGCGCAATCCGTGCAATCAGACTGTGACGAGGCAGAATACTGATGGCTCTTGGTCTTTTTGTATCCCGCGGCCGTTGTCTGGGGGTACCATTATTGGGGGCACGAAGCAGCCGCGCGATTATAATCCCTCTCCGTTGCTGGAGACAAGAGAGAAGTTGCTGGCCAATGCGGCCAAGTGGTTCCCGTTTGCGCCGGGGAGTGACGGGAAGTTTGATGTTATTCGGGATATTGTGGGCAGGAGGCCGGCTAGAGAGGGTGGAATGAGGATTGAGGCGGAAAAGGTTGAGGATGGTCGGTTTGTGATCCATGCTTATGGGGCTGGGGGAAGAGGCTTCGAGTTATCATACGGAGTGGCCGCGGATGTGGTGAAGTTGATGGTCAGCAATAAGTTGGTTGGCGAAAAAGCTTCGTTGTAGAAGTCATACACCTCTCCTTGTATCGTTGTCAGTTGGGGGAACGTGTTAGGGTTGATTGTATGAAAATGTTTAGTTTTGAGGGACATCTGCTCTATACAACTCTAAAACTCCCAATGTCTATATGACCGCAGGTGACTTTTCAAGTCTGACATTCAGGAAGCGCATAAACCATAATACCTCGGTGGGCAAAAGAAAAAAAAAAAAAAAACGCTAAAGTTCATTACATCAACGAACGTTCTATTTTACGTACAAAATCTGGGCATAACAAATGGTGTCCTTCACTCCGCCATGAAATGCACGACACACGATCTATCTCAATCTTGTGTACGCGGCTGTTGTCTTCTAGAATCTTTGGGTATGACTCCGGCTTGGCCGTAGTTCAAGATCAAAGATGACACACAAAACGTCAAACGTTAACCGCAGCCCTCAGTCGAGGAGACCAATACAAGTGATTACTCGGTAAGATGAGCGACCAAAGATCAACAACATTGTATCTATCATCCAGGAGATCAACACTGCGGGCCCGGACAAAGGCCTGGTTCATCGATTCCAGGGTGGGGGCGCTGCCCGAAAGCCCAAGCGTCGCAGTTTCTTGGGAGAATCGCACACGCTCAGCCTTCACCCTCCTGTGCAATGGTCTCATCGTTCGAAATCGGTACCGGTGTCCCATGCAGTCTCGCCAGCCGTTCTTCTTCCTTCTGTTCCCGGATCCGTTCAGTCTCCCTGCGGAGGGCAGCCAGGTTGAAAGTATCGTCGTCATCCTCCTCGTCGCTGCTCTCATCCTCAGCACGCCAGTTACCACTCTCAAACAATGTACGTCCAGTGGCTTCCTTGGCCTTGCGGGCTTGTTCTTCAGCTTGCTTCTTGTCAAGACGCTGCTTCTTCCACTCGGCGAAGGTTTCAGGGGTGACCGGTGTCAGGTTACCCGTGAGCTTGTGTCGTTCACTTTCCAGCCAGTCTTCCAGCGTTAGGGTGTTGAGCGGGGACTTGTCCATCAGGGCCTTCTCAGCCGCACGCTGCTCCTTCGTCTTCAGGACGAATCTGGTGAAGCCAATCAGTATCAATCAAAAACAGTGCGAAGACAATGGCGCAACATACCCAGGGGGCAAACTGTGCTTATACTTGCAGGCGTCACCTCCATTGGGACAGACCCAGAACCAACCGTACTTCTGGTTCTCGACCGCCTCAATGAAGAACTTGCAGACCTTATCGGTCGTCGTCTTCGGGTTTCCGTGCTTGCTGAGGACGACGTTGCGCAGCTTCTCTTCATCCCAGTCGTCCATCGTATCCTTCTTCTTGGTCTCCTCTTCCGTGCTCTTCACATCTCGGGAATCGGTGTACAGATCCTTCTTAGCAGCCTTGCGCTCTACATTCGGATCGTGACTGAACTTGCACTTCTTTCCCTTCTCACAATTGCCCTGCTTGAAGAAGACACACAGAACGGTCTTGGGGTCCACCCCGAAGGGGATCTTCTGCACCTGCACAGGCTTGAACAGCTCAGCCGCCTCCTTCTTCGCCTGGTCGGCGGCCTTCTTCTCAGCCTCACGACGGGCCTTCTCGGCCTCTTTCCGCTTCAAATCAGCGGATTTGTTCGACTTCTCCTGGGTTCTTAATTGTTCGATCTGTTTCTTGGCCTGGGCACCTTTTTTCTGTAGGGTGAAAGATTTTGCTGTCAGTGGCGATTTCTCTCGCGGACGACCGGTCGGGGGGTGGTTGGAATGGGGGAAATATTATGCTGTCGGGAGATCACTACATACGTTTTTCATGCCAAAGGTCTATTCAAAAAGGAACGTTAGCGACGTTTATATGATCACGCGATCGGGGTGACAAACCTTGTCCTCGACCGTGGCCTTCTTCTTCTTGGGCTCATTGGTCTGCTTCTTGGGAGGCATGATGGCGGTTTTTTCTTTTTCTCTAATACTCTCTATCGATAAAACGCTGCAGAGCCGACAAGATAAGGATAGATAGCGCGCGCCTGTCTAGCGGTGGCGGTGGTGTTGATCGAAACGAACCTCCCACAGTCGACGGGTCGAAAACCGTTGGTGGGGGATTAAGTGCGAGGGCGGAGGCTTGGAAAACAACAAAGCCGGACTGCCCGAAAAAAGATTCAAAAAGGAAGGGAAGAAAGATGAAGGGTCAAAGAACGCCTCTCGCGGTTACAGAGACGAGAGGGAAACGATCGTGGTGGTCCGAAGGAGATCTTTCTTTTCGGTGAGTTGAAGGATGTTCTTCCTCCACATTTTCGAGGTGTGGGTTTGTTTCCCGTATTGTGGCGGCACCGCCAACAGATCTTTTTGCCCTGTAACAGGCGCCGTTCAGATGCACTTACTAAGGTCTTTTTCTCGCATGGCCCCGACCACATTGATTCTCACGTTCTCGAGTAATGGGAAATGCGGCCAAGCCTGGCTAATTTCGTTAGGGTCAAATATTAGCAAAAACAATTAGCTCATCAGGCAAAGTATCTTGATCTCACTACTACCGATTGCTACCAGACACCGAGCGGAGACCTAGTATAGAACGACATTCAATATTCATTATCATGCATCTTCTAAAAGCCTGCTAGTAGCACTCGAGACCTTGATCCATTTTTAACTGCTGTGTCCAGAATATTTCACGAGTCTGGGCGGATATTGTATAACAGGTAGAGGTACTAAATACCCCGTAGTGATATATATATTTGCGCCTTTTCCGCCTCCCGAACAACCCGGACGGTCCATAGCTAAGCAGCTCTATTAGTAGAAGGACCGGTCCGCTGACCGGACATTCCGCGACTTCATCTCACTACATCCCCAATCTTCTTTGTCTTGGAAAACCTGAGTACAAAGAAAGTCCTTCCAACCCGGCGTAGGATCGCGACTAGCCCTGCTGTACTCCCAGTCCTTGGGATAATACCCAGCAAACTCCCAGTCCACAAGAGCAGTGATCTTCCCCTGACCATCGACAGGGATATTGCGTGGCACAATGTCGCCATGGGTGAAAAAGAACTCCTCGTGTCTCCGTGGTGCGTCGTCGTCTTGTGAGGAATCGTCTTCTTGTGACGAATCGTCCCATGATGCTTGCCTCCTCATATCCATACTGTTTTCTCGCAGAAAATTGTTGAACTCCTCCCTAGAACGGAATGGCCCACCCTCTTGAAGCTGTTGACAATCGGAGATGATCCTTGCTGGCCCATCATTCAGGGCCGCAATCTGCGTATCCTTAAGCTTACGAAGCTCGGCGACATACAGCCGCAAGTCCCCCGCGAGAACGTCTTGTTGGTCTTTATTGAAGTCCTCCCAGACGCTGTCAAGTGCTTCGCCCCCCATATAGTCCATGGTTATCTTGTCAACTCGATCGTTTTCCCAATGAGTCCAAGTTGGTCGTCCTTCTTTGTCAAGGTTTCGCTCGAACACTTTACCGTTTTCGAGGAGGATGTTGGTTGATTTGCCTGCCTCATCATAGCGGACGTCGAGCCTTTTGTCTTCGTAGTGGATGCTACGGACTTTTGGAACCGGGACCTTTGTGTTGTCATTGATGAAAATGAGCGAAAGGGCCTCGTAGATTTTAAAGTTCTCCCCGCTCTTTACTATTTTCCCATCGACGTATTCTACTCTGTGGGTCCCTTTCTGGTATATCAACCGGGCAGGCTGAGGGACGTCATCTATTGGTTAGGGTTAGCTGATGCCATGGGTAGATGAATGATATGCTTACCCTTACTGGCCATTTTGAGAACACTGTAGACTGCAATACTGCTGAGGTTGCATGTTAAGGCAATCAGATAGGGCAAGCAGGATCATTTTTATAAACGTGTCTATATAAAGGGCTTCAGAGCTCTATGAAGAGATGTTTCGACCAAATAAAGAGTTGGTCGTGCCATGACGCGGCTTTCCATATTCAAAACGGCTTTGAGGGTCTGTTTCGAAGGTGAGATGGGGTGGAGGGTCTGAACTGTGGTTGTTCGGGGTGATGATATGTAAGTGTTATGTATGTATGTCTTCATGAGTGTGACCCAACATGCCGATGTTGGCGGTTGGTTTGACTTAGGTATGTATGGAACCAGTAGATATCCACCATACTGACGCTCTGCATAGAGATGGATCGATTGACAGATACTTTTGCAAGATTTCCTTGTTATGTATGGCAGAGACAATAAATGAGACGGTGTGGTTACCCCGTGTTCGAGATTCGCACAAAGGTTCTATGATATTCCCAGATGGCTCTGTCCTCGGCTTCTACGGGGCAAAGAGAAGATACGGTCCTAGCACCGACGAATACCACAAGGTCAGCGAATTCGACTTGGAAGAAGACATGTATCGAAATGCGTGTTTGTACTTTTGGACACCTCGGATGCCTTGCGCGTTCATGGCCATGTTATACACCGAAAGGGGAACATTAACCTCAAATTACATATATTGCACTATCTCGATATCTCAGGCATCAAGAGTACTAGTAAGTTTACACCTCCCCATTGGGTACTCGATGCGTACATTACTCCCGAAAATTCACCCTCCTAACCTCTCAATCTCGCATATCATACTGTAGCGCACATCGGAGCGCAATAGGTACTATCTCTGATCATCTCATACAACTCATTGAATCTTATTTTAATTCGTCACCAAAGTCATGGATCAAACCCGTTTCAAATGATTTTTTTTAAACATATAATTAAGAGACCTCCTGAATCTTAGAGGACTTAGCCGACTCCCCAGCGTCCTTGTCAGCCTCCTCAAGCTCGGGCATGTCATCATCCTGGAACAACTAGTCAGCACTTGCAACTGTATGATGTTGACAACTTTGCCTGCGAAATTGACGGAACCTACCGATTCACCCTCTTCAGCACCACCAAGACCAGCGCCACCCATTCCCTCAAGGCCTGCGCCGAGCTTGGAGAAGTCAATGTTTCCAAGACCACCGCCCTCGCCGCCGAGGCCTTCGAAGCCGCCGAAGTTGTTTCCATAGTCTTCCTCAGCAACCTCGTGCTGCTCATCCTCGTCGACCCACTGCACAATTATCAGCATCGCGTATAGTCGCGTTGGTGGAAGAGGTCGCATCCCATACCTTATCGAAGTCGGTCTTGATGAAGTGGATCTTCTGAGTGGTGCTCAGAAGACGGGGCCAGAACTCCTCCTTCAGCTCCTTCTTACGCAGGACCAACTCAACCTCACGGTCGCTGTGGTTCACCTTGGAGTTCTTGGGGTCGATCTCGGCATACAAGTCCAGGGAGACTTCATAACGAACACCCTTCTTGGAATCACCGGCGAATGTGACATTAGTGGGAGTAATGTTGAGGGTGGCTTTGTCACGAGCTACATCGGCAGCTTTGATGTTTACGTAGAGGTAATTGCGCTCAGCGTCGTCGGCAGATGAGCGCTGGGCCCATGTGACTGGAGGGTTACCATATGTTAGCGAACCTCGATCCCATTAGATAAGAATCAGGGAGTTGATGAATTCGAGCAAAAGCCTTGTAGTCTATTCTGTCCCTACTCATTCTCCCGAATAAGAGAAAGAGATCGAGACAGAACGCAAGGTGGGAAGGATATGTTGGCATAACTTGCAACAAAGCGGGGAAAGGTAAGAGGGGAGCCTGCAGAATTACGTACCTTCAGGGTGGGCCTTGGGAAGGTCAGACATAATGACAGTGGGATGTGTAACGGGGATTGTATGTATAAATGGAAGTGAAGATGAAAAGGTGGGGGGGGGGGGGATATATTAGACAGTGGAAGGGAATGATTATCGTGAAGGGTCAGTTGGAAGCTGAAGAGGTTGAGACTAGTTAAGCGTGTTTGGTGAGTAAGGGAAGAATAATACTAGTAATACCAACCACAGCTGATGATCCGCTCTAGAAAGTACTGGAACTCTCACTCCTGGCCCGCTGTTTGACCTGTTTGCGGCCTGTTGCCTGCCTGGGGCACCCACACTTCGCACGACGTCACTGGAAGGCGGTCACTCACTGACAACCACCCGCTGACTCAGCAGGGACTGGATCGTCCGTTCGCTGGCCACGATCATGTTTGATTCCGGATCAACGAGATCGACCACAATGCTGATTACACTCACAAGTGAGGATCATCGAACTCACGGCGTGATTTGACACTGTTTAACGTACACTCCAACGCTGTCAACCTGAACTCATCCCCGGCTATCTCACCACATTGCCGAGGAATCCTGTGCGTTGAGAGATCATCCTCTCTGGATAACCCCACCTATTGCAACGGCCTAGTCCATAGATATTGTATTTCAAGCCTTGTGCTGATACAGTCGCGACCTTTCTGAATTACTTTATATATTTTGCCCACCCCTGCTGGTCACGTACAGGTTATTTATCATAAACTCCACAGTATCAAAAGTCTAGTATAGAGGGATCAGTGTGTTAGCTTGATTCATCATGGAGACTCTCAAAGCGGTCTTTTTCGGTCCTGATCCTCAGGCACAGGTACGCTCGGGTGAATGACGCTCTCCAACTTCACCATTCTAACAAGATTCCATGTGCAGATGAGAAAATGCAACGCACTCATCCGCGCCAACACTCGCCAATTGGACCGCGATATTGCACAGCTCAGGACTTTGGAGAACAAAACGCGGCAATACATTATGAACGCCTCACGTCGAGCCGAGCGAAACCCATCACAGTCGAAGCAGGCCACCAAGGAGGCTAAGACTTTCGCTCGCGAACTGGTTCGGATCCGGAAACAATCTACCCGTCTACACACGAGCCGAGCCCAACTACAAAGCGTCCAGATGCAGGTCAACGAAGCATTCTCGGTACGGAAGATTCAGGGAAGTCTGAAGAAGTCGACTGGCATCATGAAGGATGTTAACACCCTGGTTCGACTACCCGAATTGAACGCGACGATGCGTCAACTTTCGACCGAGCTGGTTCGGGCTGGCATCATCGAGGAAATGGTAGACGATGCGATGCCAGACAATGAGCTCTACGAGGATGAACTGGATGAGGCCGAGGAAGAAGTTACTAAGGTCTTGCAGGAGATCTTACAGGGAAAGCTTGCGCAAGTCGACACGGTCAAAGCCGAGGAGCCATTGGAGGAGACTCCCGCCGCCGCCGAAGAGCAGTTCGAAGACCAAGAGGCCACTCTCGAACAAATGAGAGGCCGGCTCGAAGCTTTAAAGAGCTGAGTGCTGTGAACCCTGAATGGAAGTCTACGTATGCCTGTAATATGATGTTACGAGCGATCCTGAAATGCTGCTAAAAGCATTGTTCTTTGTTACATATTCATTCTTGGAGTTCGGTCGGTGGAGCACGTGGGGTTTGGGTCATTTACATTTTGTTTTGCGTCTACTTTTAGAGGCAGGCCCTGATTTCCTGAGTATGCGAGGTTATTTCAGCGTTGTCTCAATTCATTGTCGTGTCTTCTATATCGACCACATGGTAGATGTCATTAACGTTCTTGGAGTGGGTCGAGGGTCTTTGCCTTGTAATCCATTCTTGTATAGGTGAACCATGGTATTGATTTTAATGAATGACTCCTATCTACCCCTGAATAATGAATAGCAATTAATTAGAGGTATAAGGAATGCTAATCTATGTTATTCCCTGTCCAAGGATTTGATGATGTTGGTAAAGCATGATCAGGTTAGTGACGTTTCTATTTGCGGATGGGGCGACAGACGCCCCGAAAGGGGACTAGCGGAAGAACTCAGCCTCTCCTCCGGTCTATCCTTGTTGTCCCTCGACTTCCACCCGCGCCTGTTTGTCTTCCCGCCTTTGCCTCTTCTCTCCTTTTCATCATCTCAACATCGCGCCCTTTATCCCAACGTGGTGCATAATTGACTCTAATACTTCTGTTCTACTCCACTATCTGCCACTTATCCCGCAAGCTACGCCTGCTAGAGCAAGTGTCTCGAAATCAGACTTTTACCTGCCCCTTGCTGTTGCGAACCTTTCTGCGGTGACGCAACGACTGACACGCTCGAACTTCTTGGAATCTTCTCGAGAGTCGCTAGTATCGCCCATATTCATCTATTTTTCACCTAACAAAATGTCTGGAAAGTTGGACAAGTCTCTCGACGAGATCCTCGTCAACCGCCGTCAGGGCGCTCGTCGCCGCAATCGTCGTTCAACCCAGTCTAAGGCTGCCCCGGCCGCTGTTGGAGGAGTCAAGAAGAGCACGAAGGCTGTGAAGCCAGCTGGCAAGGTTGCCCAAGCTGGACACCCTATGTCAACGGAAAGCAAAATCATGGTCAGCGGTTTGGTATGTCTCGACTCTCGTGTCTTATTCTTGGCAAGGACACTGTTAGCTAACGTCACCAGCCTTCCGATGTGAATGAGGCCAATATCAAGGTATGTTGATTAAGAGGCCTTCGCCTTGGGTTTCTATCGCCATGTCTTTCTTTCTCGAGACCTTCGAGGCGCACCGGCTCTTACACGCGTTCCGACCCTTGTCACGACGTCCTCATATCTTTGCGACCGTTATTGGTCGCATGAAAAGGCAGCGTACTCCTTTGAGCCATGTTCGCGCGCTATTTGAAATCTAGCGCTCCGCGAGTCAGCCGAAGTTGAGTCCTGCCTGCAGTCTTGCGGAAAGTGAATCATGCTTGAGCGGATCCTTTAGCAATCCGCTCGCGAGATCACTGCAGACTGTGCTATGAATGGTAGTTGAAACACCGTTCTGATTTCATCCCGCTTGGCCACACCTTTTGAATTTGCATTTCGGGTGTCGGGCATCAGCGAGCGCACCAGCAGACCAGTAGGGCATCAGTCCGTACAGCAGGCAATTTTCTCCTGAAATTTCTCTTCCATCGTTCCTGTCTGAGTGTGCCATGTAATATGGGCAAGAGGCACCTCGCTTGTGACGTTGGTGGAACCAGTTAGACCTTGCTTCGCCCTGAGATGGGCTATTATGTGGGTGCCTGGGGGAACCTGATTAGTCTTCGCCGCACACCAATGATATTTTCTTGACTATGTCGGTACTGTGTATTTGGACATGGTGTTGGGTGGATCCGACCCTGGTTCAAATAAATGTGGAAGTGGATCATACTTGGTACCGGTCGAGGTGGAATAGGAACTGCGAAGAAGACCCGACTTTCAGTATAATGGAAATATTGGCGGCTGTTGATGCAGACATTTGATGCCTGTGCGCTGTCTCGGGCTTCAAAAGCTCATTGCATCTAACCCTTGGGGGTCTTACTAACTGCCGCTGTGTGCTCGCTGATGCTCTCACTGTGGAGCTTCGGTCCAACCTACGCGTCGTTTTTTCGAGCTTTCGTTCATGCCAGCGCCTCCAACCATGTGACTAAATCTTCATGAGCACAAGTACTAATCATGTGTGCTGGATATAGGAATACTTCTCTAAATCTGCAGGACCCGTCAAGCGAGTCATGCTCACTTACAACCAAAATGGCACTAGCCGCGGCATCGCCTCCATCGTCTTTAGCAAACCCGACACGGCTGCCAAAGCTGCCAAGGATCTGAACGGACTGCTTGTTGATGGACGTCCCATGAAGGTAGGTTCCTTGCATCATTTTCTAATCTACCGATAGGCTGAGTCTAATAATGTGGTACAGATTGAGGTTGTCGTTGATGCCAACCATGCTCCCGAAGTCCCCGCTGCCAAGCCCCTTGGTGACCGTGTCGCGTATGTCTATGTTCGCGGTGCTATTAAAGGACTATACTAACAAGAAAACAGACAAACCAAGTCCCAACCCAAGCCAGCCACTGCCAGCAAGGCTGCCGACAGCAGTCGTGGACGTGCCCGTCGTGGTGGCCGCCGCGCACCCAAGTCGAACCGCCCCAAGCCCAAGACTGTGGAGGAGCTTGATGCTGAGATGGTGGACTATTTCTCCAACGAAAACACTGGTCCTGCTGAGGGCAACGCTCCTGCGAACGCGCCCGCTCCGCAGCCCGCCAACGGCGGCGAGGATCTTGGAATGGCTGAGATTTCTGTAAGTTGCACTGGTCTGGGGGGTATGACGGAAGACTAGCTAACGTGTGTATCAGTAAATGTATCGTGGTACCTTCAATTCAATTGCAGAGGCAGGTTACTTCTGCCAAGTCAGGTTGGCTTCTTGTCGGCTACGAATGCCATCTGGACTTGATATTCGGATTCGTGTTTCGGTTCTCTTTTTGCCCTTTTTCACTTTTCCCGCCGTATGTTTTCTTAGTTTGGTTTTCTAATGTCTCTTCTGCTATTTGACTCGTTGACGGGAACTGGAGGAAGGAAGACTTGTATGTATTTAATAAACGGATCGTTGCAATGAAAGCGCGAGGTGAAAACGTGAAAATGTTGCCAGCTCCATGTAGGCTCTGCAGTTCCTTTTGGGTTGTGACCAAGCTGATCAAAGCTGTACTGTGCCTTGTATAATATAATGCCAGACAGATTACAGAGTCAGATTTCTCCCGTTTGCACGTATTGTGAGCACTTAATGTGGAGGTGTCTACTTTGATGCCACGCATATTGTCATAGCAATATGGAAAGCCCGAGGCAAGAATATGTTGCATCTTTTCACTTGAGCTACTCTTTCCAAGGAAGCCTCCACGGGAATGTTTAAATGCAGGAAAGGTGACACGCCCGGAACAGGCTCTACTCTTCTTATTCTAAACGTCTCCTCTTAGTCTTGTGATTCTCCCATTTTCCTGTTCTATATTTATAGTGAGCAACAGCCGTCTAATTGCCTTCCATTTTTATATTCCAGAAGCATCAACTGAGCGACGAACATTCAAAACAGTGATTGATATACAAGAATCTACGCAAAATCCAACAACTAACCCGTTCGCGAAACCGGTAGATGGCGGAAAGCACATCGATGTCACACACATAGCCGCTCCATACGTTTTCACTTGCCTTCCTGTATAGACCGAAGACAACAGCTGGGCCAAACAGAAGTACCCGAGAACTGTGAAGTATTTGCCCCACGATATCGAGAGTAGACCAGTAGCCCTGGATCGAAGCTTATAAAAGTGGCGCAGAAGTTTGTTGTGACCATCAAAGCTGAATACGGAAAGGAGATCGCATTATGGGCTTAAAGTCTTTCCATCTCCAGTTTCAGCCAATAATATTCCTCATTCTTGGCCCACTGGCATGCACCGTTGAATGAATAGTATGGCCTCTTGATCTGTTTTCAATATGTTTGGGGCTACTTTTATGGTCCCTGACCCGAAGGACAGGGCTCGGGAGCATTTCAAGTCATGATCAACTGCTGTGCTGAAACTGTGACATTGACTATAGGTCACAATGGTTTGACGTGCCACACCGTAGAGCTACAAACATATGGCATTCTCGAAAACCAATTTCGTTGTCGTGGTCAGGAATGTAAATGCCGAAAGAAGAACTAAATTTCCGCTTTCGTCGAAACAACAGCACAGGCCAACCCAAGTTCTGGAGTACAATCGATGTACCATGTTCGGCCGCATTCGGTCATGCAGAATTGAGACTTCACCCTGACAGCCTCTGGATTAAGCCCTGCTTCCGAAATGCGATGGGATACGACCTGTGTGCAGCTTATCCATCCCTTTACAGATCGTCAGCATCCGCATCCGCATTGATTGACAGGTCTGGTCATAAACCCTACTCCGGTATCTCGAATAATGCATATGTGAGGGTGTGTGTATGTGTGTCTAAGGTGTCATGATTAAAACTGCTAGCTTTTTCGAGAGTCTAATATTTGCAATGAAATGAATGAAACCGTCACACATCCTTTCTGATTGCACACACATATAGAAATAAAACCTTTACCTTCCGTATGAAAGCCCATGCTATCGGAACGGCGATTCTCAGTCTGGGGTATCAACGCCGTTTCCGTTGTTGAATGGACTACCGGGTCTAGCGGTGATTGTTGAAAGACTCCAATAGACCGAGCTCTTGGGCATGTCTCGCAAGGTCGAGTAAATGTCCCGTACAGGCGTCTTCAGATGCCACACAGTGGTGAAGTTTCTCATGCTCTTTGTGGCTGAGGCGGGGAAGAAGCATATCGATCTCAGCCGGCGAAAGTTTGTCATATTCTCTCACAAGGCCATTCAGAGTAGGGGGTTCGTCGCCTCTGGCCAAGACGGACCGTCTTTGATGCATCGTCGGCCATGCGGCGGGAAGGAGGGCGAACGTAGAGAGAAGGATCAAGGATTGAGTCAGACGCATTTTCGGTGGAAATAGTTGTTTCTCGGTGGTTCTGAGGTTTTAGATAATGGCGGTAGGTTGGAATCTGAGCACAGCAGACAACTAAAGATGACTAGTGACTTGTTCACTTCCCCATGTAGGTGGTTCACTTTATATAGCTTCCTGAGTCTAAGTTTGTATAGAAACATTAAGCAGAGAAACCATATCGTTATCTGCATAGGGAATAATAATCCGTGGGGTAAGATGATCTGCGATCTAAGTTCATATCGGAAATGGCCATAACGGTCAATTTCCGCGGCCATCACTGTTCGCAGCACGGAACGCAGATCATATTGTGGGTCTAGGATCGATCGTTTTACTCTCCACCAATAATGGACATTGTACGTCAGATGATTTAAACTGTCTGGTGAATAAGCTTTGTGTGCTGCTTCTTCAGCTGCTGCCCACGAAAACGGAATATCTGATGCTACCTCCTCCGGATCAAGACCCACTACGGGGTGAGAATATGGACCTATGAGATAATCCTCTACTGTGTCTCGATATTCTATGACGAAGGGTAATGCAAGACACATTCATGCGCCAAGGGATCCCGTCTCGGTGGCCTCGAGATGTTCATGATGGAGCTAGCACTGGTGCCTACCGTGCTGGCTATTCTACTCGCTGACCGAGAACAATTTTACTATTTTAGTTAAGCTTTCAGGCTAGCCCTATTACAGAGCCCGAGGAGTGAGAGAAGCTGCTCATAAATACCACCGTTTATGTAAAAGGTTGTAATATATAGAGGTCTCGAATACATACTGGTTCCGCAATTCCACATTCTTGCCTTTTCTTTGCTTCTCTTCTTGCCTGTTTCAATAGCTAACTGATATTTTATCAGAATCCCTACACAATAAAAGATACTTATGGCCTCTGTGTATCTCAAGCAGATTTCCCTCTTCCCTTTTCTTTCTGGATGGGAGGCCTCGCGTAAATGCAAGGCTTTCTTGGACACACGCCCTCTTCTCCACAACTGGTCTCGGTTGTGATTTTTGTATGAAAGGTAATTGATAGGTTCTCGAATCACACGTTAGATAATGATTCTTAGGGATAGAAGATCGTGATTTAGAGAACTTAACCACTGTGACGTTATTCCAGCTTTATATCTCCACAGAGTGATATTGAATCTTCTATGAAGTATGGTTTATAAAGATTATTGCCGACCAATTTCGGATTGTATATAGACGTCCATCAATATCGTCTGTTCGCCGTATAGATTGTTTTCTACTTTATCCATTTGTACGGTCTCAACATTGTGAATGACAGTGGACATGCGATGTTATCGTGACTGGCTAGAGGCCACCGTTGCTCCCGAGTATGTCCTATTCAAATTTATTTATCCTGTGGGCCCAAGACGGTTATGTTTAGAGAGCTCTTTTACATCTATGGGAATAGCTAGTCGTCGGACCAGGGTACTACAGTACCTCGAATTCTACTGGCACTAAGACAAGCTGCCATATGTAAATCACCTGGGTCAATTAATCAAGACAACGTCCTCCCCGGAGTGGCAATGTCTAACTCGTTAGTAACTTAGTAGTCTTAGCGCCATCGGCAACAACCCCAGAGTGGGACCCTGGCGTTCCGGGCCGGAATTCCTGACACCGGGTGTCTTGATGATCCACAACTGGGCCCACCAAGGAGGTCACCGGGGGATTTCCGAATTTGTTCTTGTTTGGCTTCGATCAAGCAGACAGTGCCAGCCTGGAAGAGTCCGCTTCGAATAACAGTTGTAGATAGGATGGTGCTCAGCTTGAGGCAGTGTCTTGGATATCCCTAATGCTCGAGAAGCATGGGAGGTGAGAGGTTATTGGGCGCTAGTTGCAGCTGGCTCTATTGATAAGTGCCCCCCTGATTTTATTCCAATAGTGAAAGGCAAGACAAACAAACAACTACAGTTGTAGTTTCTTGAGGAATACATTTTTCCAGACAATTTTACCAAGGTTATTCCTCATTTTCGAGATCACTATCCCAGCAAAGTGTACATTTTAATGAGTATACTGGCTCTGGTGGTGATGACAACACATGTGCGGATGTGCCACAGAGGCTGCCAACCTACCAATACTACTATACTCGTAGGAGCCAAGGGGTTTAGTGTTCGCAATTTAAGATATCCCGTTCGGTCTCTTCACAAGTCCATTGTGTAATCCAATCCTCTGAAGAGCCAAGACGGCATTGCCGAGCGCTTACAACTGCCATTTCAGAAATGACTAGTACCCTAGCCTGATTACGCCGGAAATACTGATTATCACCGAATGTGGAGGGGCAACCCTTGCCGTCGGAGATGTCATTTGCGCGAGCAAGTGCGGAGAAGCATGAAGAGGATATATCAGACCTGCCGATCATCATGACTCGGAAAGGACGGTGGCCACTTAGCTCGGGATGGTGCAGTTTTGTCGTGCTTGGACCTCAGGCATTATTCATAAATGGTCATTCTCTTGATCCCCGCGGTGATTCTGGAAGATGAAGATTTTCAATCTTTGATGACAGGTTCCGATGGCGCTGCTTCTAAAGGTCCTCCTCGCTGCTCTGCCAGGCGTGGTCGCTGGTCTTTCCCCAACCGCCACGGTCAAGAACGGCACCTACGAGGGCAAATATGTTGCTTCATACGACCAAGATCTCTTTCTCGGCATCCCCTTTGCTCAACCACCCGTTGGTGACCTCCGTTTCCAGAACCCACGGCGCTTGAACACCACCTTTGGCACCCGAAATGCCACCGAATATGCTGATTCTTGCGTCGGCTATGGAGTAAGACTAGCCTTCGCTTTGGAAATCAGTACCCCTGCTAACCCACCCTCCAGAACAGTGCGGCCTGGCCCCACACTCTCAGTGAAGACTGCCTGACATTGAACATTGTTCGGCCTGCTAAGTCAGGAGAGAGTCAGGATGACGAGCTGCTGCCGGTCGGTTTCTTCACTCACGGAGGAGGGTGGTCGATGGATTACAGTGCCAACGGGGTCTACAACCTAAGCTTTATCGTCGAGGAATCAGTCCAGATGGGAAAGCCGTTCATTGCCGTCTCCGCAGATTGTCAGTACGTTCTCTGCATGGGCCGGTTAATAATACTAACCTCGCATCTAGACCGACTATCTTTCTGGGGCTTCATGGCCAGTCAGGATATTCTCGACGCAGGCGTGGCCAACCTGGGTCTCAAGGATCAGCGACTTGCTCTTCAGTGGGTCAACGAGAATATCGAAGCTTTTGGTGGGGACCCAGCCAAGGTCACCATTTGGGGCGAGAGTGCTGGCGGTGGTAACGTTGGTTACCATGCTACTGCCTACGGTGGTCGTGATGACGGCCTCTTCCGCGGCATCATTGCTGAGTCCGGCGCGGATGGCAGCCACATGAAGAACCTGACGGAACCCCAGCAGATCTACGACACCATCGTCAGCGCTGTCGGCTGTGATAGTAGCTCAGACAGACTTGCCTGCTTGCGTAAGGTCCCCTTCGACAGACTCAATGCGACAATCACCAAGGTTACGGGTAGTTTCTACCCCGTTGTGGACGGGGACATCATCCCGGACCTACCATCGGTGCTGCTCGATTCCGGGAAGTTCACCAAGACACCTATCCTGCTCGGCACGAACGCCGATGAAGCCACCATGTTTGCTGGCACCGGAGCCAGCACGGACGAGGACATTGCAAGTCTCATTCAGTCGTCGGGGCCGGATGCCAACACAACCGAGATACTGATGGCGCTCTACCCTGACATCGACTCGCTCGGACTGCCGGCTGATTACCACGTTCTACCCGATGGACCCGTGGGAAAGCAATATAAGCGCTCGGTGGCGTTGCTGACGGACCAAATGTTCCTCTCCTGGCGACGCCTGAGGACAGATGCATGGTCCAAGTACGGCACTCCGGCGTATTCGTATCTGTTTGAGTCACCAAAGTCATCTAGTAAGTCATCTGTATCTCAATCATTCCAAGTAACAAGCTGACACTTGGGTGCTCACTGTAGCATCCCGCACAGGTACCAGCCATTTCGCCGAGATCGGCTACGTCTTCTACAACAGAATCGGCCTTGGATATGCCGCCGGCCAAAGCCCGCTCGCAAACGCGACCCAGGACGTACTAGACCTGGCCAGACTTACCACTCGCATGTGGATCAGCTTCATCACCGACCTTGACCCCAACCACCATGGAGGTAGGACCACCGCTGCATCCTGTCAATTTTGAGATTACCATCTAACCGTGATTTTAGTTTCTGGGGTCGACCACTGGCCCCTGTATAACGCTACGGGTGGTTACGGCCAGAACTTCTATTTGCATCCCACGGACGGGGGCGTGAGACCGGACACCTTTCGCCTGGCGGGGACGACGTTTATGAACTCGGTCGCGAGGGAGCCATACGGGCGATGAGAGCTACTGTGAGCAAGATACCGTGAAGACATAGTATGATTATATTGGAGCCAAGTGTACAATGCAAAATTCGAGATTGAAAAATCCCTTTTTCATGCACTTCCGGGAGTCGCTGCGCCGTGTGTATTGCCCGGACAGCCTCTGAACCGAGTAGACAATCGTATAATCATGAAACGCGTAATTCCATAACCCCCCCTGCATTACCTGTAGACCGGCAATGAATTCCACAAGGGAAAGCACCCCAACTTCCTGTTCGAGATAGAGGGCATAGAACCCAAGTGTACTCTCGTACAAGCCAATCAAACCCCACCTCGGGCACCAACGAAAAGCCAAGAGGCTAGCCCGAAGCGGGTGGGGGGGAGCCATCGATCGTCGCCTGGAGGACAGACACGATGCCATATAATAATCTATTACGGTGCTGACTGCGTTGATGCCGGTTGGCTCCGAATGTGTCGGTAGATAGCCTTTAATGCGGGGCTCAGAAAAAGATATGCACGCTGGCTGTCGTTGTCCTTCGTGTCCGAGAACGGGTGTAATGATTGACCGCCAAGGTAATGAGCGAGCCGAACAGAAACGGAAGAGAGAGGACAAAAGCGAAGACGAGGAGTTGCCGGAGAAGTCGCGGGGGAACGAGGGCCGACGTAGCGAAAAGGAAAAGCGTGAGAATGAAGGTTGAGATGAACATGACTGCCGAGTGCATCCTGTAGATGACAATGGCGTGGTGGTGATCAGTGGGGAGTGGAGGAGAGAGTCCACTAGGTTGTCACTGGAGGGGCGGGGTGGTCATGGCCCATTAAAATACATGATGAGGTCGATTATCAGTCTTGAGAATGTCTCCTGTACATCGCAGGGTATCTTGCTGGGCTTTTCCCAACGGATATAATATAGCGGCCCTCAACTTGCGACCAGGCAACGTCGGCGGCGGAGGAACATGGTTGTTCTTTTGTGGCTTGTTTAGGGCTGGCACGGGACGAATAGGGAATTAGTTGGTGGATTGGCCAACAGTTGTCACTAAGCCTCATGGCAGCTACCCTGCTAGCCTGGGTTTGTTCTTTGTTCTTTCTTTATTCTTTCGTGTATTCCTTGTTGTCTAATTTCTTACTCCTTTTCTTTCCCGTTTCTCTCCTTTTTTCAGTATTTTGGTTTTTTTTTTTTTTTTTTTCTCTTTGCTCGGGCCAAACCACATCCATCGACATGTCAGCCCTTATATGGCATTTGAATATGCAAAGCCTCATAACACGCCAAGCAACAAAAGCTAAAAAAAAGAAAAAAAAAAAGGTAAAAGCACAATAAGAAAAAGAATATAGAAGCAAAGGAAGAATACTACTAACATGGGTTATTGGCGAAGGAGAAAGAAAGCCACTGGAGTGACTAATAATAGGCAATAACAACAGTCTACTAGTGGGGGCCAAGAGCTAACTCCAAACCATCTCTCATTGACAGAGCACATAAACTAATGGGGTTACGGGTAAATGGAACGATTTAGGACCAAGGGTGTGCTGGGATGGAAAAGGCTAGAGCTCAAGGTTAAGACCAAGGGTGATGCCCCCTCTACATTAGCACCCCAGCGTGTTTACTTCCATCCCCCCCCTCTTCTCAGTTCTCTCCGTAGTGTCATTCGCTATATACCGTCCCAGCCACAGCATTTCGCATACTTAATCCGCCTATAATATATGTATGATTCTACTTCCCGGGTTCGAAAAGTCCCGACAATTGACAGGCAAAGAATAGAAAGGGGCAATGTGGTTCTATTTAGCAATAATTGTGATCCGTGAAGGCGACCTATGCCCTAACTGATGAGCTACATGCGTCCAAATCGGGAGGCAAAATGATTAGCCGTGGAAACGAGGAAGTGCGTTACACCATATATAAGTGACATCAAATGAAGGAGGAGAGCGCGGGTAGGAAATATTAACGGATAAAGTACACGAACTTGATAAATATGTATGTCTACAATGTTTCGCGTGTAGTGGATGGAGCTTTGTGTACCTAGTGTGCCTCTACTTTCTGTTGGCTAGCTGCACTGTTTAGAGGATATTAGGGATAGATCACTGTGGCTGATACAATTCCATTGTGTACATCATGAGTTGTTGTCCTATGCTACATAATAGGAGTGGTTGTAATGTAACCTAGGGAAAAATATTCCATGTCGAGTAGGACAAGAGGCGCTGTGGAAGCATCCGTCTATATTCCCAGTCGGATGACCGCGAATAGACGCTCGAAACACGTTTAGAGCTGTACGCATCAGGTAGAACTGTCCAACTAGGGAAATATGGAAGGCTTCCGCCGTGCGCTACCACAAAAATTGGGTTTGCTGAAGTCAGCCCTGGAGAACGAGTGTAACTGTATCAAGTAGGAGGGGGATGCAAGGTGATGTGCAATTGTGGCCTGCGTCTCTAGGATAATAGGTGACTAGAGATTGGCTATCAAAGTGTAACGTGATGTTGCAATCGAGTGGAGATGTTCTTGTCCAAGACCATGCAAACACCGCGGCGGGGGAATTGGTGTAGCAGATTTCCTGGAAAAGACACCCAATCCAGACAGAAGATGCATGCACAGCCTCCTGCTCGTGCCACTTGCGAGGGTTGTATGCTGTCGTCCCAACACTAGGTGGAAGAACGAGCAGTGGTCTCATTAGCAGATAATAATATTGTATCCAAGGCATCCTGCACAGTAGACAGGGCCAGGTAAACTGTTACGTACCTTGTTTGAGTTCCGTTACTCAAGGTCGGAATTTCACCCAAGGTTATATTCAAGGGTGTCAGGCCTGGCTACACGTTCTAGGTGCTCTGTGCTTTTTCATCACCGGAGAGCTAAGTGTCAGGAACACTGAGAGTGTGATTTCGCTTTTCTTTTCCTTTCCTTTATTTATTCTTGTGAAGGGTAACTTGTTATATGACTGACTAAGGGCTTATCACTCGTGTCCTGAGGGATTAAGGCGCAATTTTGGGATTGCAGGCATGCCTGGTGTCTCTGACCACAACGGTACTACACGTAAGGCTGAATAGAAACGCAGGTGCCACCGACACGGGGTCTAGACCAGACCTGCAGGTCAGGATATTGGCCAGGTTCAAATAAGGATAAGCTCGGTGGCATTGAATGGTCAGAATTAAAACGAAAAGAAAACTTATAAGCAGTGCCTGGCCTCTAAGGTAGTATCGATCATCAGTTTTAGCGTAATTGGGCTACTCCGGACTCCACCTGACTTGATCCCAACGTGGAAACGCCAATATGGCGTCCTTCCCTCCCCCCCCGCAGTCCTAAAGAGTTCAGAATCGTTATTATCTGTGTTCTTGAACTGGAGGCTCAAGCCGTGAGACCAGCCTTCGATGAAATTTACAACGTAATGCAGTATCCCCACTTGGGGAAGGCGCGTGGTGATCCAAATTCCTACACGCTTGGGCGGATGGGACTGTACTATGTGGTCCTGGCACACATGCCCGAAGCTGGAAAGGCATCTGCAGCCAGTGTGGCCAGCAATGTCGGGCGCAGCTATCCTAACATTGAGGTGGGCTTCTTGGTTGGTATTTGCGGAGCCGTTCCAGTCAGGACGGACTCTAATGTGAACCGACAAAAGAAGACAATATCGTTGGGGGATGTGATTGTCGCAAACGGGGTCATCCAGTATGATCTGGGGAAAGAAACGGAGACAGGCTTTTCCCGAAAGAAGACTTACCACGATACTCTGGGAAGACCCAATAACGAGATCCGAGGATTCTTAGCCAAAGTCCGTGCGGAGCGTCAGAACTTCTTGAAGATCTTACCTGTTTACCTTAGTACCATTTACTCATGCTTCATGATCGAATGTTCGGGACAACAGCAGAGCATGACGAGCTACAGTGGACACTCTGGACAGGAGCCTTGCGATGTTGTTATGGTTGGCTCTTCTGAAGATCTCAAGGCTACCAGATCCTCCGCCACATGTGCATTTTGGTCTGATGGCATCGGCCGACACGGTCCTGAAATCTGCGCGCGTTCGCGATAAACTAGCAAAAGACGAAGATGTCATCGGATTCGAGATGGAGGCAGCGGGAGTATGGGACAATATTCCTATAATAGTAGTGAAGGGTGTATCCGATTATGCCGATAACAATAAGGATGATAGAATGCAACCCGTCGCAGCCGCGGCCGCCGCTGCCTGCATGAGAGCCCTTGTTGAAGGATGCCCGATATCCACCTCAAGGTAGGTAGATAGAACCACAAGGGTTGCATCCAAGAACTGATGCTAAGAAATGTATTGCAAGCTCGACAGAAGAAGGATCCTTTCTAGATCCAAATCCACAGGTTATTGATTCACTGGATTTCTATCGGGCCACGTACCGTCGGGAGGAGATACACACGGCGGCGAAAGAGACTTGTGAATGGATAATTGAAAAGGAGGTGTATCAGTCTTGGATGGACGATACGCAGCTGCATCAACACGAAGGCTTTCTGTGGATCAAGGGTGGCCCTGGTACTGGGAAGTCCACTTTGATGAAGTTCATATTGCGCGAGGCAGAAAGGTCTGAAAGATACACTATCACACTGTCTTTCTTCTTCCACGTCTCTAGAGTCACTCTACAAAAGTCGCAGGTTGGGATGTATCGTTCGCTGTTGTACCAGCTTCTCAAGGCTAGTGCCGCCCCAGACCGATGTAGAGAAGAGTTTCTCCGTGCTGTTGCAAATATGAGTGGGAGTGATACTACACCTAAGCACTGGGATATCGCAGACCTGAGGCACCTACTTCTGTGTATGATGGACGTCCTGAGCAATGGCCATGTCAATCACCATGTACTTTTCCTGATCGACGCTATTGATGAATGTGCGATCAACAGGGAAAAAACCCTGGAGATGCTTTGCTTTCTTCGGCAGATAAAGAGTAATGTCCGCGGAAACCAACTCCGTTTGAGATTCTGCCTATCGACACGGTATTATGAGCATATTGATCCCAGGCCAGGGAAACTGTTAGCCCTGGACAGCTTCAGAGAACACCAGCTTGACATTGAGAAATATGTGACACAGACACTCAGATCTACAGATCAAACAATCAGAAAGGACATCTGTGTGAAGTCAGCTGGTGTGTTCCTATGGGTCAAACTTGTGGTAGACAGTTTAAATGACGATTTTCATAAGGGCAACGTGCACGATGTGCAAACAAGACTGGACAAGATCCCGCAGGGACTAAACCACCTTTATAAAGAGCTACTAAACCGAGACCGTGCACCAGGCCAAGATCTTATGCTCTTCTTTCAGCTCATTTTGTTCTCCTCGCGACCCTTGACGCAAGAGGAACTGTACTTTGCATTATTCTTCAGAAACAGCAACCTGGTCAGGAGGAATACCTCACATATGGATGGGGTCTCCAAAAGCTACATCCTCCATGTCTCGAAGGGACTCGTTGAAGTGACTGCTAGTAGCTCAAGCAAAAGCACAGTTCAGTTTATTCACGCATCAGTTCGGGAATTCATGGATGGTCAGTTGGAATTAGCATTTAGCCGTGAAGGAAACGTCAAAGGATCCTGCCATGACCAGCTACGAGACCTGTGCTTCAGATACGTCCATCGTTTCAAGCTAGGGAACAGAGACCTCGATGATTTGATGCGTCTCATGCGGCAACAAACATATTCCGTGTCCGTTAATAACGTGATAAAGAATAGCATTCTATTCTTTGGTTACGCCGTGCTCAATCTTTTCCATCACAGCAATGAGGCCCAACGCCACGGCATTGAGCAAGGCGGGTTTCTGAAAAAATTCTCGGCTGTGTATGGCGGAGACTTTTCCCAGTTCACATTCTACTATGATTCAGCCGTGGCTAACACAAAAGACTGGTACAACGACGCAACGCTTTTGCACTTCCTCTGTGATAAGTGTCTGAGGGATCTCGTCCGTCAAGAGGTCCTGAATGGATCATATGGCTGGGAACGGTCGGGCAAGCGTGGCTGCCCGATGAGTACTGCAGTATACGATGATGACCTTTATACCATACGAGCATTGCTGGGATGCGCACCATATGATGGATGTCATGGCCCTGGCAGCTATTCCAAGGTTCTGGAAGACCCCACAGTGGTTCAAAGTATGAAACAATTCTTGGAAGAAATACCTGAGGGCTGTAAGGTATTGCAGAGTGCTAAATTTTGCGAGGGCCTTGACATACAGACGTTGTTGCTCAAATATGCTCTCGACCAGGAGAACCTCGCTGTTTTAACCTTGCTGTGGCGCACAGGACTGGTTGACTTCAACCAAGCAGTCAATGGAGAAACCCCGCTGAATTGGGCACTGGAAAGACGCTCGGCCTTTCTGGTCAACCATCTCTTGGACCGCGAAAAGGACGGCATCAAGGTGGATATCAATAAACCGACGCATGGCAATCCGCCACTGAAATTAGCCATTCAGAGCAAGCGCCAACGGGAAGCCAAAATAGACATACTCCTTGGCCACGACCGTTTGGATCGTTCGTGTCTGGACAGGAGACGATGTAATGCTTGCCATTGGGCAGTACGTATGAATGATGAAGGGCTACTGAGACGCTTAATCCACTTAGGATTTCGGATGAACCATCGGGGTATCAAAGGGCACAGCCCTCTTTCGCATGCAGTGGAGTGTTGCAAGGTCGGAATGATGGAAATCCTGCTCACGGCAGATGCAACCCAGGTGGATGAAAAGGATGCGGACGGAAGAAGCCCTCTATCATGGGCGGCAGGCTGGTGCTCCCCCACAGAAAATGATGCTATCAGTGACCCAAGAACAAGAGGCTTGTTTCAAAAACAATCTTTACAGACGCCGTTGAGATTCGACAGAGTCGATGTGAATTCTGTGGACAAGGACGACAGAACGCCGCTAATGTGGGCAGTCGCAGCAGGTAATCGACCAGCTGTCCAGCTACTCTCATCCCATAAGGACACCGATATCAACTGCTGTAGCAGATTTGAAGAAACATCTCTCAGCATTGCCATCATGAAAGGGGACCCAGTGATTGTTAAAATGATACTAGAAAACAGAAGGATCGACGTCAATCTACGGGGTATCTACGGTCGAACTCCTCTATCATGGGCATTTGGCCCATGGCACCCTCTGAAAAAGGACAAAGCACAAATAAGCCAGTGCCGCAACCCTGCAATTGTCAGGTTACTTTTCGAGTCAGGGGCGGACATGAGCATTATAGACGCTCTTAATCATACCCCACTGTGGTGGGCTCGGTCTTACGATGTAGTGGCAAGGGGCAATCTAGAAATTCAAACCTATCAAGACTCCCCTCTCACCGTTTGGGGGGACTACCTTTCATCATCAGAGAAAAGGAGGGCGCTTCAAATGCTCACTCGCGACGAAGCCACCTTCAGGTGTGAGATCTGGTGCATGTGGCAGGTTTGCGAAAAATACGGATTGCAGGCCAGGTACCCCTGGACATCTGAAATTGGGATAGATATCCTAGAGTGAAGATGCCCATTGGTTGGCATTCAGGGGACATTGCTCATGCCATTTCATGTTGCTGACTGTCAACCAACTGATACCAATGCTCACCACCTAGACTGTGTTTGTCTTCTATAACTATAACTTCATGAAATTACCACGCGGGAAGAATTGAACACCTTTCATTTTTTGTACTTGTAAGTCCTGGATCAATCCCCCCTAAAATTGTAACACCTAGATGAGAAAGCCAAGTATAAGACCAAGAATCGGCCCGATAATCAGCCAGTTGTGAACAGCATTACGGAATGCCACTGAGTTCTGGCCTTCCTCCTCAAATCTCATGTTCATTGAGTTATTCCCAAATCCAAGCGTCGGGACCCATGAAGGCTTGTTTCCCTTATTTAAAATATCCGAGTGAAGAGGGTCCACCCTCCCCAGAAATTCAATCGATCCTTCTCCATACATAGCGTCACCTTTCTCGTTATTGACCAAGAACCAGGCACTAAAAGAGAAGCTGGCCGATTGGTTATCGAACATTAAACTGGCGATGGGCTCGGTGATAGGGATATCTTTCGGGTTATGATCGCCTTGATCTAAGAAGTTGAGGCCCCACCACGTATCGGCGGAGTCATCACAGGAGCTCATGTTCATCTCCACTGTCTTGACTCCTCGTCCGGTGTCATTAGAGGCTCCTATGATATGGTACGGCGGACCGAGCTCGTTTTCGAGCGAAAGATTGAAGTAGGGCTTATGTGATCCACTTGTGTAGCCTGGGATTACGTGTCTAAGGGGTGTTATTTGTGTGCATCTCGTTGGATGGTTGGAAATTGGACGTACTCGATTGAAAGGAATTGCCACCTTAAGTTCCTTTCTTCGTTTCCCATATCAGAACCGTGGACAAAGTCGAAGTCTGTTAACGCTGACTTTAGAGCAATCTGTACCGGGTTCTTGCCCTCGTCATCGGGGTTTGTCTTTGTCACGGCCAGTATAGATTCAGATGCGAATCTTGTAGTTTTATTTCGAAAGGGACGGCACACCTCATCGCCATTGTCATCTAGAAGATATTGCAAATTGAACGTTGTAGTGCCGTTGTAGTACCTGTCACCAGTCAATAAGAATATATCCATTCCAGATGGACTTATGGCTTACGATCCAATCCAAGAGTAGAGAAAATATGGCAGCCCGGTTATGTTCCTGAGGCGGAAGTTGTATTCGGGGTCAAAGGTGGAATCTTTGAAACCAAGAGTCTGTAAGGGAAGAAGTGTCCAGATCAGCAAGATGTAGTTCATCTTGCAAATCATGCCAGTTTACTTGTTGTTTCAGTCCAAGAGCCTTCTACTGGGGAAGAGAGAATGTCATTAAGCGTAAACATTGTGACTCGAAATGATCATCCATCACATGAGCAGAGATAGCTCGTGTTGGTACTTGGCATGCAATTCTAGTGGTTCTTCCAAGGTTCGCTAATTTCACACATTTCAGCAGTTTCTGACGGGCAGTCAGGGAGGAATTACACACTAGCAGTGTAGTGTCTTGGCTCTGTCCACAGCCGCCTGAAATGCCTTGATAAAGTGGGTTAAACCCCGCTCGAAAAAGGTTATATCGAAAAAGTTGAAATTACCCCTTTCAGTAATCACTGAAGCTATTCAACGTATGCTTGGTTTGCATATCTTGTAGTACTCCTTGGCTTTTGTCATTCTCATTACCGTGCAATATTCAAAGATACATATACTCGAAGTTCATACTACTAGCTGTCGAAACCCACGGCAAACTCATTAACAAACTTAGCACTACGAGTAAGAAAAGTCAAGTATAGCAATATATTAACCAGCATCGTGAGCGTTCCTCCATTCAGCTAAAGACCAACTCTACCAGTCAGTATGAGTGAGTGACTAGGAGCACATGGATGGACGCTGGGAGATTCAACTCTTTCGTCACTTCAAAAATCCCCAGAGGTTATTCAGGCTTTCAGCAAACGTCGGATGCGCGAAGATAGCATCTTGCACTTTGCTATATGGAAGTTTTGCAATCATAGCCATCTCCATGATACTCATAAGCTCTCCACCTTCCGTGCCGAGACATGTAAAGCCAAGAATTTGCCCATCATTGGCATTAACCACTGCTTTCATCATCCCTTTTGGTTCATCGGTCTCTAATGCCCTGGCAACGTAGCTCATTGGCATAACCGCTGTTGCTATTCTCATTCGTGGGTACAGCTCGCGCGCCTCTCTCTCATGCAACCCAACGTGGCCTAGTTGTGGGTCTGTATATACCACATACGGCACGAGTCTGTCTTTCACAGTGGGTCCTGAATGTGCCAGAGAGTCGGAGAGTAGAGAAACCTTCAAAACCCGAAAATCATCATAGGATATATGTGTAAAAGCAGGAGGGCCCTTGACATCGCCGATGGCATAAATAGAAGGGACAGAAGTCTCCAGAAACTCGTTGCACTTGATGTACCCTTTTACATCGACTTCGATTCCTGCAGCGTCTGTGTTCAGGTAATCTGTGTTAGGAACCCTACCAGCAGCAAAGAGAATATGAGTGCCGTTGCTCACAATCTCAGTGCCGCTTTGAGTCTCCACTGATAAGCTAAATGTTTCCATAGATGTAGATGAAATCGATGTGGCTCTGGCCCCCAGATGAATCTTCAAATGCTCGTCCCACAGGATATCCAACAGCTCAGCTGCTATCTCTTTGTCCTCACGAGGCAGCAGCTGTGGCCCTCGCTGAACAATTGTCACTTTTGATCCAAGTCTCGCGAATAGTTGGCCGAACTCAACTCCAACATACCCACCCCCGATGACCACTAAATGTCCCGGCAGCTCACCTAGCTCTTGAATCGATGTGGAGTCCAGTACCCTGGCTTTCTCTACCCTTTCCAATCCATCGAGCCTTGGAGGTGCGGCCGGCAACCAACATTAACAATGATCTTTTCCCCCTTGAGAAGTCTGTAGCTCCCATTGGGGAGCATCACTTTGAGGGTGGTCGCATCGTTAAAGCGTGCCTCCCCTCGCAGAACATCAACCCCAGCAGCTTCCAGGCCTTTTTCACTTCCACTGCGGAAGGAGCTCACTATATCGCGTTTTCGCTGCCTCACTTTCTCCATAGAAACAGTGAACTCATTCATCGACCCTATTTGCCCTGGTAAGTGGATACCGTAGTCTGGCCCCCTGCGGATTAAATGCGCAACGCGACCTGAAGCAATCATAGTCTTGGTTGGCGTACAGCCTTCGTTGATGCAACAACCGCCAAGGTGTTCTTTTTCTATGAGTGCAGTCTTCTTGTTTGCAGCAGCCAATGCCTTTGCAAGCGGAGTACCGCCTTGGCCCGAGCCTATTATGATGGCGTCGTAGTGTGTAGTGGTTGCCATTTTTCTGGTGATCAATTGCCCTAATTGTCGACGTGCTGTGTAGAGGTACGTAAACGATATCGACATCACGGGTCCTATCGTAGATTTAATTGATTAGAGTGCAACTGAGAAACGTGGTTTATATATAACAATCGTCATTCGACGTAGGTAGTGTGACAATACATCATGGTTCGGTATGTGGTGGCATGTTCCGTGGATTCGATTAACCTTATTTTATCTTGTTAAATCACAAGATCCAGACCACCTTGGACTATCATGCACGATTGGATTATAACAGACAACCAATAAAGGGGGCTGCTGTACGAGGCCTCAAATATACTTCGGGTGAAGGCAAATACCGCATCCGATGGACGTTGCTGTTGATTCCAATTCAAAATGCTCTTCATGTATAGTCGTATTGGTAGGCATGGCCTTCGCTTATACTAGTCTATGAATAAGCCTGAACAATTAGAACCCAGTTTCATCCTAGAAAGCACGAGTTAGTTAATGAGAAGCAACGGAATCTCCTTGGTGTAGCAGGGCTATCCCACTATGAGTGTGCGGGATTGCAGCATCCAATTTATACCTTCAAGCTGGTATGAATGTCAAGCGGGCGGCACATAGTCATCCTCCAGCCCTCATTCCTAACAGAATTACTATTCAATGACCTGTCTACAGGTAAAATCCATTGCACAATCAGTCCCTCGTTATGGCATGCATGTTAAGATGCCATGCTGCACATATCTTGATCGTCTTAGGTAACCCTAAGCCCTAATACTGTCCCTGGATTCATGAGATGTTGCCCCCTTCTACACATAGCACCTCGCCAGACTCTCTATCGTACTATTTTCAGTAGTTTTGCAGCAATACCTTTCTTGACATTATGCACACTTCCTGTATATGTCTAAGTGGTTCTTAGAACATTTGCATCAAGCGCTGTCGGGATTTGGCCCGGAATCTTGATCATCATATAACCAGGCTCTGGCGGGATATAATATCATGGTAGTAACACGTAGCTTGTTTATTCAACGCCAGTGATCTGTGGCCCTGCTGCTAGCTTTCTGATTTCGGACAGTCGCCGGGGGACATCGAACCTAGTAAGAAACATGAGACAGCGCTTCCGAGTAGCCAGAGACTGTACAACGTTGATAGGATCTATAAATGTTTATTAGAGACCCAGGAAAAGAGTTACCACGGCATTCCTCGTTTTACCGTCGAATAAACGTAATCCCCCGAAACCTTCTCGTGACACTTTGACATATTAATATTACATTATATTTGGCCTGTTAACAGCACCGAGAAGATGCCTCTGCCGAAGTTATGCCGAAACTTGTGTCTTTCTGCGCTAGAACCTTACACCTGGGTCATGCCGGCCTGCACCCCGCGGGTGAGATGCATAGTAGGACAAAGAACCGGCATCCTTCGGGAAGAATCCATGCAATTGCGTCTCAGAGCTGCGGAGAAACACTTTGAGCCACTTGGACTGCCGCCGTTGAGATGACCACATACGGTAATTGAGCCCAACCGGCAGATATTCCCCCGGGGTTCGGGCAGCAACTTCACTTCTTCATTCGGTCCGCTGGTGGATGAATATTTTAGACTTTCTTCGAGGAATATAAATTCCGCTTTCCTACGAACGGGAGCCACGGCCCACTTTCCTTCCCGAACCGCGTGGTTGACATTGGTCTCATCCGGGCGTCATCTGTTGCCAACCAAAGGTCTTCAAATGTGTTGGCAAGTTTGAAGATTGTCCCTTCGCCGGTACGTGACTAGTCGACATCTTTGATTATGACTAGCATATCTTGGATACCTGTGAGCAGGTAAAAAGGTAATAACATATTTGGTGATGTCTCTTTCTGGCTCGGACCACTTCCGTTTACCATGTGGAGCAACTTGTGGGGTTTGGAGTTAAAACCTGGAGACGCCGGGGTTGCTTGAGCCTAGCTAGAATATGGCATATGCATACAACCACCTCAGCTCTAAACGTCGATCCTTACCAGAACTGTGGTGGCATGGCTTTCCTCCTCACTTGTACATACGCTGGGATTCTTGGGGAGGAGTTTAGAGGATGCTTATGGGATTGGTTTCTAGGGGCCTCAAGTATATAAAGACCTTCCAGAGCCGCTGTTTCAATGTTATCATCATACACCGTGCAGAGCTGTCGAGAAGTAAACAAGATGCGAGCCACCCTGTCATGTGTTGCTCTGCTGGCAGCGTTTGCTGATGCACAGCAATTGTACTTCACGACGGATGGTTATACTGAGCGTCCGCAGTGTACTAAACCGGCTGTCGTTCCTCGGTACCATTTCCGGCCCTTTTCCTATACCCTAAACGAGACCATTCGGTGAGTGCTCTCACATACACTTCTATTACAAACCAGAAAGCAAAACCTAACTAGTGGAATGTTGCAGCTATGCTACTTCGGTAGCCGCACCAACCACGACCCGAACGTATGCGCCACCTTATTCGGAAGCCGTCAAGCACCTCACGACAAGTCCGGTGACTACGACATGGGGTAACTGGCTGCCCAATCAGACAGTAATTACGGCTACAGACACAGATGATCCTTATGGACAAGCCGCATGGTCCTCGCTCTGGCAACAAGCCGAACTAGAGAACTACACGACTACCGGGCTGTATTCTACCACAGTCAGTCCCACAGCGGTTCCAAGCAGTGAGCTAGCCCTACCGCCGCGGGACTACTTCGGACCAACTGATTGCTATAACTTCCCGGATGACTTTATCTTTGGCGTTGCAGGAAGCGCAGCTCAAGTGGAGGGTGCCATGGGGTTGGAAGGACGTGGCCCTACCATCCAGGAGAAGCTAGTGAATGCTACTCAGCCAAAGAATTATGTGACAAACGAGAACTACTACCTCTACAAGCAAGACATCCAACGATTGGCTGCCATGGGAGTTAAATACTATAGTTTCTCGATCCCATGGACTCGAATCCTACCCTTCGTGTTGCCAGGTTCTCCCGTGAACGAACAGGGGATCAAGCATTATGATGACTTAATCAACACCGTCCTTGATGCCGGAATGCAGCCTATAGTCACCTTGCTTCATTTTGACAGTCCCTTGATGTTCGTGGGCAGCGACAACAGGTCCGCTCATCCAGACATTGGCTACTACAACGGTGGCTACCAGAACGAGACTTTCGTGGGCGCCTTCGTCAACTACGCGAAGATTGTTCTCACTCACTACGCTGACCGCGTTCCGATCTGGGTTACCTTCAATGAGCCCTTTCTCTATTCATTCAACTTTGCTGGTGCCAATAACGTGGTGCATGCCCACGCGCAAGTGTACCATTCTACCACGAAGAGCTGAATGCCACCGGCAAGATCGGTATCAAATTCAATGACAATTTCGGAGTTCCTCGCGATCCAACCAACTCAAGCGACATCATCGCCGCCAACCGATTCCAAGAAATCCAGCTTGGCCTGTATGCCAACCCCATCTTCCTAGGCGAGCAGTACCCGGACTCTGTCCTGACAACTCTACCGGGTGCTAAGCCACTCAGCGACCAGGACCTCTCCTACATAGGCAACACCTCAGACTTCTTCGGCGTCGACCCATACACCGCGACGGTCGTCTCTCAGCCAGCCGGAGGTATCGAGAGTTGCACAAAGAACCAATCTACAGAGAACCCGTTATTTCCTTCCTGTGTCATACAAGAGACAAAGAACATCTACGGTTGGAACATCGGGTACCGCGCCCAAAGCTACGTGTACATCACACCCACTTATCTCAGGGCATATCTCAACTACCTCTGGAATACCTTCCGGAAGCCCGTGTTCGTGACCGAGTTCGGGTTCCCTGTATCCCATGAGGCCGACCTGGAGTTGTCAGACCAGCTGTTCGACACGCCGCGCAGTATCTACTATCTATCCTTCATGTCGGAGATTCTAAAGGCCATCCACGAAGATGGGGTGCATGTTATGGGCGCTTTGGCTTGGTCATGGGCTGATAACTGGGAGTTTGGCGATTACAAGCAGCAATTTGGGTTACAGGTGGTGAATCGGACAACACAGCAGCGATTTTTCAAGAAGAGCTGCTTTGATTTGGTTGATTTTGTGGGTGCGAGATTGCCATCTTCGTCATGAGTTTCGTCATCCTGTGAAGGTCAAGGCGGAGCTGAATTTGGAGGGTCACGCGGGCTGTTGTTCAAATCGTCGTATATAACTCAAGCCAATGGCGAAGGCGTGGATTAGTATATTGAATCTTAGTTTGCGAGCGAATCATAGATACTTAACTATGATCCAATATTTAAACTCCAGGCTAGACACCATAGGCTATCATAAACTAGTCGTCATTGTCTTGCTTCTTCCCTACTACACAAATCCTCATCTGGCCCCTATTGATACCACCACTACCTTGACTGACTATTACCAGCGCGACCATATAGCAGAACCTGGATTAATCCGGTTTTTCTTTTTGCAGCTCTTTCGCCTAGTCCGGGTTGAAGATCATCTAGTAACCAGCAGGGCGGCGTTTACTAAAGCTGGGCACGTTGAGAAGGAACCAGAAGCCTCATGGGCTCGAGGCCAGCTATTTCCTCGTTGACCGCGGCCCTAGGTAGCCCATTGCGGTATACATGATGTGAGTCTGTGCCACAGCTGCGATATGGCGCCGCCTTTTGGTAATTATTATCTTATCTTGTGTTACGTGGTGGAACGGAGAATCTATTATTCAAGGCAGCGGACCTGTCGACTGCGAAAAGAAAATACGGGGAAGCATATACGCCACGAACTGCCTTCCAATCTGTTCATTCAGTACTGAGAGTAACTATGCATAATACTTCCCATTCAGAACCCTAGCACCGTCCTCATCATACTGCTGCTTAGACACCCAAATGCCCTGGGAGTCAGCCGCAGCCACAATGGTACCACCCAGCCAGACCGAGTATTCAGGATGCGCGGGTTCAACGATGTTCACAGATGCAGATTCCGGCGCAACGTTAACGATCGCATTGTGCAGTTGGTCTGCCAGGCCAGGATCCGGGTTGGCTCCGGACTAAATTATTTCATTGTTAATAACCAGTGACAGTAAAGCTTAGTCAGGGCTACACATACCAGGATGATATTACTATACAAAGTAGCCTGAACGCTTTCGTCGAAGTTTTGAGCTACGTTTGATATAGCAAATGAGAGATCTCCCAGCTCAACTTGGGCTCTTGCTTCCGCGACACATCTCCCTTCGATCACGGGGACGACGCGGGCGTATTCATACCCAACGTCAATGACTAGGCCGGTAGTGCGATTGGATGCATAGACGGCCAACACGGCATCGGGTACGATATTGAGGGCGGGTGCGTTGAAGTTCTCAAACATCATCTGCACGGTCTTCTCCCGATCCGCGTCGGAGGTGAATGGGGATTCGGCGAGCAGGATGGGGTGTTCTTCCGTTGCGACCTTAAGCTCATGGTAGAAGGCGTGTCGGTAGAGCTTCTCTAATGCGTCCCAGTTTGTCACGGAGCTGTTTTGGAGTGGGTTTACGAGGGGCTCGTTGTTTTGGATGGCTTCGTCGCCGACAGACCTAGTTGTGTAGGTGATGTTAAGCAAACTCGGGGTACAATGTTCCAGGGTTGGTGGTTACCGTGAGCCAATGACGGTTCCTTTCTATATGTGTTAAAATAGAACATAACTAGCATGGGCTGCGAAGGATTCCACAAACTTACGGAAGACAGAGCGAGGGGCATCGTCACCGGCAAATCCAGCCCTGGTACGGAAGGAGCTGCGAGAAGATTAGCCACGTACAGATGTTTGGAAGTGAAGTAGGGCAGCGTACCCAGCGTCAATGACAAGTCCTTGGACGTCACCGTCTAATGTCCGAAACCAATTAGCACGGGTTAGTAAGACAATGCTAGGTTATATAAATGGTGGAATTAAACTAGGGAGCCTACCGGACATTATTGCGGGATAGATAAGTGGGTTTGGTTTGATCTTATGAGAGAACTGAGAGAATCAGATCTAAGATGCGGGATCGCTTTTATTTATATAGGCTCCGGTGGGGTGAAAGCAAATGTTCTTGACTGGCTGAATGGTATTCCTGAGCAGGCTACGTTATCTGGCCAGTTATATCATCACACTTGGTGATATTTGTGTAAGATCGTCGCTTGGATACGTGGAGATTCACTCACTAGTGAACTTACTGGATGCCAAAGCAATGGTTCAATGGGTGCGGCTGAGGATTCCAGATCCTGTGGGTCCGTGTCTATCATGGTGGTGGGGATATCTAGATGGTGAGAAAGTTCTCGAGATATGACAACGCTTATATACAGCCAACCAAACTTCTCTCTGTATAACAATAGCTCATGGATAGCATCCCCTAAAACCCCTATATTATAATGTATTTCCAGCGTAGGTGTGGTAGAATTGCTCATCATGATATTTTCCAGCCGCTCCCGAATGTCAACTTCAGCTGAACCCCGCAGCCCCGCAGTATGTTTCTCAACGTATACATACGCCATATGCATAGTACACTGGCAAGTTCACAATATGAGGCTATAAATTAATCACTAGTCATAAGCAGGGTACAAAATAAGATTTAGTTCTTCAGTCACACCATAGCTATACCTGATTGCATTGCATTGTGTTCAATCATTACTGAAATTCTTAATTTTAGATAGACCTTGTATAGAAATGGAACCAAAAATAAAAGATAATACAATAACCAAAATACTAGGAAAAGATTCTATATATAGTTACAAATATTGTGGAACATTGAGTAAACTGTTGTCAAAAATATACCATTTCGTCTATATAAGATAATGCATACTCGAGGGATCCTTGGGGCCTGTCTATTAATCCGAACCTCCCCCAAAGGTCCAGTCCTACTGCTCACCTGCCATAGTTTTGTCGGTGATATCTACTACACAAGGTAGAAGAACTGTCAACTGAAAGCTTCGATACAATGCCCATGCCCTTACCACCGTCTAATAACGCTACACATGGAATTCTGTGCTCCATCTGGATTGCGGTTGCTGGTTGGTTGCACCATAGGTACCCGGACAAGCGCTGTGGCGGGGTCTGAAACTTGCCCCAGGAATCGTGTGTTCTCCCGGGCTTTCAGCGGGATCTATATGTGTACTATCCCGGTTAAATCAAATCTGATGAGATCATTGGATCAGATTCAATGCCAGATACGTAGTATATGTTTCGTATATATCCCATGGTTACTCTGTCGATTTCCGGTTTCTCCATCGCGCTTGGAGCTTAGTTCCAGAGATCATCGTTGTGCACCTTGCTTTCGTCGCTTTCTGGCTGATGTGTAGGAACAGGCTGCTCAGTATATGATAAGGCTTAGAATAACCAATATCTTCACTCAGAGTTGCGGGTAGTTTCTATGGAAGAAGGTGTATAGAACGAATTAATTGGCCTGTACCAAATTGCAACGTGCACTTTGTCACAAGGCTGGCATTTTATAGCCCCAGTTGTACCTATTCACCACAATATACTAGGGTTGGTCTATCAAGACCAATTACCTAGTGTTTACGATCAGCCAAAGGGCTGGTAATACGACGGATGGTTACTCTCAGATGCTAGGTTGGTAAAAGTAAGTACACTACTCTCGATCATAATCAATCTATGTCTAATAGGATCTAGGTGCGATGTGTGGGTGATATCTTATCATTGACTGGTCGAGTTACGGATTATCTATGTACATCGATAGACTACTCCTAGCTGTGAGTCGTGACAGGCAATAAACACGATAATAACTACATTGGCAAGAGTAGATTGGGGTATAATACTACAATAGTAGTATTGGTGAGTATTTACTGAGGTTTAGGAGCAATAGACTGGAAGTAAAAAGAGCTGTTCTACTTTGATCCTAGTCTTTCAAAATTGGGTTGTATGCAACCAGAAAGTAGTAACCAAGACTTTACGGGAGGATGGTAGATGGAGGATAGGCTGTGGTAAATGGTAGGGTTCTGGTAGGTCAGTGGTAGGTCAGTGGTAGGCCAGTGGTAGGTCTATTGTATGGTATGGTAGAGGCTAGTGGAACCGTAGCCGCTGGTAGCCTGACTAGCTGCATACATTTGGAGGAGTGAGTGCCTTGTCTTTAGAGTCCATTCTTGGTGAACTTGTTCCTTAGATGACTCGTTGGTGATATGACATGCAGCTAGTAAAACCATTCCAAACACGGCTCGGATTTGGACGACTTTTGACGGCGCTCGTTGAAGAGCACCACCCAAAACTCAAGAACATGACTAGAAGTAAAGTATTTAAATCAAGGCTATGCCCTCAGAATATCATTATCGAGTGACTACAGCATTCAAAGCTTGCCGGTGTATTATATATTACTTTCACCTTTTCCTCTAATATCCTCTTTGGCAGCAATCAAAATGGGAATTCTCATGAAGCTTGACCCTGCTGCACAGGTTAGCAATGTCATACAGAAGGGACTGGAGATCAAAACCCTGCAAGAAGAAGCTTTGGCCCAGCTCCCACAGAACGCTCTCTACATTGTCCTTTATATTCGGTCTGACCCTGCCCGAGCGAATGATTTCCACTGGGGCTATTACTTCCACCCAACCACCAGCAGAGAAACCAAATACCACATTAGAAACTTAGGTGGCGGATAGATACCTGACCAGGGACCAACCAGCGGTGTCTTCAAGTCGAACGTTCTCTGCGTCCTCATTCAGAATGCGAACATTCCAAAGGCAAAACATGGAATCCTCGACCAAACTATGAGATTCCGCGATGACGACGTCAATACAATCCCTGGCGTAACTTGTCGTATATGGCTAATAACTATCTTGCAATATCTTATCGAACAGGGTCTGGTTCGATGTGGTGATCGTTAGCAGTTGCAAGATGAGTGTATGGCGTTCGGAAAGCAACACAGGGCGACTGCTGCGGCTAAAAGCCAGCCGCGCCCTGTGGTTAGGTCAAGGCTGTGATCCTTTAACGTTCACTGGTGTTAGAACAAAAATATGGCTCCCTGGCTCTAGACTCGTGCCAGATTCTGTCTTTACGCTATAGTTCGGAGGATAACTACAACGGATGGAGGGTTAAAGTTAAAGCTTTATTTAATAAATCCTAAATAACCGCGGTCAAACTAAGCCTATTTAGACTGCAGTAACGCGACACTGCATAGTTAACCATAGACACGCAAACACCGGGCGGGATGACCTCAGCTTCTATCAAATTTCCATTCTTCAGTTGGGTCTCACCTCCGCCCTGTAGACACCCTGTTGGCCGTCAACCGAAGACATGTCTAACAATCAAGGAGACGGGGGAGCCGCTGTCTCTGCCCCTCCCCCGCCTCCCCCTCCTCCGGCCGAAGATCCAAGCTCCAAAGTCTCGCCGTTTGTCAAGAAGCTGAGGTCGGCTCCTCCTGGCTATTTCTTCCAACCTGAACGGCCACCGCCTCACCGAGATCCATTTGCTGCGCCGACCGGCCCTTATTTCTTCTACGGCACCCTGTCTGATCCCGCTATGCTCCGCGATGTCCTTGGCTTGGAAGCCGAGCCACAACTTCGACCCGCCACCATGACAGGCTACGAATGCAAGCTATGGGGCCAGTATCCAGCTCTCCTCGATTCCCCAGAAAAGGTGGTCCGTGGGGCTGTCTATCATGTCGAAACGGAAGAGCATGCGGAGAGGCTTGCCAGCTATGAAACGGATAATTATCAGGCCGATCCGTGTCGCATCAACTATACCGACGGCAATGAGCCCGTCCAAGACTTGGGGTATTGTTTTAAATTTGTCGGCAATGTCAGAGACTTGAGTGATGGCACCTTTGATCTGGGGACTTGGCTAAGGAGAGTGAAGAGGGTGACAGAGGACTCATCGGATGTTAAGTAGTTGAGGGAAGAAAGGCATGTATCTTGACTCCCAGTACTAAGAAATACTAACGCCATCATGAAAGAGCATTTTGAGTTAACTTCTTGAAACTGGTTCCTTTGGTGCCTCGATTCTGTTCGGCGTCAACTGCCGATGTCTGCTTCCATTCTATGTGTTTTTGTTTCTTGCCTGGAAATATCCTGGACGCTGCTGCAATGCGGAGGAAGCGGGACCAACATGATAAATAGAATACCAAATGCCAATCATGCCCTTGACTGATGTGCTGAGCCTAGTTTCTGGTGCATCAGATTAATATACCATTAGTGGTGAGCTGGTGATTTGCAATTCCAAAGGTAATCGCTCCACTCAGCCGCCGCAAATATACTACTAGTAGTAGTCTAGTAGATGAATCCTGACTCATGGATGCCGTGTTGAAGGAGAAATTAGATTCAGTATATCTCGATGTACCTCATTTTTACGAAAGTGAGCCTCCTAAAAACCTACCCCAACACCGGCCGCGGGGTTAAATGTGTCCAGCCCCTTATAGCAACTCCACACCTACTCTGGTCCATCTCCGCGACACACAACATGCATGTCAATACCAAGGTGCAACCGCCATTTGGACATTGCGAAGTCGGCTATTCGCACCCGTGAGGAATGGATAAGGAGAGTTTTCACCAGGAAGTAGTGTCATACAGTACTCATAATGGAATCACGAGCTTTAGATGTTATTCCATGGTTGATTGTCTATCATCCAAATTCAGACGGAGTGCGGTGGACGGACACAAAAGGCTTCAGCAGGGACAAGCTGAATGCGAGGGAGACCCCACTGACGATAGATCTCAGATGAGAGTTCAGGAATTACGTGGTGAGAGTATGGAGATAACCCAACACACCAGCAAAACAGTAGACCCCTATTAAAGACTTTATACATAACACAAATATGATCATAGCTTGAAAGAGCAACTAGCAAGGTGTTCGAGGATAGTGAACATGGAAAGATGTAAAAACAATCAACAGCCTACCTTAGTCGACGTTATCTTCGTCAAGAATGGTTCTGAAGCTGAATGGCAAGAAGGGTATACCCTCACCAATGAAATGCTTGCTCATCGCCTCGATCCAATGCAACCGCATCGAGTGCAACATAGCGCTGGTTCCCTCCATAACACACAAGACGCTAACAGACAGTGTAAACCAAAGGTAAAAGTTGATAATAATCAGTATGGGCCGGATTGTGGGGTTCTCTGCCTGGAAAGCAGCGCCAAGAGTCATATTCCAAAGCACGATTGAGAGCTGCTGGTGAGCCAAAGACAGAGCCCAAAGACGGAGGTAGGAGGCAGTGTGCGAAATACAGTTGAGGCAGAACTCAATAGTATGAATAATTTGATGGATCATGACATCGAAAAAGTCAAAGTCTTTGTGATCTTCGTCATCGTGGACACACTGGACTCTGCCAGCACCGTCACTAGTCATGCAGTTGTAGGTTTCAGTAGTTCCCTCATCTATGTGGCTATTGCCGGCCGGCGTGCCGATGTCAGTCAACTCACTAAGACTACGATATCCCGCATCGCCGGCACGCATGTGCTCCCAGCGAAGATATAGTGGCTTGAACAAGAGCATGATGGGCACCTGCACTGCAGCTATAAGAAGCAGTAGCACCTGGACCGTACCCTGATATGGATAGAGTTGTTTGTCGACCGCGCCAGGGTTCAGAAACATGAATATCAACATGTTAAGCAGACTAGGTGGGCTTTCTCCACGACCCTTCCAATCCACAGACCACTTATAGATCACAGTGATAACGAGATAACCGAAGATAGACTGGTAGAACAGCATCGCCGGAATAAAGTTACCCCAAATATCAACCTTGGATTTGAAATGCCGCCCATTGACATACTGAAGACTGAGAGCGTAGGTCATCTAATGTTCTTATCAGTGAATGTTTTCAAGGATTAGATAGAATCCTTGTCTCCGCACTCACATGAGCCCAGCCGAGGAGAATGCTCATCTTCATCTTCATGCTGTTTGAAAACAACAAAGAATTCTCTGCCTCGTGCCAATTCCAGTCTAGACCAATTGGGTAACGGTATCCTTCCTTCAATGACGCCTCAACAGTTTGACCTGGTTTAATATCATTCGGCCATTGCCACTGGCTGGGGAAAATAGTAAAAGATCTGGAGAATATGTCGTTGTAGATGAGACCGGTATATATAGAAAATAGGCCCATCATCAACATAATATATCGCCCGTAGAATGCCATATAGAACAGCTCATTGAGCTTAATCCGCTGCAACCTCTGTTCCCAAAAGATCATTGCAGTAGAAATTATAGTGACCAAGGTACCGTGTCCAAAATCGCCAAACATAACCGCGAAAAGAAAAGGAAATGTCACGACTGTATAAAGTCCAGGATTGGCCTCCTGGTATTTGGGGATCCGATAAGCATTGACGATGGCCTGGAACGCTTCCGTGAATTTGTTGGTTCGGATGTAGGTAGGCGGAGTTGCAGAATCGGCCTGGACTCGAATAATAACGGTAGGTGTAGAGAGCCCGGCACGGTTGTCGACATCCTGTAGGGTTGACTTAATGAGATTGAGGGAGTTTGTCGGGCACCATGCTTCAGCAATCAGCGTTTTGCGCGTCTGATGATAGGAAAACTGGTTCAATATGTCATAAATGGCCTTTTCCTTTTTAATCACAGTCATCCAATGTGTAAGTGACTTCGCGATTTGCGACAGCTCGGCAGTCAGGGTACCTTTCGTATTTTGTAACACTTGGCCGATATCATCTAATTGTGTGTTTACCTCGTGGATCCGATCTCGCCTCAATTCTCGATCCTCATCAACTTCATATAAAGAAGCCCCTAGCGACTCCGAGATTTTTCGAACTTTGGTAAGCACGTTTTTGCCATGGGCAAAAATCAAGAACACATTTTTATGCTCTTCGTCGCTTGTAGGATCAATACTGACTCTGGGTATCTCGGACTGATTCATGTAGAGATTACCGCGCAGTGTCCGCCAGAGGACACGTTCCAAGGCCCCGATTCGCTCCCGGGAAATAACGCCGGCAACGAATCCAATGTTCAATCCCGAAAAGCCTCGTTGACCTTGGGTCTCCCTATCCGCGGTGGGGGAGGGGTGTTGCTCAATGTCACGAAGAAGTGGTACATCATCATTGTCGAATGATTGGCGAACAGAATCCGGGTTTTTGTGGGCCTGGCTGCCAGGTCAGGCCTTATACCTTTACAATATGTAGGTTTATGGCTCACCAGATCGAAGAAGCCCCCAGCATCACGCAGAACCCAACGCCATTGAGTGAGCTCAACTTCACGTTCCTTCAGGGTTTGGTAGCTGTCCTTCAGGGCGCGAATCCGCTGTTCGAGGTACTCGCTGTGTTCAACCAATTCATCGACCTCTGAAGCTAACGGGGCTTCTAGTAAATTAGCGAAATCAGACGATGGCCGGATCGGAATGGATGCCTTCGTTATCTGAGAGTGAAAGTAGCCTATAATAGAAGTGACATGAATTTAGCAAACTGCCATCTACTCGCCACAACGGTCTTTCCGAGGTCATCCCAACTTACGAAGCTGTCTCTCGACGTTATCCAAGCGAACAATATCTTTGGTAAATGGCCGTTGGAAGGCGTTGGTATCCGGGTTTAGCTAGAAGCCCGCCCGAGATCAGCGTATGTCTCTCATTATTGAGGGAGCCTCCAATGCGAGCTTCCGCTCATTACTCACGTCTCTAAACTGCACTTGGCCGATCTCACCCAGAGCGCTTACAATCTCCCTTCCGATGTCGTTGGCAATATAAAATTGGGTCAGGCTCATGTCTGAGGACCGGAAGAAGGTATCCTGTGAAGCCATAGTGACGGACGAACTTTTTTATCCGCACGTGTGTAGAAACAGAAAATATCACAAGGCAGTTTTGGTAAAGAGAAAGCAGCCAAATAGAAGATGGGCCGAGCAGTTGGACTCAAATTGGCCCGGTGCAAGTCCTCGAGGTAGTCGCATTTCACATGACGCAAGCAATATAAGTAAAACTACAATCCAGGAGAACAGCGCATCTACAGATGACCCAAAAAGGGATAATTGGGAAGGGAATGGGGTCCAAGTGGGCTTGTTTGGCTATAGGTGTGAAAGCTCCAAGGCTTAGGGTTGTGCAATCCGCCGATGACTCAGCGGGGGATTTGACGTATTCGGTCTAGCGTTCATTAACCTCCGACTCCACCGGATCCATAGCACTACTAGTAGTAGTCCCTGGATACGATTATAGTTCCATTTAGAGCTTACGACTTATAGCTTAATTATGATTTGATTATACTCAAAAGCCATAGTAAAAGATACACATAGACATAGTACAGCCTTCAGGGTTGGAAGTTGGCTGTTGCCGTATCTAAAGCCGGTAATAAATTATAATAAATCGAACATAGGATTCACGGTGTCTAAACTTAATATTATTGAGACAAGTATGGTAGGGTTTTATAAATCAGTATGACTGACTGTTATACGCTATGTTAATGTTGGCAGATTAGCAATATTCCACATTGTCCGGGACCCCGTTACCTCGATTGAGTCCATCGTAACCGGCCGCCGCAGGACATCCGACAATAGCGCCAAAGCGCAATTTTTACTCAGATATGGCTGGTTATACGGCACCAATTCTGCAGTGACGGGTGCGGTGGGCCATAGTGGTCACTCATACACGGGAGCCTAATATATCCGCGTCACCTGTAGCCTATTCTAGGCCCAATTATCCACTGCGGGCTATAGCGCAGTCATCCGAAGGGCGCGCTGCTGCAGTGTCTTCTGATCAGCCGGGGCCTCGGTAGAGAAGGAGATGTAGAGGCCGGAATCATTAATGATCACAGTGACGGATATTGAAAGGATTGGATATTAAAGCTTGGCTGTGTACAATGTCAGCACGACGCAGAATTGGCGCATCGACTAGCGAAATATATAAGGGCCCTCTGTCGCAACGGAGGTCCAAAGATATTCACCACTATCCTCGTTACTCCGCCCACCTCCTTCTAAGTGTTGCAGCACAATCACAACAACTCCAATAGTTCAGAAACTGGCCATGCCTTATCTCGTCGGAAAAGAGGTTGGCGCCACCGGCTATGGCACCATGAGTACGTTCTCACTAAATTTAGCCACGTTGTGATCTAGGTTAGGCTTTTACTGAACATCAGCCTAGGACTGACCTGGCAGGAGCACCCACCCACACAGGCGGTGTGCTTTGAGACTCTGAACAAGGCGCTGGAGCTCGGTGCTAACTTCTGGAACGGAGGCGAACTCTACGGCACTCCGGATTATAATTCCCTGCATCTTCTGAACCAGTACTTCACTAAGTATCCCCAGAACGCGGACAGGGTGGTCCTCAGCCTTAAGGGTGGGATGAAGCCGGGTATGCTGGGCCCGGATGGGTCGGCAGAGAACGTCCGCCGCAGCGTGGACGAGTGCCTGCGCCTGCTGGACGGAAAGAAGAAGATTGACATCTTCGAGTGTGCGCGACAGGACCCAAAGTACCGCATCGAGAACACTGTGGAAGTTCTGGCACAATACGTGAAGGAGGGCAAGATTGGAGGTATTGGCCTAAGCGAGGTCGATGCAGAGACTATTCGCAAAGCGTGTGTTGAGATTTCCGATATGGGCGTTCTCGAACCATTGCTAACAACCTCGCTAGAAATAAGGTGCACCCTATCGCCGCCGTCGAGGTTGAAATGTCCCTGTGGTCGACCGACATTCTTGAAAACAACATCGCGAATACATGCGCCGAGCTGAACATCCCCGTCATTGCGTACTCGCCCCTGGGTCGCGGTGTCCTGGCGGGAGCTGTGACGTCGCTGAAAGACCTCCCCGAGGGTGACATCCGCCGGCATATGTCCCGCTTCCAGGAGGAGAACTTTCAGCACAACCTGAAGCTTGTCAATGAGGTCAATCGCCTGGCGGAGCGTAAGAGGCTTGCCCCCTCCCAGATTGCCCTCGCTTGGATCCTTAGTCTGAGCAACAAGCCTGGCATGCCCACCATTATTCCTATCCCCGGAGGCACTACCACCGACAAGGTTGTTCAGAACATGGTCGGGGTGAAGCTGCTCACGGATGAAGAGTTGGCAGAGGTTGATGCGATGTTGAAGCAGTACCCCGTCGCCGGGCCGCGGTACTAGGAGAAGACTTTTGTCAATTAATGTTATCTGTGGTGAGGATATGACTCGATCATCACTGTTTCAATGATAATCCGTGGCATGAGATATTATTGAGAGTATAGCCCTTGTGGCTGAGACGGAACCTACATGAGGTTTCCCATCTCTAGATAGATTATTTATCAATTCACTTCACTTCAAAAATGGACTTTTTCACTTGATTACCGTCGCGAGAGCATTTAATAATATCCATGAGTATAAGATTCGAGTAGAATGTAATTTGAAGTTGTCTGTTCAGGGTACAGTTGTATCGTGAGTATCAACTTAACCTAGGTGAAGTCTTTGTACTGACATTTAGAATGCCTAGCCTCCAAGAGGGGCAAAATGACCAGTCGACTAAAGATGTGGCCAACGGCAGCGTTTGGAGCCCACATGAACCATCTGCTTGGACAGCTTAATACTGGATAGATCGACACTCTGCGCTCATCATGGCCAATAATGACTTCTATATTAATAGCAAGCGGGTCATCTTGCTGACTCAGTGACGCCCTCCGACTCAGTTTGAATCTGATCCTCGCCCTAAGCTTTACTCTCATTTGCGTCTACGGCGTATTTACCTTCGTTCACGGCAGTTACTTCTCAAACATATCGTGCAATTATTGGGCCTCTCAATGCCTTCTCACGAGATGAAGCCTATACGTCGCAGGCGGAAATACCGCGGCCACACCGCGTGCGATGCCTGTTACAATCGAAAGGTAAACAACCAACCCTTGTAATGACAACAGACATCGGGATAGATGCAATCTCATCCAGACCTTTTCTTGGCGATCATATGTATCTGATAGTATGAAGATTAAATGTGATGTCGCCAAGCCTCAGTGCAACTGGTGCTTTCACCATGATATACACTGTACCTTTTCCCGCTCAAAGCACTCAGAGGACATGAAGGGAACCAGTGGGTTCGTCACCAGTCCTCAATCATATTTCATCATCTGCCCACATTCTGCCTGGAGTATTGAATGCGTTAAGCACTGAACAGGATTGAGAGGTCCATGGATTCTGATCATCATAGGCCCGTGTCACTACCATTATCGAAACCAAATCTGGCAGAGGAAAGTGCTGCACCAGCTGGGTTAACGTACACTTCGGTGTTCCCTGTTCGCGCTCCTATGAAGTCTAGTCGGGCCGTAGAGCATGACTCCGGCGACCATAAAACCGTACAAAGTGGCAGGCCAAACTATCCAGTGATTAATGAACCCCGACATATGCTACGAGCTACACGATATCAAATCAATCACATCCGTCTCTTTAACGGTCTGCCTTTTTTTTCTCGTAGTGGTCAGGACTGGATCGAACGTCAAACAGGAAGGAGAATGGATCTCGACCAGTATTTCGTCCATGGTCCCCCATGGCAGGTGCTACCTCCCTCAACTGCATCAGATTGTAGGCTACATGTCGCGGACCACCAAGATCAAGACCTGCCAGAGAAAGTCTTGGTATATGACCTTCTCCGGTGGTACAGGTCTGTATATGCACTTGTCTTTCCTTTTGTCGTACATCCTACTCTATTCGAGACAACTATCGCCGCAGCATACGAAACAGGACTGTCTTATTCATCGCCTAACCAAGCGACTGTCGAGGCATCTATATTTGCCTTCGTTGCGCTTGCGGGAGTAATCGATCAAGGCTTCAGCCAGCGCGGATACTTATTAAGTAGCGCCGAATATGCAAACCAGGCTGTCGGATTCTTGCCCAAAATTCTTTCTGCACCTGCCACAGTAGACGGACTGCAGGTGCTTCTTATGCTCGTATGTTTGCAACTCCTCGGGCCCACCCCATCAGACACCATTTTAATATATATTTAGGCAGCCTACTATCAGCTATCTTCAGGCGACACTCACATTATTGAAACATTACTCTCCAGTTCGTCACGATTCTTGTTCCAGCTTGAGGGAAATGTCAATCCATTTTCACGACATCAAACACCCTCGCTAGTAGATATTCACATACGGAACCTCTTCTGGATTTGCTACCTCATGGACAAAGAATTGAATCTTCGGACTGGATCGCCTCCACTGCTAGCATATACTCATTGTGATCTAACAATCCCCGACAGACTTCATAACAGTCCAAATACAAGTTGTGGCTACTCGGAAGTCTGTTTCTCAGCCATGGTCCAACTCAGTGTCATACAGGGTCGCATCTACGAGCAACTTTACTCCCCATCGGCACTTCAGCAGACGGAAACAGATGTTCTGCGCAATATCCGCGCCTTGGACGAGCAATTAGAAGAGTGGCGACTCTCCCTACCTGCAATGATCCGCCCGACGACGGCTAGTATTCCTACCGCGAACGATCATATATTCAACGAGCATGTGATGCTTTTCCAAATCCAGTGGCATTACTGGATGATAATGATTCACCAAGCCAGCAGCCGCTGCCTCACGTGGATGGGAGACCAAACAGCTCATGTTAATGGGCTCAATTCGAGTCTGATAATCTCTGTGCAATTCACCCGCTCTCTGTTGCAGAAATTCTCCGATGCGCAACTTCACGTTCATAAGGGAAACTTTCGGTGAGTGTGGCTTTGGGCTTGCTTCGAAATCTGCCAGCTAATGAGAATAGATTTGCGGTTTTTTATGTGACCTCAGCTGTGGTCACCTTGTTTTGCAATATAATTCTCTGCCCGTTGGGCTCTGAGACTGTCGCTGATATTATGCTCATCCAGCGAATTGTAAATGTCCTTGCTGGACACTCAGAGTGGCGCGAGTCTCGGTATAACACTGCGTGCATTGACACGATTACGCCTTTTATACAAAAGCTTGGCCAACTGGCCATGTCTACGGTTGTCAGAGCGAGTCCTGAAAAGCGTCCTCTATTTCATCCCGTCGCGTAAAGCTCATTCCACACCAAATCAATCTCATTTCTGTAAGTATATTATTTAACCTAATATTATTAGTTGGGTCTACTTATTTTGGAGCCAGTCCATCATTTTGGGCATATTGTTCTTGATGCTGTACCGTATTCACCATAGTCTGAAGCACAAATTAGGTAAAACCAAACGAACGCTCCTTGTGTATTCGCAGACGCCCAGAGTCCTGGCATTTATTATGGAGAGGTACGCATATGGCTAAATATTCAATCCATAATATTTCAGACGGGAATGTATCTCTCACATGACACCACACTGCATATCTCAGCTATCTTCCCTTGCGATAAGTGCGAAGATCCTCAGATCGGGAACGCTTCCACCAGAATTGGCTACCCTTATCTCGACAAGCATGTGAGAAGCCATTTCTTTGGCCTCGGCCTCGTCTCCAGCATGTCCACTCCGTAAAACTATAACGGGCAGTATGGCCTGGATTATCTGATGAAACCATAGCTGTACGTCCGCATAGTGGTCAGGGTGTGCAATTGTGCTGTATTCATATTTCTGAAGCCCCTGCAATTCAAGCTTCTTACCTTCCCTCATAAGAAGGTCTGACAGCTGCCCTGAGAGGCCAGCACCTGCCATATACCCATATATCAGCTTTAGACGTTCAGGTGTCTTCTGACCTGGTCGATCAAGTGTATCATAGTACCAGTCCACATCTTCCCACTGAAGGTGTCCGTTCGGGCCTGTATATAATAACCCTTTAGATTACTGTTCGAGCCTTTCCGAGTAGAAATCCTCATAGGATAACCTACTTGCGCAGAAGCTCGATCACATTTTTCAGAGCCTTAACAATATCAGGCTCCCCAAGAGCCAGAACAAGTAAGCGAATGTGGACAATATCATAGCGGCCCAGATGTTCACTTGGAAACGGCTGGGTGATATCGTGGATCGTGACTTTCTTCTGACATATCTCTGAGACTCTGTCTGGTTCCTCTTGTTTAACAGGTACAATTCTTGATCCGACATAGTTTATGCTATTGTTACTGGCGTAGGGTCTTGGAAAGCTGAGTTGATTGCCAAAGGCCTTAATACCCAGTACACTGATGTTTGTAAAGTAGATCTTATACACTGTAGAGGCTTCTGGCTTCCTTAATATCTTTCAAGACAATCAGACGTTTTTCGCTATCCATTCCCCTCTTGTATTAGGTAGTATACATCCATCAAAAGAGCGAGATTATCAGGCCTATTTCCTATTTTGATCCCAAGACATCACCGTTGTCTTATACCTCATTCTATATATAACATGCCCGATATTCCAGGCTAGACTTTTTCATAACTCATGATAAATAAGGCTAAAGCCCCCTGCGTTGAATCGATTGTTTTGGAACCAGTATCAGCGTGGGACACGGTTGGAACACCAAAGGTCGAACTAGCTCAGCTATTCCTTGCTCGGATCAGGCTCAATATGGAAATGCTCTGGCGTCGAAGATAACGCACCGTTTTTGCAACGTCGGGAGCATCGGTAACTAGCACGAGGATAGCATCGACGACTTTCACACAGGTGCGGTGATCTAGGAACATACGTCGCAGAGTCCGGAGTCTAATACTCCACCCCGTGGACAATATGTGCTAGTGTCTATCACATCGACTATGACCGGAAGTGATATTTGTGGGGACTCCAAGGGCAGCGTTCGTCGCAATCACCGACAGCTCTCCGGTCCCCGACAGGATGGCTCCTCTGGCTAGCCCACTGGTCGTCTGGAACGGACAAGCTCCCAGACCCGAGACATTTCTCGATGTAGAAGTCATATACTGCTTGTCCTGACCCTTCACCCACACGTAAGGGCCCTTTCCGGAGACATGTCAAAGTGCTATTGCATAGATTGCAGGTCGATACATGCGACGGTGTCCAGCCAAAGTCGTCGTTTGTGTTACAGACGCTGGCGAGCCACAGATCGACCGCCCTGTGTGCACATCCCAGACGGGGTATCATAGATTCCTCCTTTCCCAGCTGCCCTGCTTTGATCGCTAACTGGTATTCCACTCTGACCTTCAGCATATCATTTTCGTCCAGGTCGGGTAAAATCCGAATCTTTATTTTCGACGATCCATAGTTCATGGTGCAAGAGTGCCAGCAGAAGGGTTCCCGGGTACCGGCACCATGTTGTGTCGCCAGAGCCGTCAGAGTCTTTTGTCGCGCGCGCAGAAGTTCAACAAGGTCCATTTTTCCGCGAAAGGTTAGCTTGATGCATGGGCATAAGTCGACTACACCAGCCAAACTCCCCAGATTACAGCCTCGGTCTTCGGGCTGCTGTTTCCGTTCTCGCTGGGGAAAGGCAGCCGCCATATGCAGCTGTAAGCATCTGGAGCAAGCGAGCCAGCGTGTGTTCTCTAGGAGTCTGATAAGCTCCCATCGAGGAGTTGCAAAGTTGTACTCGTTGCGATAGTGTTTGAATAACGGGGCAAAGTCTGGACTGAAAGACAAGCATTCTGAGTTTAAACCGGCATCGTCTAATAGGAACAATTGCCTGCAAGTCAAGGCCAGAGACGCCCGAGAAACCACCGTTAAATAGGATGTGATGTTTAGCAGTAATTCTGTCGGCAGTTGGAGAAGATAGCAGCCTCCACGCATATGTGTGCGTCTTTGGGGCCGGGTTGATGACCAATGTCCGGGCTCTATCGAAGCTACCCACTTTGCTGTCAGACGCTGAAGGTTGTATCTCATATTAATCGAGAATGCTCGTCTCAGATGGTGCCTTGTAGTAAAGGTGAGGGTCTTTTTGCTCCAACCTTGGGGCATCTCCTGCTGGTTGCAGTCAACCATTTTCTGACTGGACTCCATTGCTGTACCAAGGGATCTGCTCATGCAACACCTCTGCTGTCGCTCAGCGCTGTAGAATTCGACGATACGTACGGAGGGTTTTTGAGCAGAAAAGTTGAAAATTTCCGATTCCAAATAAAGAAAAGCGATAGATGATGGCATGTATAAAGTACTTCGTTGGTAAATAAAGACAGATTCCATAAAGCGGTGTTGACTCAGGCGATGCTCAGCATAATTGACGTATCACCACTATGTGGGCCGGAGTGTCATGGCATCATATGGCTCACAGCCCCACGGCACTAAAGCCTGGGTATATGGTACTGAATAACGTCTTTAGCTCCAGCTTTTGACATAGTATAAACATATATTGCATGTAGAAGAAGGTATTCAGTAGGCTCAGCCGATATGTCAATTCTACCCTATCAACCCCAGTGTTTATTTTGCGCGAGGCGCGGTATTCATTCGGGCAGGGGGTTTGATAAATCAAAGCTTGTTTCGTCGAACTGGCGCTTGAGTGAAGGCTAAGCCAGGTTTATTAAGTACTAACTTGTCCCACATGTAGTGTAGGGCCCATAGTAAGGTGACACTTGGGAAAACCGTCCCATTTATGGATTAACTACGGCCGGTCTAGCCGTTCTATCCATGTACAATGCAACCCTTTTCACATGAGTTTCGTATCTTCTCCACTTCTCCTTCAACCGAATAGCGCCGCTGGCCGTCACAGGATCAGCCCTAGCTCGGTGGGGCCGCTGCATCATTCAATCGTACACATGGACATCAGATATTGGTCATTTAACAGGCCCTACAGCTCATGCGGCCGATTCTGTGGGCAGACATGCAACGGGGTAAAGTAGCACAATATAGGGAACTCAAGGTGCAGTATTTTTCACTGGGCATGGCTATTTTCTATCCGGTAATTGTAGTCGCGGACGCCAGAGCGTCAACTGTACCAGCAGGGATAGATTCGCATCATCACTTTCTCCAGACGCGCACGTCTTCAACGTTATTTAGGTAAGGGGGATGCAATATGAATTCCCCACCCGAGGTATAGAGCCAAGATATATGACACTGCAGGATGCGGCTGCTATGCGATGTGCTCGGTAGTAGATTGTCGGAGCTCCTTCAGTGTTTGCCCTTGATGAAGTGAGGTGCCATCCAATGAGGCCAAGTGAACAAGATTTATGTTTACTTGTCCAGAGTATAGAAGTCATACCTTTATTGCCCTTCGATCATTTCTTATCTTCTTGTATACTAATTGTTCTGCTCATCATGGAAAGGGCACCATCCACCCACACCTATCCGCCCTCCATAGGAGCTCTCAGGTGCGTTCTTCCCAATCGTACACTCTATTTCACTGAAGCTAAACATGCTTAACCCTGAGTAATTGCTGGGTATGCGAGGCTTTAAGACCCCTATGCTCATCACCATAGCATTAAGTAAGAACGAAGATATAGAGTATACAATCATAGTATGACACTATATTCATATATGTTTTACGCATGACTTTATAACCGGGTGCGAATGATGGTAACAGAAGCTGAACCCGCATGGACCTCTAGACAATATACAATACCAACCCATAGACCTTTCGTAGGGGTGGTATATATCTAACTTTATAATGGCATGCATGATGCGCTCGGACGCATGTCACTAAGCTGTGTGCAACCAATGGTTTTCACCTACGCTGTGTTTCCATGACAGCCAAGAGATGACGTGGTAGTAGTGTTGCGAAGCTTTTTAGAGAAATTCCAACATTTCACACTTTACGTCATTGTGTTGTCGTGTAGATAATAAACTAGACTTGGTGAGATGAAGCATAAAGTGCTCACATTTCACAGTCTATATCATGAGTATACACCCCACGGGGTTCTCTTTCACAGTTATACATACCCCTAGACTTTCTTTCAGATCAGTACCAGTTGTGAACAAATAAGGCGGTCTAGCACTGCAGATAAAAAACAAAGACACTATGCTTCGGACCGGCCCTGACCGTGTGATTCACTGTCCGTGAATTGGAAATATCCTTCTAGTGAGGGAAATTTCCTGCTCGTGTTTAACCTGCACCATCTCCAGACCTCTATCCACAGAACATGTTCCCTGTCAAATATCATCCTGCACACATGCCGGTACATGTCACAAACATGGAGTATTGTCTTAAGCAAGGTAGGCTACCTATCCAGTATTATAGAGCCAGTTATTGATCTGATCTTTGGATAGAGCCTCGGGAAAATGCGATCAACCCACTGTGCAAGTTACCGGAAGAACTAGTCGACAATATCGTCGTTTTTCTGAGTGCTGGGGATTCGGGGAAAGAATATCTGTGCGCCCTGCGACTGACCTGCACGTATCTTTACGAAAAGTCGTTGCACTACTTTGGACGCGTGGTACTGCACACTGTGCGAACAGACCTCTGCTTCATAAGCTTACAGCGACTTATGAGGCTGGCAGCGGACGCTCGTTTGAGGGATCATGTACACCACCTACTCATCAGAGGGGTTTTGAATAGCAGTATGGGAGCCGGCTTCGAATGGATCAGACATAGTACGGGTCAGTTAGATATGAAGCAATCACTGGGGGCCCGCTGGCTGCGTCAAATTCTACTCTCATTACCCAACTGCAGGTCATTTGCTGTCAACCTCAACCACGGATGGAACGATTCATCGGCGCATTCCCGCATGGGACCCAGTGATGGCATAAATATGATCACGAACATTATCGCGGAGACCGGCATTCCTGTGAGATCCTTTCATGTGTACGCCTACCCGAGCAGCAGCAGATTTGCCTTCAACGATGTCGATCCACGGTGTCTTCGGTTTGACACCCTCCAAAACCAGACCTTCATCAACAGCTGGGCCCATGTTGAAAAGCTAAGGTTCCAGCACAATTTCATCCCCGGCAATATCGGAGAATGGGTGGCCCGTGTGATCATCCTTGCCCCAAAACTGAAGACGCTAGAGATTAGCTTTGACTACACCCCCGAGGCACAGATCATAACAACCCGTCTGGCATCCGGGCCGGTCATACTCTCCGAACTGCGAGAGCTCGCCCTTACTGAAGCCTGCGAAATGGACTGTGATGAGCTTCTGACCCTTCTCCGCTTTACATGCCGCACTCTGCAACGCCTGAAGCTGGAGCGTCTTCAACTGAAAAAAGGCGGCACCTGGATTCCCTTGCTCGCCCAACTGCATCAGTTCCCGTTGCTAGAGGATCTTCACTTATTTTGGTTGAGTACTGGTCAGAGAAGGGTTCTGCATTTTGTGTCGCTCACGAAATACATCCCCAATTCTCTACGCGGAAAGTTCGAGCAGGTATGCAAGCAGTTCTGGGGTATGTCGAAAGCCGTCTATGTCACATATCGTGGCGATAACATGCCGGTGTTCCTGAATGCGCTATTGCTATCTGCGCAAAATGATTGAGCCCGTGCGTGCGTTGAGAAACCTTGTATGTTATGACACTGAGGAAAGTTGCAATAGGCCTTGCTATTATAGTATGCACTGTTACTCAGAGTATTCAAATGGAAGCAGTATGATACTACGGCATGAAAGATTAGTATGATCTTGGATAGACACTTTCAGTAGTCCTAGGGTTTTTCCAGTTAAGCCAGTCGATGACACAACCCACTGTGCATTTGTGTATGTAAAATAGATGACCACAGAAGGTATTCGGTAGGAACAAACGAGTTATCTAAAAGAGAATACCATGGTTATCGCACAACGGTTAGACCAGATATTATAATTCATTGATGGAGATATGAGCGCCCTGATAAGTTCATATGAAGGAGTCTTCAATTCAGATTCGCCATAAATTAATTAGTGTTGTCAATGCGCAAAAATATAGGTGAGAAAGGCAAACAAGAAAAAAGAAATGCTTCAAATGCTCCCACGCGGATTTGAACCGCGGACCTCATGATTACTAGTCATGCGCTCTACCAACTGAGCCATAGGAGCTACTCGATGTTTGAAACTCAATTATTAAAAGTTATATAATAAAGTTTATAGCCCGTCAAATTCCATCTTCAGGAAATGTCGTGTAGATCGTAGCAGAGCGCGAAGCGCTCTACTATTATCAAATTCCAATTGGAGAAGACAAGGTCATACACCTTAGCCTTAAAGTTCTCGTTCTTCTTTTCCCTTTCTTGCTTTACCTGCCTATCACTTATTAAGTGAAGTTCTAATTTCTCTGAGCATTATACTGGTGTTTTCGTGCTGTGGCTGACCTGGATATATATTTGTTACTCGCACCATCAATCTCTATCTTGGTTATCTCCCCACAACACTTACAACCAAATCTTCTAGGTATCGGAAACATATATTAGCAACTAAAATTACAAATATTTCCTTCGATGGCAATACCACAGGAATGAGTTACCCCCCAATGTTGCCATTCTCACGAACCCGATCTCTATCCCATCGAGAATAGTGGTTTCCACGAGGAATGTACCATGACTACTATCCCGAAGAGTTACAGTCTTACAAATACCCCGCTTTATTTTCCCATTTTCCCTTTCGTTTCATTTTTGTTTCAGGCTCGTTTCATCTGGCCAGAGAAAGAAAGAAAGCTTGGGAAGTGACCGCCTGGGGAAGCAACAAAGGTTGCAATTTGTGATTGTCGCGAACTTCAATGTCAAGGTGATGGTGTATGCACATGTAATTCAAATAGGTTTGGTCGACGCTAGCAGTTGAACTGACAGCGTCTTTAACTCTTTGGTAAGTACTTAAGCTAAATCCTAGCCTGAAAAATATGAAGTGGCCGTTGGCCGTCGGATATCCCGAATGGCTTTCCACAGGTTCTCTCTACCCCGCACACTTGGCATCTGATGCGAGTATCGCTTCTCCGTCTGATCGACAGTGGATGCATACAATAGGCTGATAAGCTTCTCTATCCAAGAAAAAGGAAATGCCACGGGCCGGGGAAAACAGTAGGGCTACAGTCGTCCCGTGATAAAGATACCGAATACACCCGGTGTATCGTTCCCGTTTTAGGAAAAGTTTCTATACAAGTGGTTCGGTTTACTGGTCAATAGTATTGGGGAGATCGATTTGAAAACTACCCCCATACGGGCTCTTTCCCATGCTTTGTTGTTGCCTTACCCGTTACATTCTGTTGCTCTGTCCTAGATGCAACCTCGACGCCTGTATTTTAACCAGAGAGCAAGCTGTGGGGATGGACCAACCGTACGCTACTCTGGCACTCGAGTACCAGCCCTTTCTTCACCGAAGTACATAACACTGCGTTTAGCGCAGAGCAGGCGATGTAAAACCCACATATTTTGGTAGTTGCAGATATTATACGTTTCTTCATTAGCATAAAAAAAGAAAAAAGAAAAAAGGAAAGGAAAGAAAAGAGAAGAAAGTAAGAAAAGGCCAGCAAAGCTATATCACCAAGGGAGGCTATCACCCCAATTTCCCTGCCATCTGCCGACTCCAGAGCTTGCGGTCGAATCGTTGCTCTAGCAGAGCCTGTGCATCACCCGCGTACATGAAAACTTTGCCACTGATCTCCTTGGGCGCTTTCACGTCTTTGAAGTAGATCCGGCAATCTGCAACTTTGTAGGCATTCGTCTCATAGTATGATAACTTCTGGGCCTCTTCTTCGGACTGTACGAGATAGGCAGATCCCGTTACCACATCCCCTTGTTTCCCATTGATCAGGGCGGGATAATCGCCCCATTTTGCAACGGCGTAACCAACTACCTCTGCTTTGCGAAGTTGCGGCTCCTCCGGCAGGTCGAGAATCCTTTTCACCTGGGCTGGGGTGGTTAGAGTTCCGTAGAAGAAGTAATACACAGGAAAGTCGGGCGGGAAGTCGACTGGCTCGTCGCGCTGCAAAAGGTAGTCTGGTGGCGCTGACCGGAGAATAGTATAGAAGGGTGATACTGGCTCTGCCTTAGCCGGGAAGAGGCCCGGAAGTTGAGGTGCTCCGGAGCCGTCTCGTTTCTGGGACATTTCACTGTGCATGGAGGCTGTACAAAATGTTGATGAGAAGGCTCGGAGGAAACCGGAGAGGAGAGGAAATAATAATAGTGCCTAAGGCGGTGAAGGGGATGCTGGTTCTTTCTTTTCTGTTTGCGTCTTTTTCTTTCGGATCTGCATTTGGTGGTTTGATTGTTGTTACTTGGGTTTTGAATAGAAGTCTTCTTCATGAGGACAGGCACCTGTACTGGGGCTCACGCACCAGACTGTTTATCGTGTCCATGTTCCCCTTCTTCTCCCGTCACCTTTTCCAATCTGCTTCTGGCCACTTTCTGCTCTTATCAGCAGGTACATCAACCTGAGAGGCCGAACCTTTTAAGGTCTTTATTGATCTTTCGTAGGGTATAGATATTAGTTCTAAAGGGATTCTATTTAGATTCTATACTTCAGTTACAGCAGAGGATATACTGATTAGCCCAATATATGGAATCTCTCAGGCTGCAGCCTCCAGGTGCGAAGGGATTCTAGAATTATAATAGAAGTATTGCGTATGCTGAGATAGCCGAGATAGCGAGACCTTAATTTAAGCAAGTAATAATGATAATGAGCTCTAATTCGTGCATTGGCCTTGTATATAGTATCCAGCAGGCTTATCAGCAAGCGTGCGGGGAAACCGAATCGTTCCCGCCATCCAACTTGCTGTATCTCTGTTATCAACCCGTAGGACAAGCGACATGGCGATTTCTTATCTAGTCCGAGAGCTACGCGAGGCACTAGAGACTCCTAAGCAAAGAACGCCATGATAAGCACGTCAAGCCTTCCGTCAGAAAACACTTATAACCCGGCCAAGATCATGCTGACTTTCGTCCGTCTATTGATCCGCAACCTGGGGGATGCTCGACAGAACGAACAAAATGGCCTCCGTAGAGGAGCCAAACGATAGAATAGCCAAGTCGCACATCACTACGAACGTGGAAGTAGAGCAGGGCCATCTAGACGAGCTACCAGAAGACATCGACGAAAAAGTCGAATACGACTATGAATCTGAACGATCGCCATTCCCGGAGGGTCCGTACTACCTGAGTGCCTAACTGCCTTCTGCTAACGACACCACATAGTTCGAGCTGTCGTACCTGAGACCGATGACCCAGAGCTGCCAGTCAACACTGTGCGCATGTGGGTTCTGGGTATTGTGTTCACGATTCTTGGGTCCGGTATTAATCAATTTTTCTCGCTGCGATATCCATCCGTACACATTGTTTCGCTCGTCGCAGAGTTGCTTGCCTATCCCTGTGGCGTATTCCTCGCCAAGGTATTGCCAGTGACAACAATTAATCTCGGCCCATTGGGATCCTTTTGCCTCAACCCAGACCATCATTTCAATATCAAGGAACATGCCATGATTGTGATCATGAGCAATGTGTCCTTCGGGTACGGAAGCGCAGACGCAACCAACATTATTCAGGCCGCTAGCCCCAAGTTCTACAACTTCGGCCTCAAGGCGGGGTTTTCTGTTCTAGTCGTTCTATGCGCACAACTTCTGGGCTTCGGTGTTGCCGGGCTAGCTGCGCCCTGGCTGGTCGAACCGGCGAGCATCATCTGGCCCCAGGTATTGTCCAATTGCGCCATGCTGGAGACCCTGCATTCACGCGCAAACTCCGTTGCCAATGGTTGGAAAGTAACCCGGCTGCGCTTCTTCCTCTATGTGACTGCGGGCGGCTTCGTATGGTATTTCTTCCCAGGTCTGATGTTCACTGCGTTGTCGTACTTTACATGGATCTGCTGGATCGCGCCGCGCAATGTCGTGGTGAATCAACTTTTCGGAATGCAGACCGGGCTAGGACTGAGCCCTATTACGTTTGATTGGAGTCAGGTTGCGTATAATACAAACCCACTGCTCTCTCCGTCGTGGGCGGCCGTGAATGTGTTTGGCGGCTTTGCAGCCTTCTTCTGGATCGTCGTTCCAGGCATCTATTATACCAACACCTGGTTTACATCATATCTCCCCCTGATGACCAGCGACGTGTACGACAGGACCGGCGCCGTTTATAACACAAACCGCGTGATCAGCCCGCAGAGCACATTGGACCTTGAGGCGTACAGAAACTATTCTCCCCCGTATCTGGGAGCCACATTTGCATTCGTCTACGGCTTGTCCTTCGCCTCGATCACTGGTGTGCTCACTCACATCGGTGTCTGGCACCACAAGGATATCTGGGCTGCATTCCGAGGCAAAAACAAGCTCGACATCCATGCGCGACTAATGAAATCGTACAAGAAGACCCCCTGGTATTGGTACGCAGCCATTATCGTTGCCATAACCGCCATCTCCATCGCCATGGTCGAGGTGTACAAAACCAATCTCCCGGTCTACGGCGTCGTTCTCGCCCTGGCAATTCCCACCATATACATGATACCCTGCGGGATTGTCCAGGGAATCACCAACGTCAACTCCAACCAGCTGAACGTCCTGTCTGAATTCATCGGCGGCTACATGTTCGAGGGTAAACCGCTCGCCAACATGCTCTTCAAAATACTCAGCACAGACGTCGTGGGCCAGGGTATCTACTTCGCCATGGACATGAAACTCGGCCATTACCTGAAGATTCCCCCGCGAAGCCTGTTTGTAGCCCAGGGCCTAGCCACTATCCTGGGAGCCCTGACCCAAGCGGGTGTCACCATTTGGATGCTGGGCCACATATCCGACATCTGTTCGGAAGACCAACCTGACGGTTTCTCCTGTCCGAATGGCAGAACGGTCTACTCGTCCTCGGTAATCTGGGGCCTCGTCGGCCCTCGGCGTCTATACTCCATCGGGAAAATCTACTCGTCGCTACTCCACTTCTTTTGGATCGGCGCGATCGCCCCACTGGTCACCTATGCGTTGTATAAAATCACCAAGAAACAGTATTGGAAATACGTCAATTGGCCTCTTATCTTCACAGGAACAGCTAATGTTCCTCCAGGTGAGCCCCTCATCTTCCCATTTACCATATCGGTCTCAATATTTACTAACCCATGTAGCAACGGGAATCAACTACTCCAGCTGGGCCCTCGTAAACTTCATCTTCAACCACTTCATCAAACGCCGCTTCTTCGCCTGGTGGACCAAATACAACTACGTCCTCGCTGCAGCCCTGGACACAGGCCTCGCACTCAGCGGCATCGTCATCTTCTTCTGTATATCGTACCCCGGCGCCGTATTCCCCAACTGGTGGGGAAACACAGTATACCAGAACACGGCCGACGCGGACGGCGTCCCATATAAGCCAATGCCAGAGATCGGCTACTTTGGTCCAGCGAATGGAACATGGAGTTAATGGAACTTGTTCATATATTCATAATATATACTTAGCCACAACAACCGGCCTTCCTTTCATGCTATATATACAACATCTCATGTAACTGTACAACCGGAAACCGGCGGTCAGCGAACCCGGGTTTCGCTCTAAGCGAGCTTCTGTACATCCGGGGTATATGCAATGTAACCCTGCCCTCTCCATCTTCATCTCCACCTGTATCTCTAAGTCTATATATAGCATGTATTAAGTTCCACCAGCCTATCCCCAATCCATCATCGCGTGTAACCCCCAGCCGGAAAGACGGCCTATCTCTCCCTTAAACGAACGCACACTTGCCGTTCTGGCAGGCCAGTTCGTCGGAGCAATCATCGTGACTAGAGCAAGAGGCACCTGTAATTTTCCCAAGCAAAGTAGTTTAGTTAATTGGATACCGCAACGGCTTAGATACGTGAGCCCGAACATACCCTCACAGTGGCCCTCCCAGGAGCAGGATTGCGCATCGTTATCCACCGAGCAAACACCGCTGATGCAAGCAAGCTCATCGGAGCAATCGTCGTTGCTTGAGCAAGAAGCACCTGCACGAAAAGAAGAAGAAAAGAAGGAAAAATTTAGCCCCCGAAAAAATCAAGAATAGGAAAATACATGGCATGGCCTGTGTTCAATCCCTTACCCTTGCAGTGACCCTCCCACGAGCAGCTCTCTGCGTCTCCGTCCGACGCACACTTGCCGTTCTTGCAGGCCAGCTCGTCAGAGCAGTCGTCGTTGCTGGAACAGCTGGCACCTTTATTTTTTGGACACGTAGTTTAGCGATTCATTCTTCTTCTTTGTCTTCTTCTTGTTGTTCTTCTTCTCCAGAGGAGGAAGAGTTGGGTGGGGAGTTGTTGTCCTCACCGGCGCAGTGGCCTGGCCACGAGCAGGAGCCGCCAGTTGGCTCGGGCAGACTAGTTGTCGTCAGAGTGGTTGGGGGGTTGCCGCCGCCGCCGCCCAGGTTGAGGTTCTTGGCCAGGGCGCCGACGAGGCTGTCGCCCATGGAGCGGAGAGTGTCGAAGTTGGTGATGTAGTTCTCGTTCAGGGCGCTGCTGGGGAGAACGGCCTTGTCGCCGGTGAAGACGATGTCTGGGTTTGGGAGTTAGTGATGGGTCGCTGATGAGATAGAATGAGATTGACAGAGGTACGTACAGGTGACATCGGCAGCGGTGTGGCCCTTGTTGCCGTTCAAGTCCTCGTCGGGGAAACAGGTCCTGGCCATGACCCAAGAGGCTTCACCGGTGACCTGAGGCTATCTCCGTTCGAGTCGCCGAAGATACCGTAGAACATCTTACCGTTGCTAGCGGTGGCACGATGTTAGCAGGCAATAAAGTCTATCCTGGTTAATTTGGCCTACCAGATCACGGCAGAAATGGCATTTCCCTTGAGCTTGGCCTTGTTCGCATCCAAGAACTCCTGGGGAATGACGATAAAGGGAACTTCGTATGCGGACAGCGCGCCCCAGTTGGTCGCGTCCTGACCGTCAGGGTTGCCCTGCGTTTGTTAGACGCTTTCATTATGGAGAGAAAGCTAGGCGAGGTTTCAATCGCGGTTCGTTACCTTGCAGCCATGGTTAAGTCCATCACAGTCAACGTCCATATCAGCCACGAAGGAGAAGGCAGCACCCTGGCTAGTGCGTTAGCGACTGTATACGCATGGAGGTGTTGCACGGTACTTGCCTCAGCGAAGTTGGCCCAGTCACTGTGGATGGTGGACTTGGTAGAGCCCTGGCCGATGGGGTAGGTCGCATGAGAGGGAACCTTGCTGGCCTTAGCAGCAGCGGCCTGGATAGCCGCAACAGGAATGGAGCTCGATGCCTGGAAGAACTTGGCCGGGGGGCCTCCGTTGGGCTTGTTGTAGTCAGCTCCGTTGACCTGCTGGCCCATGGCCGTGCCACAGACGGCCAGGGAGACGGCAAGGCGGCTAGCGAAGTTCTTGATAGGCATGGTGAAGGTGTCCGTACTCAACAGGAAAGCAAGACTGTGGTTGTAGAGATAAGATGTTTTTTTGGCATGGGGGCATGGTGGATTTATAGAAGAACGGATGTGTAGGAAGTGGCTTATACTCTATGGAACGCCCCTTTGTCCGATAACTCAAAGTTCGTTTCGTGTGTTACGGTCTAATCTCCCGGCCGTTTCGAGACCGTCCATGGGCGGATGTAGTAGTCTTTGACAACAGTAGTTGATTCGTCGGAACTCGAGCCACTGCTACGCGAAGGTAGGACTATAGAACGCCTCAAATTGCTGGGTAGTATGTCTCACCTGGTGGTCCTGTTATGCTGCGAGAATGAAGCATGCGGAGCACTAGTTGCAGAAGGATCATATGAAAGTGCTTGAGTTGTGTTTCCCCAACGCATACTAAGAATCCATGGTTGTCGGCAGGGTTCCGCCGCACAGGCTCCACAATTGGTCTCCCAAAATTGGCTCCCATGGCTAGTGCTATCCAGATCCGCCGGATATGATCTCCGGCCACAATAAGTGATTCTTAGCTCCAGAGAATGACACTCTTTGACAGGGTTACTGTTGGGTCTACATTGTTGTGCAACACAGCTGTCGCAGAACAAAGAGGAGGGACTTACTGCCCATGCAGTGCATACCTCAGCCCATGCTCCAGAACCCTGAGAATCTACTAGCAACGTCTTCATGCAAGTGTAGCCGTAGCGTTGCGTTAGACTGGTATTGGAACTCCCCGGAAGTTCCTGAATAGGTAGGTGCCAGTAAGTACCGGGCTTCACCCAGGGGCCTCGGCCCCGACGCTAATGCTAACGGCGCCATATGAAGGGCCAATTTGTAACATGTGGGGTTTCAGAGTGGAGAGGCGATACACTACGGCGCGAAGCGAGAGCGATTGCCGAATCCAGTTAATAATCTTATCAATTGATTCTCCGAGGTCCACATGCGAAAAAAAAGGGTCCGATAGCAACAAACCGTATAGACCTCGTGGTGCAGGGGGGGAAACATGGTATTCGGACTGCATAATGCAGGTACGCGCAAAACTTGCTTATCTCGACGTGTAACCATTGGCCCGTGGTGTCATGTGATTGCGTGTTACCCTAGAGGCGACAGCGACCTCATTTTCTGCAGAGGCTGGACGCTTGCATTGTTAGCAAATTAATTGGGCCCAGTCTCGGCCCGGACCAAGAACATGCCATAGTTCAGTACGATACGAGGTTACATTGCATGCCGCCCCAACTGGTCCAGTCTTGGCATGCATGAGAATAACTGCTTATTGCCTTTTCGGACTCTGCACACGTATCCACTTGACCATGAACTGAGTCTGTAAACGATGATCTGAATACATTCTGAGAATGCTGGCAAATGGAGAGCCCAGGAGAGCCTCGGCATGCAGATCTCCATACCCCTACTAGGGGCGGCGGCGAAGGAGTTTCGCCGAAATGCATATAAAAATTACCACACGACCCGGAGGACGATGGCCGGAGACTCCTCGTAGACTACCATAGACCTCACACCATCTCACAATGCAGTTGTACAAGCTCTTTGCCGTCCTGGCAGCCCTGCAGCCGGCTCTTGCCAAGAGCCTTCTTGACTTCTCTGCGGCTCGTGGCGATAACCCCTCTGTCCTGGGCGTCCGCAACCTCGAATCGGTGCGCAATACCAGGCCGAAAGACAACACCAATGATCTCTACATCAAGTTGGATAAGGACCCCAAGGGCACTCCTGCGCTGCACTTCCACCGCAAGAAGGACTATATCCGTGCCGAGTACCACGCCTTGAAGGACCAGATTGAGGCCGATAAGACCTACTACATTGGCTACAAGTTCTCCCTGGGAGCCATTCAGCAGAGCCTGATGATCTGGCAATTGTGAGTCAATGCCTTCCCTGACACCGTCAACCAAAGACCAGAGTTCAATACTGACCTCTAAAAGCAAGGAATACTCTGCCAACAACCCCAACGACGGCGGTGCTAACATCCCTCTCTCTTTGGAATTCAAGAGCGGCAAACTGAACCTCCAGTACCAAGCATCCAGCGATGCGAAGCGTGTGTCCCAGTGGTCCAAGGAATTGAAGACCGACACCGTCTACTCCATCGGACTCGTGATCAACACCTCCCGTCCCGGATGGGTTGAGCTCTACTTCGATGGCGAGCAGCAGACCTTCGGCTCCGGCAGCAACAGACTGAAGGCCAACACGTTCCCCGGCCAGGCGGACCCCAAGTTCGGCGCTTACCGTGGCGAGGAAGTTCAAATCGATACCTATGTCTACAACATCCAGATCGGAACTGCCCTTGATGATATCAAGGAGGCTGCTGGATTGGGCTCGTCTCCTAAGCCCACCGCTACTTCTAACCCCACCCCTGTGCCTACCTGCTCTTGGGAGGGTCACTGCGAGGGTACGTCTCCTTCTCGTGGGTGCTTTGTCCAATACTAATATGGATATTCTAGGCGCCTCGTGCTCCGACGAGAATGACTGCTCCGACGAGCTCATCTGCAAGAGCGGAAAGTGCACCACTGACAACGTTGTGCCTTGCTCTTGGGAAGGTCACTGTGCCGGTATGTATCTGTCTTCTTACCTATGTTGCTCTGCTTAGCTAACTGTACGTAGGTGCAAAGTGCAGCTCTCATGATGACTGCTCCGATGACCTTGCCTGCAACAATGGTGTCTGTGCCTGATCCGAGTTTATTATGATCTGACTGCCCTCGTTGAGGTGAGTATCTCATGGTTTGTCATGGATAGAATACAATATACTATCGAACCAATGTATGATATGAGCAACATGTGTAATTCAAACCTATTCTCGCACTAGACCTTGTGATGCAGCACTGGTAGACTGTTTTACGCTAAATTATTTCCCCCAAATACCAGAAGCAAATTCTGAACAAACAAAAGGCACACAAACACCGCTCCACAGAGGATTCACTAGCCCCAACGAGATGTAATAATGAGTCCAGAAGAGTCGACATGTTATTGACACGATAAGAAAACAAATACAGAAATCGGACCATGCTCACCGGCAGGCCTTACCGGGCTCAATCCCAAGTCTGATGACTGACTTGCGAAGACCGTGAGACAAAGGGGCTGGTTCGAGACTCTTGATTACCCAACACCAAGGTATCCATGTCAATATTCCGTTCTAATAGCTGCTACGCACAGATAGCGTCTCCATAGCGTGTCTAGGCTCGGGAGCGGGCCGATGGACTGGGTTCGGCAGCTTGCCGACACATCGGCATTTCCGATGCTACCAAAACTCTCGGTATAGTTCCGATATTATAGGTGTTTATTGTGGCGACAGGGGTTCTGAAAGTCAGGGGTGGGTTTTGTTTAGTCGCCAATTATTGTCTTAGCATTGGCCATGAAAGCTAGTTGCTATCCTACTTGCCTAGAGCGAGGCTGTGCAATGGAGTGAGGTGAGGCTCTAGGCCCGTCTGTATCTGTAGTTTTTTTTTTCCTCTTTTTTTCTTTTTTTCAAAATTGCTCTTCCGGCTCTTTTGAGTGAAAGAGACAGGGTAAGGTAATTGTTGTCGGCGATTATATATTAGTAGTGTCTATCATAAATAGGGCTTGTCGGGATAGAGAGTATTAATGTAGGAGCTGAAGGGAGAAAGTACGAGTGTTAAAAGGTTGGACTCTTGATATTATTACTAAATATTTGCGTAACGAACTCCCTTGGTTGCGTGGAGACAATATGGCTTCCTAGGTATGGCCTTGATTTGCTTATGTTATAACTGTGGACAGAATCAGTGTATCATCAAATTTTATATCTCTATTCTATACGAAGACGTCTAGTAGCTCACTCTCTTTAACACCTGCAGACAGCCACGAGAAGATATGCCACTAGCCTAGAACAAAATACAACAATTTTCATCACCTACCATAGATACCTCATAGGTGACCTGCCCTTCCACGTCATCCCCAAGCTCATCCTTCGTGGTGTCGATCACAACGAGCTCCCGTTCAAGATCGGCCCTATCACCCGCTAAGAAAGTACCTTGATGACTGAAGAGGTCCACTTCGGCACTGCTCGTCTCGCCCCAGTCACAGATAGCGTATACGAGAAAACGGTCCCTAGAGGTATATCGTACCGGTCCATGGTGCCTTTGCTCTTTAGATGCACGAGGCCTGCACCAAGCTCAGCAGACACAGCGTCCCCCAAGAGCTGGGTAGGGTGACACCAATGGAGCATGTCAACTATACTTGACAAGCTGATATACTCGCACCTGTCCGTGAGGCTCGGAATGATCGCGGACTATGACTTGGTGTAGCCTGGTTGAGTGACTGGGCAAGATTTGGGTCGGCTCTACAGCGACTCCTATCCTGAGCTCAGGGAATTCAATGCCAGACGAAGTTCAGATTGAAGCACTAGAGTGGCTGGCCGGGGTAGAAGGACATCAAGTCATAAATAGCTGCCGATCGCCCAACGGAAGTGCCGCCCAATGCGGGGTAAAGCGACCTTTAGCCCTGATCGAGCTGGAGATCGAAACAACCTTTCTATTTATGTCCCGAGAACAAGAGCGTCATCATGAGTAACGACCTTGAGGTCTGGGTCCAGCCGAAGCCCAAAAGGATCGAGGGCCACACTGCCCAATGCACCCTCACGTTTAATGGGCGTGTTATCTTCGGACCACGACACTGCCACAACAACACATACAAGCTGCGGGACGCTCTCGCCGCCGCAGATCCCCGCTTTCAACTCACTCTTACTAAGAGGCGCCACTCGAAGGAAGGCCACACATACTCTATCAGCGTCAAAGCTGGCGGCATTGTTTATCTGGATCGAATGTCCACTCACGGTCACATGAAAGAGTTGTGTCAAGCCATTAATAAAGAACTAGCAGCCGAACGCGCGCGCGCCGAGTCCGTATGTGGTCCCAGTTCTATTGTACATACTAGCACCTACTACTAGTAGTACTTGAGACCCTTGTGCCTTACAAGTTATAGGGTAAACCCGAGCTGGCACCGCCATCTCAGGGCCTTCCCCCTCCGCTTCCTCCCCAACAGCCACCAGGCTCTCCCCCACCCCAGGCTACCCGCCCGAAGGGACGCCAGGACTTTGAGATAGCCATTATCTGCGCCCTGAAGGTGGAGTCAAATGCTATCGAAGCATTTCTAGACGAAGAGTTTGAAGTCGATGGATTCTCATACGGACAGGCTCCGGGGGATTCCAACACCTACACGATAGGTCGAATCGGGCAACGAGCCGTCGTCCTAGCGTATATGGCGAACATGGGAAAGGTCGGCTCCACCAGGGCGGCAACCCAGCTTCACCTAAGCTTCCCACAGATAAAAGCCGTATTCCTGGTGGGCATTTGCGGTGCCGCACCGCAAGATGCACAAGGCCGGGAGACATTCCTCGGCGATGTTATGATTAGCACCGCTGTTGTCCAAGCGGACTTCGGATGACAGTACTCAGACCGATTCCGTCGGAAAGATACCTTGGAGGATACTCTCGGCCGAGGGAATTATCGGATCCGCTCCTTCCTCTCGAAGTTAGAATGCAAGAACACGAGCAGCAAGCTGGAGCAGCAAACACGCCAATATATCGCGGAGCTTTCCGCTAAGGACGGTGAATATGCCTACCCCGGTGCCAATCACGATGTTCTATACCGTGCAGATTATCGTCATAAGCATCAGAATGGCGACCCGTCTGTAACCTGTGTCGAATGCAATACCGCTGATGACACGGTCTGCAAAGAGGCCAGAGAGTCATCCTGTGATAGCCCGGATGGGTTAGGGTGCAGTAGTACGCAACTAGTCCGCAGAAGGCAAGAAAACACCCACCCTGTTCTTCATTTTGGCCACTTTTCCTCTGGAGATAGTGTCATGAAGAGTGGCCTTCACCGTGATGAAATTGTTGCTAGAGACAAGGTGATTGCGTTTGAAATGGAGGGTGCAGGTGTTTGGGATGTTCTTCCTACTGTAATCATCAAGAGCGCCTGCGATTATGCGGACAGTCACAAGAACAAAACCTGGCAGAGCTATGCCGCTGGAACAGCTGCGGCGTGTACAAGGGCAGTCCTGGATCAGTGGAGGAGTAGTCAAGGGGCGTGGTTCTAGTAGACTTCGGATTATTGGTATAGTATACTGCGTTAATGAGCGCAATCCACCACCGAGTTGCGAATTTCTCCCGCTCCACCCTCAATAATCCAAGCAACATATATCATCGCGTTCTGGGATAACCAATAGCTTTAGATGAACGAATATCTTACATTTACAAATTTAGAGTCTTATCATGTGCTAGAATTAATTAACTTGAAATTAAGCCCAAGAGATATCTAAGATCTCAAAATAGAGCCCTAGGATTAAAAGCTGAACTGAACGAAAACCATAGGGTTGAAGAGATATTGCTTAACATTGTGACAAAGGGGATGTGTGGTCGGTATTAAGGTATTCAGGCAATTTCCTGGAGAAAAGGACATCAACCAGGCAGGTTAGCCTACTGGTGTACTGCCAAGCATCATTGGTCTAGTGGTAGAATTCATCGTTGCCATCGATGAGGCCCGTGTTCGATTCACGGATGATGCACTCACTTTTTGCTCTTTTCTTTTTTGCCTCGTCACCACCAAGAAAATGAAATCTAATCTGGATAGTCAAATAACAGGCTTGCTGCAATGTAGTATTTCCCTACGCACACGTTCAATAGCATACCAACTCTATACCCCAGTCCTCAGCCACCCCCATTTTAGCCCTAACCAAGTACACCACACTACCAAACATTCCCCCTAGTCTGCTCCCTGTCCAACTTCTTCACGTTAATATTCCTCCAGACCCAAACACACCCAATACAAAGCGGCACAAAACACACCCCCGCAATCACCATCTTCCTCTGGACATCCGCATACGCTCCCACAATCGCCTCCCTCTCCGGCGAGCCATCCGCATACGACATCTGCATGACCATATCACTAAAGATCGTGCGACTGATATTCTTACTCTCCTCGGGGAGTCTGCTGTACAGTTCGCCGGGGAGGATATTATTCCACATGCCACCGGCGATGGCAAACCCGACGGCCGCACCGATGGAACCGAATAGCCCCCAGATTGCCATGACTACGGCGATCTCCTGGTGCGTCACGGGCGCCATGATGGCGAGCTGGCCGCAGACGGTGAATATGCAGGTGCCCAGGCCGACGAGGATCTGGGTCATGGTTAGGATGCCGACGTGGGTGTTGGGTTGGCGGAAGGGGATTAGCAGGCGGTGCCGAGGAGGAGGATCGGGATGCCGGTGAAAACGGTCCATTTGAACTCGCCGGTGTAGCGTATTAGACTGTGGGTGTTAGGTGTTTGGTCTGTGGTGGAGGGGGTTGGGTTAGGGTCTTACAGGCCGAAGATGGGACTGAAGATGTAGGAGGTTAGGGAGAAGGCGTTGAGGACGTAGTTGGCGGTCGTGATGTCGAGTCTGTGCACGACTTGGAGGTAGGAGCTGAAGTAGCTGTTCCAGGCGCTGGGATATTTGTTAGCAAGGTGTTGAGCAGGTCGCTATGAATGGCAGAGACTTACAAGCAGGAGATGAACATGACGCAATACAGAAGGCAGGAACCAATGATCGTCGGTTCCTTCAGGTATTTCCAAGGGAGGAATTGGACAGGGGAAAGGTATCGCTCCCATGCATAGAATGCCGGGATGCAAACCACGCCAAGTACTTCCATCGCAATAATATATCCACTGGCCCATCCCCTGGGCGCATACGAGGCCAGACTGAAGGGGAGAAGGATCAAGGAAAACACTGCCGTTATCAAAACAATTCCCACCACTAGGGCCCTTCCGTTAGTCACGGAGAGTCAAACACACAAGGCCAAAAGAAACACGCACCGTCGAACTCGATGAAGTAGTGGACGATAGACTGCCACCAGGTCCTGTCCGAAACTCTCTTCTCGAGAGCACCCACCTTCTGGGCTCTCCGCTGCATGTACAGCATAACGCCCACAACAGGGATGGAGGTACCAGTGATCATGATCGCGAACGCACCAAATGCCCAGCGAAAGTCAAGGTTGATGTAGAATAGATTTGCGATCTTCGGCCCCGCAAAGGTGCTCGCGATACTCGGGGTTCCGTTGATACCGAGCATGATCATTCGGTTTTTGAGGGTGGTCATATCCGCCAGCATGATATCAATTACATACATCATCCCAATATGTCCCACCCAATACAGTGTGTGCGCCGCGACGTAGGTCTCGATGTTTTTGCAGGTGGCTTTCATTATCAGGCCGATCACGACAATCAGAAGCATAAATAAGAAGCCTTCAACACGTCCCCAGATGTCAATAATCTTGGCGAGAGTGAGCTTGGAGGAGCCGCCGAGAATGGTAGACATGATGCTGACAACGGTGAGGAGTCCATGCTTATGGAATGACGACGTGATATATGGATTGAGCGAGGTTTGGACGGAAACTAAAAGCAGATCGACGAAAGAGACAAGGTAAAGACTGCATGACAGTGAGTACTTCGCCGTATGGAGCGTATAGGAATGGCTGGAGCGAGACAGCAAATGGAGGCGAGACTCACAGGGCAAACATGAGCCACATCGTATTCCTAGACCATAATGAAGTGATGGCTCTCACGCGTTGAACACCGCCTTGATACAAGGTGGAATCCTTGTCTGAGATACTCGTATCATCCCTGGCGGGTTCTTGTACGATGCGATCGACCGCTTCGTTTTTTTCAGGATCCTCCCCGGGACTGCTCATGGGTCCAATCTGGTCCGGCACGACGGTCTTCGGCATGCCGTGCGAGTGAGCGTTGCTCATGGCTGGCGAATCCAGGAACACCCGTAAATGCAGGATAAGGCGGTTGACGTGGTCTGGGGAAAAGAGGGGACGAGCAGCCGAATATGTAAGGGATTTACAGCGCGCGGCATTCTCAGTGCAGCAGCCAAGACTGCCACCGCAAGAAAGCGCTTGCATATACGCTCCCCCTATCAGATGATCAGATAAGATATGCGAGCATTGGTTGCCCAATGATGTCTGTTCAGGGGGATTAGCGCAATGCTAGTATGGAACTAAAATACGACAAGCGGGATTGGCGCCAAGGGTCCGAAAACGGCACCATCAGAAAAGTTTTCAGGAATGCCCTCAGACCCTTCAATGGCTTTTGCATCTGTGGGCTAATTCTTATAGAGTCATGTAATACGGGCGTCCCGAGACGCTGGTATAGTGGTGAACCATTCTTCTGTGACTCGAGTCTCGCCCGGTACCCCAATATTGGTGCTTGACCGAGTTTGGTTCAGCCACGCATGTAGTGCTCCGACCGCTGCCGGAGTATTCTTGTAGTCCCTGGGCCTGCCCTATAATTAGAGAAGCATGGTCCCTGCCGAACCCCAGACTCGCGGGGGTGTTCCTTGGGCTCTGAGCAAGGTTGTTGTGTGGGTAGTCTTCTAGGTGGTATGTAGATATATTTTTTATAGAAATTTTCACCGTTCAGGTGGCGATACGAATCTTGTTTGCTATTGGAAACATGAAGATAGAAGGGATTAGGATAGACCAGTAGCCAGTTCTCTTGCAAGTAGGGGTCTTCATCTCTCTTAGCCCATTTTTGATCAAATAGCCATCCTAGGGTTTAAGGGAATCTGCAACACATAAAAGAACAAGTTCACTATGCTCGGTGGCGTAAGAATCCAGGGCAGAGAGTATAGGCAAAGAGGTATTCCAAGACACCAAAAGCAGATGCTCCGCAGCACCAAAGATTGAGAACCCCAAGGGCCACACGACGTTCCATCTAAATGTACATAAGAGGGGAGGCAAGCCCCTATTCGCACATGCCGGTGAGCGCGGTACTTCATTTACATGAGTGCGGCCTATGGTTTAACCAACGTCGTTATTTCTCCTCCTGCAGCAGTAGGTTCGTTTACTGATACAAGACCGCTACTTCGGCTGGACAACCCCCTGCTCTACAGCTCCATCAGGTAGGCGTGTCTCCTTTTCCGACTGTGTACCTTTGAGCCCGTAGTCCGTCTCCAACGTCGTCCGCAGCTCCACCTCCTTTTCCAACCAAGCGACCAAGAACCCAGCCCCTGCAAACACGATGGAAATCTGCCACACCCGCTGCAAGGCCTTTGTATACGCCTTGATAATAGTGGGCCGCAGCGCGACCGGGAACCGTGTAACAAAGACTCGCGACGCTTGCTGATACGCATCCCTAGCGCTCAGCAGCAGAGTCGCGAGCGAGGGGTCCTCCTCGTGTATCTGCCGAACCAGCCCCGAGTCACATATGCGCGCGGCGAACCGGTTGTTGAAGATTGCTGCAGGGATCGCAACTCCCCAGACGGCGCCAAACGCCCGAAAAAAGGCCCAGGTGGCGGTTGAGGCGGCGACGTCGGTTTCGGCCAACAGGGCCTGCGCGGCTGGCAAGGTTGAGGTGACAATGAAGCCCGAGCCGATGGCCACCAGCAACTGGAAGCCGACCCAGGCACCGGTGCTGGAGGACTTGTCCAGAAGGCTGAAGAGGCCCTGGCCGAGGGTCATCAGGCAAAGCCGCTGACTTGCACCGGCTTGTATCGGCCGGTTTTGGTAATGAGGACGCCTGCGATGATGGCGGCGGGCACGGTGACGATCACGGTGGGGAGAAGTTGCACGCCGGAGCGGGTGGGAGTACTGAGTTGGACACCTTGGGAGTAGACGGGCAGGAAATACAGTTCCCAGTGCATAAGCATACCGTGCAGGAAGCTAATTATAAAGGCGGCGAGGGAGGTGCGGTTGGCAAAGAAATGAGGGGGGATGGTTGGCTCAGGACAGAGCCGGGGGCTCATATGAACCAGATAGAAGACGATCAGCCCTACCAGACCTAGCACCAACGGCACAATAATACACCAACTTGACCAGGCGTTAGATGTTCCTCCAAAGCTGAGCGCAATGAGAATACCACAGATGAGACCAGCAATGCGTTGCCGAACCAGTCGATCCGCTTCACCTTCTCCGCAAAGGTCGCTTGCTTCTTGGACTCGACCCGCAGAAAGAGGACCATGAGCACTATGGCGGTCCCGGCGATGGGAAGGCTGATATAGAATGACCACCTCCAGGTGACGTGCTGTGTGAGGGCGCCTCCAATAAAGGGACCAATGGAGGACCCCACGGCGAACACTACGAAGATGAAGGCTGTCACTTGAGCTCGTTCCCGCAGGGGAACAAGATCATAGACGACAATATCGATGAGCGTATTGACGCCTCCAAGGCCTACTCCTTGAACTGTGCGCCCAGCAATGAGCATTGCAGTCGAACTCGTGCCCCCGCTGATGCCACTACCCAAGGCAAACAGGGCGACGCCCGAGATGAGCGGCCATTGTCGACCGAACACGTCGGCGAGTTGTCCGTAAAGGGGTTGGAATGCGGTACTGAAACCAGCATAACTGGTTATTGGATCTGAAAAAAAAAATATGAAGTGGAGCGGAGACTAACCTTGGCAGAAAGAGCGCATTCGCAACCCAGATATAAGCCCCTCCCGTGTTCAGATCGCGCGAGATGGTGGGCAGCGCAGTCAATGTAACGGTAGATTCAACGGCGGTGAGGAGAGAGGTGACGGACAAACCGGCCATGATCAGCCAAAATCGTCATCCGCGTGAAGCCATAATCGCCTCTGCTTCGGGGAGAGCTGGAGGTGGAGGCCAGCCAAGCGTCTTGAGTGAGCCCCTGACTCTCTGTAGCGATGTTATAGCCGCTTGTGCCGAGCCTTGTATATAGCTCAGCTGGCAGCTACTCATCCTAGGTATAGTACTAGATTAGTTCGTTGGAAGTTGTCCACTAAAAGACACTAGTAAATGCTGACGCACAATCTCTGCTAGTTGTTTCAACTGGGGCTCATTGGGCTACCAGCTCAGAGCTGCAAGTCAGATATTAGTATACCTGCGTTCAAACACCCTGGCCAAGATATTAGTTCAGGCTACTATTATATTACAGAATCTTATAATAAACCGGTTCGACAACCCTATCTGGTGAAATGACCTAAATTAGAATGATTCTATCTGTGGTTAGCCGGCACTAGAAATGTTATACTCCTGTCATGCAGATTTAAGAATTAAGATTAGTTAACTATATTGTTAAGAATCATATACATACTGCTGAGATAGTCAGAGCTCTCGTCTTCCACCCTCTTGTTCATAGTAATTCCTGAGCCATGGTGACTGGTACTCCGGGCTAATTCACAGCCGCGTAACCATCCGGGAGACTAAGGAACCTCTTAGACATAATGGCCTATATTACAGGACGCTATACATAAAATGGTCTGGGGTGTGCTTTGTTGAAAGCCACCAAGCATAGTTGGTCCTCTAGGCTTGTGGCGTAGCGTACGCTAAAGCGCTAGTCTAACACTAACAGCAAACAAAGAAATGAAGAAACCACAAGTGAGAGAGGGGGCGGAAAAGAAAAACAAAGCTAGTTGCCTGGCAGCAGCTCACATTTCCTAAGGCACTGTTTGCCCAGGTCTCCCATTCGGACTCACGCACCTCCTGTGTCACCTCAATCCTCTGTAGCTCGACAGTGCCAGTCTGCTGTTCCATGGGTGCGTCTGACATCGGGTCAACATTAGGGCTAGCATTATATAGATATGGATAAGCCGTGTATAAAAAGCGTGATCATTATTCAACTACAGCTAAACTCTATGTTCGTCGAAGAGACCACTCTTTCTTGATGAGATTAGAAAAAGACCCTTAGTCTAAGCAGCCACAACGATGAACCGTGTAGCCTAGATACGAACATCTGCCGGAGCAGAAGTCGCTTTGCTGTCCCGGCCCATGGCTGTCAGTTCCTCCCAGGTGGGACGCTCGATGTCGACAATCTTGCCGTCCTCAATAAACACCTCCTCCCAGCCTGCAGTTACGTGGGCCCGATTCTGGTCAAGGATCTCATCTTCGCTTGCAATAAAGCTCTGGAATTCGGGATCCGTGACGATTGCTTGCAAGGTCTCGGGGTCAGGCACGTAGACAGATATCGACACGTCATGGTCGTCGATGCTCCAGCCGGGACGGACAGCCCAGGGGATCTTGTCGGTGATGAGCTTTTTGCTGATACTTGGAGTGTAAATCTAGCGGGAAAGATGTGTCAATAAGTACCTATTCACACCTAGACGGAGCCAAATGGGCTTACTCACGTGGGTAACCTTGATGGCGCCATGCTTTTCCTGGATGCGGGCAGCCTTGGGTGCATGCTGTCTTGTTCCGTACTCGTGGAAGTCCCTCTCGGAGATACCTTCCTTCTTATAGCGGAAGGATGTGAGACGGAGAACAAGCTGCTTTTCAGGAGCCATTGTGGATTGTAGCAGTTGGATAAGGACGTGTAACCTGAGTTTGGAAATCAGTAATGTGAGGACTATGGGAAACAGCCGACTATATATGATAACCTGGCATCTCGGCGCGGGGGATTTACAGAACAGGCTTCACATGATTTGTAGGCAACGATAGCGGCATTCAGGGAGCTAGGGTATGACTTCCTCTTTGTCTGCTTGCTGTAACGTTGGCCTGTTCGGGGAAATGATGCATGCATGGCGTGGTAATATCCAGGGTTAACAACCCCGTCCCAGCCATCGATAAGAACGAACAGCACCTGAGTGATCTGCCATCCTTGTCAGTACTTCTGTCTAGTCGATATTCTATATGTATGAATCGACTAATTCTTTGTTCCTCTTTGCCGCGTGGGTGCCTCATCTTTCTAATTTTTCCGCACGGTCCCACACACCCTGTTAAGGCGCCGATCTATCCATCTCTAGCTTAGGGCTTACATTAGGACAAGACATTGGAAAAATAGCCTTATTTCTTCCATCTGAAAGTGGACAATCTAACTCGATAATTGCCGAATAGCTTTTTTGTAGCAATTCTTCTCACAATCTTCCAGAAGATTGGGTACATCTCATTTTTCAATATTATGATAGTGAGAAGGACATTTTCTCGTTTTAAAAGTAACAAACTGTCGAGTCTCCATATTTCAACAAAGGCCATTTATATATATAAAATTCAAAGTTTCTGGAGCCCCGTTACTGCTATGTATATACAGACACGAGATAAATCAGCTGTAGAAACACCACTTGAAAAGAGTGCTGATCAGAAGGTGATACACAAGTGATGTATAAAGGGGCTTGAATTTATGGATACAGTAACAACTTAGTCACAAACGCTGTATGGCAATATCTGGGTATAGCAGGGACATCTCCTGATAGATACAAAGACCAAATCCAGGTCGATGTCATATATATCCTAGTCACTTTACCAAAAAGACCTCTTCTTCCCCCCTTCCGGCGGATAAACAACAATGCGATCCAAGTCTGCCCCCTTGAAATCAAACCCATTCCACAACCCGCCCACAGTAATCGTATTTTCCCCTTTCTTGAGCGGCAGCAAAAGCGGCGTGGAGAGAATAGCACCCTTGTGGGTATCCTTCTGGTACAGCGTGTGTACGTTCTCCCTGTCATCATTCACTACGACGCCGCTGATCCGACGCAGTTGCCAGGTGCCATTTATGCGGTCTGGTTGGCCCATTGGTTGATCGCCGAAACCCATGTCGTCAATGTCTGGGATAGTAGTTAATGCGCGTGGGGCTGAGATGGGCGAGAGGGGAGGGAACGACATGACATACTTTGGTGGTAAAAGGATACCCATTGGTCTTGGCCTTGGCCTTGCACAGTGAAGGTGATTGTGCTGTCATTGCCGTAGATGCCTGTCGCAATTCGGTTTTGGCTAGCGAATGTCTGAAGTAAGAGCCGTGAGTATAAACATCAGTTTATTACTATGGTATGATCAACTTACTGCCTCCTGCAGGTACGCATCTCCGGAAGTCTTTGCATGTTTCGTGATATATGTCTCTCCCTTGATGGGCTTCCATTCTCCAGTTTTGCTACACATATAAAATTAGTACCAACTGAGAAAGTAGATTCAGCATGCACTTACACGTTTAGATCGTAGATGTCATGCCAGACGACTTGCAGGCTACCTTCATCATCATCGATCTCAACGGGAAGCCATATATTGCGACTCTCCCAGAGCGAGTTCATGTCCCACTAGATTGTTAAGTCTCGTCAGTGCTAGGGGCTTGCAGCTATTTAGTAAAATGTAAGATATACTTGATCTGCTATATATAAGTACGTTGTCTTCTTAGTCCCCTGGATCCTCCACGAAAACCCAGACTGTGTACTGAATGTACGCGTATATGCTGGGGAAACAAAGAATGGCTGGGACCAGGGGCCCTGAAGCTTGTCTGCGCGAAGTGCGACCACATCTGGACGATACATCAGCCTACAACCCGATAGGTTCCCTCACTAAGATGGAGAAGGATATACTATTCGGCCGGTACTCCGTCTTATGACTCATAAGTGCATAGTAGTTCTTCTCCGTTTGCAGTATAGTGGGCGCCTCAAAGTCATACTTGGGGAAGCGGTAAGTAACCTCCTCAACAGCTGTGAGGTTCCTGTTGAATTTGCTGAGGTAGACGTCACGGCCCTCGACGCTATCACCGTTTGAATAGAGGGCGTACGAGTGGCCCGACTTGTAATCGGTAAATGCGCCAAAATCTTGTGACCAATTCCCCAAGGGAGAGGTAGCATCCACGAAGGTATAGGGACCGGCAATCTTGTCGGAGGTTGCAAGACCCTGGAGGAGCCAGGAGTATTTGTCATCGTCGGCGTGCCACCAAATAGTTAGATAAAACGTATGCGGCGAGGACACAGAGTGCTAAAGTTGACACGGGGTCTTTTGTATAGCCTTTATCCTATACGCCATTCAAGGTCTCGAAGCCTACTTTGCAGCCTCGTTGACCCCGGCCGTTAGACTTCAACGCTACCCCTCAATGTCGGTAGAGCACTACCCCGAGCGAAAGATTTATCCATCTCAGACCTTATGTTACTGCGGTAGAAGTCGTGGTGGCTCCATCGGTAACTACTGAATAGCCGACAGCCAAGCAAGCGAGCAGTATCTGACCCGCAAGCAATCCGCTAAAGATATCAGGGCAGCGTGCAACTTCGGGTAAGATCGGTTGCGAGGTTCTAGTCAGTGGGTGGGGAAATATCTTGGAACCCCGTATCTTACGCAAAGCCAAGCAGCGCGGCGTTGCAACGTAGATGGTGACGTTTGATTATAGTTCAGTTTGTACTAAGCGGACGAATAACAGACTCAACTGCAGGGTCTTGCCATAGCTCCGAATTAGCTAAGCGGCATACAGGGATTCGAGAACATTTTCCACGAACCAAGTCTCGGCATGTTGTCCGTGTGAAAGTGTGGGGGCACCGGGTTATCTGCTTATAGCCCTATATGACCGGGTCTAGTTATACCAGTGGTCTTCCTCGCGGAGCTAACTTTGCTGGGGTCAATGGACGACTAGATTTGAGCAGGGCTTGATCCCATATCCGTGGGAAAACTTGACTAGACTGCAGAATGAGGATTTACTACTTACTAGTCATCCTTTTGTTACATGGACTGGCATTGGCGCTCTTGGAAGAGAAAATAGTTGCATTCGAACACTATCGCTGGATCAATTGAGCTCGGCAATGCTGCAGTATTGCGAGATGCAGGCGATTCTGTCGGAGTCAAAATTGCAGCGGACAGTTTAGCCAGTGACTTGGAAGAAGTGACTGATATCAAGCGTCGGGTGCTTATTTAGGATGAAATGGTATCTGTTCCCCACACGGAGTCCTCTACTTATGGTTTAGTTATTATCGCTGCGACGGTCGACTCGCTATTGGTATCTCGACTTGAAGAGGAAGGGAAGATCAATGTTGATGATATCCGTGGTAAATGGGAGACCTTCCGCACGGTTCTCATCCATAGCCCTCTACCCGGGTTCAAATATGGTCTCGTAATCGTTGGTAGTGACAAGAGAGGTACTATGTTCGGGATCTATACGCTCTCAGAGCAGATTGGAAAATCCCCGTGAGTTATATTCTCAGCTCATCAATTTGCAAAGCCTGACCAAACACTAGCCTCCATTGGTGGGCCGATGTTGCTGTCACAAAGCACAACAACATCTATGCCCTCAACAAAACTACAACACACGGCGAGCCTAGCGTTAGGTACCGCGGTATCTTCATCAACGATGAAGCACCCGCTTTGACGGGCTGGTGGGCAAATCATAGCAATGTCAATGGCTATATCTTCAATGCTGAGTTCTACGAACACGTTTTCGATCTGCTAGTCCGTCTTAAAGCCAACTTTCTGTGGCCTGCTATGTGGGGATCCTTTATTCCCACTCCTGGAAGAATCTTCTTCACGGATGACCTGCGGAATCAGCAGCTTGCAGATGATTACGGGATTATTGTCTCAACTAGTCACCACGAACCAATGCAACGTGCTTCGAATGAGTGGACGAAGGACCCCACGCAGGGCGCATGGGACTGGGTAAACAACAAAGTGAATGTCGTTAAGTTCATGGAAGAAGGTGTTAGACGTGCGGGAGATAATGAGACGTACTTTACATTAGGCATGCGTGGAGAAAATGATAGCCCCATCGAAGCGGATGACCCTATCGCCGTGCTGCGGGATGTGTTTAGCACCCAAAGAGATCTCCTTGCCAAGTACCATGGAAACAAGACCTCTCTTCAGGCATGGACCGTCTACAAAGAGGTTATGACTTATTACACAGCTGGTCTGGTTCCTCCCGACGATGTGACATTGATATTCGCCGATGATAATTGGGGTAATATCCAACGGCTGCCAACAGAGGAGGAGCGACAGAGGCCTGGTGGTATTGGTGTAGGTCACTCTCGGTCACTCATAATCTGCGGCTTCTAACCATGCCCGCAGCTTTACTATCACTTTGAGTATGTGGGTAGACCCAAGAGCTGGAAATGGCAGAACAACAACAATCTGGTTAGTGGCATGACGCCCCATTCAACCCAACTTTCAACTAAGTTCTATAGCCCAAAATATACAAAGAGCTCTCACAAGCATATGAGCGTGGAGCCGACAGAGTCTGGGTCATCAATGTGGGTGACATCAAACCCATGGAAGTTCCTCTCTCATTCTCCCTCAACCTTGCATGGAATACGTCCCAGTTTGATTTCGACACCATTCCCTTATACCCCAAGGCTTTGGCTGCGCGAGACTTTGGTCAGAAGTATGCAGACCAAATTGCATCGGCTTTGATGGAATATAGCCATCTAGCCGGTCTACGCAAGTTTGAAATGCTGGAACCAACAACATACTCCATCCTCAACTTCTGAGAGGCAGAACATGTGCTCGATCAGTGGAGAGCGCTTGCCCAAAAGGTACAAGAAATCCAACAGTCCTTACCCAGGGAACGCCGCGACTCTTGCTATCATCTCCTAACCTACCCCGCGATGGCGGGGTTCAATTACTACCAGACGATCCTTGGCCAGGGCAAAAACCGCCAATGCAGCTTTGAACGCCGCAACTCGGCCAATTTGGTCGCAGAACAGGTCCTCAAGTATTTCGAGGAAGATTACGACCTGACCCTGGAGTATGACAGCCTGGCAGACGGCAAATGGAAGGGAATCATGTCGACCCCCAAGTTTGATATGGGTGTGGCAGACTGGCGTCCATCGTCCCGCGACGTCGTCGCAAATCCATCATACGTGCAGCTTCGTCAGGACTTCGACTACGCCTTCGGTAACCTGGGCATCTTTGTCGAGCAGTCGCTTAGTGCATACCGTCAGGGTCGGATCTGCGGGTCTATCAATCCCTCCCTACCAACTGACGAAGGCTTTTCACCCGTGCTCCCGATTATGGATCCGTATGGTCCAAAATCGCGCCTCATTGAGCTCTTCCACCGTGGGGATCGTCGCAAGCCCGTCGAATGGTCTATCTCAACTCACTACTCGTGGGTCCATCTCTCGAAGACATCAGGGGCGCTCTCGAAAGAACACCCGGAGGAACGGCTGGAAGTCTACGTTGACTGGACCGCTGTGCCAAGCAACTTTACAGAGACAATTCAGCTGCGCGTAGAATGGGAACCGTCTCCGCAGTATTTTGATCTGATCCACATCCCCATCCGCAACCACCGTGTGCCACCCGACTTCAATGGGTTCCCTGAGTCAGGCGGCTTCGTCTCAATCGAAGGCCCGCATTTGCAGCGCTCCTCACCGGATGCTGTATCTTTCAAACAAATCAAGTATCTAGGATCGCGATCTCGCTCCGGATCCATCGCGCTCCGGCCGTACATGAAAGCTCGAGAGTCCGAAGAAGACACAAAAGCTGCGTGGGCTGAGTACGATTTCTATCTCTTCAATTCGACTGACTCATTCAATGCGACTGTATACGTCAATGGTGCTTTAGACACGGATCCGAACCTACCTATGGAATTCTCCTTATCGGTCGATGGCCAAGAGGCGACCTTCACGAGACTGCTGGGTGAGCCTGAAGAGGCCGGAGATACGCCCCCTGGATGGGCCGAGGTAGTGGCGGACCATGTTTGGACGAGGGATGTTGAGATTGCAGCTCTTGAACAGGGCCCGCATACACTTCAATGGAGAGTGAATTCGCCAGAGGTATACTTAGAGAAGATTGTTCTTGCACTGGACGGGGGGTTAGATAGTTATCTTGGTCCGCCGGAGACTGCCCTAGTAGGGTAAGGCTGGGGGGTTACTCATCATTTGTCGAGTTCATACAGTCAAGATGCCACGTGGGCTAGGAAGCACGACCTATGTCTTAATTAACTATGGTACGACCAGTCTGGTCACTAGATTAGCAGTTCCAGCTGTACAGATAGTCAACCAAGTCAGTTAGTACAGTTCAAGTAATCTCGGGTGATCCAATACCGAACGGCGGCTTGGCTAAGAATATTCCACAAATGGGAGAGGAAATATATATAAAACATTCAAGGATCGCACCATTCGGTGTATCTCCACCTCCACATATTTCCCCCGCATGTTGGAGAGTGATGTACGGAGTGAGCTACCCCGTATACACGGCCCTCGGTGTGTGGATCCAACACCCGAAACTGACTTGATTGCCACCCTTTAAAATGACCCAAAATACGCGAACTCTGGACAATGACCGAGTAGCAGGCAAAGGTTGGCCTTTATTCTATTGCTCAATATCAAGCATAAATGTTCCTACCCTCACGGAAGGCGCTGGCCTTCCTAGCTTGTCTCGCCAGCCATTCCACGGCACTTCTAACAACATCCGAGAACTCTACCCACCTCAACCTCGCGAATGACCGCCTCGCCATCTCTTTGGCCAAATCCAGTGGTCACATCGTTGACGTCCAATTAGACAACCAGGATCTGCTTGGGCCGGTAGACGGCAACACCGGAAAGGGTCCATACCTAGATTGCTCATGCGTCCCGTCGGGCTTCTGGACGCCTGGTAGCGGCGCTCACCTGGAGCTCATCAACGGCACGGATTCGACCGGCACAGCATATGGCGGAATCTATATGACCGCTACATATGAGTCAACCAACCAGACACTCTCACAGTGGTTCTTCCTTCGGGGCGAAGAGACAGGCTTACATGCGTTTTCCCGAGTCACGTACTTCAACGAGACGACGCCTTTTCTGCGGAGCCTTGGAGAACTGCGCACACTCTTCCGACCAAACACGGACCTTTGGACGCACTTCTCCACCAGTGACGGAAATTCTGGGCCACTGCCGCTGGATAGCACTTACGATGGTGGTTTGGTGGTCCAGGATGCCACCACCTACATGGGGAACATTACCGATGACCCCTATGTCTCTGAGTACTCTGATTACTTTACCAAATATAGCTTGGCAGAGAGCTGGCGCAACCACGATGTCCATGGCATGTTCGGCGACGGCTCGGCCAGTTCTGATGGAAGCACGTTCGGTGCTTGGCTAGTTCATAACACTGTGGAGACGTACTACGGAGGCCCGCTGCATTCTGACCTTGTTGTCGATGGCATTGTGTATAATTATCTGGTCTCCGGCCACTATGGAGCACCCATGCCAAACCTCACGCATGGGTTTGACCGCACATGGGGACCTCAGTTCTACTACTTCAACCGCGGAGATGCGGAGACGACAATCGCCGAGTTGAGGGCCGATGCTGCGAAGTACGCTGATCCGGAATGGAACGCGGAGTTCTACGACAGTATCTCGAATCACATTCCCAATTTCGCGCCGTCGTCTGGCAGGACAACCTTCAAGGGGAAGGTGTCGCTGCCGGAAGGTGCCAAAAGGCCCATCATTGTGCTATCCGAGGATGCACAGGACTTCCAGTTGAATGTCTTCGACACGAAGTCTCTGCAGTACTGGGCGGAGATCGACAAGTCCGGAAGTTTTCGCATTCCCCGTGTAGTAGAAGGGGCGTACAGGGTAACCATCTATGCAGACGAGATCTTCGGGTGGTTTATCCAAGACCACGTCAAAGTTTCCAAATCGCAGTCACAAGAACACAGGTTCATCTGGCAAGAGGAAAGCGCAGGTAAAGAGATCTGGCGTATCGGTGTGCCGGATAAGTCAGCTGGGGAGTATCTTCATGGCTACGCGCCGGATACTTCCAAGCCGCTACAGCCAGAACAATACCGCATATACTGGGGCAAATACGACTACCCAGCTGACTTCCCTGACGGAATCAACTTCCACGTCGGAGAGAGCGACCCGTCTCAAGACCTCAATTACATCCACTGGGCATTCTTCCCCTCCCAGGGAAACCACCTCCGCACGACACCGTACTACGACAATGTCAATAACTGGACAGTGACGTTCGACCTAACCGCAGACCAGCTCCGTGACACGAGCACGGCAACGTTCACCGTGCAGATCGCAGGCGCGAAGACTGCGAACGGGAACTCGAAGTGGACGCCCGTCGAGGGGAAGTACAGTAACCTTCCATGGACGGTGAATGTAAACGGACAGTTTGAGTCTACATGGGCAATTCCGTACTGGCGCAGTGGATCATGTGGAGTGCGCAGTGGTGTATCCTGCCAGAATATAGAGCAGAAGTTTGTGTTTCCGGTGAAGAGTCTCCTGCAAGGCAGGAATGAGTTTGTCTTGAGTTTGCCGTTCAATGCATCTAGTACGGAGACTGCATTACTGCCCGATGCACTTTATGTGCAGTACGATGCGTTGAGGTTGGAGTTGGAGTGATGGAGAGGCAGGTATCCTTTGAGGCTAGTAAGTATACAGGGTCGACGAAGATAGGCGATTTAGATATTTTACATAGAGGTTATGCAAAGAATCAAAGCTCGTCCACGTTGGCAGGTGGCTTAGCTGTCCCAAGATTCATATAATGCAGGTAGCACCTAGTAGACAGGCTAAAACTGGTACGGACCCGGGTTGTTTCAGGACTGCAAGCCATATCTATATTCAGGCATGCTAAGGATATGTCGGAAAGCTTATTTCCTATCCTCAATAAGCTTTTCGCGTTGTTTATCGTGACGAACTTACTACGTTTAATACTGGTGATTTTGCGAGCCCCGTACCTGGCGGTAATATTTTGACAGTGTAAGCTCTAGCAATCAGGTGATTCTACCCACCTCGAGGATTTTATGTCCGTTAATACCGTCTCCTCAGAACTCTTAACGCATGAGATATAGTGGCGTAAAACTCCATTCAAAAGTCGGTGTATCCAAAGCATCTGTTGTCAGGCGACCAGCAACCGTACGCCTCTTCTTCACACATTGGAAGTGGTAACACCACCCCAATCTCTCGTTCGATCGAAAGCCTTAAATGATATGTTCGACAGGCTAGCAAGTTGTGTAACCCGATTTGGAACAAGTATCCACACCCCTTGCAGAACCTCGGGTGTAACGGTTCAACCCAATAGATCTGGACACGTCACTCGTTGGTACGTTTAGGGGTAGGCACATAACTGAAGACACACTCCTCGGAGTGGTATTCTACAGCCAGATAGTGGAAAATACCACGTTACATCTCGATATATTGCTCACACATAGCAAAATAGGCTAGCATCTTCGGGCCGCTAAGCGGTCCCACAATCTTGTTGCTTAGTCTAGATCGCCACAAATCGATTCGAACGTCAGGATAAGCTCAAATTAGTGCCTCAAGATTACTATATATACCTGTTGTTCCTTCCATACGCCGCGGCAAATTTTCACCTGCATTGACACGGTCATGGACAAAAGTCAAACAAGGCTGGACTTCGAGCCAGTTCCGTCTCCATGGCGTAATATACGTGCACAAGTATTTTTCTCCATCGCTAGAGCCAACTGGCCATATGGCCTGCCACAGGGCTCATATGGTGATCTGGAGGCCTCTGCGCCATTCTCAGATCCTGAAGCGAGTGGCAAATTCGAAGGAGGCTTCTGTTTGTGCATGATAGTTCGGTACCTGGAGTCTCCTGTTGGTAGGCAATGCTCTTAGCTATCTTGTCGGTAGGGGTAGAAATTTGACGTTTCTTGCTGTTATAGGGCCATATGACGAACTCCTATGGGCTCCAGGAGTATTCCAAGACCCTCGCCACGAAAAGTCGGTGAAGAGATACAGAATTACCAGAATATATGTGTCTTCACTAGACTCGGTTTACAACGGTGCGAACCGTATCCCCCTGTACTGATCGTGTACATGAAAGTGCTAATTCAAAACACAGGCCGGAGGAATTGGAATATACCAAAGACCGTGAGCACCCCCAATCTCCAATGTCTCGGAGACCGAAATTCTTTTTTTTCCCCTTGGAACTCACTGCATATATCTGCTTCAGCTGGCCAATTTCGAATTCGTTCCGTCCGATTCCCCCAATCCACCATACCGTCAGATCAAGGTCTCACTACCCGACAGTCCGGAACAACCATTTGTTTCCTTGGATTTACAGCCAATCCCATTGATATCTAGACCTCTCTTTCCCATTTCCACGAGCTATATTCCGATGAATCTTGATATTGTGATGCCGCCAATACCCGGGTCTAATGACTGGCGGGAGAATGGATTGGTAGGCAGCGAAAATAATGAATGGAGATCTGTACAGGTTGACATATCCGGTAAAGCTGGTGTGATTCGAGTAGGAGGAAAGCTTGGCGATGGGGAATCATTCCCAAAGCTAGATATGGATGGGTTGTGGTTCTGGGTAGACGCAAAAATGACGTGCAAGAATGTCGGAGAGTAGGGACCTTCAAAACCAGGGACGTATACTAGAGGCATTAATAGATGATTGTTACTATGCTAGCCCTAGTATCATAGTCGACACACAAGAGGCATTCAGACATGAAATTTTGATATCTTTTCGGAGACAGAATTATGTACAGGAAAGGAAAATGCTCTATTTGGGTTCTATTGTTACACAGAGGATTGGCTAATCAGTGACATCTTCCTGGAGATAAAAGTTGTCTATAGCCCTCTGGAGTCAAAAGGTACTTCCACTAGCCAGAGAATGATTCCATGGTAAGCACTGCTTAATGCTGGGCAAGGATCTTGGCAGCAGCTTGCTCGGCAGCAACCATGATGGTGGCCTGAATGTTACCCGTGGGGAGGTCAGGGTGCATACTGCCGTCAACAACGTACTACAACAGTTAGCAAAACGTCCACATGGAGATATTAAGTTGCAACTTACCAGGTTGTCCATGCCATACACCTTGGTGTTGGTGTCGACCACGGATGTGCCGTTCTTGCGTCCGTCGTCGGTACCCATCTTGGCCGTGCCGACGTAGTGGACACCCATAGACGGCGACGAGAGGATCGCAGAGGTGTTAGTGTTGCCCTGCAGCTTGAAGCCAGTGGATGGGTCAGTGATGTCGTACAACAACTGATCGACGAACAGCTTTGCGGCAGTCCAGTCATCAGCAGTTTGCATGTAGGGAGACTTCTCGAACACGGTGTTGCCCTTGTCGTCCAGGCCGAGGACGCCGGAAGAGGTCAGACCATGGGTCATGTAGGCAGTGATTGCCAGAATGCCCTCATCGGCGGGTGCGCAAGATCCCTGGTAGTACCGGGTATGTCCGTTGACCTGGTTCGAAGTGAAGAAGATCATGCGGTGCTTGCCCTGAGTAAGAACTCCGCTGTTCTGGCGATACAGATTGATGTCAGTAGTGTCGGAGCCATTGAGGACGCCGTCGTAGTCAACAAGACCAAAATCAGCACCGGTGTCTACACTGATGCTGAAGATGGGGTGATCCTTGAGTCCGACACCGACAGGGAGGTCGATCCATTCCTCTTGCGGAGGAACAGTGACACCACTCTTCTTGGCCGTTTCGATCTGCTTCTTGGGCCCGATACCGGAGTTAAAGAGCAGTCGGGGGGTGGAGAGCGCTCCAGCTGCCAAAACCACACGACCATGGGGCGCAAGGGTAACCACTTCAGTTTGTCCAGTAACGGAGTCCACAACTTCGACGCCAGTCACTTCACTGCCGGATCTCACGAGACGGTTGACCTTAGAGTGGAGGCGGAGGGTGAAGTTGTCGAGATCCTTGGCCAAAGGCAGATAGGTACGAACAGGACCAGCACGCTTCTGATCCACGATATTCCAGGCCGGGTAACTGTAGATTTGGTGCTTCTCATTGGGAGCTGCAATCATGTCGACTGACTTCCAGCCCAGGTTGTTGAAGAACTTGGAGAGCACTTTGTAAAGACCTTGGTCGTAACGCTTGCCATCGGCAGAAGGCTGAATCGTTCCGGGGTTGCGTTGGTACAAACGCTCGGACGCCGCCTTGACATCCTCCCATTTCCATCCCTGGGGCCACTTGTCGTCGAAATCGCGCTCCGGGGGGTGGACGAAAACCATGTAATTGAGGGTGACACCACCACCCAACACGCAAGCGGCTTGCCCATCGGTGTCGGTACAGATGTACTGATTCCAGACGTCCAGGTTTCCAATATCGGCCGACAGTCCAGGAAGATCGACGGGGGTCAAGGTACGGTTCCAGCTGAGCGTTTCATTATTGCCAGTGCTGACAGTGGGACCGACACCACGTTCCAGTAGAAGGACATTCTTGCCCGCTTCGGCGAATCTCTCTGCTGTGATGATACCAGACGGACCACCACCGACAACGATATAGTCGTAGCTGTTGTTCTTCAAGGCGGCGACCGCGGAAAGCGAGGCTGCCAAAGCCCCTGTGCGAAGGAACCTCATGTTGAAAGATGGACACGGTTGTCAAAATACCAAGGGATAAGAACTGCTTCCACCCTGAAGATACTATAGACCGTTTTATATATGACGCTCAGTGGCGTGGAACCACCGGTGTGGATCGGTCAGCCGCAATTTTTATTACTCAAAGACTGCTTTCGGGTAAGAGTTTTCGGATCCACGATGTTGATTGCGATGGATAGATCCCACTCAACCCTTTCCATCTCGTTTCGTTTAGCCGGGAGGAATGCCCTCAGGTACTCGAGATTTTCTGCTGAATGAGGTTTAGAGGCATTCTTCAAGATCCACTTTGACCACGGATATGGAAATGAGAGTGGAGCAACTGTGCATTATCAATCAGCACATAAGCAGCTTGGCGATGCTGACGGTTTGCAGAATAACGGCAGAAGGTTGTGGGTCCTGGTCTTGATAATCGAATCACGGCAGTTAAATCCCGCGATCAATCTCCGTATATCCGTATGAGGTTAACAACCTAGGATCATTAGTGTTGCAAAGCTGAAACAGCTATTCTCGCTTGGGCTCTTGTCATCGCTTCGTTGTCCGCCATACTCGGGTTTACGTGCACAATTTCTGGGGTCTCTGCACCTACGCTACACTTGTAGACATCATATCCTGGCCCAAAATCCTACCTTCAAGATATGACGTGCAAACTTGCCACTACATATGTAGCTACGGCGGTATAGAACCCTGAAGTTCACTGAGGCGCGTGGTGGCGTTCCTTAGAACCCTATGATATGACTTATCCGCCACAAGACCCACCGCCACGTTTTCGCTCACCCGGGCCCAGTGTTTATATTTCACGCATTGGCGCCGTAAGTGCTGCAGTTCTAGATCTTGATCCGAGTGGATGACTCTCATCTAAGCATTCCACATTGATCGGATCGTCAAATTAACAGACCTATGTCGACTTTGAAGTATGATCACTCTGTCCCTAGGTCTTCCGGCCTCACTGAGCAATTATAGTCCTTGACCTGAGTGGTCCAAGTGCGCATTTGTATTCGGTTACAACATTTCCTGTAGTGAGCTTCTGTGTACAAGATAAAACGGACCTCTGGCTTTGTATACGCCATAGCCACCAGATCGGTCGTGAAGCTTCAGGTGGTCCCATGTGTATGTTACCTCCAACGGTAAAGGTAGGTAAGGCCCGGGTAATGTCGATAAACGAGCTATGTTTGGTGTCGTCTCCGGTATGCAAGTCATCCTTATTGTATATTCTAGCCTTGGATCATATTAGTTCCGGGATTAAACGGACAAGCCCTTTACAGGTAGTACTGCCGGCGGATACTCGCCAAGCCCTATGTTGTCACTGTCGGCGTCGTCTTCACTATCTGGTAAATTGCGAAGTTCAGCACCGCATAATAAATACATAGTGGTGAATTGCACAACGGCTAGGGAATTATACAAGGGTAAAGCGTCTTTAAAAAAGATGTTTACGGGAGGATGTGACATTTATGCTAACTGTTTGGTGGTTATGGCATCTTAAAAGAACAGGCAAGACAAATGGCGCATAGTTTCATGGAGTACTTCATTGTATCGCCGTTTTGAACCCTAATGTATGTTCCTTCCCACAAAACCCAAGGAACTATTTACCACAAGTCACGCTATCAAGTTGGCAGCCGCACTTCGCGCCTTTGAGGGGTGTTATTTATGATTTTGGTGTATGAACGAGATAATATCGAAGGCTGCCATGCTAAAGACTGTAGCTGTGGAGTGCCACAACAGCAGCAATCATACACTTGATACGGTATTATCGCTAATGCTTACGGTGGGGTCTCTCGTCACACCGGTTTGAACAAGAGGTGCGTAACTATCCTTACCTGATCGAAAATTCTGCTCTCTATTAGTAGTAACTAATTCTGTCGCCTTTTCCTTTCTTACATGCGACAGCCTATGTATACTCATAGATTGACCGTATAATTGATTTCCATACACAGTGTATCCATGTCTACGGTAGTAATAGTATATTTCCGTCATATATCCATTATATCCACGGTACGTCGCTACGACTGACAGATGATATCTTAAGCATGATAATCCCATATGCGACATGCTACCCAGTCCAGTGCTTGACACTTTGATATTCAATGGTGAAAGAGACACAAACGGCTCACAAAGTACCGAAGGGGCTATATGAAAGCCACTCTTTTAATCGCGACAGAAAAAGGCAAGAAAGGACTGCCTATCAAGATCGCCATTGACCAATCTACTGTTTCGCTTGACCGAGCCACCATGCATATGATGCTTCCGAACACTTGCGGGTTTCATGCCATTAACCACATCTCCATTGAAGACAGAAGAGGACTCATCGACCTCAGTGTCCCGGTAACAATGACAACCCTTCTCTGCCTGTTCCTGTGACTCCCCATCGTCAAACAGTGAGCATTCGCTGTTGATATCTGTTGCTAGTCTGTTGTCAGTTGCTTGTTTAAGGTTGGGGAAGGTGGCATATACAATCCTGGCCTTCAGTGTCCTGGCGTTCGTTCCTACTGGCAACCATGTCTGCAGGGAATATGCGATCGTCTTGGAAGTGCCGACTTTGATGTTCTATATGGCCATTGCGAGCATAAACGACTGTAGCAAGTCCTATGCCACGTTCAGGATCGACAGGCAGTTGGATCGTTCTCTGAGTTAAGTTAGTGGATCTTCAAGAAGCCTCAAAAAGGGGTAGTAGTTTGCGTACTTGCTCATTATTGGGAGAATTAAGCCTTTGAGGTGTAGACATTTCGACGAAAAGATAATGGATATTATGTAAGCCCAAGAAATCAGAATGGAAAATGGCAGGCCCTTCAGCATGCACAACAGGACGGTTTCTCCCTCCTTATATAGCTCGTAAAGTCTCCCCAGGCTTGTAGGCCTGATAGCCAGGCGGCAGTGGTGCCTCATTAGACAGGGATTATATTCCGAGGCTTTACAGCCTCATGCACATCCGGACGTACCACTGTGTTTTGCTATCTAGTACATCAAAGCGTACCAGCTTCCATTGGATAGATACGGATCTACATCTCGTTCTAAATTTGCTAGCTGTTTTAGTCGGTAAACGTGCGCTTACTCATCACCTTCCTACCATGAGCAAGCTTTTAAATCGGCACCATTTGTTGTGCACATTGTGATATCAAATCGAGTCAAAGCACGTCATCACCTTGATTCGTATGTAACCTGTACATATATGCTTCGTGTTTTGCCAATATATCCCGTTTCTCAGGCACACCTTTATGCTAAATCTAGCTAACATAACCAACAAGAGAGGGGCGTGACCAAAGTAGCGTATTCTCCCAAGTTGGTACGCTAATTTAGAGGGCGCTATACCATGGCCCACGCACACTAGACATGATGGTTCACGAGTCAGGCGAGGAGAATTCCCCATTCCTTTCCACCGAAACCATCCCGACCGTTCCGCGTGGTCGAAATTGAAGGGACCGTGGTGAGACTGTGCGGCTTTCACCAATTGCCTCAACCCCATAGGTAAGGCGAGTCCAAGGGAAACAACACTGATCCAGGTCAGTCAATCTACTTATCGCCTCATTTCTAATCTGGAGAAAGCAGAATAGAAACATGTTTCGTCTACTGCCCACTGCCCAATGCCCACCGCAGCCAGATAAAGTTACACCAAAAAACCTCTCTGTTATCGAAGTCCGTTGAGCCCCGAGGCGCATGTCGGATACTTGGGAGAGAGGGGGCGTGACAGAAAGGTGCTGATCCGCGGCGCCAGTCGCGCCAATTCTCTACACTATTCAATAGGATCAACAACTCGGTTCACGTTCCCATTTCCCCGGCCAGTCACATTGCATAAACTCTAGTCCATGTCCTATGACTGGAGCTTCCATACGAGCTTTTGTTGCCCTACTCAGTGGCTCCACGTTGCTCTCGTCCTCTCCCCGGATCGCCAGTGCCAGGCTGGCATAATCTTGTCTCATTACGGTAGGAGTCTATAGGCCACTGGGTGGGTACGAGGTAGCAGAGGCTCGAAGTTTATTATAAAGTCATCCCCACTAGTCACCCGTCTCTGCTTTTTGATTTGTGAAGTGTACGTGCTATTGACACAATTATGAAGCCGGGCATATAGACATGTCTTGGCAGTCTATGCTCGGACATTAGGTAGCGATCGCCATCCATAAGCATGTTGTCATACGATTTCCTTGGTGTTATACTGCTGAGGCCAGCATTCATCGTCAACATGAAGGCGAAAGAATAACGACTGTCCCTATTGATATGAGGGCGAAATGAAGGCAACAAGCGAATAAAAGTTGGTACGGAATACGTGCTAAAGAAGGAAGAAAAGAACGACTGCCCAAGGGATGGGAGAACGAGAAATGGTGAGGCTTGTTCCTGGAGCCCTGGAGGAGCAGCTAGAGCTGTTCCCGGTCTTCCGCGGCGTCCTTGAAACCATGGATCGAAGTGGAGCCCTTATATCTCTACCCTGTCGTTCCTGCTATCTGAGCGTTTTCATAGGGCCGCTATCGCCGATGTGCCCACGCTAACATCAGTGACCCACAGACTCAATGGATCTGTACTAATTTCAAATATGGCTCATCAAACACCAGCCGAAAAGGGGGTTATATTCCACGAGTGCCGTTATTTGACGGTCAGGTGGATAGCTTTATCAGTCCCGTTCTCTCAAAGATGGTAGATTTACGATATGCCTCAACTCCGACTCCGCCCATGATCTCCATTGTATAATTCGTATTACGGACATATATCAGATAGAACAACGCACTTTCATCTAAACCACCAGGGAACTTTCTCGATCAAGATATAAGGAGTGACACATATATATGACTTCTTGTATTTCGTAATCTAGAAACATTCCGATAATCGGCCTCCTCATGATCGGAAAATATGGAATCACCTTAAGATTCTCCGTGTTGGCATCTCCCCGGGTCACAGTTGAAGCTGGAGGGCTCTCTATCAGTTCGAAGGTAGAGAGCTCCACCAAGTCGTGACAGGTAGCTCACCGCCCTGTACCCTGCTTCAAGATGTAGGGGCAAGATTAAGCCAGGGATCAATAGAGCTGTCATTTGAGATACGAACGAGAGGACTTTTCAAAAGTATTTTTCGAAAGGCAAACCATCTACATCGGACACCTTATGAAATCGATAAACCATTTTGCATGTCTATTTACATGCCATACAAATGGCACTGCGGATTATAATATTCAAAGAGAGACTATGTCCATGCATGTCATCATTATAAATATTTGAGTCATTTTAGTATGTTACCGGGTGTCAATCAGAGTCTCCCACTTTAGAGTTGTTACCTAAGGAATAGAGGACACCAAACTAGAACACAAGTCTACAATTGCTGTCCGCGTGTCTTCTGTTTGTGCATGGCGTCCAAAAGGTTATAACTGTTGATTGTGCTATTCAATAGTTGCCGCTTGTCGTCCAACGTCCATCTTGACTCCTACTATATAAATTTTGCGACGCTAACACAGATGATCAAATAACAAAATGATCTACATTCGATGTACATGAACAACAAACCGATCGAAAAGCCTTACGTATGTATAGTCCTAGTCTGGATGCCTTTTCCTCAATTTTTAAGCAATATATCTTATTGCCGTTGTTACTCTCTTGCATAGTACGGCGTAGACGTGCATTGAAAAACAGAGAAGGTTGAGACTAGCATCACGTGACCCTTTGTAATTGGAAGCGAGCCACGCGTCCCAAAATTGGCACGTCTCCTAATTCTCGAAGCCAGCCGCGCAAGCACTGCCAAGCAGCAATTATGCCACCAGTCCGGAGACAAAAATCAAAAGACTTAAAAGCGCAGGAAGAACGAATTCAATCAGCAATTGAAGCTCTCCAAAATGGCAAATTGACTTCGGCACGGGAGGCAGCTCGCAAATATGACGTGCCTTCAACAACCTTACTCAACAGGATGAACGGGGTTAAAAGCCGGTCTCAAACATGGGCGAACGGCCATAGACTGACCTTGGAAGAAGAGGATTCGCTAGCCAGATGGATAATATCAGTGGCGGAACACGAAACTGCCCCCTCGCGGTCGCAGATTGAAGCAAAGGCCAATGCTTTTCTCGCCAACCGCACCACGCCAAAGGAGACCGTTGGTGAAAGTTGGGTATACAACTACCTCAAAAGACACGAAGAGTTGAGACCAATTTACCCCCAACGAAGATATTCTCGCCGGATCTATAACACAGTTATCGGGAGTGCTAGTGCAGAAACTGGATCACTCTCGATCAACCCCAGTCGTGAAACAAGCCAGCCCGGCAGTCGACGCAACACTCGTTCGCCACCTACCACCCGCCCGGCTCATGTGGATGTTGAATCATTTGACAGCTTCAGGCAGTTGGAAATGCTGCTTTGTACGTTTAAAGAACTGGTAAAGAAAAAGACTCGTGGAGAAAGCCCTTCTACGCAGGTTGTGATAAATAAGCTCATTAAAGGGTGCGAAATGATCGTGGAAAGTGGTTATGGTCTTGTCAAAGAGATTCGGGACCTACGTGCTGCTCTTGCAGAGATGAGTTAGGGGGGGGGACGCTTCTAGTAGGAGGATAATGTTCGACACACCCATGATACTGTATCACTGGACTCGAAGAAATCAAGGCACAATGTCTCCGTTCTGTGTAGCTCTATTTATTTTGACTCTGCCTTTTTTTTTCACCAGTATATACGAGCAAGAGGTGTGGAGAGCAAGGCGTCTTATCTGCTCATCCATACTTACGCAGACTGTCTTTACCATGCCTAATAGTAACCTTTAGCCACCTTAAATTCCATTTTATGGCTATAATTGGTCACGACAATAGTAAAGTCAAATGTCAAGCAGGGCTTCTCCTTGATATTACAGCTTACATCCTTACATGGAAATATTGAAAGGGATGAGAATATCTGATACAGGCCTTCATTCAATACTACCATCAGAGCTACGGTAAGAAACAATGTTCATAAGCAGAACACGAGAAAAAACAAGGAATTTCGTAGTACTCAGGTGGATGCAAGTCGCCATGCTTCCATGACAATTAACTATCTTTGAACACTCCGATGTGAATCTTGGCATCCAGTAAAAGGGAATCAGTCACCTTATGAATAAAGGGTGTTGTCGTCAATGGAACAGAGGATGACCTGAACTGTTCTTTGCAGTACGGGCTACTGTACCACTGGATTGAGCCTTGGGCAGCATGCTTGTGTTGCGATTACCGGTCTCTCTAACCGAGGAATGATGCTAAATGAACGGATAGGTTCACTGTTCTGCACGGAAGCATAACCTGGGATTTCTCTAACCTACTTTTTTGTGCGTCTACCAAGGTTGAGTCAATCACAGCTCGTTTTCTTCGACATCTAGATAGGTATCTTGAAGTGCTTTCAGTTTAAGAATATACAAGAAGGCAAGGAAAGAATCATAGAAAAGAGAAGATCTTTCATGATAGATGTTTCGTGTTCATTGTCGGGACACGTATCGTCTACTGCTTGTTTCGACAATGAAACACCGGAATATGGTAATAGTCGAGGTTGACCGATTTGCTTATTGTATAAAAGGACCTTCGCACGATGGGAGGGTCAACTGTCACCCAGAGAAACAAATACTATAGCTACGGAGCGATTTATCCATCTCCCAACCAACTGACGAGAAGGCTACAACATCTAGATAGTCCAATTTCCCATCATAGTAGATTTTCATGGGTAGATTCTTTCTAAAGGACCAATTGTTTGGACTTTTAGAATATCAGATCTTTTGCGGGCGTGACAATTGGACGGTACGTTACATCATGCGAGTATATTATTTTTGACAAAACCTCATATCTCTTGGATTGAAATTAATCTTTTCATCAAATGGATCCGCACGTATGTCGTCTACCGGGGTGGTTAGTTCACATGGGAAACTTCAATACTGTATAGTTATACCATGCTTTTTAAGTCAATCAGATGGTATTCTGAGCGATCCAGTCGTCTGCGCTTAACGGGTCATTGTTGACATCAGGGCGACCGTTTGAAGACGGCTGACAGTAATTGTAGTATCCTATAATGCCCACCAGCTCTCCAGATTCATTCACAACGGGACCCCCTTGGTCCTGGGAACAAGAGCCCTGTTCCTTCTCTGGCGCCGCGTCACAATTCATGTTGAGGGTCACTGGATTGATGTCCGACCATAACTTGTTGCAATCATCAGCGGAAATAAAAGTCGTCTGGAGCTGTTGCAGTGTTCGAGGATTTTTATCCGACAGCTTGTCTGTCTTTCCCCATCCGTAGAGGGTTACAGGGCCCCTGTAACTGTAAACTGCTTGGCGATCGCCACAGGCTCGATATCTGTAACCGAGTACGTGAGATGGAGGACGGCAAAATCGCCATCTTGAGTGTTGGTGTTATAATTGGGATGTTTGATGACTTTCGTAACCTGGTTCAATTTGCCCCCAGTTGCGTGCTCGAGACTACCCACTCGTATCTTTAGCGAAGATGCCGAAGATCCAGAGACACAACCAGCCGTAGTAAGAACCGTCTTTGGGCTAATCAAGGAGCCAGCACATATATAGGTGTCACCAAAGAAAGTACTCGAGATGACAGCGACTGTAAATGGTGCACTATCCGGGGATGCCTCACTCCCTCCTACAATTGCATTCACAGGTGATGCAATTATAGAAGTGAAAAATAGTAATCTGCCTAGAGCTTTCGTGGGCTTCATGGCTGGAATCTCCTGACTGGAAGCTGCTAGAGGAGTGGGTGTTGGACCAAGTCGATTATGAGATTTGGGATGGCCGGCGATGTTCAAAGCTTAATCGCGTGGGAAGGAATTATGGAGGAGCTTGATCAAAGGCAGCAGATCTACCTAGAGATTTGTCAAAGCGGCGAGGTCAAAATCAAAGTGGATGACCGTCGTCAATCAGGGTAAATAGCTGCCGAGGAGGATTATATATTAGGTCCTGGGCCGAAGACAGGGCACTGATTCCCTTTGCGGTATGAAAGTTTGTTTACATGCCGGGAGAGTTCACTTGAAGACACTATCGAGGGATCGACCAGGGCTATTGATCTGATTGATCTGCTGATCCCCACAACAACCAAAGCTTACTACGAAGATCGCTTCGGAACATCTCGGTGTCGCACTGGAAGTCAGCTTCTCAGTCGATCGGAGGGATGGTGTAGCTGCGCCACCATCGATCCCTGCCTAAAATAGAATAGAATATCCAACCCAGTATAAACTATTAATAGTTAATTCTGAGTATGCTAGCCCCTATGATTATTATTATTATTATGGCTCATCAAACCGCGATTCTTGAATCAATATCTAATTAGAACTTCTTCGACAAGAGGAACTTGGCATGTGGCCCTCGCGTGGGTTCGAATAGGGCTGGGAACAAGTTCCATGGGGTTAGAAGGGTTGGAATTAGATACGCTGTATATTCCTCTTACCTCTGGGGCCAATCGCGCGTTTCATGCAAACTGGCTTATGGCCATAGGGTTATATCCTACGGGTGTGAGAAGTCTGATACCTCAGATTCCCCACTTGCTGCTAAGTTGGGGTGATCTGGCTTCTTTTCTTCCGTGATTTATGATGCAGAGAGCTAACGCTGGTAGGCAAACAGCTTCTCCATTTCTATGGCTTATATTGCCAAATGCTGAAAGTTACGGAAACGGTTTTTATAAATGTCTTTGCTGTATATACCGACTCCCTCTTGTACCTCTAGCGAGTTATCTTATAATTTGAAAAGGCTGTTGCTATGCACGGCACCCTCCACTATCTTATCTGGATTCTGTTTCTCATTAACGGTCTACTGGCATCCCGCATCCTTCTATGAGCAGGCCTAAGTATCGTGCCGATATTATCGTTAGACAACATTGACCTTAAGTACGTACTATACAGTTCCTTGCAATCTAAAGCAACCGCAAGGGGATTAGCCGAAAGCAAGGGCAATCAATTACGTGGTGGGAAGGGCAGAGCTGCGAAACATCAACGGAGCACTCAATATACAGATGCTTTGCTTCACACTTCGCTTGCCGATTAAGAAAACACCATCACATGTACTGCCCAAGCGTATTGTCTAGACAGTTGATAGCTACCATGGACCTTTGCGTCACAGGACTCGACTATACTCTCACAACGATCATGTCACCCTAAGAGCATTGAGTTGGCCGTCACGACACCGATTAAGAGGAGGAGAGCAGTGACAGCCTTAATGGTTGTTTTCTATAGCGAGATAACGTTGCACGAGAGAGAGAGGATTTCTGTCCGGCAAAATAGGTGCGCAGCGAAAGTTACCTTAAGGTGAGCAAGTGGCTGATATGATATGAAGTATGTTCCGGCCCTTATTTAAATATCACCCTGTCGATCTTTGTTTAATCAATGATATGGCTGAAGAGTTTCCACAAGGATCGCACTGCCCAGATCAGTCCAATCTTTTTGATACTGTTGTAGTTTATTCTACATACGTTTATATTAAATTACTTTCGGGTTTCATTCTTATTGGCGTGTGGACACTTATTTATGCCTTACTACCTTCCAGATCAAAGGTAACGTGGTCTAACCCCTTACCTCCGTTGGTTGCTGACTACTTATGGTCAGTAATTTATGTGAGCGAAATTGTGGCAATTCGAGACTAACTGAACTCAAGCCAAGCTTAATAGGCACCAAGCTCGATAAAATTACCGATTGGCGAGTAGTTGGCAGAATGGACCAAAGACGCATAAACATATAAGAACATACCAATCCTGATCGTCACTCTTCAGTAATCCAAAATGATTGTCACACCTCCGGCCGTCCAAGTAGCCCTTTACTACTAGTGCTAAATAGCCTTGTTGGCTTGAATTACATGAAAATGCCGAATAGGTGGATGATACTCCGGTGTGAGCAAGAATAGACAAACCTCGTTCTCCTATGAGAGTGGATTGTTCCTGTCCCTTACGACAAACGGCTGCTTACCATCTCTTGATGAAAGCTGCCATAGGGTATGATACCTCATACTATCCCCACCGGTATCACTAGCGCTGTTCTTGTTCAGTAGGTGATTGTATAAAAGTAAACTCCAAGCACAAGGTGATCCTTACCAGGTTGGTCAATGTCAAATAGCCAGGGCCAGTCAAGACCAGGCAGATGGCTGGGTTGCCAACGTTCCGCAACCGATATTGGCCAAACATGCGGGAGTGACATTCTGGACATCCCCCATTGTTATACCCTGTAACTGTCTTGTTCATAGTAGAAGCCAGTGAGTGGGCCATTATATCTTTACTTTATGGCTTACTTTCTCGAAAGTCGCCGAGTAATTATAATTATAATATAAACCTTTTTTCTTTTATTTTCTTTTCTTTTTTTTTTTGGAGTTAGTCGGCGCAGCCCTGATGGCCGTAGTACTCCCTATCTAGCTCAAACATAGTTACTATCCTGGCGCTTCAGCTTCCCTACGCCTGGAGGGGCTACTAAATAGAATATCTAATTTCCTACTACACTTAGGCGGATTTCTCTGAAGTATGTATAGTTTATAGAAGAAACGGCGGATGCGCAAAATCGGAAGCAAAGTAACATACTGGAGAAGAAAGCTCTGAAAAATGACTGAGACAAGGATCTAGATACATAAGCTAGTTCGAAGAAAGCAGCGGCGACATATTCTCAGCATTCTGTTCGTAAAGTCGGGCTCAGCGTGATGATCCCTGCCCGATATTGGTAATTTTAAACTTCAGGGATTTCTGTCATTTAGGAATTTTTAACTCTGTGGTGACGGAGAACCATGGGTCTGCTGTTGCGGGCCCAGCGGGCCAGCTGGCTAGACTAGGGCTGTCAGTTGAGCAAGCCGCACAATTGACATGGAAAGGTTCACGTATGACATTTTGTGGGTAAAAGGATTTCAGCGGTTATTGGAGGACTTTACTAGGCCTAGATCGTCTTTATGTTGTTGCTGTACAGGAGAACTCCCATGGAAATCTCGGGTAGTCAAGTGCCTCACACATTGATTTTATCCCGGTAGCCTGTCTCCAAGGGTAGATTCTCAGCCGGTAATTTGACACACTGGGATTGCCAAGTTCTCGAATGGAATAGGAGACGCCTCGATCATTGAGTTCAGGTAAAGATAGGCTAGCCGAGAGTGCAAACAATCCGGCATTTGGCACTAAGCATTATCAGTCTTGAGTAAGTGGCTGAGACTTCCGCAGCTCGTGATACAACCTGTTTATTGTAGAGCTCTTGTAGATGCCTCGGATATAACAGCCTAATGAATGCTCGGAACTAAGGTTCCGACTAAAAATGGTTGCATCCTATATGGGGCTCTTGAAAGCCAAGTGGCAAAGACTAGGGCTGATGATGACATCCACCAGTCTGCAACTTCCTGAAAAGGTCAAAGGTATTAAGGTACAGCTGTCAATTCCCCACAACCATGCGGTTGATCGTCTGATGGAACTCCTTCGGCCGAAGGAGTCTGAGGTTCTTTGTCCCTAACTTTCAGACGACCCTATTGGCGTTGACCGCATCCAGTATTGAGCTTCCTATTTTGACTTCCGCCACCTGGACATGGTACAACCGGACCTGCTTGGCCAGGCGAGATTAAAGTAACCTCATGCATACCACCTCGCAAGAGATTCTATTTATGATCTGGGGTTCCCCCATCTCTATAGACCGCAAGGTGTCAGTCAACTATGCAGGCCTAGCTGAATAGCAAGCAGGTGATGATTATGGAAAGCGAAAAGCGCCTCAAACAATCATTTGAGGCAATCCCTTATCCTACCCATTAATCCGATCACTCTTTGTCTTTTTACCTCTTTTTCTTAGTCGAGTGTAGCAGATTCTGTTTGCCCTCGTTTGAGAACACACATCTTCCACCACCTCCAAATACCAAATTCTATCTGACACGGAATTGCTGTGTCGACCGTGATTGGGTGAGGACAGTGGCAAAACCAGAGTGGCTCCTCAAGGCACATCTGGCGGCACAAAAACGCATCCGATATGCCCACAGACAACTTCGACCAGACCCTCCAGCACTGGAATACGGCTTTACAGATCCTATGTATCAGCGCCACCACGTTTTGCGTCGCCCTCCGTGTTTATACTCGGCTGGCCGTGCTCGACGGCTTAGCCAAGGAAGATGGTAAGTTAGTTTCATCAAACAATGTGATGCACAGATGACTGATCGGTACAGCGGCCTGCTTGGGTGCCTGGGTAGGTTTTGCACTAGCATCGTCCTAACCCCGTGCTAAACATTTGATTACAGTCCCTCGGGGTCGGCTATTCGGCCATCGCACTGGCTAGTACGTATAATGCTACGCCACGGGTTACATCGCTAATGCTCCACAGTGGGCTTCCATGGAGGGGGCCTTCCGATCGAAAACGTGTCGGATGACGATGAACGCATATTCCGCAAGGTATTCCAGACCGCAGACCAGAGATGAGAGAAAGACATCGGCTGATGACACCAGACCGTCTACGGAACTATGATTATCTACGGGCCCGCGGCCTACCTGACCAAAGTATGCCTCCTGTGGATCATGACGCGGGTGTTTTGCCCCTTCCGCAAGGCCGTGATCCTGATCTATATCTTCCTCGGCCTGATGCTAGCCTACTACGTTCCGGCGCTGATTGTCAAGATCTGCATCTGCAACCCCATCTCGAAGTTCTGGGCCCCAGCCACTCCCGGCAGCTGCCTGGACCAGACCAAGATCACGCTGGCCGATGCGGTCATCAGTGTCGCCAGCGATCTGATCGTTCTGATCATCCCGCTGGCACTAGTGTCGAGGCTACATCTACCGATTCGCAAGAAGATCCGTGTGATAGCCCTCCTCGGTGCGGGCGGTCTCGCCTGCGCGTCCAGCATCGCCCGGCTGGCACTGATCGTCAGCACTGGAACATCCCAGGACATCACGACGGCGTTCATGCGCATCAACATGCTCGGGTATGTGTGTTCCGGGTCGGTGTTCGATCGCGCTAGCTAACACTGGCCGGCGTAGTAATGCGGAGATCTCCCTCGGGATAATCTGTGCCTGTCTTCCCTCCCTCTCGGCTTTCGTCACCCATCTATCTCATCAGCACTCCCGCAGCCACCTATCGTGTGAATGCTCTCAGGAGAGCTCGGACCATTCCCGCCGCCGGGCCTTTTGGCGAAAGACCTCAGATCAAGAAGCTTTAGTCTCGCGCGCACAGAGTAGCCCCCACATGCGGGCCCTCATGTACGGGCACGGCGAGCATTTTGGCAGCAGGGGGGATGCCATCGAAATTCTCCGAACTGTAGAAATATCGACTGTAGTGACTAGTGTCTGATACTGGTGGGTAAACCAAGGGAATAGTATTTGTTCGAGCCCCTGCAGAGGACCATAGGAGACTACAATGCAGGCCAGCAGTGGCGGTCCAAGAGCGAAATATATTATGCACATACCCGCCCAGAACACGAATGCCCGTACATGGGTACGGTGGGCAGTAGGCGCAGGCCAGAGACAGGCGGCTGAGAAGTATATCGCACTGGACGACCTTTCAGGAGCACCGCAATGTTCTCTATAATCTGTGTAACTGACGAGAAGAAGCTGGAACCACGGAATACAATACTACAGGAAAGCATGCATTCTGACAGCTCATACGGAATTCAGGTCCTTTGCAGGTTCTATACTATGCGTTAATATGTTATCACAAGCCCTCCCAGCTTAAGGACAGTATTACACGTTTAACCAGACCACGTATATCCAGAGAAAGGTCGATACCGAAGGCGGCTCATATCTAGACGCAATAGTATATAAGATGACAATAATCGATTACCTCGAGGTGTAGAATATACATCATGTTAATAATTACTCCGCGTCGTTTGAGTACGTGCCATATTCTCCGGAATGCTATCGTTGCTGTATAGTATCGTGGCGTCATAACATGGGTCCATACTACATAGCGAACAGAAAAGATTGACAGATCAAATGGGTCTCGGCTAATATTAGTTACTCTGCTCCAAGTTCACAATGGCGATCTGTTACTACTACTCTGCAGTTTGTACTCCGTACAACTGGGAAAATTCTAAGAAGGAAATGATATCTGAACTATCGCACAGGGATGGTGACGATCTTTTCGCACTCTGCCACAGTAGCAGGGCTGTCCAGTCTTAGAGAGAAAGGATCTGCTTCAGCTGTACCCGTCCGGAGAATACATGATCGTCATGTATCCGGGGCGAGTGGGGCTGACTATTGCATCTCGTTTCTCTTGGATCGCAGACTATTGAACTATCAATCGGCGCAGATCGTTTGTGCAGCTGCGCCAGTCCCCGTAGAATTAATCCTGCAAGATGGTTTCCCTTTTGCTTTCGTTCAAGACAAGGCATAAATAGGTCGAATTGCCCCAACAACACCCACGATATCAGATTATAAACTAACCATCCAAACCAAACTACCACCCATTATTGACCATGGTCAAAGTCAAGGTAAGGCGTCTATCTGTCCATACACAGCTTCCCAACGAAACGACCATCCGATTAATGGCTTCCCTCTAGGCTCCAATCTTCCTCTTCGCCGCCAACACAGCCTACACCCTGGCGGCACAGAAACCGGAAATCGACATTTTCCAAGATGCCCAGTGTACAAAACCTCGCTCTGGTGATTACGCCACCCAGCTCCACAGGTGTTTCACTTTGACTCGTTATGACACCAACTCCGTCAGGATTGATCCGGGAGTGCCGAAATGCGAGGATAACTCTGCGCCGGTCGCCACACTCTATGCCTCCCCCTGGTGTACAGGGGATTCTCAAAGATTCCCCACGAATATCACGGGATGCCAACCGACCAATATCACTGATTTCATTTATGAGTCGTGGGCGTTGGAGTGCCCCCCGGTACCAAAGGTCCCAGAAAAGAAGCCCATTTACCTGGAAACCTTCTGGGACAGCAGCTGCGACATCCCTGAATCAAACACCACCGCCACTGGGATGGACCAGTGCATGTCGATTGAGTCTGAGCACACGCGGGCGTATCGCCTGATAGGGTTGAACGAGGATGAGAATCCCTGCAAGAACCGGACCGCCCAATTGATGCTGTATACCGGTGGTAATTGCACGGGCAAGGCGCTGCCTCCGAATGAGTACCAGGGGGGTTGTAACGGAATCGATGAGGTTGGGGTGACGGGATGGAAGATCCACTGTGCTTGATGTTTATGAATGTTTGTTGTTAGGGTCTAGAGGTGACAGCTTTGTTTTTTCTATTTGTATTCCCATAATGTCCCCGTCCATTTACCTCTGCCCTCTGCCTGTGAAATCGATAGTTATCATATACCCAGATTCGAAATAGGAAGCCATGATTTGTTCCTGCCTCAGGCTAATAACCGTCAAATTCTCATTCTGTTCCTTGTCGTCTCCAGCAAATAACTAGTGAGCAAATTCTTTGATTGTGGAGGGCAGACCACGAGTTGAAGGAGGTGTTGGAACTCAGTCATATTGGCTCTGTGGTCCATGGCGACGTAACATTCATTCCCGATAATGGCCCCAAACCTAGTTCGTCGTCAGGGCCCACGAGGAGGAACGTATGATAGGGAAATAGTTGATGTCACAGTCAATTTCGGACATAGACGAGGGAACAACATAGAACAAGTTGTCCATGCTCGGTTTTCACGTGCAGACCGAAAGTGGATACAGAGACCGCAGGCACAATGCAGGGAACCAGCCTACTCATCGCTCCGACGATGATTGAATTTCACTTTCCTCATAGAGACCAGTCAAGCATAGCTGCACTGGATACGCGGGTCAGAAAGCCGTCTGAAGATATCCCAGTGTCTGTACACGTGGGCGGGACGCGTGTATTCCGATGGCCACCATGCAGGGGTCATCCGCCTCTTGAAACCGTCCGCAAATACGGCACGAGCCCGTGCAATCACGGTGGTATCGGCCCGACTTACTGAGGACCTGACGTCATTCGATCTAGCCTACGTGCTGCCGCGCCTTAACACTCGTCTTTTTCGCTTTATTCGTTTCATCTAACCAACTCTCCCTTCCCCTACTATGTGATTCAATCTGGGATATACGGAACGGACTACGCAATACTACCATTATTAGGCGTAGGTATAGGAATCGGGCCTCCTGGAGAATCTTCCAGTCTCGCAGTCAACACCTCGACCCCGGTTTCGGTGACCAGCAAGGTGTGTTCTCCACGAATGTTAGCGTTGGGCTTTACCCGTCATGTTGCATGCTGTACTCACCAAATTGAGCCGTCCGTTTGCCATCCACCGTCACGTTCGTCCAGTCATCTGGCCAATAGATTTCTCGAGGTTTCCCCAGCGTCAGAATGGGCTCGATGGTGAAAGCCATGCCGGGTTTGCACACTCCGGGCACCTTGCTGTTTGCATAATGAGGGATCCACGGCGGGGGGTGGAATTCAGTGTTGATACCATGGCCACCCCAGGTTGTGTGAATGCTACAGTTCCGGGACTTGGCGTGCTTCTCAATAACCTTGCCAAAGTCTCGGAAGAGAGTTCCGGGCTTTACGAGCTCGATTGCCTTATCTAAGCACTCTCGAGTTGTTTCCACCACCCGGACCGAGTCAGGGTCGGCCTTGGCTCGATCTCCTACGTAATAGGTTTCGTTCACATCCGCGTGATAGCCCCCGTGATACAATGAGATGTCAAGGTTCAGGATATCGCCGTCGAGAAGGATCCGCTGATCCGGAATACCGTGACAAACCACCTCGTTCGGAGACGTACACAACGATTTAGGGAAATGGTTATAGTTCAAGGGCGAGGGATAGGCCTGTCTATATTAGCAAAAGATACATATGATTAAGTTTCATCAGTATGCGAGTAGCACCTACATTTCGTTCCACGCAAGCCTTATGACAGACCTCGTCCAGGTAATCCGTGGTAAGGCCCGGCCGGATTGCTGCTGCGGTGATATCCAGTACCTCCCGGGCTAGGCGACACACCTTGCGCATGGCCTCCTGCCCCTTCGCGTCTAAAATTTCAATCTTCGATCGGTGCAAGCGCCGCTCCCCCTTCGGAATGCCGGTCTCAGACCAGTCAGGGCGTCTGATCGACTTGGGAAGGGTGCGCATCGGAGATAGTGGATAGACCGGTCGCACCGACCCGGTAAATGAGTAGGTTGGGAATGGATTATAAAGTCCGGTAACTGGGTCGGGTTCAGAGACAACTTTCGGAGGGATGATTTTGCGGAGAATACCATTCTGTGTCTTACCTTGGGCTGTTTTGTGGACGGTCTTGTGTTGGGCCTACCTCGCGAGCTCAGTCAACATTGAGATTCCAGTCATCATCCGGATGCGGAAACACACCCAGTTCTTCTTGAAGCAATCTTGGGAGCAGAAGTAGCTATCTTTCATGCCCAATTTCAAGCAGGTCGGACATTGCAAGGCTTCCGCTTCATTATCACAGTCGACTCCAAGACACTTTCTCTGAGAGGATAGTTCGGACGCGCTGTCACCCATGGTGTCGGTTTAAAAGGGTTCGGCTGTCACAGAGCCAACTTCACGTCGCTGGAAGAAAGTCGTAATTAGTGAAAGTGGCAGTTGGTTCTTTGTGTGGGTTGCAAGACGCCGAATGTAACGGGCAGTGCACGTGATGGGGGATACTCCGACACAACTGGACGATTAACTCGCTCAGCTCAGGGCCACTAGTAGTAGCGGAGTAGAGACAATGCATTGATAGGTTGATCCTCGGATCTGTCCCGAAGGCCCACTGAGCCCGGTGGGCTTAGCGTGGGGTCCGGCCCGAAATCCTCTTCTGTACGGAAGTCCATCTTGGCGGGGACCAAAGCAGTACTCCGAGTAGTTTGGACACTGTGTAGTTTCTTACACTGGTGCGACTCCGCCTTCCATGTCAAAAATCTCAAGATGCTCTTCCAAACCCTAATCACCTGATCTCACCAATGCAAAATCTATTTCCCGCTGTATCTAAGTTATGTTCCGGTGCTTACCAGTATAATATGAAAAGTTAAATTAGCTCTTGAATATAGTATTAGTGCATTCATACTGATTCGACATGACCATGACCATCATTGCGTCGGCGAGACCTGATTGAGCGCCCTAATACTCAACGTCTAACGACTAGTATCCATCCTAATCTCGGTCTGCACCGTGTGGGACTCCGTTTCCAAAGGGATTTTGCGAACATCGGACTGATAGGGCTGGCTCGAAAGTCCCCCGAGGATGCTCTGAGCTCACCCACGTAATCCCCTGACGACATCCCCGGTCCCTCGAAGCCTATCAGCACCAGTCTAACCAAACCAAGGCATCACCAGAGACCTACCGGAAAAAACTACACACAAAAGGAATACCATCCGGCAAAATCTGCGGGTCGAGATACGTTTCGCTCATTCTAGCGTATTCAGTTACGTTGATGTCAGATGGCGAATAAATGATTCAGGGTTATACTCACGGGTCTACAAAATTGGTGCATATCTGATTATTTGGAACGGTTAAATACTTCCATTCACTTTGGTCATTCTTTCGGACTGCCTAGAATGAAACAGGGGAGTTGAGAAACAAGACACTAAAGAAATATATCGTAGCAGTGGTTTTTACCAGGTTGGCCATTGGGCCATGGGGTGCTGCGTTGCAAAAAGCTATTAAGTGCATAGCGAAGGCAAATATAAGAGCTTTCATGTTAAAAGGGTGTAGATAGTCTGTGTTATTTGAAGGATGAGAATGTCTTAGAGTGGATTATGTGAAAGCTGGGGAACCCGAATTTATAGCTAGGAGGACAGGGTCATCCACTCAGGCGGTGGCTGAAGATCTGCATGATCTGCGTATATATATTCTGTGGGTGGTGGATCATATATTCCGAGTTTGATCAGGCGAGATTAGCTGCCGATATTCACTAGTGTATATGCTGAGTGCTCCACACTGCTGTCGCCAAACTATAATTCCTCAGCTCATCTACATTAAGCACTATCAGGATTGAGATTGTAAAAACTGTGTGTGAGAGTAAGATAGAATGATCTCGCAGGACCTTCGGTTCCATATTCGGTGCCTGAAGATATTGTCGCTGGCCTCCTAAATCCACTGTGTGGGTTCCGCTATATCTTATCCTGCGAGATTGTATGACCTGATAAGCCCTGGACAATGTCGTAGACTTATCCGTGCCCTCAATTAGAGAGCTCTGTGAATGTAACACATCCCCAAATTTGCTAGCATCTGTTCATTCAAATTTCTGCCCTATCAATTTTCGATGGTAGGATAGTGGCTTACCATGGTGGCAAGGGGTAACGAGGAATTAGGGTTCGATTCCGGAGGGAGAGCCTGAGAAACGGCTCACCACATCCAAGGAAGACAGCAGGCGCGCAAATTACCCAATCCCGACACTGGGAGGTTGACAATCACGTCCTGTATAGCCACTTTTCGTCTCTCATGTTGCATGTCGAAGTATATTGGCCGCTGAAGCAGTGCCCATTTCTGTGCATCGAACACAGAAGTATCAAAAAAGAATACATACAACAGGAGGGATTCGCTAGTGGTCACCCACCCAACTACTAACCTCCCGGCGTGTGGCTTAAACGCGACGAGAAGTCGGGTGGCTGCCGCCCGGGTGAGCTAGCGGGTGAGCCGCTTTACGGTCGCGCGATCTCGGGTAAGCTTGGGTGAGTGCGCAATAGATAGGATGAGCCGCCAGCTAGAACTCACTCGGTCGCGCGCGACCTCGCGAAAACTTACCCAAAAGTAAACCTTACTACCCACTTCGCTTACATACTCTACTATCTATTGGATGCCACCCCGCTTTTGTTCTTGGCTGCTAGACTTCGCCAAATAAACAGGCGTCGAAACAGTTACTTCTACTTCTCTTATAAAGCAGAACTTGACACATTAACTATAGCCTTTAAAATAAAAACATACGTTGATATCAAAAAAAAGTATTTCAGGGAAGATAAGGCATATCTATGTGGATTATACCAGTTATAGATAAGTTGTTAATCAATTTAGAGAAATACTGGTAGGCTTGATTCCTTACAGTAAATTTATGCTAATCTAGCCTCAGGCAATGTAACCCACAATAGAGCTGATTCTGGAAATATGCGGCGTATCTTGAGTATCCGAAGGTTAAACCCAAGTCTCTTTGCTCTTTTGGATCCCGATTAGGAGTACCTATTTCAGAACCTCTTCCCATGAGTCAGCTGATTGGAATCCGAAAAATCACTGCAACCAATACCCAAACCGCCCAACCCCATTCGTGTTGCGACTGACGCCCGCTCTTTAGCAATAGCACACGGGGCAACTTTCTAGTGCCCTGACATGGTTCCTCCTAGACCCATGGTGGTCGTGCTCAGCTCGAGAGAAAACATCTGCCAATGACCGTAGAGCTGCTAGGCGTTCCAAAACTGGCTTATCTTACAACTAGCTTAGGTCGATCATTGCGACCTTGTCCAGCTCTTCCTCAATTAGTGTTTTCAGTACTCGCAATGACTTTACTCTCTAACAATACACAATGAATATCGTCTTAATTTGCGCTCTATGTAAACTGCAGCTTAATACATCGCATAGTCGACACTGCGTGCTTCGGGAAGCAGTTTAGAATAGAATCGGTACAGGCAAGCTACTTCTGCACAGCTGTGTGTACGCGTTCAATACTCACGGCAACAACCTTCAGATACCCGCTGTTCACTGTGGATACTGGTCGATTGTTATAGAAGCTCTATAGATAGACCGCTTCAGTCAGTATTGGATCGATCATTTCTCGGTATATCTTATCAATATTTTTTTTCCTTATTCAAGCCTCTTTTACCTACCCGACTGGTGATCTAGATCTAGATATCTTTATTATTATAAGCAATAAAGATAGAAGGGCCGTTAGTAGAGGCCAATTTCTGATTCTCTTAACCCCTGAGCTTATTCAGAAAATTTATAACTTCCTTGACCAGGAGAAGGATATTGTCAATTTTAAAAAGGATTTACGCTATAGCCCCAGCCCCTATTAGTAGAAAGAACTTGGTCGCAAATACAATCTGGAAGAAAATATAGACTTTAAAGTAATCGTACAAACCCTTGTTAAGAAAGTCCTACAAAATCCACCTAGCTGTTATCTATATACAGCAAACTATAGGGCAGTCTGGGATAACATACAAATAGTTACAACAGCTATAGAATATCCAATCAAACTTATACAGATTCCAAGACATATAAATATACCCTATACAGCAGTCTTAGACCGAAGTATATCAAATCTGGTCAAACAATACATATTATCTATAAAGAATATATCGCAACTCATGTCTACATTCAATAGATTTATCCTGAGCGGACATCGTCTTCAATAGTACTTTAGTAGATTATACAGGTCACATATAGTTTCCTATTCACGTGGACAGCTTGAAAGACCTCCATATAGCAGCCCTTGGTAAGTGTTTTACCGCTATTCAGATTAAAGACATAAATAGCTGGCAGCGACAGTGGTATAGCCAGTATCCAGAAAAAGACACCTTCAGTCACCTAGAGTAGGAGTCGTCCAGAAGCTCGCTTCTGATATCCTATAATATAAGTTTCTTCTTTGATACACGAGGCTTTCAATAAACTGAGCACCTAGAAGAACTCGAAGATCATAGAACTAGCTTGTCGGAATAGTACAGATCGGCACACCTTGTTCCCGACTCAAAACCCCGTAGACTTATCACTTAGATCTATACAGCCGGCACAAGCGCAGACATAGCTAAAATCCACTTTAGACTTTTACAATAGACCTTCGACAGGTCATCGCTGCCAATACATATATTGGCCTGTTTTGGGGCTAGTTTGCCCTCCATACATCAGAGTTTATCTGCAAAGATAGAGTCCACCTACTCGGGCCTCCGATTATTGATAACTTTAAACTCTTGTTTCCTCTGCTACCCGAGGAGTTTCTTACTACTCTATCTGTCTAAAATAGCTCGGACAATAGCTATTTAGCGCTAATAGTAAGTTCACTATAGTTTATAATATTATATATTATATAACAGTGTTAGTTTACCACAAGCAGAAATCGTTCTGTAACTTTCGGCGATCTGTATACAAAAGTATTATATTCAGTAGCTAATATAGCTGGAATTACAATAGAAAAGATAGGATATTTAATAATATTATTTAGCGAAACTTATTTATAGAGAAAGTCTTTCCTGAACAAACATCTATCAGTGCTAGAAATATTTCAAAGCCCTCAACACTCAGTTATCCATCCGCTCCGAGGCAGAGTAGCTGTAAAAAAACATCAATACTGGACTTTGACAGTAAATTTCAAAACCTCCCCATCCATAGCCTTACAGTCAGCTGCGCCCCTTAATACAATCTCTATAATACAAGCCTTACAAGCTAGGAAATAAGGACCTGTTACCGGCCTTCTACTGTACCACCGTGATCGTTGCCTGGCTGTTCTCGGCGAACTTACCATCGAATCTGCCACACAAACCGTGGAACTTGGCGAAGACGTCCGAGGACTTACTATTTCCTATCTTTCGGAAGTAGTTGCCATATTTATCGTATAAGGATTTTTGTAAGTGGTCGTTCGATCTATTTTGGGCGTCAACACCCACAATGCTTTCATATCCAAGGGCAGCGAAAGGTGAGTCGTACCGCGTGTCAAATTGTATTGAAGACATGACTTTCTGAACAAGTCGAGCAAACTAGGATGCAAACCTTCTCCTCTGGAGATTTTCGAGCTGTACAAGTCATCTCACGTTTCAATTACCCCTGACTGAAGGCAGATCTACCATTTAAACTACTGTTTGCCCACCTCAGCACGGGGTTATTCTGGCTGCGCTGGGGCCGCAATAGCATCGCCGGCGATTAATACAAGAGATGCCAAAGGCAGTGAGACGTTGAGATTGGCAAGCATTTTTCATTGGCAATTCATTTGGCTGGGCTGTAACTACAGGCTACGGCTATTACACATACTTCCTCGACCTTAAGTATTCAACCCCTCAAGATACGTGCTAACCCCGCATCCCTGGCCATTCCTTTAGCCCCTGTCTATCCCCTAACGCCTTCCTGATTCGGAGCACTCCAGCCGCTCGAGCCCAAATGACAGACCAACTCCGAGGAAGGAATCCTTTGACATGCAGGCAGTGGTTGGCCATAGCTATGTTTGGGGGCAGTGCATTGTATTATTCTGGAAAGGATATCTTATGACACACAGAAACAAAAGATGTCATCACATATTTGTCACACGGAGACCTATTGGTAATGCACATTCGGTTCACTATCCAGAAGAATACGAATCAGATGAACTAACAATTACATCCCTAGTGGTCATGCCATGTGATCCCTATGTTAGTTCTTATGCGTTGACGAAGATAGATGATTATTTTGTCTGAATCCTACACAACAGTTTGAAAGAAATCGAGTACAATAAATATGAAACAAATTTAATATCGGAATGATGTGTGACCACTAGCGATGTAATTTTCAGTTCATCTATGATGCAAATTTGCCATTCCAGATAATCAGACATGGATGAGCGGAACCTCCTTGAGCTGTAAGCACTCACGAGGCTCGAGCTACTTTGCCCCTTGTTCTAATACGAGGTTGCAAAGGTGGCCACTGGAGGGGGAGGGGGAGGAATTAACTACCTGAGGTCGCGCGACGGTAAAGTGGCTCACCCGCTAACTCCCTCGGGCGGCAGCCACCCGACTGCCGGTTAGTAGACCATTGACCACCGGCGAATCCCGGCTACTGTACGCTTTTCTCTTCAACCTATGGGTTGGCGGGTGTACCCATGGCCTTGGGCGGCTCTAGTGTCCTGTAGCGATCAAAGCGCTAGTGGGGAACCCGCCGGATATTTTGCGACACACATCCCGTCTCTCCAAGCCCGTTTGGTATTCTAGAGGTGTTCGAGATTTCAAAACAGTTGAGTTTCAGCGCCCTTGATGGCCTTTTATACGCGATCCACCCCCAGTCCACCAAACGATGTGGCAGACACTCAACCCTTGCAACGGCCGATCTACAGGTCGTCAAGCTCTAGTTTCGAAGAAAGCCAACATGGAGAAGCACAGTCTCGAGTCGAACGGGCAGAAGAGGCACAACAGTTGGGGTCGGGGAGTGAACAAGGGCCTCCCGAGCAGGCAAATCAGATCAACGTTGAGATAGAAAAGGTCGACCCCAGTAGCATTTGGGTTATCCCTGTGACCATGACTGGGCTGCTTCTACTTGGTTTGACCATTGGCGTCGGTCATCACTTCTGCTACAACTACCTGCACGGGAAGCCTGTCGCTCGCTACTCCCAAGCGTGGATTCTGAGGATCGCCACAGGGGCGGCGTTTATCGTCAAGGTGGTCTTCGCTATCGCGGTCGGGATTGCTCTTTCCCAAGTGACATGGTTCACGCTGCGGCAGAGGTACTTCAAAATCGGATCGATCGACAAGATCTTCGCACTTCAGACCAATCTGTTATCCTTTCTGTCGAGAGACCTGCTGGCGGCCCCCCTTATTCTCAGTATGGCTGCTGTCACCTGGGTATTTGGCATCATCACGATCCTCGTGCCTAGTACCCTCTCCGTAACTTTTGCAACGCGGTCATCAGTCAATCCTTGTGAAGTTCCCGTCTTTGGCACCGGGTCACCCAGCAGCCTCACAATCTGGCAACAGGCACCAGGTGGTTCGAGAACCCCATACGGAGGTCCGTCACCGTTGATGTCGAAGATAACGGCTAAAACCATCGTAGGAGATGCCCCCATCGGCTTTCCATCACCGTGTGGACAGAACTGCTCCTATTGGGTCACCTTTCCTGGTCCTGCAATGTCATGCGATGAGCAGCCTTTTGAGGTAGCCCAGGCAATTCTGGGAAAGGACGCTGCGCCGGACAATCAAAACGGCGCTACATTTACCTACTACTCTGCTGTCGTTGATAAGCAACATGAAGAAATACTGTGGGTTCTTTTTGGGCTTAATAAACATTACAAGGAAGTGCCGACTGTACTTGCATGTTCGACTAGGAACACAACATATAATGTCAGCGTAACCTTAGGCAACGGAATTCCTACGTTCAATGCAACCACGGGAAATCTCACGCAGGCAGATGATGTCGATTGGGCACGCCAATTCACCTCGGCGAACTGGGCAATGAGTGAGATCAATGCCACAACACGGCGGGCGCTAGATATGGTCGCTGTGCGGGATTCTCTCTATGACTCCTTAGCCGGGTCTATCTCGATGCGATTGGACGAGCAGAACGCCTTCAAATCCAACACGTCAGTGACCTCTACTGGCCTTGTTGAATTAATAGCGAACGAAACTGGTAGCACCTTTCATTTGAATCGGGACCTGATAATCGGCATCCCGGAGCTCATGCAAAATATAACGTTGTCGGTTATGGGTGGAAACCATCCGTCCATTAGGGTTGATTGCATGTCGCTGGAAACGGAGCTGGTGTACCAATATACGCCCCTCTGGCTTCTTGTTCCTTATTTGGTCGGGTTTGGTCTATCGGTTCTCTGTGTGGGGCTAGGATTGCATTCATTAATGATCAATGGTGTGCCGGTCGACGGCAGTTTCAGTCAGATCTTGGTCACAACCCGAAATACAGCACTAGACGAGATCTCTCGAGGCCATTGTCTTAGTAGCAATCGGGCAAAGCGACTCAAGGGGCAACGGGTTAGGTTCGGAGAATTAAAGAAGTTGGATGAGCTTGGCAGGGAAGATGACGGTGGCTCTGGGCACGCAGCTTTCGGGCTAGAGGATCAAGTTATTCCAATAAGAAAGGGGACGTTGTATGAGTGATGGCAAGGCTCCGTTGCAGGTGACTATATATCTTAGGGCTTTCTGAGCCCAATGTACCTTGTTGTCACAAATATCGATATGCTTTGCTCAGCAGGTTAAGGTTTCGCTCACCTGAACCGACAGGAGCTGACTAATTTGCTGGGGCTTCTAAAGTATGGCACTAAGATTCCATTCTCAGGCCTGTCTATTCCTATACACACCAGCTATGCCTATAGCTGTTCTAATCAATATATATATATATAAGACTGGGCGTGATTAACAGCGTGGCAGGGGCCGTAGTATGTCAGAGTTATCTACTAATCAGGGTAGAAGACCTGTCAACTAGGTAAGGATACGTAGGCAAAACAACAGTAGATAGTCTATTGACAGGAAACTGATTCTTGATTTTCCCTCCTATTGACTACAGTGCTAATTTATAGCCAAGGGCCCCTAAAGTTCTCTGTATACAATAATCAATCCTCAGGAGGGGGGGCCACTGTACATCATTAGAAAGGTGACCGACATAGATACCGAAGACACCGTTCGGCCACCGAAATGTCCATGCACCTGGGACAGGGTATACTGTACAACCACCTTGCATGACCGTTATCAATTCTGTGACAAGTTTATTTAATATTGAGATCTTTAATATTATTATAGTTATAATATTCTATATTCTATAATATTTATATACTGGCAATTATTGTCTGGATAATATTCTGCTGTTAATAATATTTACTGCTTCTATTGTTACTGTAGCCAAAATATTATCTATTGATACCGCACTAGACTGGGGTCCGTAACACTGAGCGGACGGGAAGCCCTGTTCTCCATGCCCTATGGTTGTATGTGGTAGACTACTCTCAGTAGTGGGTCATATAGTATCTTCTTCATAGAACGCTTTTCTTTTTTACGAAGTAGAAATTCCTGTCCATCCTTTTTCTATTCTAATCTTTATTTTGAAAAATTTTTTTACTCCCCTTTAAATTTTAAACCACTAAAGAAAACCTTAAAGCCATCAAATTTACTCGCTCTTCATTTTGCTATCACCACAGCAACGATGTCTCAACTTAGTGCCAATATCCGATACGGATATTCTGCTAAACATATATTCTCTCCTCTGTGCCCAGTAAGCCAGTTCCTTCTCGCATCTACTTTCAGGCTACGAATAATTCCGCACGAGTGTATCCGATGGGCTTTGCAAGAAGGCACTCAAGAACCTTGATAAACGCCTCTATTTGAATTCAGCTAATCTTCAGCGTAGCTAGTAGGGGCATGATGGAACTATACATACTCATAATAAGCCGACCATGCACGATGGAGCTTGCCCTCCTTAAAGTCTGCGGCCTAGCCATAGATCGGTTAGCCTCTCAAGGTGATGATAAAGTGGTATTCATTCATACAAGAGCATCGACAAAATAGTCCACCAATTCAATTTCGCCCTCCAGCCATTGCCGTTGGAGATCTGTGATTGAGTCTTGAAAGAAAGTTTGGGCACGATCAAAATCGATCCACAGAACCCTATCGGAGCTTTGCTGAACCATTATATTTCGTGGATATGGATCACCATGATAAACTCCCGCGTCATGTATCTCCGAGAGAATCCGACGGAGTCTGTAGATCCTGTCTATCGAAAATGTAGATAAATCAATCTGCTGAAGATCCGGGACATATTCAAGCAGAACAGCATTGGGAGGTAACCGATCTTCGAGAAACTTTGTCAAGTGTGGTGACCATTCCACTGGGTTGATTTGCTTTATCAGACCGTAGAAATCAGGGATATATCCTTTGTCACATAGACCACGAGCCTTGAGTCGAATATAGGCTTTGCTTTCGCATTTAAAGATATCGACTTCGCGGTCTATCGGGTCGGCATGAGATGGTTTAATACTGTGGTACTAGGGACATATCAGGCTTGGGATTAGAAAGACTACCTGGTTACGCACCACTTTGAGAATACAGTCTCTGTCGCGCCAGCGTGTGCGGAAAATACATGACCACTCCGAGCTTCTAATGTGCTCAACATACTCTATCGCTGATAAATCGATTTCCATGAGGTTTGTGATAATCGGACGAGACCTTGAGTTACGCAAAGGCCATAAGACACGATTATCTTTAATTAAGAGGCGCATATATGTTGCTTTTGGGATGATCCTATGCAAACCTCGCAAACGTACTAACGAGTCACAAAATGTGGGGGAGAGTGTCAAAGCGCAGAATGGAAAGCAGTTGTTCAGCTTACGGCCAATAGTTATTATCTCCCAGCGACGTGACCTGTTCCTATACGTCTGCGGGGCTCCACGGTTAGGTATCGAGTTTGCTGTCGGGCCCATCCCTTGGTACGAGACCCCAATTATCTTGAGAGACTTACCCATCGCTATCCAGTTCCGGGCGTCTGGGTACTTTCCCACTCAGCCTTCTCTTCCCTTACCAAAATGGCACAATATCCTGTTGAATCCCATATATTCGCCACACAACACTGTTCCCTGATTGCTGTGGGGACAGTAAGTCCAATTTATGCAATTGATAGCCATTTTGTGATAAAGCGCCGACCCAAGCCGTCGGACGATTTTGCTTGTCAAGCCTACAACATCGAAATCCGCGCTTACGAACGGTTGGGTGATCACCCTCAGGTCGCGAAAGTACGGGAGGTTACGGCAGATGGTATAATCATCGAACGAGGCGAATGCCTGCGCCAAAAGATTCAGAGCAGCGAATCGACAATCGAGACAAAGCTTCGCTGGACCCAAGAAGCCGCAGCTGGTTTGCGCTATATACATACTAAGGCGATTATACATGCAGATGTTGGCTGTCATAATCTAATTTTGGACCCGTCAGGCCATGTAAAGTATATTGACTTTTCCGGCTCTGGTATCGACGGGGAAGCTGCAATGGTTTGCTATGAATGGTGTAGCTATCGGCCGGGATCTGAACCCAATATCAAAACAGATATATTTGCCTTCGGTTCGACACTGTTTGAAATAGAAACCGGCGAAAAACCTTACCAAGAATTGGAAAAGACACTGGGGACTGGCAAGTTGATGAGAGTGGTAGAGCAGCTTTTTGCCACGGGAAAATACCCGAGAGTGGATATGCTTGTACTTGGTGACATTATTTTGCGTTGTTGGAATGGGGACTACCACTCAATGGATGAGGTTTCGAGAGACATCGACGCGTGCTGCCAGGGTATATATGACACTGGTGCAGTTTCTATACCTTCATCGAGACGCTCTTAGGTTGTAGACAAGGTGTTGTTGCTCTCCCCTAAACCTTGACCTTTCTGCGCTTGATCAAGGATTTCACACAGCCGAGAATAAAGAAATGTGGCTTCCTCTCTATGACCTTCCGCCTGGAAACAATCATAATTTGCGTACATATGGCTTCATAGTCTTGTAGTATTCTGTGAAATTAGCATATATTGTCAGGTCGAATACTCCAAGTCGTGTCTTAGGAAATGCTTCTCTAATAGCAAGATCGAAATCAATGAGAAAGGCCGTCCAGACACTTTCTGAACCGTCGTCGAGAATGTTTTCAAATATTGCCGCATTCACTGCTCTCAAGGCTCTAATATTCTTAACAAATGCCTCATGAAAACCCGGCACGCCAATAAGAGCTGACCCAAGGTCATCCTTCAGCACGACATTGACGTGCTCTTGATACTCGAATGAACTATCGAACATACTTGTGGCGTAGGAAAAAGGAGTTTGATTAACGTGAGGAACTATTAACTTATGGGGCGGGGTGGATTCAACTATCGCAGTAGAGGCACTATCCCGTATGGCAGTATCAGGCTCTCTATCTAGTACCACATTTAGGAGAGGGAAGACCCGTGACACTTCAAACTCATCGGATTTGACACCTAGTATAAGTCGTCGAGGGTCCTTTTGGAATATTCCACGTCTGCTATTAGAGGGTAGATGCGAGGTTGCAGGAAGCCTTCATAAAGCTAGGGTCAAATCAACCAACTGACTCTTAAATGCTCTAGCGAACTCAATTGAATTAGTCGACTTCGTAAAAATAGTTTGGTCCCAGACCTTCAACCTCTCCAGGAATCGCCGCATCAAAAGGCTTAGAGATAGATTCTCTACAGACAATTTCGAGCTTATGATAAAGATTATGGAGCCATCTTCGATGGGATATATGTTGGCTATTTCAGTTCGAGATAGATAGGCTATTTCCGAGGCGGCCCAGATTCTAAGACACGATCTCTCAAATCTGCTCAATACAGCGTCCGATGGGTGGGTGCCTCCTGAACAGTGGGAAGCAACGGCATTGGCTCATAGGGAGATATTCATGGGGATATTGCAGGCCGTTGTAACGAATCAAGAACGGGATGAGAATGAGCCTGTGAAGGACGGGGCAACCCTTCGATCGATCTGGCCGTTCGATATCCCCGCCTCTGAGTGATTTGTGGCCCTCCAGGGCGCAGCCACTCCTCCCCTGACGGGGAATAGATCTCTTTTAGTCTTCTGTATTCTACTATTCGCATATGAGTTTAGTAGACATGTCTTGCCTCCCCTGACTCCTATGAATTTGTATCATTTATATTGCGTTTTCAAATGTTTTGACGTAGTTGGCTGACTGACTTGAAGTTAGTGTTGGTAGTAATGATATTTGGGTCGGTCTAGGAATATATATTCTCTCGTGAGTCAAGGACGTTACTTTAGCCCAACTAAAAATATCGCAACCACTGTACAGACTCTCCAACACAGAAACATATATATACCAACCGGTCGACTATTCTTAATACACCAGGATGCCCCATAGAGTTTTATTTCAATAGTGTGGTTACTACCGTGGATAGTAAAACCGCGTGCCTCAATAGGACTTATCCTACAGTAGGAATACAAGTTGATTCCCGTCGTTGTTAAATCTTTACGGCACGTTCTAAAGTTTTTCTATGATGAATCCCTAAGTTTATGTGTCGCTCTTAGTATGTGCTTGACGGACGCAGACTAAGTAAGTGATATATAGGGCAACGGGCCATTGGAACGCTTTATTATGAGATCATTTTGCGGCAGCCTCAGCAAAGTGTTGCCCATACCCATACTCCCACCAGTTTCAGCCACCTTGGTTCAATACTTCAGAAGCAGGGAAAGTATAAGGATGCCGAAGTTATGGACTGAGAGACCCCATGCACTGTATTTAATACATTGTGAAGAATTCCAGAATGTTCACTATAAATACATTAGGTAGATTATAAGAGTAATAAGGTGACTGCAGAGTGATAAGATATACTAGGGCCAAAGCTCTATATACTGATGCTCTACAAGCCCGGGATACCGTTTTCGTAAATCCGAGCTACCGAACATCCGATGTGGAGGCTGAAGCTATGGATCAGCAGCCAAGGGCGCGGCTAGTAGATAGTTCTGGGACCAGGGCATTGTCCCACTTACATCAGTGCTCGGGTGGCTGGCTGAAAGCCCCAGTAGTGATAGATATCTATACTCTCACTCCAGCAAAGGAGCGGTCAGAGTGGCCGACACAGCTGAGTTCGAACAGAAGTGTGGAACTTAGCGGTAGGGAAGATCTGGTTTCTGGGACCTGGATTATATCCACCCCTGGTCCCATCCTCTCGCTACGAACTATGTGGTGGTCTACCAAAGCTAGAAAAAACCATAAAAAGACCGAAAGTTCTGGAATGTGGATCAATCCGATACAGTAAGCCTCAGTATACGCAATTAATTTTGCAACCGTTTGAAATTAGTCATGACGAGGGATTGCTTAAAATGAATTGTCTGCATGGCTTAGTGAATACTATGTCTCAAATTATCAAGGTTCTATATAGACTGTATTATATACTTCTTGATTTGTCCCTGTTGTAAAGGGTCTTCTCATAATGATTTATAGTGTAGTAAAGAAAGAATTTATTATGTTATTAGTACATTTACAGTAAAACGCTGAGACTATTCAGAGTCAAAGCTAGGGACTAGTATGATTATTTTCAAATATTATATAATTGGTTTAGAGGATCCATTCTACGTCTAAGTTCCGCCCTATCTCGAGGGTTTGGGGAATTTTAAATAGTGATCTACTGCAGACACCCAATTGGACTGTTTAGATCGGGGGCATCCTCTGTATCGGAGATATTTATAAATGGCAAAAGTGGACCTTCAGTTTTACGTCACACCGCTCTTTGCCCAGGAGGGCGTCAGATTTCCGGTGAGATTAGGTTTTGCAAGTTTGGATAATCGTTCGTTGATAACCACCTCGGCACATAGCCGATACACTTGCATATAGCATATGTGGGCTGCTGTGGATCGCTTTGTGGAGCTGGCAGAACCACTGTCGCAGCCTGTCTCCACTCCCAGGTCCTATCAGATGTTATAGATAGCTGGCAAAATGTGTGCAAGGAAAAGATCTCCGAACCTACCCACATGGATCAGCACGATCTCGATTTTGAGTTCGATCGAAGGTTACAGCTTCGGCTTGAAGGTTAAGCGAAGGCAACCCAGGTCCTTGGGAGCTGATGTAGTAAGTAATATGACGCACATGCTCGTAGCAAACATCCATGCATTCGGGCGTTCCATCAGCAGAATCGTTACTTGTCTTGTTTAGTTAATGGTATTGTGCTTTGCAGCTCTTCACTGCTACAAAATACCCACAATAGAGCTGACCATGGTAGAGTAGGAGGTCCACGGAAGGCACCATTGTACACTATGTTGAACTTAGTACTCCATATTACCACGCCGAATCAGAAACCAGGCTTGCTTCTGAGGAATTTCAGTGCAGACAGTCAGATCACCGTGAAGCTTCCTGCCTAAATCCACGGAACAGCTTTTGCATATATAGGAGTCTCTTTAACGCACGATTGGCTTTGACTCGTGTGAAAAGTTTTCTGTCCAAGATCTAACTTGTTTACCTGATTCATCTCCTCTCGTGTTTTCAAACTTTGTCCTATAACGCCCCTCTAATTGCGCCATCATGGTACCTAACACCTGGGATTCTATCAGTGCCTTTGAGGTCCCAGAACACTTTAGTCGGTTCCCAGCAGGCATTGCTCACAATGCCGCTGAGGTTGTCGATGCCCTTAATAAAGTGATTGACGCATCTTGCGAGCCGGGTTCTAAAGAAGGCAAAAAGGCCAGGACCCGCCATCTCACTGCCGATAATGAGCCTTTTGCCATCTGTCACTGCACCGCATTCCCGGACAGACTAGTTGTTCTTTCCTCCATTATCGAGTTGGCTTGGATCAACGACGGTAAGCACCTGCCATGGAATGATCTCTTCTGTCTAAGATGGGACGCTAAATCGCGAGAGTAGATGTCACCGAAGAACTGGAGCATAAAGAAGCCTGCATAAAGCATGATATCCTGATCGATGCTATGGATCCCGAGAAGCTCACGAATGCACCGGCTGGAACGTTCAACTCCCGGGAAACGCTATTCGGCTTGCACGTACAGAAGGCATGCTCCATGGACCCTGACGCCGCAACATCACTGGTGGAGGTGCTCGCGGACTACTTGAGAACCTTCGATAGCAGTGATGAGGACTTCGTCTCCATGGAGAAATACAACCCTTACCGCGTGGCAAACAGCGGATATTGGTAAGTAGCGCCCTGGATGTTTACTCCCGTTTCCGAACACTACTGACGCAACCTACCACACAGGATCTCCTCGTATTTCATTCGCTGGGGTATGGGACTGGTTCTCACCGATGCGGAATATGAATTAGTCCGCGACTTCGACTTCAGTATGGGCGTCATTCTGGGCCTGACCAATGACTACTACAGCTGGAATGTGGAGAAGGATCAGAAGACCGATCGAGTGCGGAACGCGGTGAAGGTGCTGATGAACGAATATAATGTTTCGGACACCGTTGCAAAGCCTTTACTGAGAGGGCTTATTGTCGATGAAGAGGAGAAGGCCTGCCGATTGAAGCAGCAATTGCTGAAAACCCCCGACACCCTATCTCCCGCGGTTTTGGAGTATATTGAAGCCATTGAGTTATACGTAGGAGGAAGTGGCTATTGGCATGCAACTGCTCCACGTTATAAGGTTCAGCAATAGATGCGGGATTTTGTTTCTTTCATTCATGATGGTGTTCTTGTTTGATGTCTTGGTGTATTGATAGGGTGGGTAATTATGAACCAGTTCCAAATTTTGTGACTTAGATGTGCGCCAGCAAACTAGAAATAGGATTGTGCATTCGGTTACTACTTGCTTTGGCTGGAATTAATCGAAGGGTATTCAGTTAGTGGAAGCTGTATGAAGCTTGACATGGCTTGAATATTCGGTCACCGAATGGGCTATCAAAAGCTGAAACCTAGCCGGCGGGGTTGAATTGACGCTAAGAAAAAACTACATGGGCGAACCCCACTAGCGTAAAGTCTAAGGAATGCAGGCTGGAGAATAGAGCAAACCTTGAGATTTGATCGGCAGAAAAGTCCCTCGCGAATGCAACTGGGTGGATACTAGTATATTCGGAATTTCGGACATTTGCCGGGGATCCGCGATAAAACTTCATAGACCTTTGCCCTGGTACCAAGGGCGTACGCCGACAAACACTATTGCCTAAAATATATGCCCTAATGTGGTTTTTGCAATTCATAGATGTCAAGTAGAAGACTTGGCAGCCAGCTTGCACACGGCAGAGCAGCTATATTAATGAGCCAGTCATGGTTAACTAGTTATTTATGTGCAATTCATAATGGTTGGAAAGTACAATAGCAACTCATATCGGATCATTTAGATGGAAGTGAAATATACGGCTCCGTTTCCTTACATAACGTATACGAAAGATGATAGTGAGAGGAAATACATGCATCACCAAAGCAAATTCGTCACATCCCCAACACCCCGCGCGATGGGTCCACAAGCCCACAATCCGTGGCAGTATCTCATTCCTTGGAGGGGTTCCGGATCTTCACATGTGCCGGTGCACCGTCTTTAGGATGCGCGGTTGCCTTCCCAGCGGTGTACATCCGCTCGCCTTCGACCGTTTGCTTGTCAAATTTGATCCCCTGCTGTTCTCGGAGCCGGTCCCACTCTTCCCAGGCCATCTCAACGTCAAGATCACGGACAACAAGCACCAGCACCAGCTTGAGCACGACAATGGCTAGTTCCTGTCCAAGGCATCTCCTAGGGCCAAGTTGGAAGCCCCGCCACATGTCCCTTTCCGGATGCAATACATCGCCTTCTGGGACCAGGTACCGCTCCGGGATGAATTCCGAGGGCTCGTGGAAATTGGCAGGATCGTTGTGGATGGTGATAGAGCTGTCAAAAAGATCGAATCCAGCTGTCGGCCATACGGTGTGGGAGTCTTTAATATGAAAGTTAAAGTCAGGCTGGCCTGCCCGGATCGTGATTGTAGCCGGGTTGATGCGTAGCGTCTCCTTGATAACACTGAGGGTATATTTGAGCGAGTCTAAGACGTGGGGCTCGTCTCGAAGTCTCTGGGCAGCTGCTCTTGGGTCAGGGCCAAAAATGCTATCGTGTTCAGCCCGCAATTTAGCGAGACATTCGGGGTGCTGTTGGAGCCGCTTGAATATCCGAGGGAGTGTAATGGAGATTGCATCGTCGCCCCCGAAGAATGTGGCCATCAGATGGAAGAACACATGCTTGACCAGGGATTCATCCAGAGAACCATCTTTGTCTTCTCCTTTAGCGCTGGCAACCTTTTTCAGATCCTCCGCTGCGGCTTGCACTATGGTTTGCGCGCCTTTGCTAGGCGTACCCAGGTTTTCCATAATGGAGGGTCGAAGGATTTGGAACAGCTCGTCTCTCTTGCGCTGCACAAGCAGCTTAAAAAACGGTGTCGCCCTCCATAGAAGCTTGCGGGGACTGAAAGTAATTTCCATACGTTCTAGTTGTTCTCGATAAGCAATAGTAAACTGAGATGGATACAGTGATTGAGTGTTCAGTCGTGTGTCACTATAGCTATTAGTCTGAGGAATGGGGCTTCACGTCAAGGTCACTTCACTCACAGAAGGATTCTCCCTGTAACATCGAATGCCAAGTTACTGGAGATTTGCTCAAGTGGAAACACCTGGCCCCAACCTCCGTTGCCGCCGGCAAGATTCTTTAACATGTTCGAGAATGCCTCAACCTCCTCTATAATGGCAGGTACCCAGCTCTAATATTACCTCGACTAAAACCGCGGTTGAACATCGAGCGCCACATACGCCATTCGTCGCCATGCATACAGATGAGATCCTTTCCAGCCGAAATTGGTCCAAGGAACTCACCATGCATAGGTGACTTAGGCAAGCTGGTCCCAATTGACATCTGATTGGATACGTATGCCTCCATAGAGAATGCCATGGGCCTTGACATAGGCCAAATATCGACATATACGACGGGAGGACATCTTTCTTCATTTGGGAAGAACTTCTTCCAATATTTGCTCATATAGTAGCCGAAGCTTTGAACCAAGTTCGCATCAAATGCCCAGTCCCGGTAAAATTGGAGGACAACAGGAAGATGGCCAAAAATTAGAGAATGAGGCATGATTGGCTATCTCAAATTAGAGCCTGGTTGTTGGGGTAAAACTTGAAGAAACATACAATGCCTTGAGACTTAAGCCTCCTGAACTTCATTCGGGCTTGGTATAACTTGATCATAAACAGCAACAGCGATATTGCCAGTATCGCACCGGCGAGCTTCAAGAGCTTCAAACCATTGCTGCAATCATGCAGTTCCACCAATGAAACGAACATAGCGGATTTCCCTAAGGGATCCATGGCAGTCAAGGTGGAATTCATATTCCAGCGTAGTAGAAGGAAAAATGAAAGTAGTTGGATCAAAATATGACCACCTTATAATATATATCCTGATCGTTGTTTACTAATGGCGGACACCACGAAACACCGTTATCTGTGTACATGTATGGATAGACTGAAAAAAAAAAATTACAAAACGAAAAACAAAACAAAGAAAAAGAAAGGGAAAGGAATGGTTAGCCAAACCTCTCAGGACAAGCCCATTCTATAAACTTTTCTCAATTGTGGGAATCCCATCTTGTGACCCGCATAGACAATTTTAGGGGCATTAGCATATCACGATGCATACTGTCTCTTGTAAAAGCTACGTGTATCCCCGATGACTCCACGATGAGCGTGCTGCAGCGACCCAGAACGTTCTCATATACCATAGGACATGACGCGTTGCTAGTCATGCATAGGGGATAACGCTGATGACAACTTCTGTTCAACATCTTCGATCAATCGTCTAGTTCATATATCGATATGTCTGTACATGGGCCACTTGCCATAGTGGAGATCACTAGATGTGTAATTGCTCGGCATTATTGCACTGCGATAGACACCCGATCCTGCGGTCTAGTACTGAGACAGGGTGCGAAAAGATCGTGCTGATCACTATGGGTAGGTAGGTAGATCTTTTCCTTCTGCGAATTTACTAGCTGTATACAAAATATACTACGTAGGACGAGACGGTTCCACACACGATCTTTTCGCGCCCCGCCGTAGTAGCGTCATTGAGAGTGGATCTATCGGCCTCGCTTAGAGCAAGGTCGTACGGAATTCATATCCGTCAGCTGAATTGTGGAGAACAGAAAAGCAGCGCATCCCGTCCATGCTGCTTAGAGTTATCTGGACCGGATAACCTGGCCGACTGAGAAACCCAGGATAATGGCCGACATGCGCTAGGTTCCAACCTACGTGCCCATAGGGAGCCGCTACCGAGTCCCGACACACCGTCTATCTAGCAGTCTTCAATGCCCTAAGACCAAGAATCGGCAGGATATCTAGTATTGAAAACAATTGGGCGTGCTCTACAGGTGGCATGTAGTTGCACAATTAAAGACACTCCATAGCCAATTACTACTTACTGTCATGTTCGTGCTATTAGTACTACATAATTTACTACTTGGAGTAAGCAAGCACATACGACCACAGGGTGTGGAGAACAGGGCTTCCCGTCCGCTCAGCCGTACTTAAGCCACACGCCGGGAGGTTAGTAGTTGGGTGGGTGACCACCAGCGAATCCCTCCTGTTGTATGTTTTTTTTTTGATTAGTCTGTCTGTATTTTGTGCTATTGCAGCTTTACGTCCAGGCGTCTTTAATCTTATCAGACACTGCTGCTGTGGTGGATATGGCCCGGGTATCACACCTGTGCTACCGAAAGTCCTCGCACGAACACAGGCACTCATCCCAGAGGAGACCTACTGTGTTGGGACGAAGTCAAACATATATACCCCATATAACAGTAGACACAGAGTGCACTATGTACCAGAGGCAACGGGAGATGTTAGCTTTTATATTACAAAAGTATAGGATACCCCAGGTGGATAGCTTAGCAATAACATGGCAATTATTTGGGTTTCTCCGAGTAGGAAGTCGGCACCGATAGGGTTATCACCGACTTTAGCCCAAGGTCCCCAAGGCCGAATCATGTTCTAAAGAGATAGACTTGAGTAACACCACTACCTTCTACGCTAGTGCACAGACAGACACATTCATTGACGCACGATTGTGCATCTATTTTGATTTTATAGAACTTCACTGTGATGAGTCGAGCGGGGATTCATACTATAGTAGATATAGATATGCATGTATCTCTTGGTTGCCAATGTGATATTTGGGTAACCTGTTAAGAGAAAGTACAGATATTTTATATATTAAGGAATCCTAGGGTTATAAAATTAGTGAACGAAATCCACTTTATTTTATCATCAGCTATCCTGTATAGGAATCCAGTTCAGGCATGGCACGTCCGATGAAAATGCTTATGAAGGGGTTTACTGGTGGAGCATAACATAGACCACGTAGAGTTCGCCATCTGGGCACGATGGGGGCCGGAAGGAGAAACCCATGGCGATCATCGTAGGCGACAAATGAATAGCCCTCTTTGTTTCATAAAGCCTGCAGCCTGTGGGCAAGATAAGGATATCATGACTTAGAATTATCTGGCTAATTGGGATTCATGTTGAAACGGTGCTGGAAACTCACAAAATCTAATACTATGAATTGCTGCTTCAACTTTGGCTTCACTACCTATCAACGCCGGTTCATTCGATCGAGACCTATTCACTATTTTTCCGCCCCAAAAAAGTGCTTATAGTGCAGTCTGTTAAAATAGATCTGCTGTTGAAGGCTTCTTCGCATATTTGTCTTAGTTCGTAAGAATATTGACGATCCTGCTCCCTCAAGTTCAACTGTAAGCTTCTTGATGAAGTGCTTTGTGACCGGCTCCTGTAGCTGTGTCGTTGTCCTTCCCAATCAAGTGGTCCTGGGATATGTGGGTAACGACTTGCTGAGTCCTCTAGCGGTTCTCTTTGGTAGTTCACCGGCTGTTCATCGCGGTGTTTCACAAGGGCATTGTAGAGAATTCTCTCCTGAGTTGGCCTGGTAACAAGTTAGAATGGAGTTTTCACACCAATAGGAATTATTATCAGGAGCAGGGTGAAAATAAAGACGGACAGAAACTGGAGGTGAATTAAGGATGGAGTTTCAGATCGGCAATGACGTACTCCGTACTTAGTAGCCTCTTTAGTAGTATATCTGGTTCAGCATGTTGCCACAGTGTTTGGAGATTGTGTACCAAATCCATATCAATGTCCTGTGCTGCCAACGGTGCACCACAGTCTTCCGCTGACGGCGGAGGCGCTGGACCGAGGGCATAGTTAAAAGTTCGTTCATGAAACCGTTCGTATTTATTCAAAAGGGGGTGTTGCCACATGTCCTCCATACTAATCCTCTGCTTTGGTTCCGTTTGCAGTGTCCGCCTGATGAGGTCTGCGGCCTCAGTGCTGAAGTGTGATGGGATTGTGTAAACACCTTTCTTTACTAAGCGTAGTGTACTTACTAAATCGTCGCTGTCGAAAGGAAGAAACCCCGCTAATAAGGCGTATAAGATGACACCACAGCTCCAAATGTCCGCGATAGCACCTTGATACTTGTGACCCCTGGCTATTTCAGGCGCGACATAATGCGGGCTTCCACACGAAGTGTATAGCCAGTGATCAGCGGGTTGAAAGGCGGCCATGCCGAAGTCTGCGAGTTTAACATTGCCAGAACTATCTAGCAGGATATTCTCTGGTTTGAGGTCTCCATGGCAAATATTGAATCGATGGCAATAGCCCAGTCCGGCAATGAGTTGTCGAAAGATTCGCACTGCCTCTTCCTCTTGTAAATCACCGGTGGCGGTCAAATAATGAAATAGCTCACCACGCTCAGCATATTCCATTACCAAATATCTTTTCTCTTGTAAGTACTCCGTACCGTATATAATTCATGGCCGTCGTTCATTACTTACAGTTCACCACTCCTCTCCCACACGTCGTACAAACTGATGACGTTTGGATGATTGATGAGCTTCATAATTACCGCTTGTCGATCGATGCTGCGAGGCATTTGATTCCCCCATGTTCCAGTCAACCAGTCGACAGTTTTCGCCATAGCGGCAATGCTTTTAGGCTGTACCGTCCTGGCAGACTCCTTAGACACGATCTTGACTGCAGCAGGCTGCCCTGTCACAGCATGTGTGGCCAGCCTAACCCGGCTGGTGCGACCATTCCCAAGTACCTTTCCCAGTTGCCATGGCCCAATCTGTGCGTTCCTCTTTCCCTTCCATGAAATCGTTGAAGCTAGTGACATAGTGGAGTTCCGATTTGATCCCGCTTGGGATCCTTCACAGGGAGTAGGACAGATAATACCGATACTGCTTCTTAGTGAAGGTGAACTTTTAATGATATGCGTCTGATCTGAGCACTTCATATCAACTACTTCGTGTTCAGGGGGCTCCTGGTCTTCCATCCTCGCGTCATGGTTGATTCGGCTGGTAGCATCAGATTTAGATGGAAACTCAGGCAAGTCCTGTTCAAGAGAATCGTATGCGTTGTCGCCGAGAGAAGCAGAAGGAGGTTCTCTATTAAAGCCATCCGAATCTTGCTTCTGAGTGGTGCTCCGGGATGAGGTACTATCTTTTTCAGCTGTTCCATGTGTTCTGCTATCTGTCTCAGTCCCCTTCTCAACCGGGGCCAGTTTCGGGGTGGAAAGATCTGTAATTAACTGTGAGGTACTGACGATGCCTGTGACTGACGCTATTATAAATTAGAAGACGGAAAGATACACATCGGAAGATTATAAAAATTATAAGAATGGCATGAATAGGGTTCGATACCATCGTCCTTCGTAGATGAGCCGTCACGGTGTGATGCCTGAGTGTGATTTGGCTTCTTGCCCGAAAGTTTCCTGGAGAACCTTCGGAAAGAAAATCGTTTATTACCCATAGTGCTTGCTCTTACATGCCTGTTTTAGAGTAAGATTCCTAGAGGAAGTTATCAAGGGATACATTCAAGATGGCAGTGAACTCGAGTCCGACACAAAGAGGTCTGTTAGATTCAAATCTATTTATAGCGGGCAAAAGTTGTCCAACAGCTAACCTATCCCTCACTTGTCCAGTTTCCAGGCAGTAACAAGGCTTGTTGAGTTAGGCACAATTGAGTAAGGCTCGCTTGTGTGTGTGTGTGTGTTGGCACTGTTAGATGAGCCCAAAAGTGGAGTAAGTTGATGGGATTACTGCTTCCCCCACCGACGTGCGGTGAACTATTCTTATGCAATTGCCTGACACAGTGTAGGGGAAGACTGCAAGAGCTGTAATACTAGAAGGATTACTTGTATTCAAATTGCTGGAGAACTTATATATAAATCAAAATAGAATAAATTATTTAAACACTGCAAGGACGCCTTTAGAATACATAATTTAGGCAGCGGTATACTTTTAGAGTATAGTAGGCTAATAGACTATAAAAGATTAGTATACTGCTAGCAGAATTACTTACATTAAAATATTAGAGAACTTCTATATAAATCAGAACAAATCAAATCGTTTAAGAATAGAAATTCTATACATAAGTAAAATTATATCGTATATTCAGTATATCGGTAGTCTAACAGAACACCTGTGTAGATATGGGAAGAAGCAGTCATCTCTTTGCAAAGAAGTTACAGGTCCGTCGCCTATGAATGTAATTCCATAGCTCAAAGTGGGCCATATTATTTCTCCAAATTCAACCTCACGAGGTACTATATCAAGGAATATTCCAGTCTTCCTGAATGCTTTTTTAGTATTCACTTTTCTATGCTGAAGCGTCCCTTGTTATCACGTCACCCAGGAAAAATATTTCTTGGCCGTATAATTCGCATATCTTCAGTGGGCAGCGTATCTTAGCTCCCTCAACTGCTACAGCACTTTCTGCTTAGACCCAATCCGCTCTTACATCGACTAATAAAAGCCGTCTACCTCACACCACAAATGCACTGAGCTTGGTGAGATGTTGGACCCAATTGACGTCACTTTGACTAGCCCACACCCTTTTGACGTATTCAATGGCTCTATCCAAATTGGCAAAGCCCCGTATCCTTTGATGTCTGAGAAGTGTATCGATAAAAAACACCCGGTGGGCGGTTGTCGAGCTCTCGAGGGCAACGAGGAAGCAAGGCCACACAAGGGTATGCTCGCCCGGTGTATTAGGAGGAAATGAGTCCAAGGTATTCTTGAAATCTTCGACCATATCAGTAAAAGCAGGTGCCGTCGAGCCGGCCTGCGCGCGAGCTAAATAGATGTCACAGGCCTTCCGATTAAGTTCATAAACAACAGACATGGCGGCGTTCAAATCCGGGTGCATGTCGCGGCAGACAGTAAATTCGTGCCAGGCATTGATACTAGGCGGGCCACCTACAATTGTTCGACAAAGAGTTGCAACTCCTTCGTCGAGGCTTAGAAAAGGTGCTGCATATCCGCGAAATCTTCGATTCGTCAATAATCTGATTAAACCGAGAGCGGCAGAAGGCTTACTTGGGTAGTTGGGTAGAAATGAAAAGGCCGATCTCACCCCGAAAGAAATTCAGATCATCTCGTACTGCTTTTAATGATGATCTTAGCAAGTCGAAAATCGTGCGGAAATCAGGAGATCCATTCACGATCACGTTCGCCAGAAGAACAAGTAAGGTCAATATGATGCACTGTTTTCCCATCAGATCTTCTGCGGCAAGGTTTTGTCTCTGCTGAAGCCCACGGATAACCCTCTGGTAAGCCATCTCAGGAGATGTTGTTTGCTCAGACAGAGGCGTCGAATTACAGAAGGCCGCAGCTGATAGGAGCGCAGACTTCACTAAATCATCGAAATGTGCAACGGGTAACACGACACGTCGCCAACTATTGGAATCGTCATCGACCAGTACCAGCATTGGAGCAATTCTTTCTGAAACTTTTATGTTCAGCATGGTTCAACGACATGACCGGATGCAAGGACTCACATGAGTGGAAAAGATAGCGCTCTGTTGTGTCGAGAGTATCAGGTGTGATACTCTTGATAGTGTGACTTACACACCTGCGCCACATCATACAGAGCTGTGCGTCAATGTGGAAGGCATCTATACCATTGCTATCATGAGTCTGAAGGAGAGCGCCTTGGGGCGCCATATGATGATTGGTCCGTGAGCGAGGTACGACGAAGGCGTTGTCCAGATGTTCATCGAGTCCTGGGGACTGGTGCGGCGCGGGATAACGCAAAGCCGCACTATTCAAGCTCTCACGGGCATGTCGAGATGATGGAGGCTCTCGGCGCCGGTTTCTACGATGCGTCCCAACATCGTCGGCGAATCTGTACCGGATTCCTATGCCAGTGCAGTGGATGCCTCTCTCTAGACACTTGTTGCACCTGGGTTCCGCTCTGTCGCAGTCGATGCGGCGGCGAGAGCACTGATAGCACCCTGTACAAGACGTTAACACAGTACGAGACAACTGCTTATGATGGCTATTCACCTGGCACTTTTGGAACATAGCGCCGTTTCCGCGACTTCGGCTTACGTTTCTCACGTTGGCTCCACATCCCTCAATCACGCAGGTACGTTTACTAACTGCTGTTGGACCCTCCTTGTAGGGTCTTTGAAATGATCGGCAACAGGCGCTGGTTGGACTGTCGAAGGACGTAAGAGAAGTCCACCGATCAAGAACGGTCAATAGTACTCTCAACCAACCCTCGCCGAGATGATTAATCCTCTCTTTAAGAAACTCTATCTGAGATAAAGCGGCTACCCCGCCGCGATAACGCTACTTGATATCTGGATATCTATTGTGACAGATCACCACAGACTCCCATGTCTTAGTATTCTCACCGGCAAAGCTCCGCTGTCTTATCCCTGGCTTATCCCGGTCCTCGATCCGATACCCCATCCTATAAGAGGCGGGAAACCGAAGGAAACCTCGGACTGGGGCCGATGGGCTCTCTTTTTTGTTTCCAAAAAGAGAACCTTTGAAAGGGCCGGTGGGGCTAAGTTATTCTATGTTAGCCCCATATCAATTACTATCAATTACCCCGCATAACCAAGACCCGAGACCAGACCCGACGATCCCCGAGAACCTTCTGGCCTTCAAAGGCAAGCTAGCTTTGTCTCCACTTGCTCTCCATCAAGTTGCTTGATGTGGACACCTCCCGTGATCTATTTGCAATTGGTTTCTGTGCACCCACCCATAGTCATGCCCGACCTATGGCCGATGTTAGCATGCCGTATAGGCTTTGGCTTCACTCATCCCTTCCGCATTGCGAGGTGGGACGCTGGCTTGAGGACCAGGTGAACAATACCATCCTGCCAACTGCAGGCCCAACATCTGCGATGAGGCAGCCTCGAGCAGCAACGTTTGAAATATCGAGATGGGGATCCGCAAGGGCAAGTACCTCAGAGGGAGAGGATAATTGCTTCTCACGTACAGTAAAATGAGCACCCACGGCTTTTGGCTTGTGTTCCAGGGTGACTGAATGAGGATCACCCGTGTTCTGTGCCATCCTGTCCCTGTACTTGTGACATTGAGGGTGATGATGGTGGAGGGTGATCCAATCGGGAGCTGGATCAAATAACAGGAACAGCATCTCTGTACTGTGCACACATTTCTCAGCAATTCGCATTCACGCTAGCACTCCAAAGTTAGCCAAATTCAGCAGTGAAATGGAGAGCATCTTCCGGGACCTGGTATCACTGTACGGTCTGTCCACAGTCCAAGGATAAAAAGGATCGAACTTCGCCATTCATGTTGGCTTGCTGATTATAAGTCGATCTCAATCAAGCAAAGAACAATTGTCGAGACAATACAGCGGAGCAAGAACACCGTTGCCATTCCTCACTATGCCTTTCAAACCGAAATCGCGAGGCCCCCTCTGCACCAGTCCTTATACCGATGGCAAGACTGAGCCGATGCGGGCCCTCCCCGCCAGTTGGTTTACCTCGCCTGAGATGTACGAGCTTGAGCGACGTGCCATCTTCAGCAAGAAATGGATGTTGATCACTCATGAAGTACGTTTCCCGAGCTCCGGCGATTGGATCAGGTTCGAGATTGCCGGCTACGAATATGTCATTGCCAGAGACCGAAAAGGCGAATTTCACGCATTCCACAACACATGTCGCCACCGTGCGTACGCTGTTGTCGATAAGCCTTGTGGTCGGAATCAGATTCTGTCTTGCAAGTATCACGGGTGGTCATACGCCTTGGATGGCAAGCTCACCAAAGCCCCATGGTATGACGATATGCAGAATTTCGACAAGAGTCAAAACGGTCTCTTCAAGATTCACCTGAGGAAGGATAAACTCGGCTTCATTTGGGTGAACCTGGATGCGACTGAGAACCCGGAACCCTGGGAAAAGGAGTTTGATGGCATTGATGTGCAGGACAGATATGACAAATACAATCTTGCGGACTACTTTTTCGATCATGAATTCGAGATTGACGCAGAGACTAACTGGAAGCTCTGCTCCGACAACTTTAACGAATGCTACCATTGCCCAACGTCCCACCCCACCATCCCGACCTTGTTCGATATTGAGACTCTCACCCAAGAGTCCAAGGATGGTCACGTCATCTCCGTTACGGCACAAAACGAAGAGCAGAAGAGGGATGGTCTCCAAATTTGCACTACGTACTACTTTCCAAATGCATCCACCAACATTCTGTAAGTTGCCTGCCCCAGCTCTGGAACGAAACCCGCTCCGGGACTGACTTCGGCTAGCCCCAACTATATCATGCTGCAGAGGTTTCTCCCGCAATCGACTTCTCGAACCAAGATGCACTACCAGATTTTCCGCAACAAGAACGCCAGTCAAGAGCTCTTCGACAAGGTCGACACTCTCTACAAGCAGGTCATGAACGAAGACAAGGGGCTTGCATGTGGTGTCCAGAAGAATATGGAGCGTGGGTTGTTCATCAATGGGCTAATGCACCCTCGCGTGGAGAGTGCCCCGCTGCATATGCAGGCAAAGGTCCGGGAGATTGTGAAGGAGCATGCAGAGCGGGAAAAGGCTGCCGGACGTCAGATCTGGCCGGCTGCTCAAACACCGAGTGCAGATGCCATGAGCAAGGATGATGAGGCATTCTGTGCAGGACTCGCATGTGGACGTGCCCAGGCAGCTGATATCGCCTGGTGATACGGGGTTCGCTTGGGAAATGTTGCATCGTTTGTTTTATTGAATTACAAAAGTGTCCACTGGAAGCTGTACCTGGCAACTGCCATCTCAATTGCAACACTGGTCATTATACTTATGTATTAGGCTACCTTGAACAACGATTGTTACTGGCAGTAGCATCGAATATTCTTCGACTTTGATGACTTCTGTAGTAGGAAGCAACACCTATAGTGCTGAACGTACTCATGTTCTTTGTAAAGACACAAGGTTTTATCACCAGCAGTCTATACGGAAAATGAACGATGAAAACAAGTCCTCCACTCTCAATACTATTGCAGGAGACGGATCTCTCATGACGATCTATGTTCTAATCATCACCAGAATTGACATTTTGGATACATTATTAATAGTGCCAGAAACAGGATGGAGAACTGCCATTTCGGCCATGCCACTGTTGACGAGGCCAAGGAGGACAGTGTGTATAGGCCAGCCTAAAAGCACGTTTAAAGGACCAGCTTTTGCAAGGCCGCTGCCGATACTGATAAAAGGCGCAGTCCCAATGGATCCCCCTATGGCGAGGAGCTGAATTTGGCGGTTACCAAGCCGTCAATGGAGATTATCAGCATTATCGGTGGCAAGGTCCGCATGTGTTGCAGTTCGGATATCGGTGTCCCTGCTGGGATCCAGAACAGCATTGTCGACGTTTTTCTTAAGTTCCATGGCTAGGTGGGCGGATAATTAACATCCTGTAGGTGGAGTGGAAGGTGTATAGTATTGATATGTAGTTGTCCGCAACCCTAGCTTGTCAATGGAGAAATACAAACGTATTTTTAAATTCCTCATTGGCTCTGACACGGAGGAAGGTGGAAATGGCTGCGAACTTTGGAGTGGATTGCGTGGGTATAATGCGGGGTCATAGGGAATAGCAGGGACCTTCTTCTCCTGTGGCTCTCTTTTAACGTGCTCTCGGAAAATGGGATATGTATATTTGATATTCAAACCGGGAAGGAGAGATTGCTCCGAGGTCAACGGCGTTGGCGGCCGATGTGGGGCTTCATACCAGGTGGCCAGCGGTGAGTAAATATCCTGGGGGAACTGGTAGATCACATCGCATAGGCCAAGCCTAGGCAATAGATCGAGGCCTGCCCCGTGGTTTCCAAACGATCTTGTCACCTCAAAGAAGGCAGGTTTCTCCGTTGTGTCAATATCAGGAGACTTAGATCCAAACCTTTATGTTTGCCAACGAAGGTTTAGTATAGCTGGCCATTGCCTAATGGGCCCTCACAAATACAAAAGAATTGTTTACAGCGTCTGGAAACCACATTTATGAAGATGATGATATCATGCGGGAGGTCAATACCGATACTATATTATTTTCATCAACTTGACTCGTTTGGGGACTAATGAGCTATTGTTAGTGCTGAATCTGCTTTGAGGGGCAATTCTTGCACCAATCGCCTCTAGTCATTCTCTCAAGACACGCCTTGCCATAGCCATGATGAGTGGAGACATCAGGATAGTACAGCCATCATGGAGCGACGACCCGGTCCAGACGTTGGGAGGCCATGATAACCCCGTGTCTCGGCTCTCCTTCTTGGCTTCCGGACACTATCTCGTATCCTGTGCCTGTGCACTCTATGGAACGTGCTCATGTGGAGTCTATCCTCTTCTTATAGCTGTTGATAGGCCTGTTGCTTGGCCTACCCATACGGGGCTTCGCTATGGGTGGCAATATGTGGTGAGTTTCGAGTGAACCTGTTGTCTTGTATGCACACAGCAGCTGGCAAATGAGGCTTCATTGGGTTTCTCTTCATTAGTTTAGCGGAGTTCTCAGATGTGCAATAGTTGGTACGAATGCCTGGATGAATAAATGAACGAATTCCTCACCTACATGAAGGTTCCCGAGATGCATTAGTTGCGCATGGAGCATCCTCAACGTAACGCACTAGTAGTATTGCTAAAGACATTTCAGAGAGTAACTCCATTGCTTACAGGCAGATCTGGCATCTTTCATGACTCGACAGGCTTTACAATTCAGAGTAATCAAGTTGTGCCTCCTTCCTACTCATGCACAACATACCTTCTCGGGCGGTGAAACAGCCTTGGCATATTTGGGACGACCCTTTGATTGACTCCTCCATTAGCAATGAATATCCTCGCAAACCGGCGAATGATCATGTCGTATCCTTTGAATCATGGTTAAGCACTTTCGGGTAATAGCGGTTGCCCGAAGTGACTCCAAGTGTCCGGGGTTTATCGGAAGATTAACCCGACCCAGAAAACCGGTCATGTCCATTCCCTCGCCCTCGCGTCTGTCCTCTACTTCGATATATCATACCTTTTTCGAGAACACGTCAAGGAGATGGATGTCAGCTTGTTTGTTTCAGAAGGGCATTTTGCACTACATACTAACTATGTCTTAGTTTTAACGAAGCTGAACGACTCAAGGAGAGATATGTTGAATTCAACCCAACAGAGCTTCGGCGGGTCGCCGGTCAGGCAATAGAGCAAGACCAGTGTTCTTGCATTGTGAAGCTTGCAGAAGGTGGCTTCAACAAAGTATTTCTGCTCAAAGCAGCTGATGGTCGCGAGGTGATTGCACGTATCCCCACGCCGATCGCCGGCCCTTCCCGTTTGACCACAGCCAGCGAAGTTGCGACATTGAACTTTCTGCGAACCGTTCTCAAAGTTCCTGTACCAAAGGTACTGGCCTATTCAACATCATCAGAGAATCCAGTTGGAGCAGAATATATCATAATGGAGCGAGTACATGGTGAAAGTCTCGCATCCAGATGGCCAACTCTGGAGACCGAGGAGATGAAAATTATCATGAAACAACTAGCACAGATAGAGCGGAATATTTCCTCTTTCTCCTTCCCTGGGTACGGGAGCCTCTATCGCAAGAATGATATTGCAGGAGAAACACAGATACCTATAGAAGTGGAAGGCTTCTGCATTGGCCCTGTTGCCGCACGACAGTTTTGGCATGGTGAGAGGAACCAAATGGATTTAGACCGCGGTCCATGTGAGCATTGTCTATAAAGGGATAATAGAATTGGGCTGATTCCAACAGGGCGTTTATCTGAGGACTGTTATACTTCTGCAGCACGCCGAGAAATGACTTGTATTCTGCGCCATGCCAAACCTCGGTCCCGACGGACATTTCTTCTTCCAACAAACTACGACATCGATCCCTCTCAGCACACATCGCTTCTCTCAAAGTTTCTAGAGATAGCGCCCTTCTTGGTTCCTCCAGAGCCTGCCAATAATTCCCCTACGCTGAGACACCCAGACTTGAGTATGACTAACATTCTCCTGGAACCCGGTTCCAGCAAGATAGCTGGGATCATTGATTGGCAAGATGCCGTTATTTTCCCACTGTTTATGCAAGCTGGCTATCCGGCGTTTTGTGAACATGACTTCTCGAAGCCGCAACGTTTGAAGATTCCACAGCTGCCCGAAAACTTCAATGAAATGTGTGTGGAGGAGCAAACACAAGCCAAAGCCAAAATGCGCATGGAGGAAGCAAATCTATTTTATCTAGCCGCGACTGGCTTGCAAAACAACGCCCATCTTAAGGCTCTTCAGATCCCACATATTGGTATGCGGCAATATCTCTTCCGGCAAACAGGATATCCCTGGGATGCGGATACTATCAATCTCTCTGCTGCCCTTGTTGGTATCAGTACTCCTCACGTTTGGAGCTCTATCACATCCCTACCGTGCCCAGTGTCTTTCAGTGACGAGGAAAGAGAGAAGTCATTGGAGGAGTCGGCTGACTGGAACGATTCTGAGAGATTATTATCTACGATTAGGAACCATCTCGGCATAGATTTAGAAGGAGGCACTGAACCGGAAAATTATGAGTGGGCATACCACAAAAATCTGGAATTCAGAATGGAATTCTTGCGGCAATCTGAGGAACATGAACATGAACTGTGTTGGCAGAATTGGCCTTATAAAGACGATGATGATTGCACTTCTCCGCTACCTGTTGATTGACTCCTTATCTGGAAATTTATGCTAAGTTGTCTTTCCTCTGAGACGACTGTAGCTGGTGAAAGCTACATATCAAAAATGCTGTGCTAGGTAAACCGCTTAAAGCTTCATCCAAAACGCCATATGTTCCCAAGTATATTTCCATATCAAGTATGGGTTGGCCGTAGACTGCGCTCGGAAGTAAAACACCCAACAGCTAACAGCAGCTTTATGTATCCAATCTTGAGAGCATCCTATCAGTCCAACCATATATACGGGCTTGGAACGCCCCATTTCATTCAAACCCTCGTTAAAAGATGAAGAACAATTTTGGTATGGAACTTTTAGAAGTTACAGCTACATTCCACAAATGGGCCTTAAATCAGTAAAACTGGTCAATGGACCACGGGGAACTGTACTCGAGATAGGTTCTGCAGTGCGAAACGCTTTGTTAGATAATACAGACCTTCTCTTTGGTGCTCATATTTCGCTATCTTGTGTCTGATTCGGTGACTGGCTAAATGTTTTCAGGGAAATGCATTTATAGTTTATGTAGCTGGCTGATATGCGCGTTTCGCAATGGGAAATCCTTCTTGATCTATGCGACAAGGATCACGATCCAAGCTTTATAGGTCTATAAACTGGTTTTCTATTCCTGGGATTCAGATAACCCGTTGCAGTGAAAGCCAGCGGTTGTAATGACCTTACGTTTAGTGTTTGCTTTTGAGCAGTTGATTTCAATAGTGACCAGAAGTCTGGGGGAAGGGACGATCTGTTGCTAGGATAGCGCTTTTACGCTGACCGCATTTAATAGGTTCTATGATGTCCCTCGCCACGCTCTAATCCCTTCTGCGGCTCCTATCTTCTTGGAATGCTTTTCACCATGTCCTTAAAGAAGAGCTAACCGAACTCCAAACGAAATAATGTGGCAGCCGCTATAACGCATTCATTTTCTTCGGTTCTGGTCAAATTTTCGTCCCATGACCCCTTCCAGCCTCAAAGAAGAAGAGAGGAGGACACATGGATAGTGGGGCTTAGGGGAAACCAACATAGAGTAGGTAGGAGAGCAAAACAAGAGGATCGAAAGTGATTAAAAATAATAACATAAAACCGCCTGGATTAGCAGGCGGTCTATATTTAGCCACGGCCGGTAAAGCCTCTTACTACGGTCAAAAAAAAGTCGGTATTTCTCATACTCCAGGGAAAGGCTGCAGTCATTGAACTAATGCGTGAGAACTTACACCGCTAAATGGAATACATTCTGGCTGACTAAGTCTTTCAGTGTGCCTTCCCTCACCACACAATCTTCTATATAGTTGAAACGTAATCATCGAGACGATGGCTGAATAAACAATACTATCGTAACCTTCGGTATGGCGGCAATAATGGTCGACATCAAATATAAAGTAAGGGATTGATAGTCTTATCATGAGAACCGGACTCTAGCAGCCGGTCATCCGGCGAGAAGACTCACCGACAGAATGTGGAATTCCATCCAGTACCAGAAGGCCTCCTACCCGGCTGGGGTTTACCAAAGGTCCAGCCTACTAGTATTGAAATAACAACCCACCAAAGATCCGTTGCCAGGCGGTTGAAATAACAGGGTATAGTTCTAGCCACCCATTTGTGGATTTCGCACTACCATTGCCTTAGGGAGCGGATGGGCGGACTGTCCAAAATCACTTCAGCAAAATGGTTGCTCTACATGACGTTCCCTTTCATTATGTAGTAATTCTGTTTTCTGGCCTGTCTGCAGTTTCTGAATAGGTGCAACGAGCCGCTAGGGGAAGCATGTGATCAGACTCCTTGCAATTCTTATTGGCAATCGTGAAGACTCGTCCGTAGAAAGGTAATGTTGTTTTGCCAAAGCAAGTCCGTCACTTCTCGGATTTAGGTCAAATTACTATGGGCATATAAAACGGCGTCTGTCCACCCGATCCATAAATATATATGTTAAAGTGGTTTTCTTTTGTATTGCAGCTCCTCACTTACCTTAATTCTAGCCATTGTGAAAATCAAAAGACATGTGGTTGAGATAACCCACATTCTTTAACAGAATTTTAATGTCAAAAGTACTGTAGGTACTAGTAGGAGGTTGAAAGTATTAGGCCAAGCTCATCTCTCCCCCCTTAAGGATCTCAAGACGTTTATTAGGCTCACGATAAGCTTACAAAACTTGCATTTCCATCGCCCGCAGCGAGGTGTCCCTAGTTAGGGTCGACACCGTCAAACCCATATGTCGACATGAAAGAAACTGGGATTGAGGAAACTCATTTTGGTTCTCGTGCAGCCTAGTTAGATCGGAACGAAATTGTTGCTGTTGGTCAAGGGTCGTTAAAAGCTTGGGAATATAGACTATGAACATATCGATACTTACCACCAGCCTGGAGATTAGAACACCATATCTAAGCCTTAACAAATCGTATATATTCTAATTTATCTCATTGATATGGTCTTTTGCGTATTAGACCCTGCTGTGAAATACGTTGCCTGGCCTTCACATTTCTATTTTAGCATTTCCCCTTCTTCCCCCTGCTTAGTATTCTCGTGGATATCCTGTATGGATACTCTGTCCCACAGTTCACTGGCTCGTATTGTATTCGTATCTGGGCAGGTGACATACTACATAATACAACATACGCAATATTGGAAGTGTGGCTGACCACGAATAACCAGTAAGTCTAGAATATCTTTGTGGGGGAAAATGAGACGAATTGTTCTTCACCGCGACAAGTGGAGTCAGTGTAAGAAGTACTAACAACCACGAAGGTGCTGTAGAGCAAGGGTTGGGCATGTGTAGTGTGAAATTGATCTAGTTATTACGATACGCCCAATGGGATTCATGCACCCCTCGCGAAGAGAAAGAAGTCTCGATTGTTGAGCTGCATAGCCTTCTGACCGGTCTCTACTCTCATTCGCAGTTTAGGTGTCCGGAGCCCCACTGGAAAGGAACGTTCAGACCGGTCTCTACTCCCATTGGCAGTTGTTTAATCAGCTCTCGGGCTGCTGACCGTTTCGATAAATTATTGGCTGGATTTAAGTGGGACCTTTTCTGTCCAGTGCTTCTGTAAACATGATAGATCTCTCAGTTCCGGCGAAATCGATCACGAAGGGCCTCTATATAAAGTAGAGCATGCTTCTCCTCTACTTAGTCTTGGAGCAAGAGTGATCTATTCTTTATGACTCTCGTCATGATGGAATCGAGCGTGCAAAGAACAGACCAGCCCTCTTCCTGCGACTATCTGCAAGACGCTCCAGACCAAGATCCCGGAACGGTCCATCTACCACCCCTCAGCCCACGGCATTTTTTACCGCATTCCTCATATGTATCGTTGTCGCAAGATACAAACACGAATGAGGCAGGGCAAACCATCACTCAAGAGATATGTATGGAGTGACCAAGCGTGAACCTATTGCCTAGCCTAGTAATGTGTGTGCTCACAAATTGTCACAGCTGAGGACATTTTCGCGGAGAGCCTTCCCATCCAAAACGAGAATGATCAATCGATGGCGTTGTTTCCAATGCTCTATCCGACATGTCTTGGCGCTGATACCGGTCTCGGAGAGGGCTATTTGTGGTTCTCATCAACCTCCCCCAATGAGCGAGCGTCGCCGCAAAATATGTGTGGAGGCAACCTGATGCCACCTTCTGAGTTCACCCAACGTCCAGATTATTTGGATACTCAAGTTCCCTTGCCCCCTTACAATCAATATGCTCAAGACTATGCATCCATGACGAGGCCGGACGACGCCATATACTCCCAGCAGCTTCCACACCTCCAGCCACAGTTGCTTTCGCCGTATATGATGCACAATGACCATTCGCTTTTGCCGGGCCAAATAAATGTCCAGCAAAATGGCAGCCTAGGGTTTTGTTCGCTACCAGACCTAGAAACCGGGCCCATCATGAATGACATTGCCGGCCGTACCAGATTGCTGGGAAGTGATAGCGACGATCAATTCTTCGCAACCAATTTTAATTTTCCAGCCCAAGTGTCACTTCCTTCAAATGGAGCCAATATTTTTGATTTCAATCACAATCTTCAGTCTAACCCACTGGACCCATCAGCGGCTTCAGAATCCAGCTGCATACAGGAACAGGGATCAAGCACCGAAGGTCACCTTGCAGCACCTGTGCCTTTTCTAGGAATTCAATCTAGCCATCGAGGTACTTCCACGGATATTATGCCAATAAGACCAACTGAGGCCGAAGCAATTCTAGAAAACTCCGAGTTCCTAAAGCCACATCCAATAAATGGCAGTCGAAATCCCATTTTGGGTCTCACGCGTCCTGTCTCATTGCCCCCAGCTCGCAGAGGAGGAAGGAAAGGTCCACTCACTATGGAAGAGAGAACTTTGCGGAAAGAAGCCAGAAAGAGAGGTGCATGCATCAGATGCCGCAGGTTTGGAAAAAGGGTAAAAGTCTATTTACTCCATTATTAAGATACGGTGCACAGCCTGCTAATGTAGTACTAGTGTATTGGAGGCATTCCTTGCCGGGCCTGTCTTGAGAAATCAAAAGCCACATTTTGGAAGTTTCCTTGTACAAAAGCCAATTTCTTCGACATGATCGAGGCCGGCTCGTATTTTGAAAGTCTGTACTCCTTTCTTTTATCTCCTCTCAAATGCCTTGAAAATTGCTAATAATATACCGACCCTGTAGGCATTGCCAGCTTTGAGAGCGAAAAGATGAACGGATTGGACGAGAAACTAATCTTCCACCAGTTGATGAAAATAGCTTCCGCCTGTAAAAAAGAAGATCTTACTGATATCTCTACGGGTCTTCCAGGTCCATTCGATGTTAAAGGCCTTGTCATATGGAAAATTGCGTTCCAAACGCTTGCGGATATTCTTAACACCGATGATCCTGGCTACAAAGGGATTCCTATTCCGCAAAGAATGTCAGAGCTAGCACGCCGCCGCGCAAAGGATGCAAGTTCTTTACCCCCAATAATACTTTCCAATCCCTTAAGTTTCGGTGGGTCTCGTGAGTCATGGACGGTAGGTCTGACATCTAATTATTAAAACATGACTGCAGCTAATAATATTGCAGACCGCAAATCTACTGTTTTGCCTAACAGAATACAGATATAGCGACGAGATGAAAGAGTTACTTGTAGCAGACGACATGATGGACAGTTCCAAGGGTCTTCTGGATACTTTGGCGTGGATTACCCGCCGTCAATTTGAACTCTCCTTGTTCCGACACCTGCAAAATTCTGCAAATCAGTTGTTTTCACTTTCAAACACAGACCTCTTAGATACAGCAAAGTCTTTGTTCCAAGTATTGACTCTCGGCCTTTCTGATAAATTTTCATCCAATCGTACCAACTTGGTAAGTTTAGTAATAGCTTTTCGAGTCTGGGTGATACTAACGGTGATTCCAGAATCAACATAATGATACATGTCAATTGACAAAGATAACATATTTGCAGCAAAAGTGTGGAATTCGATCCGCTCTACTTTGTTATTTCCGAATAACACTTTCTTTACTTCCTTCCTGGAATTACTTTTTTGAAGGTCTAGATGGCTGCCAAGCATTGCTCGCACGGCATGTACTGCAGGATGACCTGAATCTGGGCGGATTTGATGCCAGAGCAGAAAATCAGATTCTGACCTCCCAAGATCGCCTTATACAATGGATGGAGTGGGAAGGAAATCTTGAACTCGTGCGGGGACCCGCTCAATCTGTCGCGGAAGAAGATGATTCAGGGCTTGATCTAATTGGTTTCTTCAAGATTACAGAAAGCATCCTGCAAGGATCAATCTACAGAACCGAGGTCGAAGCCGTGATCGAGGATCTTAAGCACTGCTACCGGCCTCGGGTCGATGCAGTCCATGACGTTTTTGCGCATTGCTTCCTTGATACAGATATGACCGCCATATGCGACGAACAGATTAATTCCTTGGAGTACTTTCAAGAAAATCTTCTGCGGGTTCTGAAGGAGTTTGAGGCTTGTTCTGGTCATGAAGGGGAAAACGAAGTCTTCAATAACTTGAAGAACATGGTTGCCGAAGCACATGAATTTATGAGTGAGTTGGAAAAGATACTGGGAATGTTTACAGTCTTCTTCAATGATCTACTTGAGTGTCACCGACAACGAGAAATAGGGGAAGGATCTAATCCGGAATGACTGACTTTTCTGTCTGACTTCCAATTATGCCTACTTATGTGGACGGCTAGACTCGTTTGGCCAATCTTCCCTTTTCGCAGATTCAAATTGCTTAGTTTGATATCCTATTTTGATTTCGCGGCGAAATATTTCATTCGTTTAGATAGATTAGTAGTCTCTGATAGGGTTCTGACATTCGTTTTTTCACACATAGGAATTTGCTTTCAAACTGAGACATTCCCATTGTTATGAGATAGGGCCCGATGCTGAATCCCTGTCGTTATGGTATCGAACCGACAAGATTCAGGAAGACCGCATGCGCTCTGTTCTTGCTTCCTCTTTCCAGGAATCGCTTCTTAAACAGCGGATATAATATATTTCAGAATCAATTTTTCCTTTATCTAATAGACAAACTTTCTGTCCTAGAAAACAGATTTAACACCTAGTATAGACTTCGGGGAGTTGTATAGCCCTGCTGCTATGAGGAATCCAGGAATGGCATCTAGCAGTTATTGCTGATAGTTCAAGATCCAAGACTAGTTAGCAGTGGGCTATACTGGAAATCACTAGGGAGTAGCACGTTTAAACAACCATGGAGAGCTAAAGACCCGGGCTTATTAGGCATGGGGCCGCAACGGACATAATGCAGTTTTCTTGTCTCTAAGCCCTTGCTATTTCCAGGTCGAGTGCCTAACTAACTATGTATCGTTCAGCGCATCTAATGATGCCTGACTCGGCTGCCTTCCACGGCAATGCCGCTGTAGGGACACCCGAAATATCCGGTCATACAACGTCTATTATTTTCAAGTACTCCTCTATAAACGATGAATCAGTCGTGAACGCGCTGGAAAAATGCGGAGTATCTTACTGCCCAGTCTCCATCGCGCGCCAAGGCAACGCAGCAAATCTGTAAAAACCCTTCTTTGGCTTAATTTACACTCCTCACTCAATTCCATTGATGAGAGCGATTCGAGGCCATTTGCTCCAAGCGCCAGTATGGTCATAGAAAACGGTGTCAGGAAATCAGCATTGTACCCAGTGGCCATGGCCTCACTGAGTTGACTGTTCACCATCTTCATCAGCATCTCAATGGAGGTCAGGATTTCCATATGGCGCTGGCCGAAGCATTCGGTGACAGGCACTATTTCTTCCTGTTGGCTGACGAAATTCAACATTAAAATGGAGGCCCTAGGGACCTATTAGGATCTACTTTCATCATTATTATGTGATGTTAGGGGAAAAGAAAGCTTACACAGCATATGCCGCAAAATCGCCTCGCCAAGTCGGGGAGTCGTTGAAGACTTGGAAACCTAATTTCATGCTCTGCAATTCGTTATCCAGAGCAATAACTCGATCCAACTGCGTGGGCCAGGAAGTTCCAGGCCCACGTACCGCAATGTCTTCATAAATGATCTGTTGGAGACGACATAGTATTCGACATCCTTCGGCTTCACGGCTGAGGGTGTCCACAGCCTTTCCCATGACTAGTCATGGATGCGGTTATTACAGGACCGTCTTATATAGGATACATGGATGAATACCTGAGGTCATGAGAGGCTCAGGAGCCTCTATGATAGGTGAGTATTCAGAACTGAGATGCTTGCCGAGAATTGTAAGGCTGAGGCAAATGTGCCTACCAATGGAGTTGTTTGGTTAGTTGAAGATAACTGAGCGGGCAACTGTATATGGGATGTCATCACCTGTTTAGCAGATGCATTGCCGAAATAACATGTGCGCTCTCATCGAAGTAGCCTTCTGCTAAGGCAGATTGAGGCGCGCTGTTAGTATTGGAATGAAGCCTGAGAAGGCTAGCCATCCTGATACATGTGCCAATCGTGACATAGGCACGTTCAGGGGTGCCGTGTGCATATTCATACAGAGTGATGCAAAGTCCGGCTTGTACCAATTCAATGGACGGATCTTTGAGTGACAGAAACAAAGAGAAGTGGTACTTGCAAACTTGGTATAGTTCTGATAAACCAAGTGCATCATCGGAGGGAGCTGGCGGATGCTCGGTGAGAAGAAGGATAGCCAGGATTAAAACCATGAAAGCGCTTGTGGAGTTCAAACCCTCAGCCTCCTGGATTTGCTTATCAAGCTTAATCCTAGAGATTATGGGCATATAATTGTGTATTGTGTCGAAGTACTTATGAACTACCCCCCGCATCGTCATGCCCTTCTCTTCTAATATTCTGAAGACGCTTGCCCCGGCCATCATACCCAGATACGAAGGCTGGAGTAGTTGAGGAGAGATTTGCCACTTATCTGCTTCCGGGTCCTTTGGTCTAGCAGCTAGGTTTATGCTAGGGGCTGGTGAGGCATTGGTGACCGCGGTGGGTGCAAAAACATTTTCTTCAAGTCTGTCCAGGCGATCGAACACGGCCTGAAATTTGGATATGATCTCTGCTGGCGCTATGCCGGCTCCCTCATCATAAATACAACGAAGTATAACCCTAGCTTACATAAGTTTCTGGTGGGACTTGGGGGGACAGGGAGCACCAAACCTAGAACATCGGTTGCAGGAAGGTAGTGCTTTGTCGCACTTTTTTTTACTTGCTTTACATTGAGCGCAGGCGTGTGCTGCAGATTCACGTACGTCTGGGCTATCAGGGTCCACGTGACTTGTCATGATCAGATAGAGTCAACAATGGAACATTGGAAGCATTTGATTCAGGGATCAACGATATAAATTTATGTTTGCAGGGTTAAGGTAAAGTCCGAGTCACGTGGTCTTAGGCTGGGGGTGCTCCACTTCCACCCAGGGTCTGCACTGTTATGAGTGCGGTATACTGTAAGAAACCGTTATACTGTCCACTTTTATCCTGCAGTGGGGAATCAATCTCTCTACCTATGGGTTCTTTGATGGGTTTATATCAGCAGAATACCAAACGAACAACACCGCTAGGACCTCGGTTTCTATATTGTACTCGGCATCCGCTCGGTCATTTCAAATTAATACTCCAGGCTTTCCTTACTAAGTTTATCTTGGACATTACTACCGATTTATGGACTTACATCGCACCTTTACATGCGTACCGGCCTGTCAAAGCATTGGAGATTCTGTCTGTCTACTTTTAATCTAGCAGAAGTGCTCCACAGCTCACATCAAATAAAGGAGTAAACAACAAAACTTATAGGAGGATGTGGAATATAATACAACTCTGAATTACAGGTCTAACTACCGCCCAGAAAGCTAGCCGCCTGTGAGATAAAGTAATCCTTACCCTTAATCATAGACACGAGCCAACTCCAGGGAACCCAGCCAAACAGCTGTCCAGTACCACCGGATCTACCAGCAGGCACTAGCATCATCAGGGAGCCGTTCGCTGCGTATCTGGGCCGCGGACCGCTGCCCATGATATCAGCCTTGATATGCGCTGTGACGATGGGGACCTGTTCCCGAATCTTTGAGGCCAGACGGTCTGTATATGTTGTGATATCTCCCACAGCGTAGACAGAATCGACCGTTTGATTGGTACCACTTTGCACCTTGAATGCATCGTTGACTCTCACCCAGCCGTTCTCGGAGAGAAATTCAGCAGGGATGAATGAATTGTTCGGCAAAGCCCCAGTCGTTGAGATGCAAAGATCCACCGTGATTTCATCGCCACCATCAAATGTAGCAGTCCATTCCTTGGTGATTGAGTCTTGCGCGACGCGCAGTACCTTGCGTTGGGTATGAACGCTGATATTCCTATCTTCCAAGAGACGTCTTGCTGTCGTAGACGCAGCCTCCTTCAGTCCTGAAAGAAGGCGATCAGATTGAGTAACCAAGGTAACTTTGGCGCCGGTCCTGCTCTGGAGAGTGTCTGCAAGCTCCCCCGCGAACTCTACCCCAACAGGTCCGCCACCGATAATAAGAAATGTTCTCGCACTAGCAATTTCTTCCTGGCCGGATCGGATCATGCTCTCTATATCATTGGTGTTCGCTGACTTGAAAAGTACCGATGCACTATCTTTCCCAATTGCTGAAGCTGTGGTACTGCCTGAGGCGATGACCAGAATATCGTAGTGGAGAGTCACATTCGTAGCTGAGACCGACACAGTTTTCGCAGTGGGATCAATCGCGGTCGCCGAACCCTGCACAAACTCGAATGTGCTGGACTGGTACTTTTTGAAAGTGTCTTTTATGTCGATGAGGTACTGATCGGGTGCGAACGAGTCCGGATTCGCGAAGATGCGCGGCGCAGCAATATTAAAAAAAGCCTTCTCGGAAGGGTTGATCAGGGTCACTTTAACTGACGGCACTTCTTTCAATAGGGATTTGGCAACACCAAGCCCTGCGAATGAGCCGCCGATGATGATGACTGTGGGTTTGGATGCCATTCTTGATATATAGAGCAATAGAAGTTAACCTGCCCGCCTTTATCGCGGAGTCTAGGAGCGGAAGACTTTATAGAAGAAGGGCATGATTCTACGACAAGGGGGCATGCAATCCTCCGACTCAACCCCCGAGAAGATGTCAATCTATGATTGGAAGAGATTCAGTCTTGCTAGAGCTAAATAACTTCCGTTTAGAACAAGCTGATTGGTAGTATAAAATTCGTTCCCATCTAGCCACACAATGGTGGAATGGAGTCGGGTTCGGCGGCCGCCTGGGAACATGGTTAGTAAGCGGCTCCACAGTTTTACAGTATAGGCCATCGGCATCGCGGCCGCCAGGGTTCCTTCTATCGCGTGATCCGTAATCATGAGCACTTCTATTTCTAAGCATGGTCATGGAGGAGACCTACCCCTAGTGTAGGATGATAAGTTCTAATTGACACAGTATATCAATGCGCATGAACCCAACAAAATGGCGAGTCAAATGTGAGACAAGGACTCTTCTCGAAACTCGAAAATCATCCAGGCAAAATGGTGGTGACTGTTGCGGTATCTGGTGGAACTGGCAAATTGGGGCGGGCGATCGTCGAGGCTCTGCGCAGTACCACTAATCATTCAGTCTTGGTTCTCGCAAGAGGTGTATGTGAGCTCCCAGACGTGCCATCTTTCACTTTTGTTCTTGCCAACACTAATAGTCGCTAGGCCAATGACCAGTTGTCGAGCACGCTGGATGTCCCAATCCTTCCCGTCGACTATTCCAGTATCGAATCGTTGAGCAAGGTCTTGGATGAGAACAATATTGATACCGTTATCTCAACTGTTCCCATTACCGACGCTTCTGCGAGCGAGTCTCAGCTGAATCTTATTGAGGCTGCTATGAAAGCATCCAGTACCAAACGTTTTATTCCCAGTGAATTCGGCATTCAGTACACGGAGTCGTGAGTGTCCCTGTATTGTCCCTTTGCTTTCACACTCAAATTCTCATTCTCTATAGGCACGGAGCGGCATTTCCCCCAATTCAGGGGAAAATTACGGCAGCTCAGAGGTTGAAAACATCTGGCCTGGAGTATACCCTAGTTTCAAATGGCTTTTTCATGGATTACTATGGCCTGCCCAAAGTAAAGAGCTACCTCCAGCCATTCGTCTTCGCTGTTGACATGGCAAACAATGCCGCCGCTATACCTGGTTCCGGCGATGTCCCTGTGGTCTTCACTCATACTTTTGATGTAGCGAAATATGTGGCAGCACTCACCAGTCTAAGGACTGGCCCGAGCGAAGCATTATCATTGGTGACAAGCTGAGCTGGAATGAATTAGTTGCTCTCGCTGAGGTTACCAAAGGTTAGTAACCCTATCTCCGCTAAAGAAGTATCGCGTGCTAATGTCAATAACCAGGTGCCAAGTTTGATATCAAGCACGATAGCGAGGAGAAGCTTAAAACATTACAAGTCACCGAGCTTCCAGCACATCCTCCCCTGTATCCTTTCCTTCCCAAGGAACACCTTCAATTCATCCTGGCTGTTTTTGGCCAATGGGCTGCAGCAGGACACTTCGATCTTCCGGATACAGACACGCTCAACCAGCGTTTCCCGGATATCAAGCCGCTCTCCTTCGGTGAGCTTCTGCAGAAGGTCTGGAAAGCTTAGACAATTTCACTATAAATCTGCATGTTTCATAGGACATCCGTGAATTCTATAACGTATTAGATAGTTTGACTTTCTATCCACCATTCAAGGCCCAGGCTGACTAGCCCAGTCTTTCGTGAATGTGAACGTAAGTTTGCCTAAAGGGGCAGGCAGTTGAATCACCGAAATATTTAGTTCCTATCTAGGTTACTGAGATGTATCATCTCCTCCTTGCATCTCATAAATCACATGACAACTGAGTATATTATCCTCTTGCTGTCTAAGCTCTTCCCTTTCTCCTTTCTTCTTCAGCCCCCTCGATTCCCGTTTAATCATGTCTTATTCTTTCCCACTCCAACAACCTTCCCGGGTAGGGTGTTTCTACGCGTTGGCCTGAGGACTGAATTAAGCTGACTCTGTTAGACCGTCAAGCTAAACGGCCATGAGATGATTGCAACTGAGGTTGAGCTGTTAGATCCACGTCGAACAGCATATCAGTTCAAACTTAAACCAGGCTCATATCGATATCCAATTCCAAAAGAAGTCACCTCTATTATTGTTAAACAACAAAAGCAGGAGGTGGATAATAGGGCAAACGCTCTTGCTGGGCAGGTTCCTGGAATATATATAGCATGGGGAACACCAGAGATCGCGATGCGGAATTCACCAAATGAATGAAGCTCATTGCAGGGATTGTCTGGTGTCCTTGGTCTTCCGATTGTGGAATACTCAGTCCTACTATGGATTGATAACAGGAAGCCTCTCCGAGATGAGGTTTGTATTAGCGCATGTTGCAAACCGAAAGGAGTGTGTGTAATTTTATTCATGAGTGTATGACATACTCGTTTCGTACGTGTAATAAGAAGGGATGCATGGGTATCAAAGTAGCACTTAAGGTTAGATGCTTGACCCACCCAGCCCGTTTGATTTGCCGGAAGAATCGACTGGTTCGACCCACTTCAGCCTCTTGCGCGGAAGAAAAGCACGTCCCCTCTGGGTGGGTCCAGCAACGTTAGGAATCGACCACGACATGGAAATAACGGTAGTGCAATACAAAAATCGATGTAGCTAATACAACACACAAATTCAGGTATCACGGTAATCAAATAGACGACCAGGACTGGTCTAAGAACCACAGCATTTATCAAAGTACATACAAACAATATAAGCATACAGCTGGAGAAAGTAGGCCGTGGGATGAACGGCCACCAGGACGGATCCCGATATTATTCCTATCACATCGGATGCTCGCTGAAGCAAGAAAGTGACACTGAATCGAATGCCCGCTGAACACCTGGGAGAATGTAAAGTGAATGTGTAAAAACACAAGGTCAACTATAGACGAGTGGGAAAGGAAGCTATAGGGAGGAAATCATTAAAGGGAGTGACGGCGCGGGGATTAATTAAGCTTCCACAAGCGTTTGTCGGGGGCCGTTACCAAGAAATTCGAGGCATCGTCGTGCCAGCGCAATTACCTCGCCCTCACCATCTTCCTGATCCTCCTCGTCGGACTCAATATTCTTGTCGGAGATCGACTTGACCATCTGCACGACATCGTCGGATTTGGCAATATAGCTGATCAGTCTCTTGTCCTCGGACTCCAACAGCTGAAGGAGAGTCCAGATCGCAATGTGCTGGAAGGTAGGGTCTCCGCTGGCGAGGAACCGGTTAAGATAGCCGTGGATACCCCCGTTGGGATCCGCCCAATCGCGGACGAATATGGAATAGTCGCCGACTGTGTCAGATTAGCGAATGCGGGATGCATCCAGAACTGCTTATCACTTACCCTTGGAGGACAGATTGCCCAAGGCCGCGGCACTATTCCCTTGTACTTCGATACTTTCGGATTCCGTCAGAGGAATTAGAACGTCAAAAACGCCGAGATTCAGAAGGTGGGGTTTGAGCTCATCACTAAGCGCCAGAACCGCAATGGCGGCAGTCATCTCCGACTGGACGCTGAGGGGAACCTTCAGAACCAGGTCCTTGCATTTCTGGACCGCACCCGCTTGGAGGACAAGCTCCTTGTTACGGTCTGAACTGGCGGCGAGATTCCGGAGCGTGGAAATGGCGTGGCACTGGATTTCTTCATTATCCGTCGAGCCAAGCAAGTCCACCAGGGGCTTCAAAAAGCCTGCATCAATAATGGGTGATTCGTTAAGCGGGTGAATAGAGATGTTGCGAATGCATGCGACGGCGGAGAGTATGAGGGGAAGGTAGGAGGACTGCAAGAGGCGCAAAAGCGGGGGAAGACCTTTGGCGCGAACGATTTCGAGTTGGTATTTCTCGTCCGACGCCAAATTGCGAAGAGCCAGCGCAGCCTGGCATTGGACTTTAGGAGTGGAGGAGTCCATGAGATGGACCAGTGACTGAACCAACCGGGACTCGGTTTGGGCAAGTCTCTTTCGGTTTGACGCATCGACGGCGATATTGCTGAGAGCAGTTGTGCAATAGTATTGTACATCAACATCGGAGGAAGAAAGCAACTGAACCAAGACGGGAATCGCGCCAGCGTTGACCAGTTGTTGTCGGTTATCATCTATAAAAGCCGTCAGAAAAGGATGAAGGACCAACCGCGTGTTCGCACACGGTCTACCCACCGGAGTGTGTCATGTTTAGCAAGGCCCCCGTCGCGTTCCGTTGTACACGCATATCCTTGGATTTCGCCAGCCGAATCAACGGTCCCAGAGCACCCGACCGAGCGATCTTGGCCTTGTTGTCCTCATGCGTAGCTAGATTCGTAATGCAACCGACTGCGTTGCATTGGACTTCGACATTGGGCGACATCATCTGCCGTATTAGAGGGGCCAGCCCTCCGAGGGCGACAATCAATACCTTGTTATCCGCTATGTTGTGTCAGCGATAAGTCGTTGCCGTCACCGAAAATGAGACCAACCATTGACAGCGAGGTTTCCCAGAGCAGCGCTGGCCGCGCGTTGTACTTCAATATCGGAGCTTTGTAACAGGAAAAGGATGGGTTCGAGGGTATCCCGATCGACTTCGCGCACATCTGAGATGAAGAAAGGCGGGGGTTAGCCGCGGGAAGATCATCGAAACTCGAGATTCACCCACCTCTCTCCGTGATTTCAGCAAAGGTCAAGCTGGCGCTTCGTTGAAGGTCGACGTTATCGGAGTATACCAGTGTACTTAAAGCGCTAAGCGGTTCACCTCTGAAGAAGTCGGTCTCGGCTCTCTACCGAGTCGATTGAGTTAGGATCACAATCACGCCAAGAGATCAATCAACACAGGGGTGAGGGTGGGTGAACATACATTTTCAAGGTAGCCTAACAAGTCGGAAACTGCCTCCCGCTCATTGTCCGCTAAGGTTGTCTCGTAAATTCCATCCCTCGAGCGACCGCCGATCGGCCCGAGACAGGCGGTGATATGACACCAGCGGTCAACTGTCGAGAGACAGGATAAACAAGCACTTGCGATCCCACTCATGCCTTAATGCTACAGGCCCGCAAGACCAGACCCCGGCCCCACAAGCGACAAGTCTAAAAGCGAAAGGGAACGAAACCAACGTTGTCAGTCCGACCGGCGAAAGACAACCTTCCCTTCGTCCCAGGGCGTGTCCTGTTCCCAGGGAGGACCTCGAACGATGGGGTCTTTGTTGGTCTCTACCGAGAGATAGGGTCAAGGAAATGGAGTATTGTGGGATGCGATGGGAATCGATTGATGACGAGACAAAGAAACGGATGGGTGACTCTGCATATAGCCCGATGAGAGTTGAAGCTCGCGGAAGCACAAAGAATGGCGCGTGATAGGCAGGACACCTTTTGCCGATATTATTGTCGGTTCGAATTCGAGATTAGTGTAGAAAAGACCCCAGGGTATTACCCAGAAGGGAGGGGATCGAACAGTGAAGGAAGAGGGAGGGGAGGGGGGGGGAAGTTGGTGGTGGTGGTTGGGAAGAGCACCAGGAAGAGATGGCAGACGGTGAGGTTGAGTTTAGTTACTGTTAGTGGGCCTTAGCTTGGAGCACGGGTGATGAGTGACCATACGGGTCCCAAGTGAAGGTGTGGGCAAATGATAACGCGGGAAATGAAGAGAGCTCATTTCCCTTTATCACTTCCCGTCACCGACAATACACAACAACAATAACAACATTTGGATTTTTGGACGGAGAATCAATTCTATTCAAGAATGTCAATAGTTGAAATAATTTTGTCTTGTTTTTTCATTCAATTCCAAGTATCTTTGCTCCTTGATTAGACTCCATTGTTATTAAAGTATATCATATAAATATATATAAACCACTGTTTTGTGTATGGTACGGTCAGGTGGACATACCTTTACCTGTTTCGTTTTGGTTGTCATTGTTGATCGTGTTTATCATGTACAGTATGTATGGGCTCTGTATGCTACCTTATATCTCCCGGTAGTCTGTTTCCCACTGCAGATTTCAATTTGATCGACCCACCATCTAGAAAACACCCAAGCTTACAATATCGACCACTTGCTGGATGCCATAGCAATCCCATCATACAATCCTGGTAACCCTCCCCCACCAACAATGGATGAGCAAAGTATAACCCTCCTGGGCTAATCATGGGGCTACCCGCTGATCCACTCGGCAAACTTACGGGTTCGACATGACACTCATGCGAGAGAATCATTCTCACTGTCACGGGGGGCGGGGGGTTTTCTGTCTTAGTCAGTACTCAACAACAACTAGTGATAGAAGCCTCACGACACTCGGTCAGACCTTCACCCAGTTCCTCGGCCATCATAGCCGAGAACGACCTCTATTTGGAGGCTGATACTGGGCTGTATGGTACCAGTATTTGACATTATATATAAATGTATGTGGCTATTCCGACAAACCTCTAAGCTCACCCAGATCACCTATCTTACCAAATCGTGTTTGTATACCGGAGGCAACCCCTTGACGAGTGATGCGATATGATCACCGGACAATGGATGGATGATCAACGGGCTGTTGGTCATAGCGGGTGGTTTCCCATTTACCCAAGTCGGCTTCTGCAGGACCGCCAGGGATATTTTATATATATATATATCCA